GTTTTTTGCCTAGTCCTTATTCGTTTTATTTAGGTATTCTTCTTCGATTTATTGTTAATATCGTTTCTTTATATTTTTATCGCGTGGTGTTATATCGGGGCTTAAGAGACTAATTTCTTATAGCTAATCGAAGATTTCTTATTTCTCGACGCTATATCGTTTGCATTATACTACTTCGTAGTTAATTGCGTACTATACTTCGTAATTCTATTCGTTTTCGTACTAAAGGTCGAGTTTTCGTTTAGCGTCTTTCTGTTTTTTGCGTAGTGTTTCCGTGTTAATTTTTCCTTAGTCGAATACGGCTTATAGCCTTCGTATATATTGCCAATAACATTTTAGTATACCGTTATATCGTTTATGCTATGCTTATGCTTTTTCGTGTTTATAAATTCTATAGTTCGGGTATATATATTCGTTATAATCTTCTTCGTCGCATTTAACTCGTTACGTAAGTCTTTAGAAGATTAAGGGTTCGGATATCTTAGAGCGAGTAGCGTTATGCTATTCTTCTATTTTAGCGTGTTTATAGATTTTGCATGTCTCTAAAAGATATCTCGTTAATAAACCGTAATTATCGCGGCATTCGAGTAGCGTGCCGTAATCGGGTTCTAATAATATAACTTAGTCGTTCGGGTAGCGTTAATCGATTTTCTAGTAGTCTAGTTCTATGCTTAAGTAGGGTTTCGAAAGTACTTATCCCTTAAACCTAACTAGGAAGGCGTCGTATCGTGCCTTTATCTAGAAGTATATTATATAATCTAGGTAGACGTATAATATCTATAAAATATACTTATAGTGCTTATAAGTAAGTAGTGTTTATAGATCGTCTCTAAATTCTCCTTGTAGTTACTATTCTCGTTATAGAGCTATAAAGGTGTCGACTACGGCGATAGCTATAGCGTAGTCTCCTCCGCGTAGTGCCGGTTAATATCGAATTAATATAGCTTATTAGTTTTCCGTGAGAATTTAAGGTGTTTATTAGGTTCTAATTTTAAGTATTTCTTCGAATTCTTCGAAGTATAGAGTATATTCTCTAATCGTAGCATTCTCCCTTAGTAGCGAGGGTAGTAGTATAAGTTCGTTCTCGTCTTCCGTTTCTCTAGGTATTTCTTATTCTTTAGAGCTTATATCGTCGATACTTCGTTATTCCTCTTTAGGTTATTATCCGAGTTTCGTAAGTATAAGGGCTATGTCTATATCTTCTTTATTATGTTGTTTATAGACTGCCCGTCGTTGTTATCGATTTTTATTTCGTATATCCTCCTAGAATCGTTTGCCGTTCTTCTTAATCTAGTCTTAGGAGACTCCTTTAGGATAGGGGTGTTCTAGTTCTGCGAATTTAACTTATTTCTATATTTTAGGATCCCTTCGTTGCATTATTATAAGGGTCTTCTTTAGTAGCTTTAAGAACCATCTAGTACCGTTCTTATCGCTTAAGTATACCGTGTATTCGTCGTCGTAGTATATAGTCTAACTAAGGAGTTTATGCTTTAGTTCCTATCTATTAGTAGCGTTTAGGTGTTTCTTACCTTTTAGGGCTAGTGCCTAGTAGGTTTTCTTCTCCTTGCGAGGTTGTCTATGTTCTTTAGAGTAATGTCTAAGTTTCCCGTAGTTAAAATACTTTCCTTTACTTTTCTATATTATATCTAGATCTATCCTACCTAGGTTAGTTATATAGGCGTAGGCAATAGGAGTTTCGCGCTTCTTTTTATAGTTAGCGCGTCGGTTAAAGTTATTCCTATAGGAAGGGTTCTAGTTTCCTCTTCCTTATTTCTTTTCTTAGCGTCGCGCGTACTATCTATCGTCGATTCGTACTGCTATAGCAATATAGTCTAAGAGGTTATTAGGTCGATTTTCCTTATAAAGTTCGTCCTTAACTTCTTCTTTAAGCCCGTCGTAGAATCGTAATATAAGAGGTTCGTCGTCCTAATTAAGCTTTAAGGTGACTTATCGGAACTTCGTAGTATAATCCGATACTAAGATCCTTTGTCGGAGTTCTCGAAGTTTTTATTTAGCTTCTCGTTCCTCGTCGGTTATTCCGAATACCTTCGTAATAGCTTCTTCGAATCCTTAGAAACTAGCAAAGACTTCGTCTATCTCGTTGTCTCGTCGCGCTAGTTAGTTATCGAGAAAGTCCCTTATAATAGGTCTAAACTAGGCGAGTACCGTTCTAGATAAACAATTTCCTACGTAGAGTACCTTTTCGACTAGGTCCGAGAGTTTAGTAGGGTAAAACCGGTGGTAGGCCTTAAGTTAGGTAAGAAAGTCTCGAAGCGTGCCGTGAGTACCGTCGAATAGTCCTAGCTATTTTGGTTTAACTGCTTCTCCGAGGTCCCTAACTTATCCGTTGCCTCCTCCGTTCCTAAGTAACTATACCTTATATCGAAGGGCGATAATTTCGCGTATTATATCCTAAGGCGATATAGTAGCTCTAGAGTTAGTTAATCTAGTTTACTATATAGGCATATTAATAGTTACGATATTGCTTAGAGTAACGTGGTATTGCACTAAATAAGAGCTTTTAACGTATAACAACCGATGTTATTCCTAAGGGATAAACCTATCGAGGGGTTTATATTAGTAGATATAATAGGGCGTGGTCTAAGCAATAATAAGTATATTACGTTAGTAATAAGTCGGAGGTTATAGACCATAGACTATAACTAGGTAATTAGAATTAGAGATAGAATCGTAATAAAGATCTATATTAAAAGCTAGAGAGCTATCTATCTAAAGGAGTGAAAGTAGGTGGCTATATATACCCGTAGAGACTGTCCTTAGATCACGGTCCTAGCCGTGATCCCCTTCGTGGCTTACTATAGCTTACTCGTGAGCTATGCTCCTAAATAGTGATCTATCTATATAAGGCTTACTTAGCTCACGTACGCTCTAGGTGAGCCAAGCCTAAGTGACTTCTCGTCCCGACCATTGTTCCGAGCCGCCTTGTCACGTGAACGTGGCCGGCTCTCCTGCGGCCCGCTAACCGTGGTCGTAATAGTTATTTATATAAAGAAAGAAGCGCTTTATCTCTTAGTACTTTTTTATCTACTATACCTATAAATATTATTTATACTTAGTTCGGCCTCCTTAGCCTTACTAGTCGGCGGGTATCTTAAGCTTAACCTCTTATCTTAGCGCGGTCTACCTAGTCCCTACTTTTAGACTATAGTTAGATCGGAAACGCCTTAGGTTTTAATAGTAAGTAGTACCTATTACTTAGCGTATACCTAGGTATTTATAAACTATTAAGGTCTTTATAGGTAGTTTTCCCTTACTTCTTCTTAGGCTTTATTTACTATAGGGTAAGTTTAAGTCTATAATAAGTAGTCCCCTTAATATAAGATATAATTATAAGGGATTTCGCTTTTCTTAGCCCTATATTTATCCTCCTTTTTATTATATACTATACTCTTATATTAACTATAAAGTTATATTAATATATACTACTTAGCGATATAGCTATACTTATAGTAATTATAGTACCTTTATAGTTAGACCTACTTATTATAAGGTTTATATTAAAAGATTTATACTTTAAGAACTAAGCCTAGGTTATAAAGCCTATTAGCTTCCTTTAAGCTACTAACCTTAATAAGTATAGTTATTACTATTAATATTTTAAATTAAAGGTATAGCGCTTAAGCTTAAAAGACCTTAACTTTATTTACTTTTATAATCTTATAAAGTAATCGCTCTTTATTTACTATTACTACCTTTAAGAAAACGTTCTTAGTAACTACTATATATATATAGTAGGTAATTATAGCTTTTAGCCTAAATATAGCCTTAACCTAGCCTTAGTCCTTTTAATAGGCTCTTACTAAGGTATTAAATATAACTATAATATCTTTACTTTAAAGGCGCCTTACTACTATAGCATATATAGCCTTTAAGGCCGTTTTTACTACCTTTACTATATCTTTTAATTTATAGCTTAGGATTTTAAGTAGTACCTTAATAAGGACTATAATAATCTTATATTTATAGCGCGGTAAGACCTACTTTACCGCGGCTTTATATTAAGTTAATCCCTTAATCTTAGCTATAATCGCGGCCTAGGTTTACTTTAGGCCCCCTAGGCCTAAAGTAATACCTAGGCGGAGTTCTTTCTTAACTACCTCCTTAATTGCTTCCCGGATTATCGTCTTAAAGCTCTCGTCCGCGTAGAGCACCGCTGACGACGCGCTACTAGCGCGACTCTTCGCCTTAGAGAGCTATTCGATTACTACCTATACCCTACTAAACTATACGCTTAAGACGAAGCCCGCGAGTTTATCGTATACTACTTTTTCTATAGGGTCGCTCGGCGCTTAGGTAGGTATCGTATCGCTACTTTAAGTTTATTAACTCGCTCTATTAAGGTATATAAATTCGGGCGGCGTCTCTTCGCGCTACGCGCTCTAGTCGAGCCTAGTACGTCGAGGGCCGCTACTACGTCTATATGCCCCTCGGCCTCGGCGTAGTATCGTTACTAGGGGTAATTAATACTACTAAATTAATTCTTAGTATTAGTTAGTATTTTAGTCGCGATATATACCCGCTATAGGTATATATTAGTTTCGCGAGAAGGTTTTTTTTTAGACTTATAAGAGATATTAATAACTATCTAAATACTAAGGAATTCGCTCTATTAAAGCCTATTTTTTACGGTCGCTCCTTTATAGTATTAAGAGAGCATAAGTAGATAGAGAGCTAGAGAAGTTTGGTACGTTTTGCTTTTTCTATATAGGGGTCATTTTAGCGTCCGCAACGACTTTTGAAAGCTGCCTCCGTATAGTACCCATTTGTTAGCGTCGCCCCCAAAAGGCGCCTTCGGATCTTTCCTGAATCATCATCCTGCCCATGGCGCCGAACCCAGTAACAAGCCGCTCACGATATTGCCTGCCACTGCGAAGTACTCGATGCCTCTCCCGTCCCGCATCGCCTCTCCGCCTCCTCCGTAAGAGGCCGACCGACAGAGCTCCCGCCATGGGCTCGAGACCCCCCGCGCATCCGCAAGAATGATCCTCGGCCCCGTCTCGCTCGTCGACTGTCTCGTCTTCTGCATCTTCCTGGCCCCTCAGCTGATATGGCACGTCGGTCTCGTCCGCACGTGCCTGGTGGCCCTCCAGGCTTTGCCGTTCCTCGGTGCGGATGCCCCGTTTCCCGGCTGCGAGAGCACCCCGGGCTCACCGTGCCGCAGTGCTGCAGCTGCCCTTTCAACTCGTGCGCGACCGGCTGGCGAGGCCCATGTCGCCCACTGCATCGCTGCCGCACGAGTCCACCGTATTTGAAGACGTTGTCGTGCGGTGCGTGCGCTATGCCTTCCGGGCCATCCCGACCAGCGTCAACAGGGTCTTCTTCTCCAAGGGCGTCGCGCTGCCATTTCTGCGGTGGCGCATGCTGAGGCATGGCTATCTTGACTGCCCCGTGCACTGGCACGAGCACAGAAGCCGAGAGGTATCTCACCATGCCCGTCGCTCTATTGGGCATGACTAAGAGGGAACAGGGCGACACGGCTGCCAAGGGCTTGTGGATTAGACACAAGCCAGACCAGCCCCCGGACTTGGTCGTCTACTACGTTCACGGTAAAGTGATGCCGTCGTGACGGCGCTCCACGTCGCTGACTCGCAAGTAGGCGGCGGCTTTGCCCTGGGTTCTTGCTACTTCTACCTCGAGTTCCTTCTGGCCTGGCACTCGTTGCTGGTAGATGCCGGATTCCAGAACCCAGCCGTGTTTGCGCTCGACTACACCTTGGTTCCAGACGCGGGTTATCCGACGCAGATGCTGGAGACGTTACAAGGCTACAGGCATGTCTTGGAGGTGGCCAAGGATGCCTCCCGGGTCTGTGTTGCTGGGGACTCGGCCGGAGGCACCTTGATCCTCAGTCTCCTGCTACAATTGGGGAGTGAGACCCAGACCCTGCAGCAAAAGGGGGTTAGCACGGTCTCTGAACCGTCACCGCTGGCTCTCGCCGTGCCTCGTACGGCTGCACTAATATCACCGTGGGTGAAGCTCAAGTCCCATCTCCACTACCCGTCCATGGTAGACTACCTGAACCGACAAACCCTGTGGAAGTATGCGCACGAGTATGCCGGTGCAGCCATGCTCAACCAGCAGCCGGCATCGCCCGGATCGTGCGTCGACGAGAAACTTTGGAGGGCGGCGAGTCCAGAACGGGGCTACGTGGTCGTGTTTGGCGAGCAAGAGGTGTTTGCCCCCGACATCGGAGACTTTATCAACCGTCGCGTGCGAAGTGGTATCGAGACGAAGGCGTTGCGATTCGACGGTGGGGTTCACGCGTGGCCCGTGGCATCATTGTTTTTGTCGAGCACGGCGGACCGAAGACTGCAGGGGCTGAGGTGGATTGTGGGACAGATCAGCAAGCTGAGTGACACCAAGATGGCCGGCAAGGACGGGGGCAGTGCGGCGGCTCTCAGATTAGATCAAGTAGACAGTCATGGACTGGCCAGGTAAGGTGGTGGGTCGAGAACCGGGACCATTTGCTGGCGCGGTTCCGTCGTCACCGAGGCCGGCCTCATAGATATGAGCTCTTGCTTGTTTCATCACTGAGCGAGCTTGGTGGTGCGAAGAGTGCTGCGCGTAGAGTGATTCAAAAGCTACTCGCCTCGCAAAGAGATCCGCGCCCTGGTGCCATCGTGGCAGCTCGAGCGCGGCAGTAGGTGGATTTCCCACAAAGATTGCGGGAAATCAGGAAGCGCCAGGGATTCGCGGAGTCGCATCACGAGACGGGCCTGACTGGAATGAGCCGGAGGTCTTCGGGCAGGATCCGGCGACTGATGGGCCAAGGTGACGCGAGAGAATGCACACAGTAGCCGTCGTCTGGAGGCGAAGCAAGGGCTTTTCACGAACTTCCGGCGAGGACAATGATGTGGTGAGGACAAGGCGCCGGTGTGGTTGACGAGCAATCCTTTGTTGGATTGTTGGTGCTCGAGAGGTGTGTGACGAGAGGGAAAATATGAAGAGAAGAGGACGAATTGGCGCGCATGCAGATATCAAAAGGTACTGAAAGAGGGCAAAAGCGTGCATACAAGTACGTATTGCAGGAAGTTAGGCCTTACCTAAAAGGGTAGATATCCACTAGCATCCGAAATTGGGCTTGCCAGGAAGCGTATTACGTAATGGTGTTGAGGTAAGGCGAGGTGCCAGGGGAGCACATGGCATCACGTACAGTACAATACAGAGCACAGACAGTAGAAAGGCGGAGTCCACAGTCTCAAAGAAGCCCTGCTGTGGCTGAATGTTCCTGTAAACCATTGCGTTGTACGAGCCGTCACGACGATCTTGTTGAGCCTCACCATCGAGTCGGGGAGAGCAAGCCCTGGGGCCACACCGAGTCATCAAAGTACCGTCTACTTAATATTTACAGCCCTAAGTGCTGCCAGACCGAGTGTAGACAGTACGCAAGAGCGCCCAGGCAGCCAGGCCATGCCTGATTCGGCAGCACAGCGCCTCGCTGCCGCCACCCCATGAGGTCCCGTTTCGGGCGTTGCAGCAGCCCCGCGGCGCGCATATAAACGGTCGGGCATTCCCTCTGAACCGGACCTTTCATAAGGCACCTCCCATCGCCGTCCCTCCCCCGCCTCTTGCTTAAAAAAAATTAGAAGGGACGGCGCGAGACAAGCAAAAAAAAGGGCCTCCCCCCTGTCCGCCTCCACCACTTGCACGCAACGCGTCACACCCACGTTGCTGGCTCTGCATTTACACCTTTGCGCTTTCTATTTCACCGTCTGTTAATCACACGTTATTCAAAGGCTCGCGCTGTCCGCTTCTTCTTCGTCTTCCCTGCTGCGTCCTTATTGTCTTGCTTTCTTTTCCCCCATTCCCTTGTGCCATTCCTTTCTTGTTTCCCTTGACTTGGTTCTTTTCCGTCTTTATTCTTCGTGCTTCTCGCCTTGCCAGACATCTCCTCTCTTGGCTGCCCACCACCCGGCCAGCTAGAAGCCCTCGCAGAACCAAAAGCCGGCTGCTGGTGGACGCCCGCGGGAACCGGGGTCGCGGGGTCGCCGGCCTCCCTTGGGCAAGCTCCCACCTCGCGTGTCAGCGTTCAGGGGCGGGTGAAGGCCAAGAGCTCTTTTCGATAGCTAGTTCGCCTAGCGTTGAATGGAACCTGCAGTTCACCTTGTCCTGATATCTACAGCGGGTAGTTTTGTTCGCTCTTCCCAAGGAGACTTGTCCGCCTGGTCAAGGACACGGGCCGGAAAGGGACAGGAAACCATCGCCGCACCACACGCCGGCGCGCAACGTCCAACACGGTCGATCGATCCCTCCTGGGTCCATCTAGAGGCCTCTGGCTTGCCCTGTCCGAAGCAGAGCAAGCCCGTTGTGTTTGTTTGCCGTCGGCTCGCCAAGGGGAACAGCTGCCGGCTGACTAACCCGGCTGCGACATCCGTCGGCACAACCAACGAACGCTCCCACCAACCAGGAGGTGGCGGCGCCCCGCCAGAGCTGGGGAGGTGCAAAATGTCGGCAGATGACAATCATAATTCCACGTCAAATTACGCCCCAAAGTCGCCCGACCTGTCTTCTCTCTACCCAGCCGGGCCCACCCAGAACGCGTCTCAGCTCCATCTAACTCCTCATCCTCATCCTCAGCCGCCTCCTCCTCCTGCCTCTGCTTCCCCTTCTGCTCAAAACCCCCCAATCGACTTCAGCCACTCGCCCCGCCACGCTTCTTCTTCCTCGTCCTCCTACCCGCCTCCCGTCGCCACGGCCGGTCCTCACGACGTCGCCGACCCCGGCTATCCCGGCTACTCGCCCTCGGCCCAGCAGCATTACCTCCCTCCGAGCCCACAGCAGAACGTATCGCCGTCCCAGGCGGTGCCCTACGGCCAGCAGCCCCCGGCTCTGCTCCACCATCCCCAGCCCGCCTACTTTCAAGCGCAGGCATTTCCCGGCCAGGTTCAGCAGCAGCATCTCGGCGTCCAGCTGCCGCAGTACTACCTCCGACAGCCGGTCCCGACGTCCCCCTCGGCTTCCGCGCAGCCGCCGCCGCCGCTCGAGATGCCCCCGCGAAGAGCAGCTGCCGGGCCGCCCCCGCCCGCCATTGAGCCGTCGCCCGTCAGGACAAAGTTCCCCACGGCCAGAATAAAGCGAATCATGCAGGCCGACGAGGAGGTGGGCAAGGTCGCCCAGCAGACGCCCATCGCCGTCGGCAAGGCGCTCGAGCTGTTCATGGTGCAGCTGGTGTCCAAGAGCGCCGAGGTGGCCAAGGACAAGGGTTCCAAAAGAGTCACGGCTCCGATGCTTAAGCAGGTGGTCGAGACGGATGATCAGTGGGATTTTCTCCGAGACATTGTCAGCCGCGTGGAGAACGAAAAGGAAGGATCCCGAGCCAAGGCCAAGGCAGAGAGCGAAAGCGAAGAGGAAGAGCCCGAGCCCAAAAAGAGAGGCCGCGGAGCCGGTCGAAGGAAGAAGGCGGCGTGAGGCGGCAGCGTGGAAACTCTGAGGATCCTCCCGTGGGCCCGGCACGCGTCATGAAGGACACGACGACAATGACGGGCGTTCTAAAAGGGCTAGCATGCATCACCGGCGTTTTGGAGCAAGAACGGAGCGGCGCCCTTGGACGGCAAACCATGTCGCGCCACGCGGGGCATTTCAGACACGGCGGATTGTGACGGACGGGCGCGAATGCGCGGCGTCTGGTGGCTCCGCAGGCCCTTCTGAAGTGAAACCTTGCTGCTCAGGGACAGGACCGGGTTGCTGATGCCCGTGTATGCGCGCGGTGTGGGTTCGGGACCAGGGCTGGCTGTCTCGGGTGCTGACATGATGTCGCGTCGCACGGCACGCGGTGTGTTGTACGACGTCAGTTGCCTAGTGAGAAAGACCATTTTGCGTGTTCTTGCCGGCCAAGGATTGCTTCTTTTCCGCCTCGTGCTTTGCCTGGCTTTGTGAGACCTGCGGCGGCGTCCATCTGTTGACCCAGATGGTATGCCACCAGGCGCTGTAGCGCCCTGCTGCCGAGCGCCTCTAGGCTGTAGGAAGAGGTATAGTACCTCGGCTTTAATTATATCTCTCTTGACTTTGGCCCATCAGTTCAAGTGGCTTAATCTCTTCTTTTTCTTACTTTACCATTTCGTGCTTCTTCCCGTTGTTTTCCTCTTCGCCTCTGGAGCACTCCATTCTTCTTGTTGACAGCCTGGCCACTTCAAAAAACGGCCCTCGGCGGTGGCATTTTTGCTGTGCTGCAACTCTGTCGCAGCGGTTGATCAGCGTGTCTTGGCCCCTCTTTGCCGGCCACTGGACCGCTGCCACCACAGAGGCACCATCCACTGGAAAAGAGGCACTAATTAGAGGGCAGGCCTTGCTTGATCATTTGGGGCGTCGGCGGGTCTCCTCAGGTCAATCTCAATTAACCCCCCCGGTTACTCTGCGCCGTCTCCCACTTCCACCTTCATCTCCGCCACCCTCTCTCGCCATCAGCATCTCGCACCCACGACCGGGAGGCGCCGCGACTCGACAGCCGCCTCTGCTCGCGCCCTCAACCCAGCAGCCAAGCCCCCCCCGCTCCGCCATGCGCACGCGCCGTCAATCGCTTGTTGCTACGTCCCCTGTTGCGCCGCCCCAGCCCCAGCTCATGAGCCTCGTCGTCGCCAGCTCCCCCGCGTAACCCCCCCAATGTCGTGGGACCTACTGCAGAGGTTCCTTGAGTCCGACGTCTTCAATTCGAACCCCTTCCTCTCTGTCTCGTACCTCTCGTGAGCTCCGCCTCCCCCTCTCCGCTGTCCCCCACGTGCTAATGCATCACTCGGGTAGCCGCTACGCCGACCACGTTGGCATTCACTATGTCCTGTGCAACAAGCTGCGCCAGTTCCCCTACGAGGACATCGAGTTCTTCCTGCCGCAGCTATGTCATCTCATAATCAGCATCGACAACGAGTCCATGGCCCTCGAGGAGTTTCTGCTCGATCTCTGCGAGGAGTCGGTCACGGCCGCGCTTCTGGTGCGTGTGCTCGCCACGCCGTCCCATACCCGCCCGCCAACTGACACTGAGCTTCCCATCTAGACCTTCTGGCTCTTCCAGACGTACCTACACGACCTCTCGTCCAATCCCCAGTCCGGCGCCTTCCAGACATGTCGACGCGTATACAACAAGGTCCAGCACATCGTCTTTGGCCTGGCAGACACCGCGCGCCATGGCAGGATCAAGGAGAATGTCTTGCCTGTCACCGTCCTCTCCAGCTTCGTGCTCGCCAGCGTCGCCTTGCCCATGATTCCCCGCTGGGCTGGCCCCCTCGCTGTCGCCCAGGCGCGCAAGCCTCAGCCCATTACTGACATGGCCGCCGATTCCAACTTCAGTCCCAAGCCCACCAGGGCGCAGACCGTCTCCGCCACCACGTCGAGGTCCAGGCGCGCCAAAGACACCCGGAAGACCAGTGCGGCCGACGCGCGCCCTCACGCCCCGCGCGCCCTCTCCCAGACTCCTCCGTCTCCGTCTCTGCGGTCCAAGACGCCGACGGGGACGAGGCGGCCATCTGCGCTGGAGCTCAGGTCGCTGGAGGCCAGGGCGAGTTCCGCCTCTCTTCCCTTGCCGTCGCCCAAGCCGACCACGAGACCAGCCACGCCGGTCTCGGCGGGCATCTCGTCGGGGCCTTCCGATGGCATCTTAAGACGGCATTCGCACCACTCCAAGGCAATCCGGAAACTGAACGACCTGCCGCACTTGCAGAAGACGAGGCTTCTGAGGTCCCACTACTTTCGGTCGCAAACGCAGTTCTTGACGGCCCTCGAGGGCATCTCAAACCGTCTCATCATTGTGCCCAAGCCCGCAAGGATGAGCGCGCTCCGTGCCGAACTCGCCCTCGTCGCACGAGACCTGCCCGCCGAGGTCGACATCCCCGTCATCTGCCCGCCGACGCTGTTCAACGGATCGCCCGGAAAGAGTCGGCACCACAGAATCGTGCGCCTGAACCCAGCCGAGGCTACAGTCCTCAACAGCGCCGAAAAGGTGCCCTATCTCATGATGGTCGAGGTACTCCGAGATGACTTCACCTTCGACCCCGACACTGCCGACAACCGCCGACTCCTCGCCACGGTGTTGGACGAAAACGAGAGCTCTCGGCGACTCTTTGATTTGTCTTCGGAGATGCCCAAGATCACGCAGGCGACAGTGCGCAGTCCTGAGCCTGTTATCGACAGCGTATTTGAGCCAGTTTCGGGCGACCTGGGAAGCTCGCCTCTCCTGAGGACCGACGACGAGGCGCCCGCCAGATACAACGCCAGACAGGCCCAGCCGCACACAAACCTGCGCCTGTCCAGCGGGGCGACCACGTCGACGACGACGCTGGACGCAGTAACGCCGCGCACTTCGGGCGCCTCGACGTCGAGGTCCAACAGCCCCGGTTCGCGGCGCAAGATGACCCTGACGCTGCCTCGAACCGCAGCCCCCGATCAGCCTGACTTTTCGGCTCTGGCCACTCACATGAGGACGGCGTCGCAGATGCTCGCGCAGCTCGAGGCCACGAGTGGCAAGCGGCCAAGGCACGAGGTGGCTGCCATCCGAGCCAAGATCATTGCGAGCATGCAGAGTCTGGAGGAGCAGAACTTCGAGATGGACGAGCATGGCCCCACATTCGACACCATAATAGCCAAGACAAATGCCAACGCCGCCGGCGACGCTCTGGACGGCCCTGATCTCGACGATGACGGGCCGCTGGACACGGCCCTCAACGCCAGCGCGGGCAGGGAGCGCATGGAAAACGACATCAAGACGGGCGGCGTCCAGCGCCGGGGCGACCGCGATGACCCCAGCGCAGCCGTCTTCGGAGAAGCCTGGGAGGCGAAGAAGGAGCGCATCCGCAAGTCTTCCCCCTACGGCTGGATGAAGAACTGGGACTTGGTCAGCGTGATTGTGAAGACGGGCGCAGACTTGCGGCAGGAGGCGTTTGCCTGCCAGCTCATCAGCGTCTTTCACAGGATCTGGGTCGATGCCGGCGTCAATGTGTGGGTCAAGCTGATGCGCATCCTTGTGACGGGAGAGTCGTCGGGGCTCATCGAGACCATCACCAATGGCGTCTCGCTGCACTCGCTGAAGCGGAGCCTGACGCTGGCCTCGGTCGAATCTGGCCAGAACCCGCGGCAACGCATCGCCACGCTCAGGGACCATTTCCTCAAGGCCTTTGGCCAGCCGGACAGCAAGCCGTACAGGGCCGGCGTGGATGCCTTTAAGCGTTCGCTGGCGGCGTATAGCATCTTGTCGTACATCCTGCAGCTCAAGGACCGCCACAATGGAAACGTCCTCATCGATAGCGAAGGCCACATCATCCATATAGATTTTGGCTTCATGCTATCCAACTCCCCCGGCTCGGTCGGGTTCGAGGCGGCCCCCTTTAAGCTGACGCAGGAGTATGTGGACGTGCTGGGTGGCATAGGGTCTGTCGACTTTGACGACTACAAGAAATTGTGCAAGCAAGCGTTTCAAGGTGAGTTTGAAGATCCGGTGCGCAGATGCAAGTGACGATCTGACCAAGCGAGCAGCCCTTCGCCGGTCCGCAGACAACATCATCGACCTGGTTGCGATGATGGGTCGCGACTCCAAGATGCCCTGCTTCTCGGTGGGCGTGTCGCACGCCACGAGTACTCTACGGCAACGATTCCAGCTGCATCTCAGTGCCGTGGAGGCGGAGCAGTTCGTCGAGACGGATCTCGTTGCGAAGTCGTATGGAAGCTACTACACGCGACTGTAAGTCCCTCCATCTCGGGCCCTTTCGGCACCGCCACGGCTATCCGTCCGACTTACGCGCTTCTTCAGCTACGACACCTTCCAATATCGAACGCAAGGCATATACTAGGGGCGGGGCACTCGGCGGGTCGAATTTCCAGAGCGCAGCCATTTTGAACATGATGCGCGAGAGTCACGAAAGGTAACGATGGGGGAAAGTGGGCATGCAGAAGCATCGGGGACTCGGAGACTTTACTTTTGCTTTCTGCAGCGGCGTCTGCGCAGGGTTAGACTTGAGGGCGAGCCGCCAATCTAGGAAGGGCGCCGGAGGAGATGCCGTGCGCGGGAAAGAGGGGGAGCGTTGATGGGGAAACTGGATATCGCAAGTGTTCAGTAATGTAGTTACGGAAAACATGAGGCCTCCTAGATGATGCCATGTAGATGCGTGTTATGAAGACAACACAAATTATGAAACTTGTGAAGCATGGACTAGCGGGAGGGCGGTTGGCGGCGGGGAATGATTGGGGAGTTAAATGATTCGTTTGCAAACTGAAGTACCATATGCGGCTTTAGAAACAGTTATGGAGCAGACGTCAGTCTTCAACATGATGATTCCGCAACGTGAAAGGGGTTGACTGGTGTTGCATGCAAGGTATAGGGTAGGCTCGGTGCTCCGTGCATCCAGGTGATGACTAAGCACGATGCCTCGGATTAAGGCCATTAACTTAACTTGGTTGAGGCACGCCTTCGCCAACACTCTGGATTTCAATCTTGAGAGATCCAGGCCAAGCATCGCCGGCCACCCTCAGTCCCGACGCCTCCTCTCACGACAGCGCCGAGATGACGACCGCCCACAGACCTACGTTTGATCCCGTGAGCAACCCCAGCCGCCGCGCCCTTGCCTGCCCCCGTCAGCCTTACGTACTGACACGGAACGCATTTGTAGGCCCGAGGCAAAGACGCCCTCCGCGGCCCAGCCTACCACCAGCGACTCCTCCCCGCGCACAAACAGCTCAAGTACCGCAAGCCGGGCCAGGGCGGCGACGCCGGCGACCAGCCGGAGCGCGACCTCGCCGCCGAGCTCCTCGCCGCCGAGGCCGCCCACTTTGCCAAGAAGAACGGCGGCAGCGGCGCGCTGCTCGACGCCGCCGTGGGCAATGACGATGGCCGGGACTCGGATGGCGACGTGGCCGGCATGGCGCCCCATGGATCCAAGAGGCCGCTGCCCGAGGGTCGGGACGGCGACGGGGATCCGGAGGCGAAGCGGCGTCGCATATTGGAAGAGTCGAGAGAGCTGGATGCGGATGACGAGAGCGATGCGGATGAGGATGATGAGGATAGTGATGAGGATAGCGACGAGGATGACGAGGATGCCGAGCTGCAGCGGGAACTGGAGCGGGTGCGGCGGGAGCGGGAGGAGAAGAAGAAGCAAGAGGTAGGCGCAACTCTCTGCCGGGCGATTCCGTCTCTCCCTTTCTCCTCCCCCACCCCTCGGAGATGCGGACCAAAACAGCAACGACAAAGAGTGTGTGTGAGAGAGAGAGAGCACGCGCTGACAGGGCCCCTTGCAGGAAGCAGTTCGCGCCCAAGAAGAGCAGGAGGCCCGCGAGCGCGACATTGCCCTCGGCAACCCGCTGCTCAACAAGCAGGACTTTTCCATGAAGCGCCGCTGGGACGACGACGTCGTCTTCAAGAACCAGGCGCGCGGCACCGAGGACAAGGGCAAGAAGAAGGAGTTTGTCAATGTGAGCTCGCAAACCCCCCCCCCCCCCAAAAAAAAGGTCCTTTCACACTCCCTGCGTTATTACCCTTGCATGGTTGGCTGGTGGCTGACCAAATCGCCGATAGGATTTGTTGCGGTCCGACTTCCACAGGCGGTTCATGGGCAAATACGTCCGGTGACCTGATGCCCTTGGAGGGAGGGAGGGCGAGGAGTTTTCGTTCTGCATTGTATGGATGGATAGAGAGCATCATATAAACTCATGGCATTGATACCCCCTTTTCTGAAAACGCCCCCGAAGCTGCTGTTGCCCACCTTTCCTCCCTCTCCCCCCCCGAGAACACTTATTCAAAAAAAAAATCGGCGTGTCTACGATCCGCCGCATCTCGCTACGCGTTCTTCTCATCGGCCAGCAACCTCTGTTCCATCTCCTCAAACGCGCCCAGCACCCGGCCGTACGCGCGGTACGTGTCCGGGCGAAATCCGTCGCCAACCCTCTCGACAGCGCCCTCCTCGCTCCAGCGCGCCGCGACGAGGTCGTCAAACGTCTGGCCGGGCGCGCGCTCGGACGCCCACAGGGCCTTGTAGGCGCCGCCTAGGGCGCACGCGCTGCCGCCGACGTCGAGGCGGTAGACGCCGTCGGCGCCGCCAAGCACGTCGCCGAGGACGCGCGCAATGGCCGGGTTGAGGGTCCCGCCGCCGACGAGGTAGATGCGGCGAGGCTGGGCGGGGAGGGAGTCGCGTGGGGGGTGCACGAGGTTGCGCGCGCGTAGGCGCATCGAGAGGGCCTGCGACTCGGTGATGATGCGCGCGTCGGTGGCGCGCGGCCACGGGTTGGCGGCGGGGGCGAGGGCGCTGCCATCGGGGTTGCAGGTGAAGCGCCATGTGCCGGCGCGGATGTTGGGCACCGTCTCGCGCAGGCAAAAGTACAGGCCCATCTTGGCCCTGGCGCCGGGCTCGGCCATGTCGAGCGGCGGCGTGTCCAGGACGGCCCTGTTGAAGGCGTCCCACTCGCTTCCTGGTTGCTGTTTCTGCTGATTTTCGGTGTTGCCGTCGTCGCGGGGCATCTCGTCCCGGACCTTTTCGCGAGCGAGGCCGCCGTTTTTGTAGCAGAGCATAAACATATAGTGGCCGGCGGTGGTCGGGTGGTTGAAGAAGTGGTAGGAGCCGTCGGGCCGGTAGGTAGGTGTGTTCATGAGAAAGGTGGTCGAGGTGCCGAGCGAGACGATGGCGTCGAGGGGCCGCAGGGGCAGGGCGAGGATGGTGGCCGGGTTGTCGCCGGTAAAGGGCACGACCTGGCATTCACGGCTGAAGCCGTAGCGGGCGACAAAGTAGGGCGAGAGGGCGCCGAGGGAGGCGCCGCCGTCCATGATGGGCTCGCCAAGCTTGGCACGCAGCTCTTCGGCTCCGTCGCGGCCGCCGGCGGCCAGGGCGAGAAGCTCGTCGCTGTAGCGCTGGGCCGCCATGTCCCACAGGTTCATGCCGCACACGTCGCTGACATCGAGGGGGGCGAGGGCGCCGCGCAGGACCGAGGCGAGCCACGAGGAGACGAGGGAGATGCGGGCCGTGCTGGCGTACATGTCGGGGAGGATGCGGCGCAGGCGCATGATTTGCGGGCCCGTGAACCTCTGCGCCGTGAGGTCAGTCATACATGATCATCGGGGGCACGACAAGGCACTCACGTGGTGCGCGCCGCTGCCCGTCACTTCGGCCAGGCTCTGCCGCCCGCCGAGAGCGGCGTCAAAGGCATCGCACTCGGCCTGGGTACTCTGGTCCTGCCAGTTGGGGGACCACTCGTGCGCCAGGGCAGCAGGCAGTTGGTCGACGAGGGGCCGGGCGGCATCGAGAGCAGCGAGGCAAGCCTCGGCGCGGGTGTTCCAGAAGACGCTGCCGTGCTGCTGGCCGGCGCCGCCGATGGCGCGGATGCGGGCCATCATGTCGGGCGAGGGCGCCGTGGCTCGCAGGCGGGCGAGGACGAGGTCGAGGGCCTCGAGCCACATGGCAACGGGGGCGACGACCTCACCCGCGGCGTCGCGCACGTGGACGCCCTTGCGGATGCCATAGCGGGCTCCAAAGTCGTCGTCGAATTCGACTTTTGCCTGGGCGACCGTCTTGAGGTCCGAGTCGACGACGATGGCTGGATTCGGGGCGGAGGGTCCGCGGGAGGTGGTAATACTTGCGCGTGAGCAAGCGGGCGCACGGAACAAGGCGAGGCCAATCAACTTCAAGGGAGGGGGAGAGGATGAAGGAGAGCTGTTGGGATCTTGGAGCGTGCAAGCATGCAGGATCACGTACCCTTGAGCTGCTGCGTCGAGAGGTCGAGGCCGAGATACAGCGGGCCGTCCGAAGTCGACATGGCGAGCTTGGTGATGAATTGGAGGAAAATATGAGGAAGAAGACCAACCGCGCTTCAGGAACGTGATACAGAATGGAGTCCAACCGACAAGTGGTGGGAAGAAAGGATGAAGATGGTCGGTCAACTTTGACTGCCCCAATGACATCACGTCTAGGTATTTCACTGGTACGTACTCGGTACCCACTACGAAGCGGCGTCGAGGCAAACCGCAGCTCGTCCATTTCCAATCCCACGTCCAGCATGACGGAGCACGGCTGTTGCGCCAAGCTAAGTACAAGTAGTGATATAGGTGATGGCCAGCCGAGCTGACTGACAGCCAGATACAAGGCAACAGAGAATAGGACGCTGTAGCGCTAGTGCCTGTGGTCGTGCCCCGTCGTCGTCGTCGTGCCTTTTTCCTCAACCGCCGCGCCATTCTCCTTGGGCTCCGGATCCGCCTCGACGTGGACCGAACCCGGGATGAACTCGTCGAATCTCTCGCCGACGACCCCGTCCCGCGACACGAAGCGCACGCGCACGCGCCGCACGCCCCGGACCTTGCCGCCCACCTGCGTCCGCACCTGGTCCTCGAGCGTCCGCATCTCGTCGACGGTCCACCCGCCGGGCACCGCCATCTCCAGGTCCACCAGGTAGTTTTGGCCCGACTTGACGCCGCTGACGTCGCGCAGCTCGGCCTCGTGGCCCTCGACGATGTTGCTCAGCGCCCGGTGTGCCTGCTTCCGGACCGAGCCCTTGACCTCGTCGTCGATGCTCTGGTCGGCCAGCTCGTACAGGGCCGACTTTGTGTTCTGCAGCCCGGCATTGACCACCATGATGGAGATGAGCAGCCCGCCCACGGGGTCCAGCCAGGCCGCGCTTTCCAAGACGTTGGCGCCAAGGATAGCCGCCAGTGTGACGATGCCCGTCAGACTGTCGACCCGGTGATGCACCGCGTTGGACGCCAGCACCGACGACCTGCGCTCCCGCGCAACCTTCATGGCTGCAGGAGAGAACTGGGTCAGTGCCTGGGATCAAGGGGTCGACAAGCAAGGGGGGGGGGACGTACTGGCATGATACAGCCATTCCTTGACGAGGATGGTGCCGGCGGCCAGCCAGGCGGCATGGATGCTGGGGATGCCGAGGCTGGCGGCGCTGTGGGAATGGCTGTGGCCGTGGCCGTGGCCGACGTGCTCGAGCAGCTCGCGGGCAGCCTCGGGGTTGAAGTGGCCAAAGAGACTGAGGGCACTCTCCCATCCCATGTAAAAGCCGCCAAAGAGCAGCATGCCCGAGACGCCGAGGGAGCCGAGGCTCTCGACCTTGCCGAAGCCCAGGGGGAAGCGGTCCGAGGGCGGCTTGAGGCTCCAGGAGATGGTGGCGAGGGTCAGGATGTCGGAGGCGAGGTCGGCGATGCTGTGCCAGGCGTCGGCCGTCATGGCCTTTGAATTAAAGGCCCAACCGCCAATGAACTTTGCGACGGCCATGCCGAGGTTGGAGAGGAGGCCGATGCGGGTGATGCGGACCCCCGAGTCGTTTTTGTTTGCCGAGATGAGGTACGAGTTGTCATGGTGGTGGTGGTGGTGGCCGTGGCCGTGGCCGTGGCCGCCGTGGGCGCGAGTCTGCTGCGATGCGGAGCCCATGATAATGGTTGCGGGCAGCGAACGTAGACGGCGGCGGACGGGGGCGAGGTCGACGAGGACGCAGCGGGCGGTCGCGACGATGACGGCGGCGTCGTGACGGAGGCGACTGCGGTGCTGCAGGAGGTGCTTTTGAAGCCTGGGGTGATGGTTGTAATGCTGCTGACTACGGGGCTGGTGCGCTAGGGGAGACGAGGAATGGGGCGAGGCGGAGGAAAAGGACAGCTGGAAGGGTAGTGAGACGGAGGCATGGGAGGGTGCGTTGCAGGCGGTGGCTGACGAGAGCCGCTGGGGGTGGTGCTGCAGCGGACCGGGAAGCTGGTGCTGTAGCGGACCTGAAGGCTGGTGATGGCTCTGGCCATCAGCTGCCGGCGGTGGCCCGGGTGGTACAGCAAGGGGCGGCAGCTGCTGCTGGGCCGCCGTGCTAGTAGTGTCCGTAGTAGCGGATGCTAACGCTGCTGCTGCTGCTAGCGCGGGGGTCACTGCTGACACACCGGCGGGAGCTGCTGACGACGACGACGCGGCCGAGGCCGACGTGGGCGCCGACGCAGACGCCGCGCGCCGGGGCCGCTGAGACGTCGTCGTCGCCGTCGTCGCCGCCGTCCCCATTAGCACGAGCGCGGGGAGCGGCGCAGGGCCTCGCAGCGGTGCCGAGCGTGACGCGGCGGCGGCGACGGCGGCGGGCGTCGCCCCGGACACGCACCACATCTGAAGGAGCAGGAGGAGGAGGGGGGAGAGGACGAGGAGGGACCGACGGCGGCCAGAGAGGGCGGAGCAGGCTTAGTATACGAGGATTGAATGTGTATGCATGTAGTGCTGCTGCGTCCTGATAGGTTCTGTACTCGGGCGCTGGTAACTCAGGTTACGTGGTGATGTTTGCGGGATGTAGGAAAAGCTGGCGTATGAGCGAGCGAGCCTCGGACGAAGCGCGGGGAGGACCGGTCGACCGACGAATGGGAGAGAGGGGGAACCGGAGTTTAGCGCATCATGGTAGCAAGGGCTTGAAGGAGTACTGTAAGTACTGTAGAGGAGAAGGGGAACAAGCGGGAGACGGCGGTCGGATCTCTTCGCCGGGCTGTGACTCTTGAAGAACCGCCGCTGAGCCACAGCACCTCTTCCAGCTGCTTACAGCGGGCTTGGCCCGTGCCGCTTTTGCCCAGAAAAAAAGGTAAGGCATTGGCTGGGACTATGCCGAATCGGGTGCGCCGCCCGCTACCTTGCTCCGTGCTGAGATCCCCGTACGGAGCTGTGTACTCCCATGTTGTGAGTTGAATGCTCGTCATCCCTCTTCGTCATCAAGTCAACTGGCCTTTGACGACTGACGACTGACGACCAACCTCGTTTCTCTCCCAGCATCAACGCGCGCACACACACTCGAGTTTACAAGTACGGGTCTCGGATACACGCATTGCAGCCACATATCGGCATTATCCTAGCCTCTCTTCCCGAATCGAACCCGTCAAGTCGCAGCATCAGCAGACCTCTCACGACAACTTCTCTCTCGCGCTCTCTCTCTTACATGCAGCTTCCCTAACTGCTGCTCCCTGACCGCAGCTCCAATGCGCAAACCGCTCATGCGCATTCCCTATACCGACGTCCTGGCCCCGCCCACCCTCGTCCCCGCCTCGGCCGCCTCCCTTCCCGGAGCCCTCGCCGCCCTCGCCAACTTCCTCGCCGCCCCGTCCCCCCGTGGCCTCCCCCCCTCGGCCGTCGTCCTCTCCGGCGCCGGCCTCTCCGTCGCCTCGGGCCTCGCCGACTACCGCGGCGTCAAGGGCACCTACAGGGTCAACAAGTCCTACCGCCCCATCTACTATGCAGAGTTTCTCGACAGCCACGAGACCCGCAAGAGATACTGGGCCCGCAGCTTCCTCGGCTGGTCCAGCCTTCACAAGGCCGAGCCAAACGCCGGCCATTACGCCCTCAGGGACCTTGGCGACTTGGGCCTGATCCGGAGCGTCATCACTCAAAACGTCGATTCCTTCCATCCACAGGCCCACCCCCGGCTACCCTCCCTCGAGCTGCACGGCTACCTGAGGTCCACCGTCTGCACCTCCTGCCGCGGCGAGTTTTCCCGCGACCAGTTCCAAGACCGCCTGGCCCGCCTCAACCCTCGTTGGGCCCAGCTCCTGCAGCAGGCTCTCGCATCCGGCGCTCTCGACACCGAGGATCCTGCCCAGCGCCGCTTCAAGGGCCTCAAGTCCAACCCCGACGGCGACGTCGACTTGCCCGAGGCCCCATACACCACCTTTAGGTACCCCCCCTGCCCCCGGTGCTTGGCGAATCCCCCGGCGAGACCCAACGGCCAACCGCATACCGTCCAGGTCGACTCCGACGGCGCCTGGGCCTGTCCCAGCACGGCAGGCATCCTCAAGCCCGCCGTCGTCATGTTCGGCGAGAGCATCGCCGCTTCCGTCAAGACGGCCGCCGAGGAGGCCATCGACGGCGCCGGCAAACTGCTCGTTCTCGGCACGTCGCTCGCAACGTATTCGGCGTGGAGGCTGGCCAAGCGGGCCAAGGACAGAGGCATGTCCATTGCCATTATAAACATGGGCGGTGTGAGGGGAGAGGACCACTTCTTCACCGACCTGAGTCCAGGTCAATCTGGCGAGCAGGCCGTTAGAGTCGAGTTTGCGACGGACCAGCTTTTACCCGCTCTCGTCTCTGAGCTGCGCATGGGCGCCGCAACGGCCACCGGTGACGGACCCATTACCGACGCCCCGCGCGAAAATGCCTTCAAGGATATGCTGTCCTGATATAACCTGCAAGAATACACACGCAAGTCAAGTGCGAAATCAAGTCGCCAAATGTATAAAAATTAGAAGAAACTGCCGAGACTAGCCGTCTTCGTTTTCGAGGGCTGCGGCTCGGATGTAGCCGCTTGCGGGTCGGTCTTGATCTCGCGCGACTCCGATGATGGCTTCTCCTGTTTCTGGGGCTTGCGCATGGCTTCGTCTTGTTCAATGGCCTGCAACACTTTGACCGCTGTTAGCAGCCGAGTCTCTCCGCCGAGCGCGCAACTTACTCTCTTCCCAGTCCGCCTCTCTCTGGGCATCGCCAGTGCCCAGTACCTTCTCAACATCCACCTCTTCGCCATTGCGTATCTTCTCGACCACGTCGCGCAACAGTCCGATGCGCACGGCCGACTGGCGCGTGTGCTGGTCCATCTGCTTGCGCAGGGTAATCATCTGGATGGACATGGAGCCGATAAAGAGGAACATGACGATAAAATATGTCGCCGGGTTCCACTCCTTTGGTCTGCCTTGCGCCCTGGCCTTGCGGTTCTCCTTGCGCAGCGGCTTTGGTATCAGGGATTTCCAGAAGCCCGTGTCGGCGATGGTCGCGGGGGTGGCGCTTGAAGAGTGGCGAAGCCCGATGCGTGGGCGAAGCAGAGGGTTCGAAGCAGAGGCCCGCATCAGGCCGCGCATCCTGACGGCACATCGTGGCGATGCCATGTTGTGTGCGTTTTTGTTGACCGTCTCCTTTCTTCCGCCAGCGATTTTCAGCCAGAGGCGTTGAGTTCAGGCGGATCGAGTCAGCGATTGATTGGTTGCCTGCTCAGGAAGCCGGTTGCCCCTGACAACGCCCGATGTTTAGCCCCCACCCTTTCAACGGCCGTCTCCTGCACGTCACGGTCCTTCACGTTCCCACTACACAGCATTTTGCATCTGCATGGCGCATTGCGATTCATTTGTTTTCTTTGGTTTTTATACCACTCTTAGAGGTTCTCTTACGTTGGACGGTTCTCTACGGCGACGACATGATTAAGAGACTCCGCGCTTAACCCCTTCATGGCTTCCGTACAAGCAAAAGTCGACGCCGCAAAGGCGGCCGTGTCGTCAACATCGACATGCACGCCTGCGACCGTCGTCACCTTTAAGGAGCTACTGCTCCCCGAGCCCGAGCCCAAAGCCAAGCAGACCGTCAGAGCAGCCAGGACAACCGCGACCGCGAAACTGAAACCCGGCGCAGCTCCCAAGAAGACGACCGGCGGCGAGCTGCTGGGCGCGCGCGAGAGGACTGTCCTGGCCACGCATGTCATCAATGCGGCCCTCAAGTCCCTCGCCGGGGCGGCCAAGCCTCAGCCCCCGGCCACCCCTTCCAAGCACGGCGACAAGCTCCGACAATCGGCCGGGAGGCGGTCGCTCCGACGATCCACCTCGGCGCCCTTGTCGCCCCTGCAGCCGAGGACGCTCAACCGAGTGGCCTCGTCCCCAAACGTGTCCATCAAGGAGGCCAGGCTTTTGCCGCCCTCGCAGTCGACGGGATGTCTGGCAACGGTGGAGTGTGCACGGGTCGCCTTTGCGTGTCTTCGGTCTCTCAAGGGCCCCGTGCAGGATGGCCAGGCAGACTTTCAGCTCGAGAACGGCATGTCGGCGTTGGTGGGCAGACTCCTTGCGCTGGGGCTTCACGACCAGGCCCTCAAAGAGCTGCGGATACTGAAGAGGAGACTCGACGGCTCCACGTCGACAGCGGCTAGAAACACCAAGGCGACGTCTGCCGAGAGCGGCTCTGCTGCTGTGGGCGTCGCGGACCTCGTCGAGTACGGCGGAAACATCACAAAGAAAAGCCTGGCAACAGTCACGGCTTGCCAAACACAGGTGCTCAAGCTTGTGGCTGTCACCAAGAAGCCCGCGCACGTCGAGGCGCTGCTCCCTGCCCTGCAAGAGTCGAATCCGTCTTCACCCATCAACCTCCTCTCGCGGCTGGCCAGTGCGGGCGACAAGGAAGCCGCCAAAACGGCGCGCCAGATGGCATCGCTCTCGCAAATCATCCTCTCCCTCGTGCCGAGCGTCTCGAGCGCCGAGGACGCCGTGGCCTCGGAACCCCGACTTAGCCCGGACCCCACCGTCGTCTTCCAACTACAGGCCCTTGCTTTCAGGATGCAGATGAGATGGTGGAGTCTGGCCGGGCACCAGGGTAGTATCGACGACGAGATACTGTCCCCCTTCACGCGCTGCATGCGAGCCTTTGTCCGTCGTCAAAAGTCGGACGAGAGGCTGGTCTACCGCACACTGACGTCGGGCTTTGAAGGCATCATGGAGATCGTTCGCTCGGGAAACCATCAGCCCGCAACGTCGTCCAAATCCCCCTTATCCTCCATCTACCAGGTTCTTGGGTCGACTGCACACGCGGCGCGGCACTACGACGACGCATATAGCTGGCTCCAGCGCCTCAAAGGCTGCCTGTGTACCGAAACCGATTCCTTTGTTCGCATCTGCTCCGTCTCGGCTCGGATCTTGGCCGCGGCCCTCAAGAAATCGGATCTCGAATCCGATGTCGAACAGCTCATAGGCCATGTCGTTGCCGGTCTGGACGGAAGCCTCAGCGGAACTGTCTCAGAGCTTAACGAGCTGCTCGAGGGTCTCTCAGCCGCCAGGCGCGCCGTCGTCGGTCTGCTCAAGATCGTCCTGGATCCTGGATCGCCGGCAAAGCCCATCCCTGAACATATTGTCACCGTCTCAAAGGACTTCATCCTCCGGTTCCCACGGTTTGTGCGCCGCTGGGTAGGGTCTCCCCCGGGGAAAGACGCCAGCACGAAGCAGGTGCTCCAGTTCGACCAGCGGAGGCAAACGGTAATGCAGTCGATTGGTCAGGTCCTGGATGCGGCTTTAATGGTTCTCAAGTGCGATATCCAGGCCAGCTCGAGCGAGTGGCAGCTCATGGACGACGTCTTGCAGCACTGCGCCGCCCTGCTGGAGTCCATATCCAACCCTGCCATGTCGGCGGCCAAGGCGGAGCAGTTGGGCGTCTACCACGTCAAGATCTCGAGCCTCTACTTTTCCAAGTTCCTGGAGTTGCGCAAAGTGCCCAACCGGTCCAGGGACATCAATAAACGGCTCCTCCAGGCTCTCAGCCGGTCCATCGACGCAGTGAAGGATAGACCGCTTGCGGAACGGGAAAAGGCCCAGCTGTCGACGAAACTGGAGCTCTTTGCCGACCTCTGCCGGGAAATGGGAAGAGCTGAAGACGCCGTCCGCACGCTACGGTCCATCTGCACCGGCATGGCTGAGGACGGCGTCTTGTCGGACGTCGCGGCAGCCCTGGCGAAGCAGCCTCCCGCCCTGGCATGGACCATGACGGAAAAGGCCTCGTCGCTGTCCCGGACGCTACGCTCGATCGCCAAGCTTGACCGCTCGTGCAACGACTGGACCTTTTTCTTGCCCGAGACGGAGCGCGCCGCCGTGCTAGAACACCTGGTGCACCTCAGCGCTGGCAGTTCCTACTCGCCCTTGCAGCCCCTGCGGCTTCACGACCCTGGCCTGGCAGCGCTGCTGCGGATATATGCTCCAGACAAGTATCCCGTACGCCGGTTGCGCGTTCTTCTTCACATTTCCTATCAGAATATCGGGGAGGAGGCTGGGCTGGACGAGCTCGAGTCGCAGCTCGATCAGGCCCTGCAGCAGCTTCAGCGCAAGGACAAGGCAGAGGACGCCGCCCTATGTCATTTTATCCCGCACTTAGAAGCATACTATGCCTTGATATCGGCAGTGGCCGACAGTGAGACGCAGCTTCCCATCTCGGCGGTCAGGAGCTCCATTTCCTCCTGGAAGATCATGACGGAGGCCTGCCAGACGAGAGACGACCTATACGCAGTCATCGACAACCCGGAAGGCCTGCTCGACCAGCTGCTGTCGCTGAACCAACTAGCGGGTCTCAAAGGCGACAATACGCTGCAGCTTTCCATCTCGGAACTCTCCATCACCCTGGCCAAGGCGATTAGCGGGCCGTCGGCCGCAGGATCGGCTGGCGATAGCTTGGTCCTCAGCCATAGCCAGCTGGCTGCTCGATACGTCAGCATCGGCAGCTACACGCAGGCCATGGAGACGCTGGAGTGGACCAGGTCACTCGTCGAGCAAAACGAGGGCATCTCGCGCGGCATTGTTGCCGACTTTTACCTTTCGCAGGCAGACTATCATACCGGTATTGGGGCGTTTGAGGAAGCGTAGGTTTTGCCGAACAAGAACGCACACGTAAAGGGGATACTGACGGTCTCTAGCCTGAAATGCTTATCGAAAGCAAACGACATTTGCAGCCAGTCGTATTCGACCTGGGCTCAGTCAAAGTCGCAGGCAACAGTGACGCTATCCATGGCGTCTTTCCTGCAGTCGACCGTCTCTCTCCAGAAGGGAGACGTCCAGGACGCGCTTGCAGCCGTCAAGTCGAGCGTCCGGATGCTATCCCATGACTGGTCGAAGCTCGAGGCGGAGGTGGTGTCGGCGAACGGTGCCAGCAGCGCCGAGACGAGCATGTCGGAAGCCAGCTCGGCCAGCATCCAGGTGAGATCGTCCCAGAGCCGGGCAAGCGGCCCTCGCTTCTGGCGCCTCGCGTCGCCGCTCCTCCGCAGCCTCCTGCACATCTCCTCGGTATACGCCCACATCGGCATGTTCCAGGAGACCGTCTACTACGCCGAGTCGGCCCGCAAGGTTGCCGAGAACACGCAGTCGCCACTCTTCATGGCGCAGGTGTCGGCGTGGATGGGCAGCGTCTACGTCAAGGCGGGCATGCGGGACAAGGCCCTCGCGGCGCACGAAGAGGCGACAAAGCACATGCCTCAGGACGCGTGCTCATGCCGTGTGCGAGTCGCGCGCCAGGTGGGGGATTTCTACAACGCCATGGGCAATGAAGAGAAGGCACGCGAGTATCTCAAGATTGCCGAGGACACGATTCACCAGTTGAGCTGCATCGACCAGGCTGCGATTGCGTCGAAGGGATGTGAAGCGGGCAAGGGAACGGCCGTGACGAAGACCAGGAGCGCGGCAGCTTCCAAGACACCGCGTGCCACGAGGACGACGAGGGCGACCAGAACCCCTGCCGCGCCTCGAACCTCAAAGCGAGGACAGCCCGCAGCCCGAGCCAAGACACCGCCCGCCCCTGGCATCCCCGAAATACCCAAAGACGTCTACCAGTCGTCACTGATGGCGGCCGTCATCCTGTCTCGGGCGGTCGGGCTCATCCACCTGGAGGACTGGTCGTCGGCACTGTCGACGCTGGAACAGCTCAAGGGGCTGCCCAAGCTGCTCGGGACCTTGTCACAGGAGCAGGTGGTGACGGCAACGTCGCTCATCGGGCACAGCATGGAGCAGATGATCTCGGACCCCGTCTTTTCGGTCGTGCAGGACTCGACTATTTCCTTTCCCGCCGTGTGTGGCGGCTCCGACAAGGGCGCGTCTGACAGGGCGGCGGCGAGCACCTCGCCCGCGAGAAAGGGCCGAAGCGACCGGAGGGTGGGCAAGGAGCGAGGCGGGCCTGCGTTCGCCGAGGCTTTGAGGCGGGCGCAGGAGCTGCTGGTGGAGGCTCACGGGTCTGCCCTCTCGGGTTCTGACAGCGGCACCGTCCATCGCATCTCGACACTGCTGCAGAGCACAATCATGCTGCTGTCGGCCACGTCGGCGGCCAAGGCCAGGCCTGGCGTGTCGTCAAGCCTCGCGACAGTGGCCGTGGACCTGGGCCGCAACATTGCATGGACACGAGAGCAAAACACGCTGAAGGTTCCCGCAACGACCAAGACTACGGGGCGAGCATGGTCGAGTCGGCGGTGCAGCCTGGACCTGGCGACGGACGCGGCCAAGTTCCAGAAGAAGTACGTTGAAGTGATTCCCAAGAAGTGGAGCGTCATCTCGCTCTCGCTCAGCGACAACCGCCACGACCTGTGCATCAGCAAGCTGCAGGCCGGGCACAGCCCGTTCATCCTGCGGCTGCCGCTGGAGCGGGCCAACTGCCGCGACGCCGACTCGGAGGTGTTTAACTTTGAGCACGGGCGCGAGGAGCTGCACGCCGTCATCAAGCTGGCCAACGAGACGAGCCACTCGGCGCGGGACTTTACGGCCAAGGGAGAGCGCAGCGCATGGTGGTCGGAGCGGGCGGCGCTGGACTCGCGGCTGCGGGAGCTCCTGACGACGATGGAGACGACGTGGCTGGGGGGGTTCCGGGGTATCTTCTCGCAGCACCAGCGGCGGGCGGAGCTGCTGGCGCGGTTCCAGAAGAGCTTCCAGCAGATCCTCGACGGGAGCCTGCCGTCGCGCAACCGGATGCGCGGCCGGAAGACGGCGGCAGTGACGCTGGACCCGCGGATCCTGGAGCTGTTCATCGGGCTCGGGGACCCGGCGGAGGCGGACAACGACTACGACGAGTCGCTCAACGACCTGCTCTACTTTGTGGTGGACGTGCTCCAGTTCCACGGGGAGCGCAACGCGTACGACGAGATCGACTTTGACGCCATGGTGGTGGAAACGTACGACGCGCTGCGCGGATACCACGGGGCGGCGCGGAGCGGCGGGGAGCGGGAGGAGGGGGCGCACACGGTGCTGGTGCTGGACAAGGCGCTGCACGAGTTTCCGTGGGAGTCGCTGCCGTGCATGGAGGGGCTGGCGGTGTCGCGGGTGCCGTCGCTGGCGTGCCTGCGGCAGCTGATGATGGAGCAGGGGGATTCCGATTCGCATGACGACGACGACGACGACGACGACGGACAGGGACAAGAACAGGGACAGGGACGGGGACGGGGACGGGGACAGGGACGGGGACAAGGCCCAGGGCAAAAGGGCCGCTACTACGTGTCGGCGGGGTCCGGGACGTTTATCCTGAACCCGTCGGCGGACCTCGACAACACGCAGGCCTTCTTCCAGGGCGCCTTTGAGCGTCGGCTGGCGTCGTGGACGGGGCTGGTGCGGCGGGCGCCGTCCGAGGCGGAGATGGAGCGGGCGCTGTCGACGTCGGACATTGTGTTGTACTTTGGGCACGGCAGCGGGGCGCAGTACATCCGGGGCCGGACGGTGCGGCGGCTGGAGCGGTGCCGGGCGGCGGCGTTCCTGATGGGGTGCAGCTCGGCGGCGCTGACGGCGGCGGGCGAGTTTGAGTGCCACGGGGCCGTGTGGAACTACATGATGGCGGGCAGCCCGGCGGTGGTGGGCACGCTGTGGGACGTGACGGACCGCGACATTGACCGGTTCGCGGGGCGGGCCTTTGAGGAATGGGGGCTGCTGCCGGGCGGGACGTTTGGGCCGGGGCACGGGGGCGGCGGCGAGGAGCGGTCGCTGGCCGAGGCGGTGGGCAGGGCGCGGGGGGCGTGTCGGTTCCGGTACCTGAACGCGGCGGCGGTGGTGGTGTATGGGATTCCCGTCTACCTGCGGGAGGGGGCTTGACTTGGAAAATGGATGGATGGATGGATGGATGGATGGATGGATGGATGGATGGATGGATGTCTTGTCTCGGCTCTGCGTGTGTCTCGAGGCTGCATGGCGACGGGCGTATTTTTTCCTTCTCTGCATGAGCCTTGCTTGGCCTTTGCTTTAGCGCTGGGTGTTGTGATGAATGCTGACGTTGTACATACAGTACATGCATGTGCGTGCGTGCAGCGATACCCAGTGGCGTGATGAATGCGATGCGATGCGATGCGAGGCGATGCGAGGCGAGGTGATGGGATGATGCATCGTGGGAAAACAAAAAAGGGGCGTCGACGGTAGGGCTGTGGGCTGGCTCGCGTCCCCCCTCCCCCTGCAATGACGCCACGTCCAGCCAGGTCCAGGTCCTGCGACGGCCAAAAAGTAATTACAGGGGGTAAGTCAATACTATTCAAGACCAAGCAGGCACGGGCGGGTTCGCCTGCGGAACGGGCAGCCGCCGCAGGCTCTGGGCCCTCCGGCGCTCGCCGAGAAGTGGGGCGTCGGCTCGGCACCTTGATGGGGCGCGTGCTCGCTAACGGCCGAATGAATGACAGACAGGCAGCGAGAAAAGTCCGAATGCCTCCTTGTTCGCTCCCTCGGCCTTGGGGCAGAAGGACCTTGCACCTTGCGCAAGACGGCCCACGATCAAATCACAGACAGCCCTTTGCCACAAGAGCCCGGCGCTTGGACTGCCCGGGCCATGCATGCTCGCCTCAGGCATTATTCGTCTCTAACCAGATTAGACTATATCAAAAGGTTTGTTCCCCGAGCCCGGTCCCTGACGGTCCGCCTCGGCCAAGGCAGCATCCCCGCCCATGTGTTCCCATGTGTTGGCCATCACCAGGGCAGGGCAGGTCAGGCACCGCTCACGCTGTGTGACTGCCCAGCCCAGCGAGTGAGTGAGTGTGGCGGTGGGTGGCATATATGTGCGCCGAGATATTGCCCTGCGGTACAAGAGTGGCAACATGTTAGTCACGGCAACGCTGTGTGTGTGGAAACCTGCATGTTTTGTGTCGACGACAGGAGATGGATGAGGTTAAACAGGTTGCACAAAACAAACAAGACCAGGCAAGTCCCGGCCGGAGACAAGATTTTTGGACCAAGGGCCGACGTTGGCCAAGGAAAGGGCTGTCTGTACTTTAAACGTCGGCCCTTTTTTCTTGCTGACATTGTTCCTCATTCGATGACGTGCAGTAATTAATATCTGGTCAAAAGAAACAGACAGTGGACAATCACGTCATAAACCCGGTTTCATTACATGCCGGGAAACAGTAAGCGAGGGTCGAGATACGAAGCAGCGGTGGAAAAAAAAAAGGGTCGAGATACAGCAAGCCTCGGCAGTCGAATCGTGGCCGTGGCAGACGTCGGCGAGCTTCCGAAACGCTAAGAAAAAAAGACATCCAGGATCTGTGTGTAAGCCGGGGCCGGCCTGCCTCTTTCTGCTGTCCGGAACTTGCCATGGCGCTAATTAAGGGAGACGAGGGGTGCTTTGTTTCTACCCGAACGAACCTTGACACGAATTCATGCACGATGGAGCAGAATGCTCCGCGCGTACTGCACCGCAGTCTTTGTGTGTGTGTGTGTGTGTGTGTGTGTGTGCAGTCTTTGTGTGTGTGCAGCCTTTGTGTGCAGTCTTGTGTGTGTGCAGCCTTTGTGTGCAGTCTTGTGTGTGTGTGTGATGGAGAATCGTCGTCGCGCCTCGGGCTGCGAGGCAAAGAAAAGAGGCGTTCGGATGCATGTGATGGCGCATTGCCTCGTTGGGAAGGGAGCAGGCGCCACCCGTGGAGCCCGTTGGACGTCTGCCGAAGCACAGGTCCAATAGCGAGACATGAGGTATCTGCGGCGGCAGGCGCGGTGGGTGTGTACATGGGGTGCCTGCACGAGTACATGCACGCTGCAGATTGCTGCGGCTGTCATGCTGCGTGATCGAAGTGTAAGTACGGAGTGAGTGCGTGCACGCCTCGAACGTGTGTCTCCACGACGGGCCATTTCCGCCGTTCCGCACGCGGCCTGGTTCCGTTTGCGTGGTTGTATTGTTGTATACGGATATAGGTAGGTAGGTACCTGGTAATTACACATGTATACTTGTACAGTACTCTGTACTTGCGAAAACAGACAATACAGTAACTTAATGAATACCTAGCTAGCTAGGTACCTACCTGTGTAGAGAGACGACCGTGAAGACGGGAGGAAGCAAAGATGAAGGGAAATACAGCACAGTACAGCAGGGCCGGGGGGGTCCATCCATGCCTTTGCGGAGTGCAGACTCCGCACGCCACATACAGATACGTACAGTAAAAGCTGGCGCCAGCCAGAGCTATTGTGTACGGCACGGTGCTGCACGTTCCCGTGCTTGTACCGCCTTTGTAGACATGGAAAGGGACCGCAGGTCGACATGCCGTCTCTGGTCCCCACGTTGCTCCCTTCAAAGAGCCCTTTAGGCTTTTCGGCGTGGCTTTGGGGGCTTGCGGACCGCTGAGAAAACCGCCCGGGCCAGTCGCTGTTGGCGCTCGTGGCCACCGGCGGCCCTTTGGCTTTTGCGCGCCGTTTGTCAGGTACGCTCGGGGTACCCTGATGGCCGGCTGTCCGCTACCTAAGGCACCTAGGTAGGCACCTAAGTTGCAGTACCTGTGAGCAGGTAGGTATTCAGTACCGCTGGAAGGAGCTGGTAATATCAAGGGTCCGCTGATTAGTAGATAATTACAGGACAAAAGATTTTCTCCAATCTTCTTGCCTAACCTATAGACCTCCATCCCTCCCTCAATGCCGCCGACAATGGACCAAGAGTGGCCAAAAGACTCTCTCGTCGCTTACACGCAGAGCACTAACTAACGAGCAGCACCGTGGAGTACCTCCTCTCACACAGGCCCTGTGCACGTGCATGGCCCTCTGCAGCGGGGCCAGGTCCAGTGACAAAGGGCGGAAAGCTTACTCGGAAATCCGTACTACAGCAACCGCAACCACCGTATAAGCTTCTTCCGCTGCGCAGTCAACCCCGGTGGTCAAAGCTCCATCCGTCCGCCACTCTCTGGGGCCTCGGCCGTCCCTTGCGCTTCAGCACCGCCACAGGCTAGCCGGTTGCTCGACAGCCAAAGGTGGGAGACGATCCATCGCAAACCGAAACAGATGCGACTGGCCACAACGGCGGGCAAAGCTACCCGCCCCTCCGGGACACACGGTTGTTGGTTAAGCTTTGCACTAGCCAGCGCGCCGCCGGCCCCGTCAGACCGGCGCCTGTCCATTGGCCATCACGCGACCGGCCAGCGTGAAACCCGCTTCAAGACGAGGAGGCGGAGGAGGAGGAGGGGGGGCGCGGGCGCACCTGGCGGACCAAGCTCCAAGGAAGGGGTGCAGGAAAGAAGAAGACGAGGACGAGGAAGGACAAGGGACGAGAAAATCAAGGGGAAAGGAACCCCCACGGACTCAACACGCCGGGAAGCGAGCGACAGAGTGCGTCTCGACGTTGGCCGCTTCTGCCCCGTGTTACGTAGATGGATGTACGGTATACGGATACATCCTATATGACAGCTATAGGATGGATACACAAGGTATTGATGTTCAATGAACCAACATCTATATCTGTTTTCCTTGCCTGTCAACTCTATTGCAGGCTCGAGTCACCCAATGTGCGACGACGTCTGCAGAAGAAGGCGCGAGTGCAGATACCTGACATCTACTTGCAACACGGTCAAGCCGAGCTCGCGCGCCCACGTCCTCTCCCAGTACCCGAGGCGGTCTTTGTGCGTCGGGCAAGGAGCCCCGTGATCGCCCTCTTGCTCCTTCCGTCTTCTCCTCTCCTCTCTCGCCTCTCTCCTCCTCGTCCGTGACTACTCCCGTATCCGGCATCATCATCACCAGCATCACCATCGCAGCACCAGCCACCACCACCACCACCATACACGAATATCCATACCTCGCAAAACGAAGGAAACCATGGTGGTGCTTCTCACACACCCCCAACCCGCATCCCCCACCCCCTCCCTCTCCAATCTCCAATCCCGCCCCTCTCCACCCTCCACGGCGAGCCTCGTCCCCTAGCAAAGTCTACGGCGGGCAGCGAGACAGCGTCGGTACCAAGGCAGAGACAGCTTTATAACGGCACGCTTAACCTCCCCATCCTTTTCCATCCATCTCTGCATCTCTGTATGTATGATAGCTCATTCTTACCTCACCTCGCCTATGCACCACCATCGTCCTCGACCCCTGTCGTCTTCTTGCTCCTCTGCCAAGGCGCCCCACCAGCCCCTCCTTCTCTTCCTCCTCCTCCTCCTCCTCCTCCTCCTCCTCCTCCTCGTCGGCCCCCCCTCGCCCGCTCACGACTATTCTCACCCACCCACACCCCACACTCCCTCGCTCTCGTCCTCTTCACCACAACCATCGCCTCGACACCGACGACCAGCGCCTCTTTCCTTGGATCCTCTGGACACCCTCCAGAGATCCCCGTATCATGACGTGGAAACTCTCGCACTGAGCCCGGCCGATTGACCCTCGCGACCCTCTTCATCGGTGACGTGCCGCCAAGCCTGCAGGCCTTGTCCGCCATCATGTCGACCGGCCCGCCTCATGTGAATCCTCATCAAGTCCGCCATGCTTATCCCGCCTCCGCCCAACCCTTCCATCACCAGCCCGACGTCGCCGGCTTACACGACGCCTCCGTCCCCGCCATGGCCGCCTCTCACTTCAACGGCTTTTCCCTTCCCTTCACCTCCTTGCCCGACCAGTCTCCTCCCCTCAGCTTCGACGACGACTATTCCCACCACAAGCAACAACAACAACGACAACACCAGCAGCATCGCCATCCCCCGGCCTCCCATGCCATGGCCGCGCCCGCCTTGCGCGCGAGCTCCGAGAACCGCAGATCGAGCCCCGGAACCTCGGACGAGAGCACCCAGGATCGCAACTCGCCCACCGCAAACTCCTTCGAAGACCCGGCCGCCGACGACTTCGCCCTCCGCGGCCGCGGCGACGGCACCGACCTCGGCGGCAGGGCCCATGACGACAAGAACGGCGCCACGCCCGCATGGAGCGAGCTCAAGACAAAGGCCGGCAAGGACCGCAAGCGCCTGCCGCTTGCCTGCATCGCATGTCGTCGCAAGAAGATACGCTGCTCGGGCGAGAAGCCCGCCTGCAAGCACTGCATGCGCTCCCGCATCCCCTGTGTCTACAAGGTCACCACCCGCAAGGCCGCGCCCCGCACCGACTACATGGCCATGCTCGACAAGCGCCTCAAGCGCATGGAGGAGCGCATCATCAAAATCGTCCCAAAGGCCGACCACGAAGGCTCCCCACCCGTCGTCCGCGCCGTCGTCAAGCCCTCAATGCCGGGTGCTGGCCCCCCCACCAGGCAGCCGGCCTCGAGGAAGCGCGGCCTCGACGAGGCCTTTGGCGCCGATCTCGAGGCTTGGGTCAAGGCCCCATCCAAGCCCAAGCTCCCCGACGTCGCCGCCGACGAATCTGCCTCCGTCGAGGTTCAAGAAGAGGAAGAGAACAAGCTCTTCCGCGAAGGTATCGACGCCTTGCCGTCCAAGGACGTCCAGGAGCACCTCGCCGAGGTCTTTTTCGAGAAGGTCTATGGCCAGGCCTATCATCTCCTCCACAAGCCGAGCTACATGCGCAAGCTGAGGTGAGCTCGCCCCCTGTCTCGGCCAACCCGAGTCCCACGTACGCTAACTCTTGTCCCAGGAACGATGCGCTGCCGCCCGTGCTGGTCCTGTCCGTCTGCGCCGTGGCAGCACGCTTCACGCCCAATCCCAAGATCAGCCCGACTCCGCGCCAGTTCCTCCGCGGAGAAGAATGGGCCTCGCGCGCTCGAGACATCTGCACCAGGAGATATGAGTGGCCCAACATCACCATCTTGACCTGCCTCCTGATCCTGGGCCTGCACGAATTCGGAACCTGCCACGGCGGTCGCAGCTGGGCGCTGGGGGGCCAGGCCATCCGCATGGCATTTGCCCTCCAGCTGCACAAGGACCTCGAGTACGATCCGCTGTGCCGCACCGCCAAGATGCCGCTGAGCTTCGTCGATCGCGAGATTCGCCGGCGAATCATGTGGGCGTGCTTCCTGATGGATCGCTTCAACTCGTCCGGGTCTGATCGGCCCATGTTTATCAAGGAAGAGTCCATCAGGATTCCGCTGCCCGTCGGCGAGAGATATTTTCAGCTCGACATGCCCGTCCAGACGGAATCTCTCGACGGCACCGCGCCCCCGCCCGACTCGTGCCAAGGGGACAGGCAGCTGGTCCCGGCGAAAGAGAACATGGGCGTGGCTGCCTTCACCATCCGATCCATAGCCATCTGGGGGCGCATCATCACCTACCTCAACCAGGGCGGCAAGGAGATGGATTCGCACCCCATGTGGAGCCCCGAGTCCGACTACGCCAAGCTCGTCAACGACATCGACACCTTTACCCGCACCCTTCCCGCGAGCTTTCAGTACACGCCGGACAATCTCGACCTGCAGATTACCGAGAAGACGGCAAGCCAGTTCCTCCTCTTGCATCTGTCGATCCAGCAGAACACGCTCTTCTTGAGTCAGGCGGGCGTGACCTTCGCCAATGGCCGGGCCGGGCTGGAGGCGCCCAGGGACTTTCTGTCCCACGTCGGCGCCCGAACCTTTACCGCCGCCAACCGGATATCGGAGATACTCAGGGACTCGGAGCAGTCCCAGTGCTGCGTCTCGGCGCCCTTTGCCGGCTACTGTGCTTTCTCCTCGACAACGATACACATCATGAGCATCTTCTCCGGCAGCCCGGCTGTCAAGGCCGCGGCCGAGGCCAACTCGGGCGTCAACATCCGGTTCCTGCGCAAGACGACGCGGTACTGGGGCATGTTTCATTGGATGGTGGAGAACATTCGCACGCAGTATCGCAACGCCATGAACGCGTCTCGGTCGGGCACGCCCAACGGCGACGGATCTGCCGCCTCTTCCATCATCCATTACGGCGACTGGTTCAGCAAATACCCACACGGTGTGTCTGACGCCGACTTCCTGGATCCCACCATTAACAAGAAGAAGGAAAAGGGCGAGGATGCCGTGCTGGAGCAAAAGCCCGAGCTGCAGTCGGTCGAGGAGTTCTTCACGACCCTGTCGCCGTCGCTGAATGCCGAGGCCAAGGATACACAGCGGGGCGGTCCGTCTAAGCGGAGGCAAATGACCAAGAGGCCGGGCGAAGCGGGCCCAGGGGCGGGTGCCAACGGCGGAGAGTCACTGAAGTCCGAGGCAGCCGCTCAACCCGTCGGTGGACGTCCTGGGGCCAGCCAAGAGGGCTCCGCTCGACAACAACCGCCGCCGCCGCCGTCGCAACCGAAAAGGCAGCAGCAGCCACAGCAGCAGCAGCTGCCGCGGAGGTTCTCGGCGTCTTTGGGTGGCCAGACGAGTGGGCCGGCTACCATCAGTCCTCTGGGCATGCCGCAGTCTCAGCCACAGTCGTACTCGTGGGTGTTGCAGCAAATCGTAAGTCTGGCGCTTCTATCTCTCCGTCCGTCTGCCTCTTGTTCCGTCTCTCCCTCTCTCTGCGTCCTCTTCACGTTCTCCTCGTGGCTTCTGCTCTGCGTTGCCATGGGCATTGGCTGCCCTGGAAACGGCACACCCCCTCCCCCTATTCAGCAGCCCCGAGTGAATCTGCTCCTATTGTCCGGGTTGATTGGCCTGGACCGAACACGTTGCTGGCCACGAGGGCTGGGCAGAGTTTTCCTGGGCAGGGTTTTCCCCTCGGAGATTTGGTTGCTGGACAAGTGGCGAGCAACAGCTGCCCCTTATCTCTGCGCGTCCCGGGCTGCCAGCTGTTGGAAAACCCTGACATCACCCCGTCCTTCTTTTTCTCGCCTGGCCACCCTCTCTTCGTCGTCCTTCATCAGCATCGTCTCTCTCTCTCTCTTGTCCCACTCCCAACCTCACGGGAAGGGGGCCCCAAGCATAAAGGAAGCACACACACACACACACACACACAAGGATATCAAAACCCACCACCGCCGCCCTCTTCTCTGCACACGCAGCGGCATTGGGGGGCCTCAAGACCCAAGCCATGCCCGAGGCAGGAGGCGAGGCCAAGTCTCCCAAGACGAGCCGCCGTCTCCGCACCGCGGACAACGAGACGCCTCCGCGGCAGGTGCGCTTCGACGAGTCGAGCAAGAAGTCGACGGCGTCGATTGCCAGCGGCAACGCCGTCGCCGAGGGCAACCAGCCGGAGAGCTTCCCTGCGCTCGGCGGTGCTGCTGCCACGGCCTGGTACACGGCCGCGGACCCGACGCGTAGCATCAGCTTTGCAGGCCAGCCGCCCGTTCACGTCAACAACGCGGGCCCCAGCATCGCCAACCCGCCGCCTCCTACGCCCTACCCTCTTCACCACCTCCACCACCTGCACCACCACCACCACAACAACCTCCACCTGCCTCACCTGCCTCACCTGCCTCACCACCCCGTCACCTTCATCGGACAGCAGCAGCATCCCGTCAACATGGCCGACTACGCCAACACCGCCGCGCCCCCCATGGGCGTCAACTTCCAGCCGCCCGTCCCGGACACCACCTTTGGGCCCATCCCGCACCTCTACGTGCCTCGCTTCGACCCGGTCCCCCAGGGCGTCCAAGTCGGTCTTCCTCCTTCCATCCACTATGTTCCCCTCGTCGCTCCTTGCCCTGCGCCGCGCATGGAGCCCTCGGCCGCCACCTTTTCCGTCTTGGTCCCCAGGACGTTTTACACGGGCGGGTATCCCTATTATGCAAGTGCCAACCGATATTTATTACCCCCTTTCGTGAGCAGTCTTGTCTCTCACCCTCTCACTCACGCTTGTTTAGTCGCCTGGCTGCAGTCGCCTTCTCTCTCGTCTCATGTCCTCGTCGCCAAGTGGCACCCGCCCGTCCCTGTCATGTCGTAGCATCGCACTTATGTTTTATCGTCTTCTTCTTATCCATCTGTCACATTCATGCCTCATCGTCGCCATCGAAAAGAATCGTCGGCTAACGTCTCCTTCTCCTCGCAGCAGCCCCAGGCCGCCCCTGTTGGCCAGCCCAACTACGTCGTCGCCCCGCAGCAGCAGGGCTTCGTCTCTCCGGGCCATCAGCAGCAGCAGCCCATCATGATCAACGGACAGGCCTACTTCCCCGCCGCTCCGGCCGCGGGCGGTGGTGTCGGCCAGCCGTTTATCGGCCCGACCATGGTGCAGGGGCCCATCCCCGTCGTCGCGCCCGGCGGCGGCGGACCGGCGGTGCCCTTCATGGCAGGTAATGGAAACAATCCCGAAGTGTCTGGCCTCGGGCGCACCCCCAACGAGGAGATGCTTCGGCAGATCCAGTTTGCGCACCAGAACAAGCTCTTTGAGCCCCAGGACTTCAAGCCCGGGGACGATGACCCCAGCCGCTTCTATTACGTTCGCGAGGTTGACGGCAACTGGACCCAGCGCAACCGCTATACTATTGACCGCATGTCGTGCCGCTGGTACGTCACCGACGAAGGATGGTTCTACGCCGTGCGTCTCCCCGACTAGCTTCGGCTCGAGGGGGGAACTTCGGCGTGCTTTTCCCAGCCCTCGGAGATATCCAGCCGTGAGTCTTGCTCCTTTACTTTCGATCCCCCCTCTTTTCTATATCATTATGTTTTTTTTCGTCGTCCCCGTTAAGTTCGACCGACGCGTTGACATGAGAGCACACGGCCCCTTGCCACAGCAAAACCCGGTGGTGGCCTCTTCGACGCCTTCCTCTCACTCCCTGTCTGGGAGGGCGCGACGACGTGGCTTTTCTGCCTGGCCTGCTCGACAATCAGGGCCTTGATCGCCCATCATGAGAGAGGGAGATGAGAGAAAATAGCAAGGTTCAAACCCCCACACACACGCTGCTTGGATTCGCCGCAAAGGCTTTGTTCGTCTTGGGCTCTAACATCCCCGGGGCAATCTAGTTTGACCGCAACTCCTGAGGCTGCCTACTGCGACGGCGCTTCCGCGACAATGAAGACGCCTAATACAACGACATGGAAGAACTTGAGGATGGAACGGACAGACAAAGGGGGTGAGGCGAAGGGAGGAGCGGAGAGAAGGAAAGGGGGAAAACCGAAAATGACAAAAACAGAGGAAGAATGGTTTTTGGTCGCTGATGATGCTTGGCATGAACAACATCTCGGCCAGAAACAGGGTACGCGACGAGAATTTTTTGCTTTGGTAGTTGGCACCTCGGGAAAATGCACATTGGTCACTCTTCATTTCGCTCGTCTTCCATGCAAACAACGTGTTGTACAAGGTATCCTCATTACGCCGGGCATCCATATCTGCCATCAAAGATTCCGATCATTGTGGAATCGGCAATGGGGGCCGGTGGCAGCCCATCCGATCGAGCCTCCCACGACTCGCGGTTCCCTGCTCTTCCGCCACGACTACCAGACCCATTCTATACATCATCTGCAACGTTTCCCCGTACACGCTCATACATCATCAACATTTCCAACGCTGCCCGGGGAAAGTAAGTCTCGAGCTTCACGCAGGCTGGTGCCGCCCCTTGTGGCGTCGTCGCCTTGCACCCGCCGGGATATTCAAGCTCGCTTTAGTGTTTGCCACGATGCCAACCATTGCAATCTGCCAGCAGATGATGCTCTTTCCAAGCCGGGAAGATGCCAGACAGAGTAGACAGCATGATCCGAGGATCCTAATGCGGAGCGCTGGCAGCACATAACTCCGGCCTTTACTTGGTTCAATGTCCACTCCGTAGACCATGGCCGTGGCAAGGTTGGTTGGAGGCGTGGGAGCGTTCACGTAGGTCGCCGCATCGGGTGTGCCTCCGTGTTGAGCACGTACTCGTCCAGGCTGATCAGGTCGGGTGGCGAGAAGATGAGATAAAAGTACTTGAGCGTCTCGGCCATCCAGAAGCTCTGGCGAACGGGAACACGCATGTTAGTCATGATGGAACCTCGCGGAGAAACATGCTAGGGGAAAAGCGATGAAAAGAAAAGAAAAGAGAAGAAAAGAAAAACTGGGACAGAAACTCACCTCCATCGAGTCCGTCTTGGTCGTCTGCCCCGTCACCGTCACGTCGGCAATGGCCGAGTTGGCGAGCTTCGTCTCTGTCGACTTCATGATGCCCTGGAACATGTCCCACGCCATGTCTTGCAGCTCGGGCTTGGCCGTGATGCGGTAGAGGACAAAGATGCTCTCTATGGCCTCGGGCCGCAGCAAGTAGCGGGCGTCGCGGGCGTTGGTGAAGCCCTTTGCGAGCTTGGCGTCGCCGTGCTTCTGCCAGCGGTCCTCGTCCCAGGGGCACGGGTCGAGCGAGGGGCAGGGCAGCAGGCTGAAGATTTCGGGCATGACGCCCGTGGGGAAGCTGGCGTAGGCCCAGCCGCAGCCGCGGGCGAGGCGCTCGCCGAGGGCGACGTGGTGGTCGATGTTGAAGAGGCGGCCGCCGAGGCCAAACATGCCTCCGACAAAGCACGTTAGGTGCTGGCTGTCGGGGATGAGCTTGTCGGCGGCGTTTGCGTGCCAGTCGCCGGCGAAGAGGACGTCCTTTTTGTCCGGCAGCATGGGGCGGAAGACGAGGTGGCTGGCGGCGGCGTCCATGGCGGCGCGGTACAGCTTCTCGTACGTGTCATCGACGCCGCCGAGCAGCGCGTGCATCTTGGGAAGGTACTCGTAGAGGGAGTCTGCGAGGGCGCCGAGGGTGAACTTGGCTTCGGTGGCGCGCTCGTTGCGGAAGTCGAGCGTCGTCGGCCACATACCCGGCAGCAGGGTCTCGTTCTGGGTCCTCTCGAGGAAGCGGGTGACGCGGTCGGCGGCGTCGTAGAACTTGGCGTCGCCGGTGAGCTGGGACAGGCGGGTGAACTCGAGGGAGAGGGAGGCGGGGGCGGCCGAGGGGTCGTTTGTGCCGGCGACCTGGTTGCCGTCGCGGGCCTCCTTGAAGTTGAGCCAGAAGCCTGGCAGGCGGTTGGGGGTGTCGAAGCCGTGGTAGAGCATCTCACCGAGCTCACGGGCCTTGGCCAGCAGGGCGGGGTCGGCGGAGAGGTCGTAGGCGCTCAGCAGGCCGCCGAGGTGGCGGATGGTGGTCTCGAAGAGGTTTGCGGCGCCGGCGGCGGTGTCGGCCCAGTCAATGGTGCAGACGGCGGCGCTGGCCTCTGCGAAGTCGTCGTCGAAGCCCATGATCCACAGCGTGTCGAGCGTGTCGACGAGGGTGGCGGCCCAGCCGCCAAAGGGGTCCCTGGAGCGGCCGGAGACGGGGGTGAGCTCGTCGCGCATCCAGGCATGCTCCTTGTAGGCATCGTAGCTGCGCTTGAAGGCGTTGCGGACGGCGGCGCGGCGGTCCTCGGCACGGGGCGAGGGCGAGGCAAAGGCGCTGGCCGGGGCCTGGACGCGGGGCAGGTTCCGGGGCCTCGCGCCGGGCAGGGGCTTGATGGAGGCGGGCGGGTAGAACTGCTTGACCTTGGCCCAGTCGAGCGTTGCGGGGACAAACTTGGGGGCCGACGAGGAAGGGAAGGGCGGCGGCGGCGACGAGGGCATCAGATGCAGGACGAGGACGAGGGCGAGGACGAGGCCAGTCAGGAGGACCAGCCGCGATATTCTGCGCGGCATGGCCATGGCGTGGATGGCGGAGCGGGACTGGGCATTTCCCAGCTCACACACTCTCTCTCACTCTCTCACTCTCTCACTCTCTCTCTCGTTTGATGCCGGGGAGGTGGAGAGCGAAAAGGAAAGAAAGGCAAATGGGAGAGGAGAGAGAGAGAGAGAGCTGGGATTAGACGATGCTTGGCCGTCGCATTGACCTCTCTGGTCTGCCTTGGAGTTGTCTAGGTAGGTACCTAACCTACCTAGGAAAGTACGTAGCTACTTACTTGTACAGATGGGCTGGCCCGCAGACGTCGATTTACAGTACGAGAGATTGGAACAAGAATTGACCGAGACCCGTCATTTCCAAAAGCAATTCAGGCCACAAGTCGAAGAAAAAGCAAGAGGCAAGGAAAAGGGGGACAATTGGTAACTTAATCGCGTGCAGGTTTGTCGGCCAAAAGAGGCGCAACCTTGGCTCCTCAAACTGACCGAGTTGCTTGCGGAGCTCTATCGTGAGTACATGGCCGGTACCTGTGCCATGCTTGCCTCCGGACGGGTCGATGAGTAAGCAGAGTCGATTCCTCCTGGATATCGCTGCAGACTGTGCAGAGTCATCAAAGGGGGCCTCGTCCATCATCTCAACTCACCGTGGATGCACGGCCGCTGCAAGCCATGGTGCCATTGCCAATACCGCCTCAGTCGCTGCCTTGCATTGCGGCTTGCGCACCTCATCCCGCCGGCGAGCTTCCCAAAGCCATGGCTTGCCTCGGGCGTCCCTACGGGGACTGTACTTCACAATCGCCATTGTTCAAACCCCAGCTGTCGACCGGAGCCATGTCGCTGCGTTACTCAACCTCGCCACACTCGCCTTCCTGGTACCTTCAGCCCTGATCTCCAAAGTGACAGGCACAGGAAAAAGCAAATCCTCGCCAGCCTGTTTCATGTCGGCCGCCTCTAAGCCCGGCCCGCCCGCTCCAATATAACGAACCAAACGCGATGAGCGACTGCGAGGCCAGGAATTAGGTAGCGTAGCGCTGACGGGCGAATGGGTTGATTTGCTGACCTGCTTTTGCAGGGCCCCTGGCTGCCCAGGTGATGGGCAGACAAACTGAACAGGAATTGCTTTCTCCCCGACGCGTGCTGCTGCTTGCCGGATTTTCTCGTCCCCTTTCTCTCGCCCCCCCCAGGCGAGTTTGCGTCTTGACAGAAGCCCCAAGGCGCTGGCGGGAAAGAGAAAGAGCGCTTCCAACTCGTTCCGCCCCCATCCAAAGATGCTTGCTCGCCTCGTGGGCTTCGGCCTGTTGGCCTCGAATCTCGCCGCCAGCTCGTCCTGTCCTCAGCAGCCCTTCCAGCTGCCAATCAAAGATGTCCAGGTCTACCCCAACGTTGCCAACTCCTTCATGACGGGCATTCCCGCCAAGATTGGCACCCCGTCTCAGGACATTGTCTTGCTTCCCTGGACGTCAGTCTGCCTTGTTCGACTCTCTTCTCTCACCCGGTGCTAAACGCTGTCGCAGAGAACTCAACAACACCTGGATCTACGACCAGCAGGTCTCGTGCGTCAAAACCGTCGTCCGGAGCGATTTCCTGTGCGACATCCGACGCGGTCGTCCCTTTGACGAGGACAAGTCCACCACCTTCCAAAAGGCCACCGACATTGTGGCAGCTGGCGGCGCCACGGTCGAGGCCAGCTACCAGGGCTCGGAAAGGGGCATCCCCAAGCTCATCGCCTCCGGCCTCGGCGGCACCGAGTCCTTTGCTCCGGGGGGGAAGGACGGTCTCAACGACTTCCCCATCGGCATCCCCCGCCTTCAGTGGGATCACGGATACACCACCCTCCACCCGCTCGGCCTCGGCTCCAACTCAACCTACCTCAACGCCCTCCGCCAGGCCGGCAGGATTGGGTCGCGCGTCTTTTCCATCTTCTGGGGCCGCGTGTGGGACGATTACCCCGTCGACGGCGCCCTCGTCGTCGGCGGCTATGATAAGGAGAAGACCATCGGGCCCAACTTTACCGCCCCCCTCGATTATGGCGATTTTGGCGACCCCTCGGGCTGCTGGACGGGCATGAAGGTTCACATCACCGATATCCAGCTCAACAACCTCGATGGCTCAGACGTCAGCCTTCTTCCGTCGAGCGCAAACATGCCCGCCTGCATCGTGCCACAGAGGCAGAGCTTGATGGAAGTTCCTCGGCCGCTGTTGCACAAGTTTGAGCGCGTCACCAGGACCAAGAGCAACGGCACCTCCTCTGGCCTGCACTGGGGTGCGCCGATATTCAGCGCGGACAACGTGTGAGTAGCGACGGGACTGGCGTAACGGAGGAACAAGACACTGACCGGCTCGTTTAAGCTTCGAGGGGGACTTGACCATTGTTCTCAGCTCAGGACTCAAGGTGCGCGTCCCAAACACCCAGTTCATCACGCCGCACCTCGACATGGATCGCAACGGCACGCGCACCCTTGACGACGACCAACTCGACCTGGTCATCACCGGCATCGAAAACCAGCCCGCCACCCTCGGCCGCTACTTCCTCACGTCGGCCTACCTCATGGTCAACCACGACGCCAAGGCCTTCACCCTCTGGCAGGCGAACCCGACGACGTCATCCAGCCTGGTCCCCGTCCTCGACGAGAAAACAGCCAAGAAGTGCGGCAACGCCAACGGGATCACACAGTCGTCCATGTCACGGACGCCGTCTGATGCCTCGAAGCCGTCGGGGGCCGTGATAGGTGGCGCCGTGGCCGGAGGCGTCGTCGCCGCGCTTCTTGGGCTGGGAACATTTTTTCTGATCCGGCGCAGGCGGCAGAACGCGGGAGGCGAGCAGGCCAGCCCGGATGGAGGCAGCGCCGTGTCAGAGCACAAGCTGGCGCAGTTTACACCGGGAGGCGCTGCGGACGCCGAGAGCTGGGCGCAGGAGATGGACGGGTCGCCTGTGACGGCGACTGAGATGTACAGCAGCAATCACGAGGTGTATGAGATGGATGCTGACGCATATGGGCACCGGGCGGTGCCTGATGACAAGGAGTGGTGACCGGCCACTTGTCAAGGGAGAGCTGCACATACCAGTACATTTGAGTAATTAAACAAAGGAAGACGATATAGATACCATTCTATAATTCATTTTGTCATTTCACCGTCAGCTCCCAAAGGGTTTCGCTGTGAAAAATATTAATCAAAATATTTCACATACTGGCGGCGGGGACCGAAGTGGAAGCAGATGCCTCAACCGAGGGCTTTCATCTATCCGACAGCCCCGTCCCATGCCATGTCATCATCATTGATTGATTCCCTTGGACCCAAACTCAACCTCGCCATTCCTTGCATGCCCGCACAATGCTTCTCATCGGGCTGACGGGATCCATCGCGACGGGCAAGTCGACCGTGTCGTCGCTGCTATCGGCGCCGCCACACTCGCTGCCCATTATCGACGCCGACGTCCTCGCGCGCAAGGTGGTCGAGCCCGGGACCAGCGGCTACCGGGCCATTATCAAGCACTTTGGGCCCAGCACGCCCGACCTCCTAGTCGAAGCATCCGACTCGATGCCGGCCGACGGGCCCGACAGCAGGGGCAGGCCGCTCAACCGCCCGGCCCTAGGCAAGCGCGTCTTTGGCGACAGCGAGGAGCGTACCAGGGACCGCGCTGTGCTCAACGGCATCGTGCACCCGGCGGTGCGCAGGGAAATGACCAAGCAGGTGTTAGGGTGCTACCTGCGCGGCCACTGGGCCGTCGTGCTCGATATCCCACTGCTATTCGAGAGCGGGCTAGACCGCTTCTGCGGTGTCACCGTCGTCGTCGCCGTCTCGGACCGCGAGACACAGCTGCAGCGGCTCATGGCACGCGACACGCACCTTAGCAGGGACGACGCCGAGCATCGCGTGCGCAGCCAAACCGACGTCGGCGTCAAGGCGACGAGGTGCGCGGCGCGCGGCGCCGGCAAGGGCGTGGTGTTGTGGAACGACGGGTCGGCGCAGGAACTGGCGGCCAGTCTCGACGAGGCCATGGCGGAGCTGCGCGCGTCGAGCCCCGAGTGGTGGTTGTGGCTTCTGCTGGCGTGTCCGCCTCTGGCAGTGGCAGTGGCCGCGTGGAGGTTCTGGCAGAACGTCGAGGTCAACAGGCAGTGGGAGAAGCAGACGCGGGGGAAGCTGTAGCCTTTGCTAGGTAGGTTGCTTGTCCTGAGCCGTGGCTCGAATCTTTCTGATGGTTTGCTGTCCAGTCGAATTATCTCTGAGGTTGGAGTCTAGGAAGCAGCAACAGCCCAGACTCAGCGGATAAAAAGGTCCGGCTCCCTACCCTCTTCGTCTCGCCGTTGCCTGGGCGCCCTCGTCCTCCCACTTTCCTAAGAAAACACTCCATTGCTTTCGTCCTACAGCTCAAGCATGGACCGTCCAGTGCAAAAGATTTCTTGATCGTCCCTTTCTGTTTTCTTTCGAGCTCATCTCGCCATTCGTTTCGCATCTCGTTTCGATCCTCTTCAACCCTGAAAGCAGAACGCGTCCTCTGACGCACAAGTCAACAAAACAACAGCCACTGACGAATCTGCAAAGGACCTCCCGCATGAGAAGCATCGAGATCAGTGCTTCAAGATGCCGCAAAGCAAAGGCCTCGGGGGAAAATACCCTTCATCCTTCTGCGAATGGGTTGTCGGCACCACCATCGAGGATGCCCTCGCCTCCCGCGCCAAGAAGAAGCCGCCCCAGCAGCAGCCCAAGCAGAGAGACATTGTCAAGATCGAAGTCACTACCGACGACGAGACGGAAGAAGATAGCCTCAAGGTCACCTATCCGCGCTCAGGCCGAACAGTAACCGCGCCGATTCCCACCGACGCTGTCATTAAGAAGGTTCGCTTTGATGTTGCGCCCAAGAAATCCGCCCTCAAGAAGACTGTAACCGTCTCGTCCGAGTCGGAGGGCGAGGTGTCAGATTCAGCCACGACGTCCAAGTCGGATGAGAACGCCAGCGAGGTAGAGAGCTCCGGGTCTTCGGCCAAGAAGCAGTCCAAGACCAAGAGGGACAAGAAGGCCCCTTCCAACTCTGGCAGTGACGCTGACTCGGAACCACATCCTACTTGCAAGTGCGCAGATTGCGTACGCGGTCGCGAGAAATTGAAAAAGCAGGCCAAGACGGACGACTCGCAGTCTTCAGCTACCGAATCCGAAGCATCCGTCTCGGAAGCAGACAGCAGCCCCAAAGCCAAGGGTCCAGTTCCCGCAAAGTCCAAGGCAAAGGGAGGCAAGAAGAGCCCTGCGAAGAGTGATGAATCGGAGGCCGACGACGAGGCTTCCGACTCTGCCAAAGATGGCCCGGCCGAGGACATGTCGGAAAAAGACACAACAAAGAAAGACTCCAATGCCCAGGGGCCCAAGCAAAAGAGCCAGAAGAAGGGTGATGATCACCAGAAAGAGGGTCAGAAGCAGGGCAAAGCCGACAAGAAAAAGGCGGCTAAGGCCGGAAAGGCAGCCGAGTCACCCCAGGTTGCAAGTGCAGCCAAAGCCGCGGACGGAACCAAAGCGGACAGGAAACAGAAGGGCAAAGCTGGCAGTGGCAAGATCAAGTCTAGCTATCCAGATGCCTTCCTGGGCCCCCACCCTTGCCGTCCACAGCTCATCGAGCCCATTCGCGCAGAAGTTGTTCAGACGGAGCGCGTCATCGAGAGGCCCCAAGACCCGCCGCCAAACGCCTATTACGATCCAGCACACGGAGTTCTTCGCCTCTATCACGGCCCAGTTTACGGCAACAGCCACGGCCATGCCTTGTACCCTCGCGGAGATGCGTCTGGTCGTCCATTGCCCATTGGCATGCCGCATCCGACGCAGAACCCCTATTTTCATGGGTTCAACCAAGCTCCTCCTCCACCACATGGCCAAGCGCACGTGCCATATACCCAAGGGATGCCACTGGAGCCTTACAACGCCATGTACCCCCCGCCCGCCTTCGATCCCAGTCACCTGAGCGGTTTCCCCCCAGGCGGCCCTCCTGCAAACTGGCAAGACGCTGGCGTGCAGACCAATGGGAATAGAGGCGCCTTCAGTATGACGGGCGCGAAAGTGGGATCTCCCTACAGCAAGCTAGGAGACAAAGGCGGAGCCAACAATGTTGCTCCGATTGGTGCCAAGGTGGGACGTTTCTCGAAGGTGTGCTTGAGCCTTGGTGCTAACGAAGCCAGGAATATCTCGAGAATCCTTATATTCCAAAGAGAATTGTATCGCAGTTTAGCAGTTATGGTGATCGACCTTCACCCAATGCCGGCCAAGGCAACGGTGCGGGCAGCGGCCAAGGTCCGGCCATGGCGAATGGCGGACTCCCGAGCAAGGACGGAGCGTGGGAAACGGAACAGCCCCCTGTCAATGGCGCACCTGGAGGCGATGCGGAGGCTGGGAATAATGCATGGGGCGCTTCAGATCAGCAACAGGGCACTTCGGGCGTGAGTGGCGATCAACAGCAGCAGTCCCAAGCGGGTCAAGAGCAGCAACTTCAGTGGGATGACCAGGCGAATAACGCCAACGGAAACACGGAATCGAACCAGGCAGCAGAATGGGACAACAGTGCGAACGACAGTGGGAATTGCAACGGATACCCGGCCGCAGATGGTGGAGGGAACCAGTGGGGAGACTCGGCGCAGACGGACAACTTGGTACCGGGCGCAAACAACAACAACACTGTCATGCCAGGCTCCTTTCCGCCAGTCACGGGACCCCCTTCCGGAGACTGGCGTGATGCAACTGCGGCGGCAAGCACCGGAGGCATGGTTGACGCCGTAGCTTGGTGATGGTCCAAAAGCTAGAATCAATGCCATGGAGAAGCGGGTTCGGCGCACTTTAGAGGGGGAGGAGGAGTGCTGCTTGGGATGAAGGGCATGAATATGGGAACGGAGAGGGTCACGGCGAGCCACAAGTCTGGAAGTTCCACGCGGTAGATGGATGGTGAAGATTCAAATGAATGAGCTTGTCCCTTGCGTTCCCAGGACGGCCCCTCGGAGCCCACACACTACTCCGGAGCCATGGACAACCGAGCTGGGATGGCAGGGCCCTCGCGCACCTATCAGCCATGTGCGTGTTTGTCACGACCCAATACGGGTCTCAAGACCCAATAAGGGTCACAGTGGGCCATAGACCAATGCGTAGGAATGAAGGTTGGGCTCACGCCCACACGCACCCATAGGCGCGCCCCCCTTATCCCTAGAAGCGGCGTTGATACTATCGCCGTATTTAGAGGCATCGAATACAGTAGTTAACTGGTAGGATACTAAGGAAGTTACTTAACGGATCCGGGTAACTATTATAAGCTACCGGATTAGCAGGGAAACCTACCCCCCCCCCGCACTTCGTGTATATATATATATATATATATATATAGTCACACCCGCGGACTCCCTCTTTCAGGCAGGACAGCGCAATCTACACCCTCTTTCTCAATGCAAAGACCCAATAACTAGTGATAGTGTTTCAGCATCTCCTTGATTGAATTACGCAGGGTCGCCGGGCAGAGGCGTTGGCCGGTTGCCTAGACAAGGATATGATGTCGAGCCAGCTGGTCTCGCTTCAGCACACAGCTCTGCAAGGCGTCGACACAGGATGGACCGTCTCCAGTGGGCTCATCTGATGACCGCGGCGGAGACCTGCATTAGGCCGTCGACGGGATCCCACATGGTGATACGCCCGGGCTGGGGAGCGTTCAAGGACGGGGCGAGAGCGGCTTTTACCCCCCGGCTGGTTTGGCGATTGGGGGACTAGGCCGTGTCAGGGGGAGGGGGGTGAGGGTGGACGACTGCGTGAGGACGATTCTGCGGTGGGTTTTGGTATTGGCGAAAGACGCTCTGGTGATGATGAACTTTGGTATTTGGGAATACGATGGGGCTGCGTCTTGCTGCAGAGTCTAGAAGATGACGAGATCGGGCCATTTCCTACGTGGACAGCCGATGGGGAAATGGAACCCCTTCACTCCATCCAGCCTGGACAAGCAACCCGTCAAAGCGGCATCAATCATTCTCCTTCCAGAAACCGACGACGACTCATGCAGGAGAACTAGACAGCCCGTTCTAGATTAAGGGCAAACTTTGCGGATACCACCATCGCTATACTCGACACGGCAAGGCGCGCGCTCTCCCTTGCTGGGGACCCCTTGTTTCTGCCGGAGACGCAGCCTCCCGAAGCGAAGCATGAAGCCCAGCCAACGGATGGAACCAATAAACGAACGGACGGCCGGGCGGATGGAACGAGTCGTTGGCCAGGCGTTTAGCGGTCCCTTGCCGACATTGCATTGCATTGTGCCCACGAGGTTCCATAAGGCACAGACGGAGGGGACAAGGACCAGTGGAAAATGCAACGGACACAAGCTGAGACGCAGGCGTCCTTTACGACCGCGGGATCCCTAGCCCTATATGTTGCGTCTCCGGGGGAGAGGGCCAACCTTGCAAGGGTTGTCATAGCCCACCACTCCGGGGCAAGCGCCTCCTACGCCTTGCAAGGCACTCGTGTCAGGCGCGGACGCATTAAGAGGGTCTGGCCAAGCAAGACATGGGCGGCCCGCCTGTTTCACAGGGGCTCCTGGCGTTGCCGCAGAGAGACAACGAAGCTGCCGGGACCCACTCGCCGCGGAGGCGACGGGGCCCGGCGATGCGAGTATATAGAACAAGGCGGATATGGTTCGACAGTGGGAGGTTGTCTGTCCCTGATCAGCAGTCATTCCTTTCAGCCCGTATTGAATACAGCGCGAGCCTAGTCAAGGCATTTTAGCAATTCGTCCATTCGTTCCAGCTGCTCGTTTCTGTTCATCTCACGCCAACACACAGAAAGTCACAAGACTCAACTCTAGCGACGATGCTGCACAAGAGCCTCGCCGCGGTGGTGCTGGGCGCCGCCGCCGTTATCACCGCCCAGAACGCCGGGCCCGGCAGCAGCAGTGGCAGCAGCAGCATGCTGTACGTGTCGTCCTATAGCGGCAAGATAACGGCGCTCGCGCTCGACAAGGGGGCTGCCAAGGCCGGCGGCGGCGGCGGCGGCGGCGGTGCGGTGCCGGCGCTCAAGACGGTCTCGCAGACGGAGCTCGGTGGCGTGCAGTCGTTCCTGGCGCTGGACGCCAAGCGCAACATCCTCTTCAGCTGCGACGAGGGGTTCCAGTCGGCCGAGGGCAACGGCACGCTGTTTGCGCTCCAGGTCGAGCAGAACGGGTCGCTGCGGGAGCTGGGCAAGCAGAAGACGCAGGCGGGGCCTGTATTTATGGGATTCTTCGGGGCCAACAACGATACCATGGCCATTCCCCATTTGTGAGTCTTTGCCTCGGTTCCCTCGAGGAGACACAATGTGCTGATGCATCTTGCGCCCTCCCCTCAGCGGCGGCAAGGCGGTATCGGTATGGAACGTCGCCGACCCGTCCAAAATGGCCGAGGTGCAGCGCGAAAACTTTGAGCTGGAAAAGCCTGGCCCCAAGCCGGCGCAGACCGAAGCCAAGCCGCACCAGGCGGCCGTCGACCCGACGCGCAAGTTCGTCGTGGCGCCGGACCTGGGTGCCGACATGCTGCGGCTGTTTGCCATTGCGCCGAGCGGCAAGGCCCAGGAGAAGCAGTCGGCGGCAGAGGCAGCCCCGTCTGCCCAGGGCGGTGGCGGTAGTTGTCTCGCGCCACAACAAGCCGCAGCCCCCGCAGCCGGCGACAACAACAGCAATGGCCAAACTGGCGCTGCCCCCCAGGCCCAAGGCGGCGGCGGCAACCAGCTGCTCAAGCCGCTGCAGCCGGTACCTGTCAAGCCCGGCAGCGGGCCGAGGCACGCCGCGTTTGCCGTCGCGGGGCCCAAGACGTACATGTACGTGGTGACGGAGCTGTCGAGCGAGATCATGGGCTTCGACGTGGCCTACTCGGGCGCCGGCGGCATGGAGCTCAAGCCGCTCTTCACCATGAAGGTGCACGGCAAGAACGAGAGCAACACGCCCGAGTTCGCAGCGGCGTCCGAGATTGCCGTTTCGGTGAGTTGCCCTTGCGCCGTCGAGGAACGAAGATGAAGCAGGTCGTCGAGCAACGACACCAAGGACCATGGCTAACCACTGGTCCAGCCCGACAATCAGTTCCTCCTCGTCGCCTCCCGCAACGAAAGCACCCTCCGCGTCCCCAACTTCGACGGCGCCGCCGCCAACAGCAACGCAGCCGACGTCGTGTCCGACTCGCTCAGCAACTACCGCATCGACCCGGCGACGGGCTCCCTCGGCGAGGTGCAGATCCGGGTGCCCAGCGGCGGCCGCTTCCCGCGCCAATTCTCCATGAGCGGCGACGGTGCCCTCGTCGCCGTCGCCAACCAGCTCGACGGCCGCGTCGTCGTCATGGAGCGCAATCCGCAGACGGGCATGCTCGGCGGCTTTGTCGGCCAGGCGCTGCTCGACGGCAACGTGACGTCGGTCGTCTTTCGGGAGTGATCTCTCTCCCCGTGCCGTCTTGTTGATTCCGAAGTCATGATGCATGCAAGTACGGAGCACGCGGTGAGAACAATGGAGAGAGGGCGTCGAGTTGATTCCTTGCCTCATGGAAAGTTCTGAAGAAAGGTCTTGTGTATATCCTGTTCAGGTACTCATTGTGAGCTGTAAGATCTTTCATTGCAGAGAGTATCCAAGGTACAGTTCTGTCGTATGGAGAGAAATCTCCAGAGTTTGTCACCAGAATGTCTATGAGAATAGGAGAGAATCCCATCATGATCTCTACATCAAGAACTGGAGCAATGATTGAATTTCCAAGAGGCCTGATCTCCTTATCCACATGAAAGGATTCAATCTTAAGATCCATCAGTCTTCTACAATAGAACCAGACACTTCCTGATCTTACTAGCCACATACGTTCGCCATCTGGTTTCGAGCTGAAGTAATGGGCATGGTCCTCGGCTTCAGATGCATCATATGCTCTAGAATTAAGATTTGAAATGGATCCAAGAGCAACATTGTCGACATATCCAGAGAGACTATCAGGACAAAATCCAGATATGAACATCTTCATCAATGCATCTGAAACATCATCATTTGAATCTCCTTCGATCATATAGACTGCAGATGTACGATTTCCTTCTGGGATCATGATATAATCATCCATCTCTGAATATTTGAAGTCTTCATACTTTCGAGTGCCTTGATAGTCGCAGTCAGAGACTACCACATCTTCGATGTATGCATTGAGAGTTATCCTAGTTCTATTTAATACAGATATAGCCATCCCTCTCCATGGACCTGAGAGATAGGACTTGAAGAGATTAAAGTCATTGTCAAGGAAATTGCATGCGACTGCGGCAAACGTATCTGGCTGAGGACTACAGAACGATTTGGATGTAGCACGAAGTATCTTACATCTTCTTCTGTTGGGAGGATCGTAGACTGGAGTTCTGGAGGCTGTATGGGTCCGTCTTGTCAAGTAGACATGAGGCTCATTTGATTGATTCTGAAATCTATCAGCGTCCAATGGACAGTGTGGACATTTGAGAATTGCAGTATGGGCCTCATCTGCAGATCTAGATTGATACTCCACATGGAGGAGCCTGGTACCACAGCCTTTACAATACATTTTGTAACTACGGTCTGTACTGCAACATAAGTTGCGTCTGATGATCAGTTTTAAGATCTCATTGTCCAAAGAAATTCCCTGACATAAGTCTAGAACTCACAGTATCGATAGAAGTAGGTTCTACAGAGTTCGAAGCTACAATGTTTGTAAGCTGTGCATAGTGATTGGCCATCACTACTTCTGTCCATCGAAGCTTTCTATCCTTGATCCCATCTCGAGTGGTAATTGGATGTCTGGACAATTCTGTCTTATAAGAGAGGAGAGCAGCAATACATTGAATTTCGGTGTCAGATACAGAGAACTCATAGTATCTTATGACTTTATCTATTGCAAGTCTACATACCTCCAGTCTTCTTTTCTCTTCAATAAAGGAAAGTACAATGGGATTATAGGATGCTTTGATATAGGTCTTGGGAATTGACGCCAGGAGATCTGGTTTACAAAGAATGTAATTGCCATCTGAACGCTTGTTAATCCACTTAGGTCTCGAGGCAGATCGTACTTGAGACTCTGTGAGCCTAGCATCAAGAATTACAAAAGTAAAGTCTCCTCCTTCAATCATTTCTGAGACCATATCGTGAGACGGCAATGATCTTTTCTTTGCATGATGAGATTCCAATGCTATCTGCTGGACACCTGCACACATTGTAGAAATACCTCTCATTGCAGAACTGCCACATCTGATGTCATTGGGATACTTACATACAAAGTCCATGCCAGTCCTGGTAGCAATGCATATTGAGTCATCATCTTTATGGATAACACATGATGCTGCTAATTTTGCAATCCTGGACATGACACCCACTACAGGCTGAGAGAGTTGCTGTGCATTTGTATCGGCCATACCTATGATAGATTCAGAGATAAAGCTTCTATTGACAGACTCTGTATCATATCTCTTCCTGAATCCTTCGATATGCTCTGAAGTAGTACGAGTCTCCTCTGCAAGTATTGGTTGCTCAGCACCAGACCTAATCTCTTCGAATGACATTGTCGTGTGATCCATGAAACTATACTGAGATGAGCCCTTGTCTGGAATCTTAGATTTAGCATAGATGTCCATAGCCTTGTCGAATTTAGGATTGGGTGTGTTTATCCAATCCATACACTCTTGGACAGATGCCTGAGAATATACTGGAAATACATGCATCTCATCACCATCATAGTCTCCATCAAATGCTTTGAGGATATATGGAGAGATCCCTAGGCACGTCTCATTCCAGAATGTTACTCGCACAGGCTGTACAGATCTGATGGATAGAGAAGGAGGCCTGATAACCAAAGCATAGTCTCCATGTTCGATGTTCCTAGACTTGTACTTTCCAGAACTCTCATCGAAGTATATTACGGACCATTTGTCGCGGAGGTATTTGGGGACTGCTACCCATTCCTTTCCCAGATCTAACTGTGGTGTGATCACCATCCTCAGACTCCCATCAACATGACAATTGAGAATACCCTTTCTCATCCTTCCGGTCTTCTTCTTCATTGAATCCAATAGGACTTCTCTAGATCTCGAGGAGTAGTATTGTCCTGGGCCCTCAAATGCAAATCTAGCGGCCTTAGACACATCATTGGTGATCACTCCAGTACTGACTGCAAGAGATTGCATAGGTAACATGTTGCCATGAGGTGTTTTACAGAGATGACCAAGACATCTACTTCCAGAATGCTCCTGGCATCCAGCTTCGTATTCTGCGATGGTAGATACTTCCATAACATCTACATTCACTATATCGATCTTAGAGTGTCCTATCTTAGTGATAATCCAAGTGTCAGATGGATCACATCCATCATATGCAAGTCGTGTGACAGTAAAAGGCTCCATACTGGCGGTATGTGTTGATGTAGCAACGGTGTTGCAATATATTCAAATATTTTAAAGATTATATCTAGAGATAGATGTCTAAACGATAGTTTTAAAATGCATACCCTTTATTTAATAAGTAATAGAATCTAGATCCAGATCTTTGGAAAAGAGTTTCTGACCTTCACAGCCATTTGCAATAATGACATCATTTGCGACGATCATATTACTGTCATCATCGTATATGTAATCAAAGAAGACAAAGAATACAAGTTCTGACTGTATGATCGACGAAGACTTATATCAACTATACCAATAACACCTCTAAGGGGGTGCCCCTATTTTGCTGGTGGTCGAGTGGTATCTGCTATGTTTGACAAGTGCATACCATGCCAGACCTTAACGTGATTGTTAAAGCTGGGAGGCGGCTAATGTCAACATCTTAATTTCGCACCGGGCCTATCATCGCTTCGAGTCTCATCCAATGAAGCGTCCCTCTAGTGTACAAATCTACCTATCCCAAAAAGCTCATGTCGATGCGCGTGTCGTAAATATGATCGTCTCTCCTCGATTCCAATCGATGGGTTCCTGTACCGACCGATGCGTCTCTCTACATGCCAAAAATGAAGTCATTGTCCAATTCCATCATGACACATGCCTGGGATAGGCGCGAGCAATATTTCCAAATGATGACTTGGCGACCTCCATCCAGTCCAATAACGCGTCCGCATATTGTCGTATTTAGTTTGATAACACAAGCAGCGTCTGCCGAGACGAGTTCGCGGCCTTCAACTCGTTGCATCGGTCCATCTCCACGTAGTGTGTGACGACTGGCAGCCGCTGCTCAAAGAATAGTGCAGCCGTTCAAAGACCTAGTTGACCGTCACAGTCAGCCACACCTGATGAAGGCATGTTTCAGTCCAGAGTCTCATCATGAAATGTCTGTGTTGGCCCTCGTTTTGCATCATCCGCTTTCTGGCGTCGGGGGGTTGCAGATAAGGGTTTTGCGGCATGTGGGAACGTCGAGGATGGTGGTTCGATTGTATCAAGGCAAAATAGAGCAGAGTAAGTCATACCATCGTACCGTCTCCATCTCTATAATCCACGAGCCGCAAATCTTGAGTCGGTCCCTCACGCTCGACGTCTCGAGTAGTCTGTATTTTTCATGATCTTTGACGGGCAGCATGCTGGCGAACCACCAGGGGAAAATGGCCGGGTCATCCGGGCAGTTGCCGTAAATGGCCAACATGCGTTCTGTGAGCCACGGCACGCTCTGGTCCCTCATGCGTGTCACGAACCCCACCGCAAACTGCATCAGGCTTTGGGTTGTCATCGTGTCCAAGTCTCCTGCCGTCTGAGGCATGCCTTCCCTAGATTGTGTCGTGGATATCGGAGAGCCGCCGGGCCGTGATGCGTCGTGGTCACGGACAAGACCTTCCGTTTGCGCATCTTCGCGCGAGTCGCCACCATCGGCATAGTAGCGACCGTCGTGGCCTTCTTCGGCGCCGACTCCGGAGTCGTAGCCGACTTCTGCCGCCTCTATAGCTTCCTCCTCTTCCAAGCTAACGTCGTCGATCCGTTCTGTCCTGCCCACTATGTACCCATCGAGCTGCCCGTAATGCCCAACGCGAAACCGAGAGAGGCCCACCGTCTCTATGAGGCTGCGGCCGTCGGGGTAGAATTGCGCGTTGACTATCCGCAGGAGTGTCCCGAGCTCGTGGAAATGGGCGTCGCCGCTGTGCCGGGGTCGTCTCGGCAAGACCATGCCAAAGGTCCTGTCCCCCTCGAGCGCTCGACGGATCATCAGGCGATATCGCGGTTCGAAAATGTGTAGAAATGTCGGCATCATGGGAAAGGACAAGGTGCAGACAAAGAGGGGGACGTCGAGGTCCTGGTGGCGTGCGGCGCGCTCGGCAGCGACGGCTTCTTGCCGGGCCATCATCTCGTCCTTCCAAAACGTCTGGATGATATTTGTGATGCGCTCGTTGGACGGGCATGAGCTGGGCTTGAGAAGCGAGTTGATGGCGAGCTTCCGGCGACATATGGGGCAATATCGTGAATGGTCCAGGATGCGATGCAGACAGGGACGGCAAAACGTGTGGCCGCATCCCGTCGTCAGAGGGTCGTGGAAGAGGGCATAGCAGATCTGGCAGTCCATCTCGGTCCGCATGACTTCTTGCACTTTGCTGAGTGCCTTGGCATCGTATTCCGCAAACGTTTCTCCGGCAGGGGGTGACGGAGATCCGAGATATACGACCCCGGCGTCAAATTTGAGCGCCCCGTCAGCCGCCAAGGTCCATGTCGCCACCAGCCTGGTGCCGCTGATGGTTCGGGGCCGATGCTCGCCGCTCTCCGAGGGCCCGATGCCAGCCTTGTCCCAGGAACCCTCGACCGCGATGCTTGTCGACTGACGTAACTCGACAGCCTCGGCCTGGTAGTGCCCCATTGCACCGCCAACAATGCTGGCCACCTTGTTGAGAATCACGTCGACGCCGCAGTCGTCGAGCACATGCTCCTTGGTGCAGTCCGGGAGAGGGCATTGGAAAGCCTGTATGCGGTTTGGCAAGGCAGGGTAGGTGATGCTGGTGCGGGCATGTGACTCTGGCAGGCACGACTTGCAGATGCTGCGGCCGCAGGGCAGGGTGACGGCATCTCTGTAGGGGACCGAACATAGACGACATTGGAAGATGCGGACAATGTCGCGGGCGTGGACGGCAGGAGGTTTCCAACTTTCCGCTGGAGGGGCTTCGGATGGGTCCATTTGGGAGCCTCGCCGTTGCGGATGAGGCGACAGCGGCGGCTCGGGCGAGGTCTGTCCATGGTCCGAGCGATTGACTCGCTGTTGGGGGCCCGCCGGGCTGCCGGGCGTGCAGGGGCTTTCGGCGGCTCGAGGGGCTTCCGGACCTGTGGACATGAACGAGTGCGCTCACCCACACTTGCCTAGCACGGGACCTGGCTAGGCAGAGATGTGCGTTGCCGTGTCCCGGTGTCAGGTCTCGGGGGACTGCTCGCCTGTGTCTGTTTGGAGAAGGGGATTGGAGGGTTGCCGCCTACCGCTGTCATGGGCGGATGAGTGCCGACGACGTAGGATATATGGTCTGATGCGTCGTCGGTCCGCAGGAACCGGCCAAGGACTCGACTGGTTGCGGGAGAAAAAGAAGAGCAAGGTTGATGAAGAATAGGGAGAGGGAGAGAGGAGCGGCGAGGAAAAGAAAAGAAGGGGCCTCTGCAAAGAGAGCGCAAGGATAAGAGTAGAGTTGGAGTAAGAGATGCAATCAGCTGGATACAGACGGGAGGGAGTCGAGTCGAATAGCGTAGGGGCAGGCAGGCAGGCAGGCAAAGCCCGTCATCAGTCCCTCTGCCGGTGGAAACTCGGGACTTACCCCAGCGGTGCTTGCAGCTCCGTACCTGCAAATACAGGGAGGAAAAAGAGATAAGAGATGTTGGTTCGGCGACTTCAATCAGCGATAACCGTGTCGGCTTGCCAGAGAATGCCGGCTGCTGAACAAGTACAGCAATGACGACGAGGTCGGACGAGGTCGAGGGTCGAGAGTCTTTGCCTCTTGGCTGCAGGGCGTTGGGCTGACGGTTGTCCTGTAGTGGGGATTTGTGGGTATCGGATGCGAGGTAAAGAGGAGGAACCGTTGGCGTCTTTTTGGCTCGCCTGTTCTCTCGCCAATGTATCTTTTTTTTCCATGTCCAGGTACCTACGGAGTAGAGAGCGAGACATCGTCATACACTCGGGCGCCGGGGCGCCGAGCCAGGCGGCTAGCCGGCAGGGCCAGCGGCGGCTCCTGCTATGCGGCCTGCTTGGTTGTCCCCCATCATCCCCCTCCCCTCATGACGACGCCATTTTGGGTGGTGGATGGATGCCATCGGTGGTGGTGGCCGATGCAATCGAGCGTCGTCTCCCGCGCACCGGGTGTATTCGTGCATGGATGCAATGTGCCGAACCGTCGTGGCCCTCTCCGCCGTGGCCCTCTCGCCGTGGAATGCGAGGCTCAAGAACCAGCTGCATGCATGTAACAATTGTACTTGCAAGGTTGAAGGTACAGTACATGTAGAAGAAGCCTTGCCGGTACGGGAGGCTTTGGGGGGCGCCTGCCTGCCTGCCTGCCTGCCCAGAAAGCAAGATGAAGCAGGCTCCTGCTGCTGCTTCTTCTCATCTCAGCGCATCCGTCCACTGGCTCTGGCTCCAAGGAAAAAAAGCTCTTCATACCCGTGGATGCTTTGAAGCTTGGCGTGAACATGCCCTTCTCTGTACATTATTAATTACATGCAGCCCAGTTCGGTCCCTCTCCGTGCGAGTCCGCCCGTCTGCCGTCTGCTCAAGAGCGATCTCCCACCGCCGGCAGCGATCCCCGGCAGCGATCCCCGGCAGCGATCCCCGGCAGTTGTACGTCATGACTCCCAAGTCTCCCATCAACGAGACCCGCCCGCTCGCCAAGCGCCGCCAGCCGAGAGTCGTTGCGTCAGTCATCCCTCGACTCGTCGCCGCATGCACTCGCCTCCGTCTCGCGATTGCGCAGACACCTCTTCCCATACCTCTCGTGATGGATGGATAGCTCGAGCAGCTACACCTACCAGGCGGGCCTCGCCCTCCGAAGACCCGCATGGCGGCGCCAGCCTCCCCAAGGCCACTGCCGACGCTATCCTCAGCTCGCTCCAACCGCACTATGTGCTGTCCTGCGCTGTCCCACGTTCTCCCACGCGTCCACCACCGGACCGTCGGGGCCCAGCCTCACCTGTCCACGAGCAACTCCCCAGCCTAGCTGAAACTTGGACTAATGGGGAAACCATCGCTGCTCTCGGACTCCTATACCACCAACCCATCGCCGAGGTGCAGCAGCCCGTTCTATACATGCAGTCTCTGGCGCCTCGTGGCGTTGCCTCCTTGCATCGCTATGTTCGTCGCAATGGCTGCTTGCCCAAGGGGGCAAAGGGCAGAAGTGCTAATAATGGACACCACAGCGTCGTCTGGAATGCATGTGCCAAGCGCCATCTGAAAACCGCGGCATCATTTTGCCCCTGGCTCGCTAACACCAGCCGACCTTTCCGAAACCTTGGGTTCGGCGCATCGTCGCCAACACCAAGCCGTACATTCTCATCAACGGGGAGCATCAAGATAATACAGAGAGAGCGCAGGATTGCTTTAGCGCACGCCTCCCCAACGACCCCTGGCCCCTGCTTTTCTACTCCACGCTAAACGTCGTCCAATGTTTCCAAAGCACACGCAGCTGCAAAACAGCACGCTCAGCATCCACACGCCCGTCTCGACCGTCTCCTGGCTCGCCAGCCCTCCCAAGACGGGGGGTGGCACCCGGCTCGCCGCCGACGAGGAAAAGTTGTGAGCGGCCGTGGCCGACGGCGACCTGGACGGTGCCGGCATCATGTCCGGGTTTACACCGAGCAGAAGCATTGACCCGGTCAGGCCGACGCAAGCCGAGAGCAGGAAGCCGGGCTTGCTGCGGTCGATGAGCCACCACAGGAGCGGGTTGACGAGGGCAAGCGTGGCCGAGAGCTGCAGGGTAGAGGCCCACGCCAGTTTGCGCTGCGCGAGGTGAGGCGTCAGTCTTGTGGTTTGCCTCGCGGGACGATGACGTGCAAGGGATTCTTACAATGGCAAAGATGATGCCGACAAAGGCGCCGATGGCCCGCATCACGAGGGCCCAGTCGGTGCCGGGCCTCTGGCCAGTGCGCGTAGCCTCGCCGTTGTCACCGACAGCATCGTCAGCTTCACTCCCGAATGCAGTTTCCCACCGCCTGTCAACCCACGGGAGCAGTGAGCCCAGGACAACGCCGGCTACCCCCCAGAAGGCGAGGTACTTCCAGCTGGCGCCGGGCTTCATGATGCCCTCGGTCAGGTCGGCGAGGTACTGCTGTTCGTTGTGAAGTCGCGTGACGAGCACGCCGTAACCGACGCCGAGGAGGAAGAGCAGCAAGGCGCGAAAGGCGCGCGAAAGGGCAACGGCGGCCCTTGAGGGAGGCCGAGTCGTTTCGACAGGTCTGTAGGAGGAGTGGCGCCGGGGGAGATGCGAGCGGTTGCGCATCAGCTCGTAAGTGGCATCGTCGACGCTGGGGCGCTTGATGGGGGTGCGGGCGCCGGTCCCCCAAGGGGTGTCGGGGTCGTCGCGATCGACAAAGGCGCGGTCGCGGCTGGAGGCGGCCTCTGAGAAGATGCCCATGAGGGTGGACGAGGTGAGGTTCATGATGGACTGGGGCCTGCTCAGCGAGGCGGCATCTGTGGGGGTGAAGCTGGCGTCGAGGTATCGGGGGGCGGACGAGGTATCTTGTTGGCCCGGGCCCAGGATGGATCCCGGGGCGTCGTGGTCGTCGTCGTAGGGAGGCGTGACGCTCATGAGGTTGATGGTGAAGGGTCGTCGAGGAACAGGGCGGGCGATTGGGGGGCTGTCGTCGTCCATGCTGGCGGTCGTCTCTGGCGGTCGTCTCTGGTGGCCGTCTCTGGTGGCCGAGTGGCGATGTGGCCGACGTGTGAGCAGCTGGCCGAGGATGGAGCGTGGAGAAGGGGGAAGACGGCGCGGCCGGTCGGCCCGGAAGGGAGGAATTGGGCGAGACGGCTTGCGAGGGCGGCTGCGGGAGTGAGGGTCGGCTGCGCTGGACGGCTGGACTGTTCGAGACGTGGCTTTGACGGCCGGTGCAAGGGACAGGATGTCTTATAAGAGGAAGACGAAGAGCAAAGATGCCAAGGGGTCGTGGGGTGCGGGTGTGCAGCCGGGGGATTCTGGGGGATGATTGCATAAGGTGGGGTGCATTGGATCGTGTTTTTCCTCCTTTGGCGCCACGGCTTTCACATGCTTGAGCGATGGCCCGTCTCACTTGTGTGCCTCGACCGGGCCAATGGAGCAGCCAGCCGTGTCTTGCTGCTGCTGAACCCTTGGTTTTTTCTTCTATTTGATTGAGGATGGGAGGGGGTCTGTTGCGCGGCTAAAGGAGGAGACGCCATCCGTTTCCCGCCCCCGGGACATGGGTGCGCGATGTGCGGCACGATACGATGCGGCAGGCGGTCGGGGAGCGCAGCCAGTGTAATAGGTTGTGTGTGTGTGTGTGTGTGTGTGTGTGTGTGCAAGCATGTAGGTTTCTGCATGGACAGTAACAGTAATGTGTGATGGCGGGAGAGAGTCCCTCTCCTTTGCCCCGTCTGCCGAAGGACGAGGATGGAGGCAGGCATGTGACGCGACGCGAGCAGACGGACGGGGTGGCGAGGCCGACGAAAAAGAGGCAGTGGGCGACTGACGGAGAGACGGACGTGCCTCGAAGGGCTGGGCCAGTGCTTTTGGATGGGCGGATGATTGGCACACGGGGTCTGCATGCCAGCAGCGGGCGCATGTTGTCGTGTGTGCACACACACACACACACACATACACATACATACACACACACATACGACGTTTTCCCCCCGCTCAGCCGTGCATCCCGTGGGGCCGTTTTTGCACGCTGGGTGGTGGCGGGAATCAGACGACGGTCATGGGACCTGGACTTTTCATGGTTCGATGAGGTGAGGTGCCTGCCGAAGCGTCGCGCTGGGGGGGGTTGAGCACCGGACACCTACCTAGTAAGTAGTAGTAATTACTGTATACTGTACGTAGTAACTACTGTAGTACTACCACATGGTGGCCAAGCGTGTCATCGTGTCTGTGCCTGTAGTGCAGATCACTATCCCCACTCACCCACCCACCCACCTAACAAAACCACGCAGACTATTAATACTCATCGGAGCTTTGCGGAGTATTAATAAGGAGGGAGATGTGGAGGGGAGCCAGCATCAAAAGCGCTAGGTAATTACTGTACAGTACGGATACGTACGATGCGACGCGCCGCTAGAGTTTGGAGTCGCTTTTTGATTACATTTTAAACTGAAGACCAATCTGGCCCCGTTGCTACTGGAGATATGGTAGATTAATGTCCGACTCGCAGCTGCGTGCAAGTCCAGCGGACCACGGGATCCGATAGAGGACCGGAAAATCCCTTAGACTCCGAGGATAGAAAGCCAAAAACGTAAGCCCTGATTAAAGAATGACCTCCCTTTGAATAACGCACACCAGCCACGCTCTGGTCCCAAACCTAGCAGTCGCTGTCGGGTCCATCGGACCCTGCCGGGGTCGGGGTGGCAGCCGGTGGGGGTGTTGGACCAGTCGAATTGAGGATCAATTCCAATTCGGACCACCGTGCACCCTCCTCCGCAGTCTTTGTATTCTTCTCCTTAGAAGAATACAGTCGACTTGGCCGATTATTGTTACAGTCAGAATATCGCACTTTGGGAGGTATTCTCCGTCCTCAGGCTTGCGCTCTTCCCATGTAGTCAAATTGACCGCTCCTGGACAGTTGTAATACCGCCTATCTTTGTTGGGATCATCTTTTTTCACATCGATAACCATTTCTTCTGCCCGGCACCAAGCTCCGGTTTCCTCAAAGAAGCCACCTCCGAAGAGACAGCCGTCGACACAGAAGTATATGCTATCGGAGAACCAGACAGTTGAAAGACCCTTGCCGAGGATCGCGTTGACCCCCGCGGCACCAAGCAGTAACGATAGGGCAAGCATGGTACTGGTGCTGTGGTGGCTTAATGAATGCGACAGTGCCGTAGTGGGAACTGTAACGTAAGTTGAAAGAGTGTAGATTTTGGTAGTGGGAACTGTAACAGAAGTTGAAAGATTGTAGATCTTGGTAGTGGCAACTCTACCAGAAGTTGAAAGAGTAATTATAGATTTGTTCTTTTTGGGGGCCGATAGAAGCTCTGACTTCTCCTCCTATTTAGGTGCTACCTATCTGGCTATACATAAAAACCAAGTACCAAGGGAGAGATTCGGCCTAATAGAAAACCGAAGAGGAGCAGTAACATACAACTGAAGAGATGACAGTTCATGCCATAGATGCGGTATTAATGCGGTAGCCAGGAAACTGGGATTGATTAATGCGCATGCTAGGTTTATAGGACATCTGCCTGGGTATCGCATATAGTAACAGCAGCCTGTTTCTTGGCACTCGAAGAGATAGGCTGTTGAAAAGACTGAGAGATTGAAGGGGCAGACTATCCGACACGCGGGTCTGCCCAGCCAGCACCCAGAAAGTGGAGAGCCTGTAGGTGCATAGGGCCGAGAATCTCTTCTGCCGCACGGCCGGCCAGCAGCCTCGACCCTCTCCGCATCCCAGAGGATCACGGGCCCCGGGGGAGACGCCCAGCCCCACGCTGGACACCGCAGCGCCACTTGGCATGCATCCCGTCGTTGCAGCAATCACACTCTCTGCTCGCACGCTGAAAGGCTATTTCATTCGCCCTCCGTGCCTGCAAAGTACTGTACACTCTTCCAATCGGGCAGGTAACAGGTGAGTGTGTCTCGCCGCCCTCGTGTTCGTGTACCCAAAGGGCGTCAAGTCGAGACAAGCCAAGGGAGCCATCAGACGCAATTTCCATTGTACTGTACGGCAGCAAGGGCGTTGCTTGCCTGCCTATAGGTAGATGTACTCCGGGCACAGGTAAAGATAACAGCCCAGCGTGGACGCCGACCCCCGTCCATGGACAGACCATCACGACACATCAATACTCATCATCCTCATCCTCGTCCTCGTCCTCGTCCTCGTCCTCGTCCAGTTCCTCCTCGCTCCCCTCCGTCCCCTCGGGCCGCGCAATCATCATAAACGCCGCCATGCAGGTGACGCGGTTCTGCGTCTCGTACGTCCCCAGCAGCCTCCCCACCGGCTCCTGCTCCTGCTCCTGCTCCTGCTCCTGCTTCGCCCCCCCGACGCCCTCCGCCAGCTCCTCGGCCCCGATCCTCCACAGCCGGACCTTGCCCTCGCTGCCCGCGCCCGCCACGTAAAGCACCCGCCCGCCGTCGTCACCCTCGCCGCGCACCGCGGCAAAGTCCTTGATCCGCCCCGTAATCCCTGCCTCCCGGCCCCCGACGTAGCCCACCAGCTTGGCGGCCCTCAGCACGCCCGAGCCAGCTTCGTCCTGGCTCGACACGTCGTCGGCCCGCGTCGAGAAGAAGCAAACGCGCCCGTCCTCGGTCGACACGACCAGCAGCGACAGCCCCGCCGCCTCGTCCACCGTCACGTAGCTGACCTGGTGTACCTTTGTGCGCGCGCCGGCACCCAGGACGCGGCACTTGGGCACGCTGTCCATGCCGAAGACGACGACGTCGCGCTCGAACCCGACGGCAAACTCGTCGGCCCCGTCGGCGCTGCCCCACACGACCCGGCGCCCCTCGCCCGTCGAGTGCTTGCCCTCGCCAATCTCGTGCAGCATGTCCCGACTCATGTTGAGTACCCCGGCCTTCTTGCCCGTCACCAGGTTCCACAGCCTCATGCACCGCTCGCCCTTGCTGACGCTAATCATGACCTTCATGCTCGGGTGGATGGCAAAGTCGTTGACCCCGGATGGCGTTCCGCCAAACGGCGCCGTGTCCCCGCTCGGCCGGCCCTGCGCCTTGGGGATGGGCGCCTTGATGGTGCTCAGCACTGACCAGTCGCGCGTCCGCGCCACGGCAATGGTCGAGTCCTCGCTGGCCGTCAGCAGCTTGGACCGCGTGGGGAACCGCAGCGCCGTCACCGTCGACGCGTGGTGCAGCAGCGTCCCCAGCTCGCGGTTCTTGGCATTCTCCAGTATCGGCCGCGGCGCCACCTTGGACAGCAGGTCCTGCTTCTTCTTGCTTGGCGGGTGCGCCGACAGATTGTAGATGTTGATGCGCTCGTCAGTGCTGCCGGACGCGAGTAGCACCTTTTGCGTCTGCCCGGGCACCGGCGCCGAGGGGGGCGACACGGCGACGCAGCGAATCGCCGAGGCGTGAGCGTTGAACAAGAAGGTGTCGGCAAACTCGACCTTGTCCGTGCCGGGCCCGATGGTTGCTGTGAAGCCGTGCAGAACCTGGTCGTAGGACCCGGCTACAATCTGTATCGTCTCGGTCGCTGCGTTTGCCTTGCTTTCGCTGCTTCTTGTTGTCTTCTGGCCTGCCTTTGCTTCGCTGCTTGCCTTTGTTCTCTCGACGGGCTTCGCTTGGCTCGTTGGCTTTGTTTTCTTGCTCGGCTTCACCTCTGCCACCGCCTCGGCGGCCGCGGCAGCTTGTCTCTTTCGCTTGGCCATTTCAGGCGAGGGTTCAAAGAAATGTGAGGGAGGAGAACCCAAGCGGCGCCCTTGTGCGATTGACCGCGGTGTTGAGAAAAAAGAAAAGTGGGACCGCGCCGCGAGATAAGATAAGGAGGGCCAAGGCGGCGGCAAGTGGTTCCGCTTGCCGGTCCAAGGTGTTATTTATCCAGTCCGACCCGTGGCATCTTACGCCCCAAAAGACCGCAGAACAGCCTCGAGGCATCTGGTGCCCGTGAGTTTCCACTCAAACTCGGGGGCAATCCATGCGTGAGCTTGGATGAGCTGCAGACGTTCGCATATCTCCATGGCTTGTTGGGCATTAGAGAGCCTTTGTGTACCGACCGTCCTGCTTCAACGAAGCTCCGTTTGAGCCCTCGAGCCATAATTTCACGATTCGCTGCAAAGGGCTTCGATGAGCATTTCCTACCATTTCCGGCGCCTGGAACACTGGTGCATCCAACGACAGAGCCTCTCCTTGCTCGAGGCAGACCTCGTCTCGTACACCACTGGTGTTCCCATAGACATCCTCATGGCCCCCCTTGAGGCGTGATTGCAGCATCCATCCCTGCCTCTAGGAGATTGGTGTTGTGTTGTTTGCGCTCGACTGTGCAGATTTGACAACCCTGTTGCTGCTTCGCCAGGCATCGTGGGTGACTGGTCACTGGGAATAGGAGCACTCAAGGGCCATCACGCTGAGACGCCTGGCTCACCGGCAGGGCTCACCCGGAGTACCCGCCGTCGCCGGAGCGAGAGAGCCAAGTGCGCATTCCCCCCTGGACCCCCAGTCTACATACGTCTTTTCGTCTCGATTCTACCCACTCCAATGGCCACATGTAAATCGTCAAAATCGCCCCCGCCGGGTGTATATAGAAACAAGTCCCTCGCTCACTGCCCGACCGCTCCGCCCCCGCGGCTCATGGCAGCCTCAAGCTCCATTGAGCTAAGGCTGGGGAACCGCTTGGTAAAGTCCTTGATGTAGTCATCCTTCTCCTGCGCCGACATTTCCAGCAGCGGCTGGCCCGGGAGCTCCGCCGCAATCAGCCGCTCCGTCTCCGTGGGCTGGCTCCGCTTGGCCGGCGACGGCGGGCGCGCCCCGGTCGGCAGGCTGTTGAGGTGGACGGGCTTCTTCGGCGCCGCCGGCCTGCTGCCCGTGGGCTTCGAAGCAATCGCCATATGTCCAGTTGACGTCCCGGTCACCCTCTCCGCTGGGGACGCCGTCGGTTCAGCTCTTGATCTGGGCGCGGCAGGCGGCTTCCGCGGTATCGAGGGCAGCGCCTTATCATTTTCCGGCTTGCTGGCCGCCGTTGCAGCATCCGAGTACTTCCCGTATCCCTCTGCAGTTCTCTGGACCTGCGACGGCCGTTGCTCTTCCTCCAGCAAGCTCCGGACCCGGCTCTGGATATTCGCCGACTTGGGCACGATGCCCACTTTCTTCGGTCCCGGGACGGGTCGTTGACTTGCGCCTTCGCTGGTTAACCGTTTCCTGTACTCCGCCTGCGCTGCGGCTACACGCTCCTCCTCCTCCTGAAGCTGACGTCGCTCAATCTCCCGTCTCATTTCCGGCGTCGCGTTGTCGCTATTCAGATCCGTCAACCCGTCGTCGCTTCGGCCATCCGTTGCCTCCGACCCTGCGATCGGGGTAAGCTCGTGGTGAGCCACGCCCTTCAGAGGTGGAGGAGTGGCTGCGGTGGCCGGAATTTCCGGCGCGGCGGTGCCCTCAAATCGTTTAAAGGCGTCTCCAAACTTGCCCGCAAGCTTGTTTCTTGACCCAGAAGCCTGGGATACGACAGATCTTTTGGCGACGTTCAGCCTCGGCGACGTATCCGAGTCGGAGTCGTCCATGTCGATCAAGCGGTCGACAACGTTCGATATTTGTATGCTGTCATCACGCGCCGTGGCATTCAGGCTCGACGACGACCTAGGCTGCGAGCCTCGAGACAGCGGACGAGCAGGTCGGCCATGTGCCGTGGAGGACTCTTTCTCGCGCAGAAACTCCAAAGTGCTTGATTCAAAGGCCGTGCTCGCGGGCCGCGGCCGACTAGGCAGCGATCCGGTGCGCTCTATAGCGTCTGCCGATGCAATGGCCCGGTTGTCCTCGAGCGACGGTCGGGACGATAATGACGGCCGTCTCCCGTAACCCGAGCGGGGTTGGAGAGAGGGATGTTTGCCGCCTCCGGGGCGACTCTGTCCGGTGCCCTGGACGGCCCTTGTTGCAAGCGGCTCAGGGGTAATCTCCGCCGTCATCGTGCCGGTGGACACATATTTCAAGTTGGCCTGAGATGAGATTACCTTGAGATCTGGGTTGCGGCTGATGATGGATTGTGCCTTGCCCCCCTCCGTCTTGGGCTGGGCGGACGAGGCCGCGGACGTAGGCATGGCCAGACTCGGCGCGACTGCTGGTTCAGGCCCTGCAGATGGGACAGCGCGTTTTCCCGGCGACAATATCGGGTCTGCGGAACTCGTTTCGGGCGACGCAAAAGCTGCATCAGCCAGCTTCGCCGCTACCCTCGGAATCGGATTCACGGCCGGAGCTTCTGGCGGGGGAGACGCAATGGCCGAGTCGAAATCGAACTTGGCTCCCTGGTCGTGGAGCAAGGAGAACTGATCGAGAGTGGGGAAGCGCGAGGATAATTCATCGCCATCGACGCTGACGCCGTTCTTGGAGTCCAATGCCGCAAAGGGGTCCCCTTCTGCGATTGGCTTGGCGGGCGAGCCGGGTACCTCTGACGCCTTTGTCGGCCCCGGCAGAGGGGACGGTCTGCCTCTCCGCATGGGCACAACGTCAGGGATGCGTGGCTTCTCTTCGACGGGGGCAGAGACGACGGCGCCAACGACTGGCTTTGCTTTTCGTTCTGCGGACGCCTTGTCGTTGGGGCGGGATTCGGTATGCGACCTCCCTGCGTAGATCTGCCCGGTGGCTGTCAGCGTCTGCGTCGACTGGCTAGGCTTGCAGGAGCTCAAGCTCACGTCTTTTACAGGCACTTCTCTGCCCTGCATTGCGCAAGCTTCCTTCAACACCTGGTATATATTCGGCCTAGCCTCTATGCTCTCTTTCAGCATAGAGGCTGCGTGCACAAGTCAGCAAACCAAGCGCCAGCGCAGGAGCATGGGCGGGCGAACCGATGAGCTTCTTTATACGGTTCGAGAAGACGGGATGGCTCGGATAGCGGTAGCTGGCGTTGAGGATGGCAAGTTGGCCCTGGTCTTCAAAGGGAGTCGTGTAGTAGCAAAGCTTATAAAGCAGGACACCAAGGGCCCAAATGTCGGATTTTTCGTTGAGCGGCTGTTTTCTGTAGACGTCAATCATCTCTGGGCTTCGGTACTGCAGCGTCGTGTGTCTCTGCACGTCCTCGTCCATCAGGCGGCACTCGACGACGGTAGTGGGCGCGGGCCGCGGGGCTGCGGCAGAGCCAAAGTCGCAGAGCTTGAAGCGTTTTGCGGAGCCGCGCGAGGTGATGAGGACGTTTTCGACCTTGAGGTCCCTGTGCAGGAGGGCGGGCTTGAGGTAGTGCATGCAGGCGACGCCCTCTGCAATGTCGACAAAGATGTTGAGGATCTCGGGCTCCGTCAGACGGTGCTGCAGGCGCGTGTTCATAAAGTCGATGAGGCCGCCACCATTGCAGTACTCCATGAGCAAGAAGACTTCGTAGCCGCCGCCGCGCATCTCGGAGGCGTGGGAGTCGATGTAGGTGACAATGGGCCGGTGGCCCTTGAGGCGCTTCATCGTCTCGACCTCGGTGCGCATGCTCCGCAGCGCTTCCTTGTCGGGGACGGCGACGCGCTTGAGGACGCCGAGGTCGGTGCCGTCGACGGGCTTGGGCATCTTGACGAGGTAGACGTGGGCGAAGCCGCCCTCGGACAGGTATTTCTGGATGACGACCAGGTGGCTGCCCACCTGGATCTTGGTGCCCGGCGAAAAGGTGCCCGGCGGAGCGGCGACGCCCGGGGCCGCCATGGCAGGGGAGCCGTGTCTGTGCCCTGCCTGAGGCGCCGTCTGGCGGTGCCCGTACGAGGCCATTCTCCGGCGACGGGCGTCTTGTGCTCCGTCGTCACGATTCGGTTCTTGATTGGGGGGAAGAAAAGTATCGATGGTGACTCGAATTCGCGCGCCAAGAGAGAGAGAAGGGTGACGTGGAGCAGGCTGGGAGCTCGGCGAGTTTCGTTTCAGGACTTAATGGCGGAAACCGCTGCACTCGGAGAGGCACAGCAGCATCGGAGACGGATAAGAGACGGATTGCGATGGACAGGGTGGTCGTCGTCACAGGGGACTCATGGTCGCATGAGCTCGTTATCGCATAGGACTCATGGCTGCGTCTTTCATGGGGGGAGGGGGAGGGGGGGAGATTTGGCGACTCAGCCTCGCTTCCGCGGTCCCTTGGGAGGTTGACGTTGAATGGGCCAAGTGGACCCTTCGTTGCCGGGTAATATTCGGCTAACTGCTGTCCGTCGGCGCGCTACTTACGTCATACCCTCTGATTGGAATTTGGATCTCGCGCCCTTGCAACTTCAACTTGCACATGAATGCTGCATCTTCCAGCCCCGAGTGTCTTATGTTCCCCTGCCATCTATAAATCCCCCCAGACCTTTCCTCGCCTAGACTCTTCCTCCCCCTTTCCTCTCGCGTGGCCCACGCAACCGATACCACGGCAACCCCCTTGCTAGAGATTCATGCAGCATTATATGTCCAGCATGCGCTTTTCATGCAGCCCGCCTTCCGCCCAATCTCGGAGCCCAAAGCTCAAGCCAGCCGTCCATAACCATTAGATGCCCTAGCCGACGGCTTACACCAACCCTTGTGAACCAATCTCCTGCCTATCTTGTCCTAACTCTCCGGTTCGAGGCCGTGTTCAAAGAAAGAAGACCCGTCGCTTCTACCGCGAATTACCGTAAACGTGTCGAGCGATATTTACACGTCCAAGAATGACCTTGGTGACGCTTCCCGGCTGATTCGTTTTGCGCATATCATGATGGCTGGAAGCGGCATGACAATGTGCCCAGCTGACAGCACCGACAGAAACTAGCTCAACAAAAGCCCGCTTGCCCAACCGTTTGTCACGGGCTGTGCCCGGCTGGTGGACCCGGTTGTACCGGGTCCGGTGGGTCGTGCTCCGGTGGCAACACCGGCCCCGCTCCGCGGACCCAGAAGCTGCGAGAACATTCCGAGAAGGGCAATATAAGCTCGCACTCGAGGCTACGCCTCGAGTTCAGCTTCTTTTCCTCCTTAGCTCTAGATAGACAACACCTAGGCACCTGCTTGTTGAATAAACTCCGGGCCAGCCTTTCACATATCTAGAGCTCCTTCTAAATACCGCAAGCTGCAGACTGCTCGTCAGGATGGACCAGCAGAGTGAGAGCCCAAGTCTCCAGCAGCAATGGATTGACCAACGCATTCAAGAAGCGGTCAATGCGACTCTCAGCCCTCTACAGGACCAACTTTCCTTGCTGATGGAGCAACTCGGGCGAGCGCAGCCGCAGAGCGCCGACTTGCAATCGCCGCCAGTGGCACGAGGATTGGGCGAGAGCACGCCTGGCTTGGGCACGCCCTCCCAAAACCTGCGGTACTGGAATGCGGAAACCGTTGCCCAACCCACCCAAGTATGACGGCTCACGGAAGAGCTACTCCTCCTGGGCCAGGCAGATGCGAGACAAGCTGGACCTTGATGCACACTACTACAGTGGAAATCGCGAACTTTGGTACCTCATCAACTCATGTTTGGACGAGCGACCACAGCAAGTGGTCGCTACCTTTACGCCGCGGAGGCCCTGGGGTAGCTACGACCCCAAGAGTTCATGCGATACCTCGACCGAACCTACCAGGACAGCAACATCCAATCCTGCGCTGCTGCCACGCTGAGAACTATGCGGCAGCGCGAAGACCAACCTCTCGCGTCCTTCCTTCCCCGATTCGAACAGGCATTAGCTGAAGCCGGGGGAGCAGACTGGCCGGACAGTGCAAAGATCGTATTTCTAGAGAACGCAATAAATGCACGCCTCCAAGAGAGTTTGGTCACAGCCGTCCTACCGACGACTACCAGGGATGGCTTGCGAGAGTTCAGGAAATTGCGGGCAGATTGAGAGACTGAAACCCGGTAGGCAGCCGACGTCGACTGAGCGGACGCCTCAACAGCTACCAAGGCAACGACCCAAGGAGGAACCGGAGGACCCGACGGAGATGTTAAGATGACGGACATCAACCGTATTGGCCACGAGTCGAAGGGTCGTCGACATGTCGATAAGAAGCCGAAGGATGAGCGCCGCTGCTATCGCTGTGGTCGGACGGATCATCTTATCGTGGACTGCCCAGCCCAGGTGGTCTTTCCTGGCGAAGGAAGCAACAGCGACCTAAAGCTGCGCGCATGAAGAAGCCCGATGCCGCAGATGGTTCGGAATCAACCGCAGCATCCAGTGAGGACGAGTCGGCGGAAAAGACTAGCCCCGGGGCGAAAGCGGGCGCCGGGGCCTGCAAAGGCAGACATCCGGGACTGGGAAGCGTTCAAGCCACGAATGAATAGTCGGACTGTATTAGTCAACGCGCGGGTAAACCGAGGCTATCGAATACGCGCCCTTGTCGACTGTGGATGTGACTGCTATGCCGTGATCGACGAAGCCCTTGTTCGGAAGCTGCGGATACCCTTCGTCGACTCGAAACCACGAGAAATTGGGGGATTCTCAGAGTCAGCGAAGAGTGTCATATCCCCAGGGGTCGTGGCTGTTGTGGTCGAGACAGCTGGATTTGACGAACGTGTCTTTGCATACGTGATCCCAAGCCTGGGCCAGGACATGTTCCTCGGCCGGCCTTGATGGAGAGAAATCACGTCGTGTACGATGCTGCCAAGCAGCGAATGTACCATGGGAGGGCAGGTGTGACGATACGCCTCATTGGGCAGGAAGAGCCCGCCAAGATACGCGCGATTCGAAGCGCAAGACTCGTGTCGGCAGCCGTATTCACGGCGGAGTGTCGACGCGCAAAGAGACGCAAGAAGTGCAACGCGATCTCGATTCATGCAATCAGTTTGTCGGATATAGAGAGGGCGCTTCAGCCGAAGCCGCCAGTCGATCCGAGCGAGAAGGTCCCGGCAGAAGTGCTGAAAGAATTCCGCGACCTATTCTCACCAGAAGAGGCAATGAAGCTGCCGCCACATCGACCGGGTGTGGATCATGAAGTCAACCTGCAGCCTGACAAGAACGGCAACGAGCCACCCTTCCGTGGGGCCCACTCTACAACATGTCACGAGAAGAGCTGTTGGTCTTGCGAAAGACCCTGAAAGACCTGCTGGACAGAGGATTCATCCGAGCGAGTAGCTCAGCGGCTGCCGCGCCGGTGCTGTTCGTGCGGAAGCCGAATGGAGGGCTGCGATTTTGTTGCGACTACCGAGCGCTGAATGCAATCACCAAGCGCGACCGATACCCACTGCCCTCATCGCGGAGACCCTGCAGAATCTGGCCAAGGCTAAGTGGTTCACCGTTGGACGTGGTGGCCGCTTTCCATAAGATCCGCATGGCTCCGGGACATGAGGAAAGACTGCATTTCGCACGAGGTTTGGGCTCTACGAGTGGCTCGTGTGCCCTTTCGGCCTGAGCGGCGCCCCGGCATCATTCCAACGATACATGAACAGTGTATTGCGCGAATGGCTGGACGACTTTGTCACAGCGTACCTGGATGATGTACTGATCTACTCGAGCGGTTCGAAGGCGGATCATGAGGCTAAGGTGCGACGAGTTCTCCAAGCACTCGCCGACGCTGGGCTGCACCTAGACCCAGCGAAGTGCGAGTTTTCGGTACAAGAGGTCAAATACCTTGGGTTCATCGTCAACGCAGGGAAAGGAATCGCCTGCGACCCCGAAAAGCAGCGTGCCATCCGCGAATGGGAGGCCCTGACCACGGTGAAGGGTGTCAGAAGCTTTCTGGGCTTCGCCAACTATTACCGGATCTTCATCCCCGACTATGCCAAGATCACGCAGTCTCTGGATGCCCTGCTTAAGAAAGGAACTGCCTTTCATTGGGGACGAGCGGAGAACGAGGCGTTTCAGGAGCTGAAGCGACGATTTTGCGAGTCACCGGTGCTCAAGCAGTGGGACCCGAGCCTCCGATCTTTTGGAGACGGATTGCTCAGGCTACGCATTGGGAGGCGTCCTGTCGCAGGAAGGCCCAGATGGACGTCGACACGCATGCGCCTTCTTCTCGAAGCGACTTTCGCCAGCGGAGTACAACTATCCCATTCACGACAAGGAGATGCTTGCCATCATGAGATGTCTCGACAACTGGAACGCCGAACTTAGGAGCTGCGGCCCATTTACAATCCTTACCGATCACCGCAACCTGGAGTATTTCATGACACGCCAGAAGCTCACGGAACGGCAGAGCCGTTGGGCAGCCGAATTGTCCCAGTTCGACTTCAAGCTCGAGTATCGACCGGGAAGCGAGGCTGTCGTGCCTGATGCGTTGTCCCGCCGTGAACAAGACAAGCCACAGGGCATTGACGACGAGCGGGAACAAGGAAGAATGATACAGTTGATACCGGATAGTGCCATTCCATCATCGACAAGAGCATGTATCAACGCGATGAGTTCTGACTGTTCAGAGGCATCCACCCTGCCGAAGATGAAGGTCTTCGAGGTAGCGGACCTGCAGCAACTCTGGGACGAAACGGTGGCGAAGGACTCGATATTCCGGGCAGCCTATAAGGCAGTCCGCGATCGCGAGCGTGCCTTCCCGCCCTCGCTGGGCCTGAAGATCCAGATTTCAGAATGTGCGATCGACGCAGGCAAAAGGCTGACATTCAGAGACCGTATTTGGGTGCCGGGTGGATCCGGAGAGGAGGGTAACCAGGAGGAAGCTGAGAAAGACCAGTTGAGAACCCGCATTGTGCAGCAGTCGCATGACTCTGTTGCGACCGGTCATCCCGGCAGGGAAGGTACGCTGGCTATTGTGGCTCGGCGATTCTACTGGCCTGGGCAGTCCCAGCTGGTTCGCCGGTACGTAGCCAATTGCGACACCTGCGGCAGAGCACACATCTGGCGCCAGTCGAAAAGGGGATTTCTCAAGCCTCTGCCGATTCCAGATCGACCCCGAAGCCATTTGTCCATGGACTTCATCACAGATCTGCCGCCTACTGGACCGAGCAAGGCAAGGTACCTGTGGGTGATTGTGGACAGACTGACAAAGGCTGTGACCCTCGAGGTGATGGACAACATGGAAGCTGAGCCGTGTGCAAACCGTTTTCTCCAGTGTCATTACCGATTTCACGGAATGCCACGGTCCATCGTCAGCGACCGCGGGAGCAACTGGCTAAGTAGGTTCTGGAAGAGGTTCTGCCGTCTTGCAGGTGTCACGCAGAAATTGAGCACGGCCTATCATCCTCAGACGGACGGAGGGCCAGAGAGAATGAACCAGGAGATCGAGGCCTACCTGAGAGCCTACGTGTCGTACGTGCAGGACGACTGGGGAGAACTGCTCCTGCCGCGCAGCTGGCACTCAACAATCGTGAATCCGCAGCGACCAAGATCAGCCCCTTTTCGCTGAGCATGGTTACCACGTCGATCCCATCAGCGTCGAGGAATCGGAAGAGCCACCGAGGCATAGAGAGGAAAGCAGAGCTGATAGCCTACTCAGTCGCCTGCAGGAGGTCAATGAGTACATGCAAGCAGTGATGGCCTCCTCACAGCAACAACAAGAAGAGGCTGCCAACGCAAAGCGACAGCCTGCGGAGCGATTTGAAGTTGGTGACAAGGTGTGGCTCTCGATGGCAAACTACAGATCGCCACGACCGTGCAAGAAGCTCGACTGGCTGCATCACAAGTACACAGTCACGAAGGTAATTAGTTCGCACGTTGTTGAGCTCGATGTTCGTGGCTCAATTTACCCGCGATTTCATGTTGACCTTTGCGGCGGGCGCATCAAGATCCGGCTCCTGGCCAAAGGTAGATGACGCACAGCCACCACCGGTACAAGATGAGTCCGGCACGGATCTGTGGGATGTCGACGAGATCCTCTGCGCGAGATGGAAGAAGCGCGGACGAGGGGAATTCAGGCAAGCACTAGTGCGATGGACGGGCTACGCAGAGCCGACTTGGGAGCCAGTTGAGTGGTTGCAAGGAACAATTGCGATGAAGGCATTCGAGGACAAGTACGGGCCAATCAAGACCAATGATGGCCCTAGGGAGAGGTACGAGACGCTGGCAGGAACGCAAGAACCCCGCAGACGCCGACCTGGTCGGAGGGGACAAGGGGGGTAATGTCACGGGCTGTGCCTGGCTGGTGGACCCGGTTGTACCGGGTCCGGTGGGTCGTCCGGTGGCAACACCGGCCGCCCGCGGACCCAGAAGCTGCGAGAACATTCCGAGAAGGGCAATATAAGCTCGCACTCGAGGCTACGCCTCGAGTTCAGCTTCTTTTCCTCCTTAGCTCTAGATAGACAACACCTAGGCACCTGCTTGTTGAATAAACTCCGGGCCAGCCTTTCACACCGTTCAAGGACAGCAAGCAAAGGCAGACCGCCTCCAGAATAGAGCCCGCCGAGAAAAGGCGCCCAGGCAAGACTTACGACGGGCCCTGCGCACGGCTCGGCAAATGTCGTCGCCAACAAAGAAGAAAAAACCACACAGACAGTTGTAAAATAACCTCGACAAGAACAGAAGACATCCCGCCACCGGCCCGGGAAACACGCCAGAATCATCTCACGCGCTCTAGTGGCGCCCCTAACCGGAGTCTAGGAGAGAAATCAAAGCAACTCTTGATTGGATCCGAAGATCTGAACCACCCCCCGTCTCGGCTGCACCTCTAATTAGTCTTGCTAGCCTGGGGGATGGGAGGGGGGGGGAGGGGCGTGGCCGAAGACCGCGGCCCCGGATCCATTTAGTTCGTTGGTGTGCGACGACGCACAGTCGCATTGCCTAAAGACCTCGCGATTGGTGATTTGTCGCTACCCGCGAATCAAACGGCTTCCGGATCCCGAATCCCCCGCTTCGCCTGCTGCCCAGCATTCGGCCCCGCGCCGGCCCCGCACCTCCGAGGATCCACTATTTCGGCCACCTGCTAGCCCCGTCGCCGTGCCCCCGCCCCCCGCGAACCCCGCGATGACGGGACAAGATTCACGCGCGCCGGCGGGCATACAAGGAGCCTGCGCCGAAGTATCCACTCACGGGACCCCCGTTGGCCGCCAGAAATGATCCCTGGGCCTGGGATCCCCGGAGCGGGCCTTGCTGGGCCAAAGTCGCCGACCACGTGAGATGATAGATCCCCGAGAGGGTGGTGATGCATGTAGCAGGGGTCTCCCCCCCCCTCTCTTTGCCCTACTCCACGTCGAAGCCAACTTCTTGTCCCTGCTGGTCGCCGACCGTCCCGAAGGCTCCTCACACACCCCATACCGCATGATGTTAACGTCCTTGCTCGCCCGAGTCCCGAGGATCTGGATAGACACCCGGCCTAGTATGCAATCAGGGGTTCGGGAAAATAAACGCCTGCATGATCGTACGTAGGGCTAGAGTGGACCTGGGGAGGCGCCGGGAGCGCCACACTAAAGCAACCTCACCTCACGGGTGCCCGGACGGCCAAGCTTGAAAAGGGACGCGGTTTCACTTTGTGGGAGTTGCAGACGAACGGGAACCGCCAGGGAGCAGTAGCGCTATGTCCTGAGAGAACGACCAACAACATACAAGAAGAAAATAACTGATTTGGCACTTCAGCTTCGAATCCTCGCCCGCTCTCACAAGCCTGATCACATCATCCGCCTTTTGACGGCCCCCTCTGAACGCTTTTCCTTTGGCGTTACTCATTCACTCATATCAACAACACACTGCCAGACGTGCGGCTTCACTCGTATCCGCGCCATCAAGGCTTAGGCCAGCGTTTCACCCCTCAACCAAGCAAGTTAGGCAATGTCTGCAAGCTCTCAATTTCGTTGATGATGGAGTCGTCGGTTGCAATCGTGTTAAGCATGTCCTCATGCGTCAGTCCCACCCAGAACTCCGAATTGAGCCGCTGCTGCTTCTTCGCCTGGTATATCTCCTGCGCCACAAGCTTGACCTGGCCACGAGCTCGGTCGGCGGCCCCCCAGACCTCGGCAAGTCGGTTGAGGGCTCCGATGTTGAGGCGAACTTGCTGACGCAGATCGTCGTCGTTGTGGGGGATAAAGAAGAGAGCCCACCGGCTGAGATGGACAATGGACGAGAGCGTAATGACGCAGGTGAAGAAGTGCGTGTGCGAGAGCAGCGGTACGCGATGGGTAATCATGGTGCTGATGGCATTGGCCGAGGTGATGGTATGCTTTGTGTGCGCGTTGAAGAGATCTCCGGCCGGCACCATCTGATGGGGCGCGCACGAGTTGATGTCCTGCGTCGGCGTCGTGTCGAGTTGGGAGTGAGGCTGATGGAGAAGGATCGAGGTCGCGTGCATCATCATGTGGGCCTGGAACATCATCTCGTCCAGCCTGCCATCTGTCTGCAGGGCGTCCCTTTTGGACTGGGGCAGGTGTAGCCTCCAGTTTGTGAGCAGGGCTTCGATTCTCACCATGTTCTCGTCTTCGGGGCCGAAGATGGGCGGTGTCCTCATAAACTTGCCCAAGTTGCGGGCGCACAGGATGCGGTACGCAAAGGACGAGAATTCGCGGTCTTCATCGGAAAAGTCTCGATCCTCCAGGTCCTCGAGATATAGCGGGATCGGAATTTTCTGCGACAAGACACGCTTGCGTTAGTTGACTTGATTCAAGGTGAGACTGCGCGGCTCCTTTTCTCCCCCCTGAATCCGCGATTTTGTAGGCCAGCGGGAAACAACTCACGGCGGATATATACTGATGCTCCTCACACGGAAGCGCGACGTCGGCGGGAACGTCAAAGAGGAGAAAGTTGGTGACACGGTGGACGCCGGCAACCATGCCATCGACGACGAACAGATCCCACCAGGTGCGCCGCCAGCTCTCCTCGAGGACGGGGATGCCCTGACCTTGGAGGGTGGCAAAGGGACGAGTGTTGAGGTCGATTTCCAAGGCGAGCCGCTCCACGTCGTTGAGGATCTCGCGAGCCCTTTCCTGCTGGCAGCTGCCGTCGAGACCGACGATGAGCAGCACCATGGACTGGACGAGGAAGCCATCCCTGGGCCGCTGGGGATCGTAGATGAGACTGCAGGCTTCTTCGAGCAACCCATCACGGACCGAGGGGCTGACGTCGATGTAGATGGACCCGACCCATCGAATGGCGGCAAGCAAGGGCTCAATCATGCCCCCCTTTGCAATCCTCAGGAGATGCTCGCGGGGCAGGACAAAGGGGTGCGATGCGAAGAAGTGGTGGTAGAAGGAGTCGAGGCAGCGCTCGGCCGTCGTCTGGATTGGGATGTGCATGGGGACGGGGCCGTTGTGATGGGCCGTGGCAAAGCCGACGGGGTCGATGCCGTTGACGCTGCAGTACGACTTGTAGAGCTGCATGTTGGAAGGTCCCGAGTTCGGGGTCAGGTGAGATGCCGGGGTGCCCATGGCCGAGGGAGGGAAGCCGCCAGCGCCGAGGAGCATGGGGCAGTCGGGGTTGTCGGGGGGCGAGGTGGCCTGGCGCTTGTTGGGGTTCTGGGCGGTGCCGCGGCGCGGGCCCTTGTAGCCGCGGCGGGAGGCGACGTAGATGCATTCGCTCTGCGAAGAGAGACAGCGTGCGCAGGGGCTTTGACCATCGCACTTGAGGTGCTTGTTTCGCTGTTTGAGGGCCGAGGTGCGGGGTGGGGGTCAGTGTTTTGCGTCTTCTTGTCTCTCTCCTCTTCGCTCTCCCCATATTTCCTCTTTGCTCTCTCTGGGGGGAACAGGTAGTGGCAGAAGCAAAGACAATGACGGCGAGTGACAGGCGGCAGATGAGACACGGAGCGGAGCCCGGCGGAGCAGTGTGGAGGAGGAGATGGTGAGCCAGCTCGGCGCAACGGTGTGGAGAGGAGGGCAAGGGCGGCGAAGCAGCAAGACAAGCAACGGAAGGGAAGAAGCACTCACGCATGCCAGGCAGGCGGCCGGAACCGTCGTCTCACGAGCCTTGTTGGCATCGCCGGCGGCGTTTTGCTGCTGCTGGTCCGTCGACGGCGAGCTGCTGCTGGCGGTGCTCCGGCCACTCTCGACCGCCTGGTGGTGCGAGGCGGTGCCAGGCGAGGAAGAATCGGATCCCGGCCATGACTGGTGCTGTTGGTTGTTGAGTGGAGAGACAGACGGCGAGTCGTCCGGCGGCAAGGGAACTTCGGCAGGCGTCACCATTGTCGCGGCGCATGAGCCAACCGAAGGAGGAGCGAAGGAGGGAGGGGAGGAGCGGCTACTGCTACAACAACAAACAACGACGACGACGACGACAACAACGACAATGACGACAACGACGACGACGACGATGACAACGACCGCGACCGCAACCCACAACAAAGGAAGACGGGGCGTTGGAGGAGAGGTGGAGGAAGAGGAGGTGGCAGGGACGGTGAGGAGCTGAACGACAAGGGATGGGAGGAAAGAGCAGGGATGAAGAGACCTTTTCTCTTTTCTCACCCTCTCTCTCTCTCTGATTTCCCCTTTCGCAGCCTTATCCTCTGGCGAGGCGGTAATGGAAGGGGGGCTGAACAAGTGCTCCGACGAGATACAGGACGCTTGCGAGTCGAGAAGCAGCTGAGGTGGGGAAAGAAGGTTGATTGTGCATTTGTGGCGGCGGAGAGGAAAGGAAGAAGGCTCGCGCAGGGCACCGGCGAGCGAATTTTTTTTATCCCTCTCTCTCGCGTGCGCGCGCTCTCTTCTGCTGCCTCTCACGCCTCCGTACCTGAGCCGAGCCCTCTGTACATGGACCGATGCCATCTGTCAAGTCTGTCGAGGCTGCGGTGGTATCCAATTCAAAGCGACGGCGGCTGCCATTGGCCGAGGTCGAGGAATGTCGCAGGCCAGAGTGTATGTACAGTACAGCACAGTACAGGGGGGGCCACCAGGGGAGATGCCTGCTGGCTTGCGGCTGTCATTAATGAGATTCGGCTCCTCGCTCTCGTGAGTCTCTACTTCTGGTCCTTGGCCCGGACACATGCGGTTGGCTTTGCCAGACACCGTCTCTCCATGTACTATCTCTCCGTGTCTCGTGGGTGTGTCTCGTGGGTGTGTCTCTCGTGTGTATCGTCGTTTGTTTTGCTTTTTGTGCCAGGCCTTGACCGTTCAGCCGGAGTCAGTGCCTGCTGCCTAGGTAGTACCAAAGTTTGTGTGCAGGTTTGACTGTACTGTACGGCTGCTGCAGGCAGCCCTACAGTACGAATTGGCCTAGCCATTCACAGGTGCGGGAGTTGGACCCGGAGCACCACATGCTCCGTGTTCCGGGGGCTATAGAGTGCTGACTAGCGCACCGTTTCTCGCCGGGGGAATAAAAAAGAAGAAGCAGCATCGTCACACACGCACACGCACACACGCACACCCGCCCAACAAGCACGCACAGTACGCACAGCGAGTGTTCATGCCTGTATAGCTCGACTTGCTCGGCAGGAGAAGGAAATCAGGCACACTGTACGGTCCAACGTCGAGCCTGCCTCGTGGGCGGTCCTGCGGAGTACCCTTCCATCTCCAGGGACTGAAGCACATGGGGACTGGGCTAATCTGATGGTCCAGAGACGCGGCCTCTGTCCAATCAATCTCTGCACGCGGATCTTGGTGCGCTGTCTCACTCGTCAGCTCTTCGTCGGCACCCCTGCCCCACACGCGTTGCCGGGGAAAGAAGCTGCTGCACATTGACAGCATTACAAGCACGCCACAGCGGTAATGTTTCAGTTGTGCGAAAGGAGCCGTGGGCCGTCAACTCGCTCATCCCATGGCGTCGATTGACAGTGGACTGCAGACAGTCTACATGTTCGCCCCCGGCATAGACGCCTGTGGTCCCGTCAATCCAAAACAAAGTGCGGAGCAGGATTCCCGCCCTGGGGAGCCCTTGAAGATTGGACGAGACAATATTGCGATGGAAACCAGCCGACGACCCCTGTAGCCCCCTCACCCAGCCAACTTGCCAGTGACATGCCGCGCCCACGGATGGATGACGGAGTCACCACCTATCAAACGGTCGGCACGGTGCAGACAGCTATCTAGGGTTGCGTCTTGCAGTAGCCTCAACCGTCGAGATCAATGCATCATCACATCACATGCTGCCAGAGACGACCTTTTACCCACATAAATACTTGCTGACAATATCAGCTGAAGGGTCCTTGGATAGGCCCTGACTCGCATTGCATCTCTTTTAGTCTGCTCTCTCCACCTGGTGCGAATGCGTCTACCACGACTCCGCCCTCCTCACGAAGCTCTGAGCCGAGCCGCCTGCCCGTGTACCACCAACTTGCATGTTTGTGCAATGCTGTACCACGCACAGTACCTATACTCGCCAGCCACCGATGGAAAAGTCTCCGCGGAGCGACAAGAGAGAGCGCGTCTCTTTCAGGGGGTCGATTCTCGGGACGACGATTGCGAGGTACCGGTACCGCCGCTTCAGGCACCATGGAGCGCCAAAAATGACCTGTCGTGCAACCCCCAAGACCAGCCGGCCCCGAGTCGAGACCTCTCCCTCTCGGTCTTTTGCTCCCAGGCCAAGGGTATACTGCATGTGTCTTTGATTGTTTGATTGTTCTTATTCCCCTGTCATCTTGTTTGCCGAGCCAATCGACCGCCCCTCGTCGTAGATCCTCAGCGGTTCCGGCCCCCTGTTGGCTGTAAGAGGTAGAATACCTAGGTAGGTACCACCTACTGTACAGTAAGTCCCCGCTACGTCGAGCTCTGCAGGTACTGGTAGCGGTACTCGCAGGGACCTCGTGCGTTGTACGGGCCCCCGTCCTTGCCCAGTACGGGTATAGTCTGTAGTTGTGCTGAGTACAGTACATAGGTACCTCGTACTCCAGCCTATCAACAACCGCCTTCACCCCTCCCGGCCCCCACGGCTTCCCCCATTGTGTCTCGTCTCAACAGGCCTCACCCTCTTCTCCTCATCCTCCGCCACCTCCGCCCTTTCCACCTCCACCCGCTGCTGCCACCCCTCTGTCCGTGTTTCAGCCTTTTCTCGGCTACGGCATCGGCTCATGTGCGGCTGGGCATCTCTAGCTCTCACCCCACAAGCCGGTCCCGAACTTCGTCCGCATCATGGCCATTGTCCGGCCCCGTCAGCATCGTCAGCATCACGGCTCCCGGCTGATCACATGATTGCCCACCTCTGTCTCTGACTCCATGGATCCCCTCTCCATCGGCGGCCTGGCCATTGGCGTTGCCTCGCTGAGCCTCCAGGTCTACACGGGCTGCATCCAAGGCACGTAAGCTCGGCTTTCGTCTCCGCCCACGGCCTCCGTGCGCCCTGATAACCATGGCTCTCTTGTTGCTAGTCCTCAGGCATCCAGCTCCTCGTAACCGCTCTCGGCTACGAAGATGAATGCAAGTATCTCAACCTGCGCCTGCGCATGGAGCAGCAGCGCCTCTTTGCTTGGAGCGAGACGTCGGGCCTGCTCGACCTCGATGCCAGCAACCACGAGAGGATCCTCAACTCCAACCTCTTCAACCTGCACCGCCAGACCATTCTCGACCTGCTCGTTCAGGTCCAGTGCCTCTTTGACGACTTCACCAGCCACCAGCGCAAGCACAACAATCTCCGCCCCGTTCGCGATGACGACGACCTGCTCGGCGCCCCCGACAAGGACGCCAAGCAGGCCAACTTCCCCATGTCGGACAGGAAGCGCGACTTTATCAAAAAGGCCATGGTCGGCCTCAAGCTCAAGTCGCACGGCGGCTGGGTGCGCCTCCGCTGGTCCTCGTTCGACAAAGAGGCCTTTGAGAGGCTCCTCGCAAAGTTCTCCGCCCTCAACGACAACATGACCAACATCCTCGACCACTCGCTTCAAGTTGAGATCCGACACACGGTCCAGGACACCAATCGCGGCGTCCTTCTCTTGCACCACAAGATTGCCGACCTCAGCCATCTCGTGCTGGCTCTCAAGTCCCAGCTCGATGTCGGCGCTAGCCAAACGACACCCGCTGCCTCGCGTGTGTCCACGAGGGAACGAGAGGCAAGCATGAAGGCCTTGCTACAGCTCGCTGCCCTGGCCAGATTCAAGGCCTTCAACGAGACCATAGACCCCCAGGCCGGCCTGCCCACCCACGCCGACGCCGCCGCCGCCAAGTTCCTCGAGCTGGCCGGCCCGAACCAACCGCGCGACCTTCGGGTAGCCCGGCTCCGCATTGAGCTTGACCCCGATGTTGAGGCGCAGGAGGCGCCCCGCTGCGAGGCTCTCCTCAAGGCGACCGCCGAAGATGGCCAGGAGACACAGACGAGAGTGTGGATCGAGTGGAAAGACTACGACGGCGCCGGCGCGTACCCCGACTCTCTGTCCAAGGAGGACATTGTCGATCGTGTGCGCAAGCTGGCCTCGCTGCTGCACCACAGTCCCAAGCCGGACGCCTTCCGGACGCCTCACTGCCTCGGCTACTTTGACAAGGCCGACCCGGATGTCGCCGAAGATGACGTCGACGTCCTCGACAAACGGCTCGGCCTCATCTTTGAGCGCCCCAACGGCGACGAACTCGACGGCGCCCTGCCGCCCGTGTCGCTGCATGATATTCTCCAGGACACCACAATTCGCAAGCCGCGCGTGACGGAGCGTGTCAAGCTCGCGCACGCCCTCAGCAACTGTCTACTTTATCTCCACGCCGTCAACTGGCTCCACAAAGGTCTACGCAGCCACAACGTCCTCTTCTTCCGCACGCACGCCGGTCACGTTGACCTGCACCAGCCCTACCTTTCGGGCTTTGATTTTTCGCGGCCGGGTGGCTCCGACGAGATGACGGACGTGCCGGGCGACGACGCCGAGCACGATCTGTACCGGCACCCGCTCACGCAATCCAATCGACGCTCGGATCGCGAGCGGTCCAATAAGAGCTTCGACGTCTACAGCCTCGGCGTCATCCTAGTCGAGCTGGCGCACTGGAAGACGGTGGACCGGGTGTTGGGCATCGACCTGCGGCGGGCCAGAGGCAACCACAAAATTGTCAGGCAGGTCAGGGAGCGCCTCGTAGCGAACGAGAGCATTGGCGCTGTGGGCGCCGAAATGGGCCAGAGATTCGAGGGGGCGACGAGGGCGTGCTTGGCCGGCGGGCCCGAGCTGGGGCTGCACCCGGGCGAGGACGAGACGGCGGATGAGGTGGCCGAGAGGTTGTCTGTGAGGTATTACGAAGACGTGGTCAAGAGATTGGGAGAAGTAGTTGTCTAGTCCGTCTCATAGGGGGGTGTATTCTCAAAAGCAGAAAAGAATGCAGACAAACACGCATGGTCTTAGACCATTCCTCCAACTCAACTGTCCAAAGCCCTCTTCACAAAAGAAGCCTACGTACTTCCTTTGCCTTCCTTGCAGCCGGAGCCGCACGGCCCTTCCCGCTCTACTTATTTTTTTAACTTTTACCCTTCTGGAATTCCCCCCTCTTGATATACCTGAAGGCGTTGCACTTGGGAGTCGACTCAAGTGCGCCAGGTCTAATAAAGAAGAAACCTGCAGACGATCTGGATGGTGTACTGTATGTTCCCTGGCGGCCTGGCCATTCCGCAAACGCATGTCGGCCACTCCCACGTTCGCTTCATGAAACAAGGCCCCTCTCTCCAACGCCAGCCAGCCCCCTCCGATGCTTTCGAGAGGGGAGGCGGGACGGCATACCCTACCCGGGCTTCTCCGCCGCGGGTGCATGGCGCAGGGGGGACGGCCCGGTCTCGACCTTGATGGGGTTTCCCGACGAGGAGGGGGTGTAGCGAGCACGCGCGCGGGAAGAATGGCATCATGAGACAGCAACGCCAACTCGTGGCCGAATTTTGCCTGTTATGCAGAGAGAAGGGGGGTCCAAGTCGAGGTCAGAGGCGAGACGGGCGGGAGAAAATGCCGTTGCGGCCGGTCGTGTCTTGGCGGTGCTGGGGGCGGGGATACCGGGGCGGGAACCGGCCCCACCCGGAGAAAGTGGGCCATCAAAACGTGGGGAGGTGGGAAACGCGGCGGCTGGAGCCCGGGGCGGGAACGCTTGCCCCCGTGCGTGTGGTCCGCTCTCCGTCCAATGCGCTCCGGCATGAGCCCGACGTGTCCTGTCCGAGCACGCGCACGGCGGCTGATGACTGCGCTTTGCCATCTTGAACCAGCAGGCGCCCCACTCGAGCGTCGAGAGAATTTCGTCGGCTTCTTTCGGTGTCACGTCTCCAGTTCCAAAAGGAAAACGCCATCCTCCGGCAAACAAAAGGCAAGGCAGTACCCGCTCCCTATTCAGGTGATGAATTTTGTACTGGCTGGGCAATAGATTTTGAACCAACATACGTTTCTCAAGTCGACCATATGCGAGACAAACTGCCAAAGCCTGTCCTCCGAAAGACTGCACGGGGCTTCGGTGCCAATGGTCGCGGCGTCGTCCAATTCGGAAGCATCCTTTGCGTCCTCTGCTTCTTCGACTCCTTCGGTGACGTCACTCACCGCTCCATCGCTAACCCGCACACTCTCGCATCCGTGTTGAAGCGGATCTCGTCGAACCATTTTCTCGTCTTCATCGGTCCATCCTCCGGAATCGTACAGGATCTTGACGGCAGCGCCGTGTTCCTGACTTGCAGCTGCCATTACTGACCTGATGTACTGGCACCGCCAGACTCCTGTGGTGCCAGTTCCGCAATGGAGGAGAACCTTGAGCATATCAAGCCTTCCTGCTTTTGCAGCCACCTCCATCGCCGTCTTGGGACGTGACGGTGCATTCGAAGCATTCACCCGCGCACCACCTTCGAGCAAGAGCCTTGCTATTCCCAAGTGGCCATTGGCAGCAGCCAATTCCAACGCCGTCGGGCCTTTTACGGCCATTGGTGGGGCATTTACTTCGGCTCCGTTGCGCAGCAGACAGTCGACGAGATCCGAGTCACCCAGCCGGACCGCATATTCAAGAGGAGATATGCCAAATATCATCCGATCCTGAGCCTCTATGTCGTGTTCATGATGTTCCCCAATTATACGAAATGAGGAGTAATACTTTGTCTCAGGCCCAGACTCGTTGACGTCTGCACCAGCTTCCAAAAGTAGGAGTAACAGGCTTTTGTCGTGGTTATTGATGGCACAGAGCAATGGGTTGCCGATTACACAGCCCGAATGCATAGAACTATTTCTGATTCGTTGACCGTCGTCGATTAGGATTTGCGCAAAAGAGAGTCTGGCCCGGGAGGCAATTAGGGTCCAGGTAAGTTTTTCAGCCCGGCAGCCACTTCTCAAAAGCTCGTAGAATGCCTCGATATCATTTCCGATGACAGCTAATCCAAGTGGGCTTCCCTTAAGACAACCGGGGCAACGCCAGTAATGATTCGTGCCTCTGATATCCACGTTCCGGAAACGATCCAACTTGACTGGTAACAGCGCGATATTTGAGTGCGGCAGATGTACAAGCAGCTTTTGCAGAAGGCTCAAGTCTCCCCGTCCAGCGGCCAGACCTATAGCCGTTGTTTCCAGAATATGTGATTGCGCTTTTGGGGGCCGGTTGGCAAGAAGTCGATCAATGAGGGAGTACATTCCAGTCACGACTGCAGCACACAAGCACCCCGGCTCGTAGGCATTCGAAAACGCCCCAAGCACGCGGTCAAGAACATCGGGCTCTCGGGCCAGTATTGCCGCTTCCAGAGCCGTCGTTCCATCACGGTCAGTCTGCATCAAACTGCCACCATGATCCAACATAAAATTCACAAGGTCCCAATTACCGAGACGAATCGCCAAGATGACTTGTCCTTGCGCAACTGTCGCCCCCTTTTCAATGAGGAGTTTCGCAATAGCAGCGCCGTCGTCGGCCTTTTCCCGTAGTTTGCGGTTGTGTAGCCGTTCCAAAGCCGATTCAAGCGCACTTGCGCCGTGCTCGCCTATTTCATTGGGGTTGCCGCCAGCATCCAGAGCGGCTGAGAGCATTTCCAGGTGCAATTGTCCAGTGGCTAGATAGACTTCACCTCCCGTCAATCTAGCACCGGCTCGAATCAACGCGGTAGCGCAGGCTAGGCTTCCGAGTTTTGTACGCTGGAGCCTGATATCGCCGTTCACGGCAATTTGCAGAGGTGTGCGACAAAACAACCTGCGCCCGTATCCACGGGGAGAGTGGCGCTCAAGGGCGATTTGTCGTTGCAGCGCATCGCCCGTGGCCGACGCGCCGTTGACGTCGGCGCCATTGTCGATGAAGAATTGTACAAGTTCTTCTTGCCCTTCATCAGCTGCTATATGGAAGGGTGAAAGGCCAAGTCCGATTGACGTGTCAAAACCGTATAGCTGGAAAAGTAATTTACAGGTGCTGAGGCGGCCTTCGCTCGCGGCCACCTGCAAAGGCGTGCGGCCGAAAGGGTTGGGAAAGGCGCCGGCCGGGTTGATACTGTGGAGGAGGCGTATAGTATCGTCCTGCCCTTCCTCAGCGGCAGCTATAAAAACATCTGGCGTCGCAAAGGCGGCCACTGCCATGGACGGATGATGAGTCGCGAGTAGCTTCAAAATGGAGAGGGTTTCCTGTAGCCCGACCGCAGCAGCTGCGCTCAAGGCAGTATCCTCGTATAGAGAGCCAGTGCGGGCTCTCAATGTGCCGCAGAGATTGGCTCCTCGCTGCACAATTGACGCGGCGACTTCCAAGTCCCCTTTCCAAATGGCAAGATGAAGGGCCCTGTCGGGATTCATTGGCGCGCCGTGGCTATGCAGGCGCTCGGCGATGCACCAAAGAGTAGGCGGGTCATGGCGCCAGTAATCGAGTGTGAGCTCCAGTGCTGGCACGGGCTCGCCACGAGGCAGCTTAATATTGACGTCGGCGCCAGCTGCCAGAAGGCACCTGATCAGGTCCAAATTGCCGCAGTAGATGGCAACATGGAGGGGCACAATCGCCTCGATTGGCAGTGGCATGGCTTTCACGCTGGTGTTTGGGTTTTGGCCTAATGATAGAAGCCACTCGAGGATGCTCACGGTATGCTTGTCGCTCGTTTTCTCATGCCAAGGACTCGCCAGCTGAAAGATGGCTGCGCGGAAGAGATTGTCCATGAATCCGTGGATCGTCGGTTCATCAAGCCCCTTGAGATCGGCTTGAAGACCCAGGATGCCAGACTCTCGTAGGATATGCGTATCCTCATTCCATTCTGTCCAATCCCACAAACTGGACATATTATTGGCAATTCTGTAGACTGCCATGTTCAGACATTGATGAATAACGTCTTCGGTTGAACCGTGGAGGAGAGCCTGAGCACGTTGGAAGTGCTCCTCTGGATAGGCTTCGGGCATCAATTTCCCAATGTCGGCTGCTAGACTCGAGACATGAGGCTGTTTTCTTGTCGAACTAGACTGAAAGCTCTTGGTCACGAAGTAAGAAGCAAAATTTCTAAAGCGCGCCGGCTGGGAACCGCACACTTCTCGACTGCTGACCCGCCGAGTGTTTGCCATCACCGTAGCTGTGGGCGGTTAGTTGTCGCTCAAATGTTCTGACATGGGGGGCTAACATGTCAGGTGCCTGGCTTGGAAACGTAGCCATGGTAACGTGCTTGGCCATTCGAAGTCCCCGGGGAGCGGCCGCGGAGTGCAGACGATAATCTGCGCATCGTTTGGAGACGCGGGAGTGTGCACTGGTGCTATATCAATCAGCGATCATGACCAGCCATGCGCAGGACAAAGCGACAAGCGACAAACTCACAAGAGGCGTGTTGCGCCAGATTTGTCCTCTGTCGATGGCGTTTTGTCTCTTTCTCTATGGTCGACCTCTTCATACGCTTGCCGCAGTATATCACCTCACTGTCTTTGCCCTCTCTTCTGCGCTTGGCCATGATGCTGTCAATCGAAGCCCATCTCTCTTTGCTGATGTTCTTTCGAAAGTCCCACTGCTTCAATTTGTACTCCAGCTGTGCCTTTCTAGAAGTTCGTCAGTCTCGTACCGCCGCCAAAACAAACATGGGACAGGACCAAACTGACGTGACAGTAAGCCCGAGGTTTGCCACCTCGACTACCAGATTCTTGAGCGGCATTTGCTCCACGAGATACAGCCTTCGGATGGCAGGCTTGTGCCGAAGCCATTCCTCCTCGGTAGGTTGGGGACGGGGCGGCCCCATTGTATTGCTGGGTGCAGAAGTGGCGGTGACCGAAAATGGATGTCAGATGGCTCAGGCTATTTCTTTCGGGTGAGTGAGAAGAGAGGATGAGCCAGAGAGAGATGTGGGAGGGGGCGATGGGGGGAAGTGACTCGTTATGTATGTGTAGGAGTTGGGGGCAAGGCCGTGCCGGCGATTCGCTACCCCAGAGACCTGAAGGCGTCAACTTCACCTATCAAGGTAACTCGGGTTGGCTGCTGCAGAATCCGGAGGCGCTTGCCTATCCACCTCCTGAGTGGCTATGTCAGAATCTGAAGGCGCAAGTACTTTGCGTGTATGCCTACCTCGTGTGTGACTGCAGCAGACGCCTGCAGGTCTTGCCCATGAGCGGTATACGCATTCCATCTGGCCAAACGTGGCCGGGGGTGCGAAAGGGGGGCGTCCCAGGTGGTGGGTTATTGGTCGTTGCCAGAATCTGAAGAGTTGCGATCCGTAACACAGAGCAAGGATCCCAGGCGGTGGCAGCCCGCTCAGTCCAGGACCATCATGACCACCTGCGCCTCGGTCAAGTGCCCAAGCTGCCCAGAATTTGGAAGCCCATGGAAGACGGCTGGCCTTTGTTGGTTCTTCTTTCCTGCCAGAATCTGAAAGTCCATGGCAGGTAGTTGGCATCGGATATGTCTGCGTTGCTGCCAGAATCTGAGCAAGCCAGAGCGTCAACGTCCGGTCGGAGGGGGATCAAGTCCTGGCCAGCGTCTATAAAGTCGCCGTTGGAAGCCCTGTCTTGCCACTTGCTTTCAGCCAATCGGTACTCATCTTCTTCCTGATCCTGTTAGCCAAGAGCTACCCTCTCTTCGACTGCTTGCTCACTTGACCTGCGAAACATCATTTCAACCCAGCCAGCCCCAGCCCGGCTGCGATTCACAGTACCCCGCTTCCCCTTGGCGAGATCAAACGGCATATTGCAATGGAAATGACAATCGAGGCCATCGTCGCAATCATTGCGCTGGGAGTTGCTCTCCCGCCCACGGCATATATTTTTTGCAAATGGATTCAACGTTGGCGCGGAGCCCGCCACAGAAGCTCCCGTTCCCATAAATTCCAGCGAGATCACGTGAAGAGAGCCGAGAACATGAGTGAGCTGACTTGGAGAGACCAGCGGTGGCTTCGACTGACGCATCTGTTACCGTGGTGTAACAGCATCATCACTGGAAGTCTGTCGTCTCAAACTATCTCAACGGCACGCCGAGATCTCGCCGCAGTTGGAAATAGAAACTGAAGCTTTCCAGGCCCTTTCTCTGGCGGCATAATGTGAGTTTTACGACACTTCCCCCGAGACAGATAGTCGCAGGTTTCGTGACGCTTCGTGAATGCTAACGGATGTGCGAAGGATTAGGTCGGGGCTGCTTGACGTTTCGAAGTAAGCGATGAAGACTCGGGCACATTTTGGAGAGAACAAAGATTGTGTATGCATATTTGACTGGCGTTGGGGTCATTTCATTGATTTGGGGCAGAGCCGAAGAGAATGTGTTGGAGCCCTCACGGCTTAATATCCAGAGGAAGGGACTCGGCACGCACCCGAGAAGTACCAGGACGAGGCGGAACAATGGCGGAGAGGTGGGATATTATGTCTCTGGGTGAAAAGGAGAGCAAACAGGCCCACGTTGAATTGTTTGCCGACGGGATCCTCAGACGCAATCAAATCGGGGATTGAATGTTGGACGTGCGGACGGGGGCCATGTCGGCGCTGTAACCGAGCTCTTCAACGGTATCGTGAGCCAAGATAATGGCCCAGCGAGGCTCGCCTGGGAGCAAGGGAGTCGATTAATTAATTAGCATGGAAGAGAAGTTGAACTTGGATTAGCCCCTCGTCAGGTGTAGGGTAACGCCCCGAAGTAGGAAGGAGGAGGACTCGCTGGAGACTGCTGACTCATCCACTGTCCACACTTCCTATTTTGGCCGATGAGTGAGGAGCGGCCCGCTCTGCGGCCCGGCCTAGGATGTGCGATGTACCATGTACCTGCTCGAGCGTCTACAACAATAGCGGAAAGCAAGTGCTCAACACCTGAGCAGCTGCCATTGGTGGACCCAGCAAGCATCAGGGATCGGCTCGTCACCCCGCGCAACGACGCAAGGGACAACCGAACCCGTCAGCTTGACTGTTGCCCCAAGTTTCTACACCGGCTGCGACGCCGACTTTTCCCACTCGTCCATTGCAGAAACATTTGATCTTGACATGGCATGTGTTGCATACTGATGAGACTCGTCGTTTCGAATCGCAGACCATGAGCGCCGTGAGCTGGCCAGCGCCGCGTCCATCCCAAGGCTTCGACGTCTGCAATCCGACCCAAACAAGCGCTGCCCGACCTCGTCATCCGCATTCCATCCCATCGAGACAGCCAGCATCCCCTGCTTCTTGCCCGAAGCCCGCAATCCTGTACAGACAATTGAAAGCCGGTCGATAACTCTAATCCTCCTCACCCGCATTCCCATCCGCCGAACCGACCCATACGCCGCCGCCGCCACTTTACCTTGCGAACCGGCCCGCGCCCGGGTCCCGGCCTCCATTCCCAGGGGTCGCCGCCATGGCGCCGGCGACAACGGGCGACTTCTCGCCGCCCGGCGCTGCGGGATACAGCTCCGACACAATGGCGGTCGGCGACGGGACGTGGGACTTCTCCAGGAACACCTTCCTGCTTCCCAACCTGCAAGGCCTCAACTTTGACACCATGCGCTACAATGGTAAGACTACCGCTTACCTCCTTGCCGCCGCCTGTCGCTTGTCGTCCCCAAAGCTAATCCTGGGTCGCAGGAATGGGAAATCGTTTCTCGACCCTCTCCCAATACCACCGCATCGTCGTGGCGCATGGAGTCATGGCGGCTCTCGTCTTCCTCCTCATCGTGCCCAGCTCCGTCATGATGGCGCGCTTCTACTCGAGGCAGCCGGGCCATGCCGTCGTCTACCATGCGCAGCTGCAAGTTCTTGCAGGCCTCATGCTCCTCGCCGTCTTCATCCTGGGATACTTTGCCGTCGGGCCGAAGCGAAGCTTGTCGAATCCCCATCACGGCATCGGGGTTGCTATACTCGTGATCTTCATCCTCCAACTGGTCGGAGGTCGCCTAGTCCGCCACATTGCCAAAATTCGATCGCTGCGCATCATGATTCATCAATGGTCTGGGCGAACCATTGCGCTCTTGGGCATCGTCCAAGTGCCTCTGGGACTCACTCTCTACGGCTCGCCCAGATATCTCTTCATCTTGTATGCGCTCTGGATGACTTTCCTCCTCTTCGTGTACTTCGTCCTGAGCTATCGGTCCGCCGGTCGCCGCGAGCTCTACATGAGCGGGGCCCGTTCCGAAGCAGGCCGTACCCGGATCACCGAGTCGGAGTATTTCTCCACAGACCCCAAGCCTCATAAAGAAGGATGGACGAGATGGTTGGGACCGCTGGCAGCCGGCGCAGGCATCTGGACCATGCTGCGAAGGCGGAATAAAGACCAGGGCCAAGGCAGGAGCCGGAGTCGGGCTCGGTCGCGGTCCTACAGCAGAAGCCACGGGCCAGAGGTCATCCCATCAAGACGCGGGTCTGAGAGCTTTCTCGGCGAAAAGTATTCTGAGACGACCCCCCCACGGAACCAAGGGGGCGGGATGATGAAGGTGCTCGGAGGGGCTGTCGCGGGCCTCGGTGCTGGGAAGCTCTTCTCGAGCTTCACGAACCGACGGCAAAGTCGACGAGATGAGGAATACTCTGCCGTGTCTACAGAGACACCCCGACGACAGCGATCCAGGCGAGGCGCCCCGACAATGAGCGAGTTAAGCAGCGACTACACCGACGACTACAGGCAGGACCCTCGCGCCGTGACCAACACGACTCTGCTTCCACCGTCGGCGAATCCACCACCCATTGTCCAGGGCAGAAGCGGCATCGACGACAGAGACCTGCGACGCCCCGTGACGCCCCGCCCCATGTACGCGCGTGAGTCCGTTGGCAGAGATTACGACGAGTCCGACTACTCGTCTTTTGTGAGCCCCTCCCGCCGGCCGGTCACCGATAGATCGGGCGGCGGCTTTGCCAAAGGCATCCTCGCTGGGCTGGGAGGCGGTTGGCTCGCCAAGAAGATGGCGGACAGGCGAGCGAGGAGGGAAGAAGAACGCCTGCGAGAGGAAGAGGAGATGCGGTCTGGGACGCAGGCCCCCAGATACACCGGTGACGGATACCTATCACCGACGAGAAGGAACTTGCGGCACCCTCCACCCAGACGTCCCACGGGCCGGGCGGGAGACACAGACCTGTCGGAAATCACGGAGTCGTCGGTAGTCTCGCGGCCCGCGGCCGGCAGCCACGGCGCTCCAATGCCTCCGCCGGCGCCCGGGGGGCACTCCAAGTCGCGGCCAACCGATCCTCGGGACTTGTCACGCTCCGAAGTAGAAGGCTCGAACATGTCAGCAGATGGCCGTCGCCCCCATCGAGGGTCTCCTTCGCGACGGACGAGAGCCGTCGAGCGTGCGGCAACGGCAGCGGCGGCACGGGCTAGCAGTCTTGCCGCCGACGAGGAACGCAGCCACCTCGACAACAGGGAGCGCTACGGCTCGCCGCAGAGTCAGCCGCTCAGCGTTAAGCTCAAGGTCCACGACGACCGGGACCGCAACGTGACGCTCAGGCGGTTGACCGAGGAGGAGGCCTTGGCGACGCGCGGGCCAAGGGGTCACGGCGACTCGATGAGTAGCCTCTCGGGCCTTGAAGCACCCGGTCAAGGTCGGCGATACCGGAGAGACGGGAGCCAGCAACGAAGGATGGAGCGGGCGGCGGAGCGTGCTGCAGAGCGTGCCGCTGAAGAGGAAGATCAACTGGCACCGCTTTCACCCCCCCACCCGGCGTTCGCCAAGGGAGCCCGGCGAGGCAAGGACTCTGCTTATTTTTCGGGACAGCCCGGCCCCTCGGGTGCAGCGCCGCAGGCCGGGCAGACCGTCTCGAGCCTAGGGAGCCCAGAAAGCCACGGGACGTGGAGCCAGATGAGCCTGTCGCCCAGTGGACCCGGCGTGGCCCCGGACTCTGCGGCAGCCGACGACAGGCGGCGTCGGCGGAGACAGGAACGGAGAGCAGCGGCTAGTACCGCTTCGCGGCCGTCAGGACAGGACATGTTTGAATGATTTTTTTGAGGGGAGGGGGGAGGCGAGGCGAGCCATGTTGGTTGATGGACTGAACCGACGAACAGACGAGCTATGAGCCCATGACAGGCTCGTGACGACGCATATAAAGAAGGTATGTATATACAGGACAAGGACGCGGGGCGACCAATTCTGGCGTTTGCGAGGGGGGAAGCATCTTGGGCGGCTTTATTACTTGGAATGATGGCTGCACATGGTGCATTACAGTCGAGAACGTGATACGGCACCTTTGGAGGGTACACAGTCAACAGTTATGAGGGAACGGACGGAATCACGGGCGCAATTGAGTGTACATTTGACGATGAGAAGCAGTCATGAGTGCCGACTACAGTTCTTTTGCTTTTAAACCGAAATGCGCTCCTTTTGCCAAGTTTACAACAGGGCCTAACATAAAATTTGCAGCTCGTCGAGCTTGACAGCGCCTGATAGCGCAAACGTGTACCGTATACATCTAGTACTTGACAGGTGGGCCGCCAGAGGCATGCAAGTGGATACAGCTAAGGTACCTTGACCAAAAGGTCGATATTCCTCGGCTCAACCAACCTTGAGCTGCCCCAACCCGACTTGTCTCCTCCCTTGACCGCTTCTCGCCTCGTCTCTTCGCTCCCCTCGACCGTCCTCGTTTCTTGTACACGTTCGCACGCGCCGCCCATCTGCCAGACCCGAGGGCGGCGGCCAATGGCTCTGGCTCCGACCGCGGCAAGCCCGTCAAAACGAAAAGGATGCCACCGCCCAACAGCCCCGACCCCAGGGCCCCAGGACGAGATGGCGCGCCGCCAAAGAGCGAGTACACGGCCATCGCGGAGCAATGGGGGCAGGCAAAGCGCGCCGAAGCGGCCGGCGAGGGCCAGCGGACGGAGAAGCAGAGGCTGGAGGGGCTGGGGAAGCAGAGGGAGGCTCTGAACGAGCAGAGGCGCAAGGCGTACGAGAGGCGCTGGAGATGGGCCGTCGCCTTTTGGGCGTGGCTGCTCGTCATCCACGCCGTCGGCATATGGCTCTTCACCAGCGGGTTTCTGCTGACGCGGCTGGTGCTCGAGGAAAAGTCGCAGTGCGCGCTGCCGCCCATTGGCAGCAAGCTGGCCTCACTCGACGTCGACGGCGGCTGCTGGCATTCCAAGACGTTTGACCGCGCCGTCGTCGTCGTCATCGACGCCCTTCGCTACGACTTCACCATCCCCGAGGACCCGTCCGGCGCGCGCCGGTTTCACAACGCCCTGCCCTTCTTGCACGACACGGCGGCTGCCTCGCCTCGACATGCCTTCCTGAGGCCCTTCATCGCCGACCCCCCGACCACGACGCTCCAGAGGCTCAAGGGCCTGACGACGGGCACGCTACCTACGTTTATCGACGCCGGAAGCAACTTTGCCGGGACCGCCATTGACGAGGATAACCTGCTGATGCAGCTACGGGGCGCCGGCAAGAAGATTGCCCACGTGGGCGACGACACCTGGTGGTCTCTCTTCCCGGGCTATTTCGAGCCCAACATTTCCAAGGCCTACGATAGCTTCAACGTCTGGGATCTCCATACCGTCGATAATGGCGTCATCGACAACATTTTTCCTCTGCTGGACGCCAGCAGCAACAATGGGCAGTGGGACTTGCTCATCGGCCATTGTCTCGGTGTCGATCACGCCGGGCACCGGTATGGACCCGATCACCCTGCCATGAACGCGAAGTTGCAGCAAATGGACGGATTTCTCCGCAAGCTGACGGCCGAGATCGACGATGATACCCTGTTGGTCGTCATGGGCGATCACGGCATGGACAGCAAGGGCGACCACGGCGGCGAGAGCGACGATGAGGTCGAGGCGGCGCTGTGGATGTACTCGAAGAAGCCCGTCTTTGGACGCACGTCGCCCGAGTTTGCGACGCCCCCGGCAACGGCCAAAATCCGGCCCGTGAACCAGATTGACCTCGTGCCGACCCTTGCGCTGCTCCTCGGCATCCCCATTCCTTACAACAACCTGGGGCGCCCCATCGAGGAGGCCTTTGCCGGGCCGCGCGGCAGCGACTGGGCCAACCTCGCCGCAGTATCGCGCATGGCCTCTGCCGGCATCGAGCGCTACCAAAAGTCGTACTTTGCCGCTCGCGGCGTCTCTCAGAGCTCGGAGCCGGGGTCTCCCGCCGCGTTGTGGGCGCTGGCCAACGCCGGCGGCATGTCGGAGCGGGACACGTACGATGCCTTTGGCATGTTCCAGGCGAAAACGCTTCAAGTTTGCAAGGGCCTGTGGGCGCGGTTTGATGTGCCGCGCATGGTAGCCGGCGTCTTCATCACCGCTGTTGGTGTCGTGATCCTGTTCATGTACTCGTCCAGGAGTCCTGATGATGCCTACGCTGTCATGAACGACGTGGAACTCGACTACGCCGAGAAGAAGCTTGAACTGGTTGGATTCACGGGCGAGATTGAATCCCACGCCGACCAGTACTACCACAAGGACATGCTGCGCGGACTCTGGGGTATCCGGTTCCTCTTTGTCACGGGGGCCCTCATCTTTGCTGCCGTCTACCGTGGGCAGCCCATGGATGGGCTGGCTGCCTTGGTGATGACACTGATGATGACCAGTGTCGGGACCTCGCTGCACGAGGGCGGCAAGACGCTCCTCAACCTGCTGCCGCGCGACTTTTGGGGGTGGCTGTCGGTTGTCTTTACGCTCAGCCACTCTGTGGGATTCGCGTCCAACTCGTATACCATCTGGGAAGACTCGATCCTCCTCTTCTTCCTCACGACCTTTGGCGTGGCCTCGGCGGTAGCCTCTTTCCGCATCGAGTCCAAGGTGGATCGCACCATGGCCATCTACCACTCGGTTGCGTTTGTCGTCCTTGGCCGGCTGGCGTCGTACTCGAAGCTCTGTCGCGAGGAACAGATGCCCTACTGCACGTCCACCTACTATGCGTCTGCCGCATCGTCGACGTCGGCCCCGTGGCAACTCGTCATCCCCTTTGTCGTGCTTGTGGTTCTTCCCTCGGTCATCAAGTCGTTTCTCGTGCCGATGAGGTCATACGAGGGCCTGGCGCCAACCTGGATCGGCTATGTCTTCCGGGTCGGACTCTTCATGTCGGCCGTCTACTGGGTTATCGACGCGGCCGACAACGGCGACTGGCTAGCCGGCAGGCTGCCGGAAGGGACGCTCAAGGCGGTGGGCGTCTATCTTGCGCAGCTGGGCCTGGCGCTGGCGCTTGTGGCTGGCACGACCGCCTTTGTATGGGCGCCGCCGTGCGTGTCCATTGTGTCGGCCACGTCCAAGACAGGTCAGGCCCGCGTCGTCATCCTCGGCTACGCCAACACGCTCGGCGCGCGCTACCTCATGTTGCCGCTCAATATCCTCGGGGCCTGCCTGCTTCTCTCGAAGCCGATGGGCTCGGGCGCCCTCGCGCTCATGCTGTGGCAGGTGCTCTCGCTCGTCGAGGTGCTGGACTACAATGGCCTCAAGACGGAGAGCATCGGCCCCGTGGTGCTCGCCATGCTCGGCAACTTTTACTTCTTCAAGACGGGCCACCAGGCGGCGCTGTCGAGCATCCAATGGGACAGCGCCTTTGTGCCGCTCTTCACCATCCGCTACCCGTGGTCGCCGCTCGTCGTGGCGCTCAACACGTTTGCGGGCCAGGTGCTGGCGGCGGCGTGCGTGCCGCTGCTGGCGCTATGGAAGACGGGGCCCAAGCAGAGGGGCGTGCTCGAGGCGGTGGCGCGGGCGGCGGGCATCTTCGTCGCCTACTACGCCGTCGAGGCCCTCGCCACCATGAGCTGGGCGGGCTGGCTGCGGCGCCACCTCATGCTGTACCGCGTCTTCAGCCCGCGCTTCATGATGGCGGCGGTGCTGCTGCTGGTGCTCGACGTGGTGGTGGTGGCGGTGACGCTGGCGGGCTTGCGGAGCAACACGCTCTCCGTGAGTGAGGTTTTTGGATGGGCCGAGTAGTGGCGACGTCGTGTCATGCACGCTCTCTGGCTTGTGTTGTGTGACATGGGCGCAGAAGTAGAGAAGCCAGAGATAGGGCTTGTTTATACCTTTGGCTCACAGTCGGACAGATTTCCCCTGTTTTCACACATGCAGGGGGTAGGTGGTTCTAGGAGCTTGGCGCCCTGACACATACAGATACATTGGCAACGGCTATATATTCGCCTTCGATTTAGCGTACAGTTGATTTCCCAAGTCCCTGTCCTGATGCACAGTTTGGTGGATGATTCGACGTGTTGCCGCCACACAACAAACACCCCCAACTCTTCCTCGTCCTGACGCGTGCCCATCTCCAGCCGCCGCGGCCGTCAGTCTCACTCGGCCTCGACCTCAGCCGTGCCCTTGACGGCCAAAGCACCGCCAGGCCCCTCGACCCAAACATCCCACATGCACGGGGCGGCAAGCCTCCTCGCGCAGACGGTCATGGGCTCGCCGACGTAGAGCGGGGCGTAGTTGCGGTACGTCAGGCGGCGGACGATGCCCTCGGCGCGGCCATGGTCGCTGCTGTCGCTGCAGGCGGCGGCGAGGACGCGCAGCATGAGGGCGAGGGCGAGAGGCCCGTGGACGAGGAGGGCGCGGTGGCCGTCGGTGGCGGCGGCGTAGCGCGGGTCGAGGTGGATGGCGTGGGCGTTGAGGGTCAGGGCTGAGAAGTGGAAGAGGTGGGCTGGGGTCGGGGGTCGGATGGGGACGCTGAGGCTGGGCGGGTGCGGGTCTGTGAGGAGGTGGTGGGTGAGTATATGTGATGCTTTCTTGCGGTGGGTGGAATAGGGGTAAGGGGGAGAGTTCGTGTACATTTGACAAACCGCCGAGTCGGAGGAGGCTGGGACTCGCATGTCTTTGAAGGAGAGGAGGAGGAGCAGGAGGCAGCAGGCTTGAGGTCCGGAATGGGCATAAACACCAGCGTCCGCCTCTCCTCAACATCCCACCCCTCGCGCTCCCTCTCATGGCCCAGCCCATAGCGTCGCCACACATCGACAAAGACCTTATCCCCCTGTCCAGCGGGCACCCGGCGCACCCTTTCGAGCGCCTCGCTACACGCCCACGGGCGCCCATCCAGCCGCAACCCCTGACGCCACCCGTCGCGGAAGACGAGCTCGCCGCCGGCCCACAGCCGGCGGCGGCGCAGCCCCCCCTGCGGCGGCGGCTCGTGGTCGCCGTCGGCGCCGTCGGCTGCGAGGCCCGACGGCGGCGTCTGGATGGGGAAGTAGACGAGGTGGTGGCCCTGCGGTAGTGGCGGCGGCGGGGTTTGCACCGCGGGCGACGACGGCCGCGGCCGCGGCGCGGTGCCGGTTGTGAGGTCGGTGAGGAGGGTTGCTAGCAGGTGCGAGGGCATCGGGGTGAGGTAGTCTGGGATGAACTTGGGTGGACGGCGCGTCATGACTTGCTCCATGGTCTGCGGGCTGTTCGTCGCATCCGCCGGCGACGACGACGGCGAGGATCCCGCATCAGCATTGGTGGCGGTGGTCGAGAGCCATCGCGCAGTCCTCCCACAGCCCCGGCGCGGCCCCGTCACAGCCACCGCGCTTCGCATCGTCGTCCTCGCCGCAAGGCATGAGTCTGGCCCTTTCATGCCCCGCAACGACAAGAGCCCCTCACGCCTTGCATGTATGCACCCGGCCGCTCTCCCGTGCAGGCGCTTCATGCGACGACCGAACCCGCCGGGGCGGCTTTGGATTCACCAAGATGCTTCTCTCAGTGGGTGCGCGCGCGCCGATTGACCTTGACGAGCTGGTGTGTGAGCTGGTGTGTGAGCTGGTGTGTAGCTGGTTGTTGCAGGAGAGAGAAGCGGCACCACCAGTCGCCCCGCGTCGCCTCATTCTAGGCCTACTGTACACTCTCGACCCCCGGCTCTACCCAGCCGACCAGCGACAATTGAACTTGATACGAGCAAGTGCAAATAGACAAGCCAAGCCCCGTGCAGTTGCGCTCGACGTCAATCACAAAGCTGTCGCAAGACTGCCTCAAATCGCATTTTGCTCCATAACCCTCCCTACAGCCCCGCCGGCTCTTCTAGCTCGTGGCCATGGCCTACCACAATTCTTCCTCTCCCTCTTCTAGTCAGACACATTCGACACCGAGTGATTTTCGTATCCCATCCACGACAAGATCGGAGCGCCGCCCGCGACCGCCATGCCTCAACTCAACTCTCCACAGCATCCTCCTTGCCGCAGCAACCCCCCGCCTCCTGGACCCTCTCTTCCATGCCGTGCCCAAGCAGCTTGACACTTGTCCACGAGACGTGTACCCAATGACCAGCCAAGACGAGCTCCCACCACGTGCAGACTTCATCTTTCCCTCCAAGCTGGTCTCGTGTCACGCGGACCGTCGCTCTTGTGCGGTCCACATTAGGACAGGAACTCGGTGGACGATGTCACCTTGTTCTTGGCAGCCCAAGTCTGCAAGTCGGCCTTGCAGTTCTTGAGAGCACCCGCCAGGGCGAATTGGGAGTCGATGCCCTCAATTCTGTGAGTCGAGTTGATGTTCTTGACCAGCGTGATCTGGAAGCAGGTCGCGGTGCCCTGACGCGAGGCAATCGTGGAGTAGCCGAGGAAGTACTCCCAAATCTGCAAGCAAACCCAACATTGTCAGCTTGCGGAATAGAGGGGAAGCATAGGAGGAGGGACATACACGGAACCAGCGCTTGCCGTACTTGGCCTCAACCTTGTCGCGGTTGGCCATCCAGTTGCGGTACCAGCGCCAGAGAGTCGCCGAGTAGTGCACGCCAATGGTGTCGATGCCCTTGATCTCAAAGCCAGAGCCCTCGAGCTTGTCCACGACCCATCCGAGAGGCGTGGACGCGTCGGCACCGGGAAAGACGTACTTGTTCATGAACAGGCCCCAGATGAGATCCTCGTATTGCCAGGGCTTGCGAAGGCCGGCAATCTGGAGGAAAAAAACGCCATCGTCGTCCAGCATGTTGTAGACCTGGGTGAGAAAGCCCGAGAAGTGACGGACACCGACGTGCTCGGCCATCTCCAGGCATGTGATCTTGTTGTAGCCGCCCTCGGGGACGGGGATGTCGCGATAGTCCATGCACAAAACCTTGCTCTGCTCCTCGGGAATGCCAACCTTGCGCATGGCGCTGTTGCCCCAGGCCGTCTGGTTGCGGCCAAGCGTGACACCGGTGACGTGGGCGCCGTAGTTTTCGCTGGCGAAACGAGCGAGGGTGCCCCAGCCGCAGCCAATGTCGAGCATCCTCTCGCCAGCCTTGAGGCTAATCTTTTCGCAGACAATGGCCAGCTTGTTGTCTTGGAGCTGTTCCAGAGACTCCTCCTTGTCAATGTCGGATATGATGCCGGATGTGTAGATCATGCGAGGGCCAAGGAACCAGCCGTAAAAGTCGTCACCGCGGTCGTAGTGCTCTCGGACTTGCTCCTCGTCTATGACAGTATCATCAGCAAATGGCCAGGCGCACGCGAGCGGTACGAGGGACGCATTGAGCCCTGCAATCTACGGGTAGGCTGGAAAGGGACGTACCTTGGGAGCGGGTGTGCATGATGAGCTCGGGGATCGTGCCAAGGAGAAAGAACCTGATGAGGCTCACGGTGAAGCGGAAGCTGGCCCAGTCGTGGCGGTATTCCATGACCTCGAGGCAGTCGCCCTTGAAGTCGACGTCGCCGTCAAAGTACATCTCGTGGAAGGTCTCCATGGGTATCTTGTTGGAGCCGCGGTACTTGGCGCGGTCCGACTCTTTCTTGAAATCCAGGTAATACTCGACCGGGCGGCCCGGCAACTTGGCCTTTTCGTTGCGGCGGGGGCTGATGGCGGAGACGACGAGCCACCATGTGACGAGAAGCGGGACATCGACGAGGAGGGCGAAGAAGACAAAGGTCTTGAGGCCAGCGCCAATCTTCCAGGTCATGTAGAGGGGGGTGCCGACGAGGATGGCGATGAGGGCCGTGTTATTGAACGAGTCGGAGCCGGGGCCGTCGGCGGGCAGCGGGCCATTCTTGATGGACAGGTACTACGGAGCAGACGCGTCAGTGACATTTGCAGGGAAGAGGCGGTGCCGTGCGAGACGTGTCCTGCTGGGGAGAGACTGCAAAGCCCTCGCTGACGATTTGGGAGCTTGGGACCGAGGAGAGAATGAGGTGGAGGTAGTGCAGCAGGGAGCTGGGAGCTTGCATCCTACCTTTGTAGTACGGACGCCGCACTCCTCCTTTTCAAACGACGGCGGCGAGGCCTTTGGAGTCTCGATGAACTCGAACTCGCTCTCGCTGCCATTGAGGCTTGTTGGTTTCGACATGATGTCGTCGGTGGCGGTAGCACAAGCTGGCCCCCGAATTGTCTTGGATGGTGGACGAGCGGGAAATGGCAGTGGTGGAATTGGAAAAGGGTCCCCCAGGCGGTGGAGGAGAGAGCAGGAGGACGAGGGGAATATGGCTTCACCGACCAGCTAGCTGTTTCACCGGGGCCGGGGAGGATTTAGCCGCAGAAGCTATGGGTAAGTACTAGGGCTAGGTGCACCATGGAGGAGAGAGCTCTGGTGACAAGGTACTTGCAGCCCCGGCACGGCTGGCAGAGAAAGTGGTGTACTTCTTGTCCAGCATTAGCCGACTCCCCACCGGCAGCCACCTTGGATTTTTTCAAGGTTTGCGGAAAAGGGGGAGGTTTGTCGGTAGAGTTTCGAGCCTCTTTGTATCCGTATGCCCATCAACTCTGCTCTGCAGCCACCTCACGGCCGCGCCAAGAGGCGAGGCGGTGAGTGTGCACAGTATGTTTGGCGAATGCAGCGAAGCTTCCTGCGTGATGCTGCCGAGGCATGCACAAAGTCGGTGTCTCTCGGGAAGCTTGAGCATCCGCACAGTGCCCCGAGACGGTACACCCGGTACCTGGGAACTCATCCCGGCACCGCCCAGGTCATCTTAATAAGGTGTGGCGCAGTGACTGCCATTGTGCCTGGCATGAAAAGGAGGTAAGACAAAGAGCATGCGGCGCTTGTTGGATTCGGACTGCACTGCGAGAAACCGTCGCAGGACCGTCTCATCGAGCTCGGCCCATTGAAAGCTTGTCTAGGTTCACTCTTTTCCGCCAGTTTTGTACCTTCGTTTGCTCTTCGACGAAGCCCAAGGGACAAAGACCGTGCAGAGTACCTGAGCAGAGCAGAGAGTACAGTGTGAATAGACGATATACTGTGCCGTCTTGCACGGGAGCCAATAAGCAAGCCTGGCCTGGCGCAATCTGGCCACCTGGTCTGCCGCTTCAAGGCTTCCCACCATTTTCTCCAGCGCCGTTGGAATGTTTATGCAAGTTCCAGTCGAGCACGGTGCAAAGCATGTGCACGACCAGGAACAGCATACTGTCTATATCTTCAGATGTGAACGTACGTTGGCTTTATGCCACCAAGCATCGCCTTGCACTGTGACCCTGGCATCTGTTGAGCTTCCGACTCATCAGATGGTTTGCCCGGGTTGAGCCAGGATTGACGAGCTGCGGCTTAGCAACATTGAACCAAAAAGCCAAGATCCGTAGGGGTCGCCGTCATCCCACCGCGAGCATCTTCTGCCGATATGGTTGCTCTCTGGCCTCTGGCTCACCAGGCTGGCCATCAAGTCTCTTGGCAAGCCAGTACGAAACTTGTAGATAACTCCCGTTTCCTGTACCCAGCGTTGCGTCAAGTGCACGGCCAGGCAAAGATGTCGAGGCTCTTTCAACGGCTCAAGTACACAGGGGAGGGAGGTACAACCAGATGGGCGAGCAGTATTCGACTGATCAGGTCACGGTGCTATCGGGGTACCCACTCTCATTCGTAGCGAGGCATCAAAGCCGTGTCATTTCCACAAGAGGAAGGGGCGCCCACGACGATGTATTCAGGCTCCCGACTTTCGGCTCCCAACCTTCTCCACTTACCCATTCCCTCTTCACCTCCATTTGCCTCGTTTTTTCAAGCCCAAACCTGTAGCCGTGATTCTTCGTCGGTTTTCCTACGCGACCTGGCGGCCTTCTCGAACGACGCGTACCCCCAACATCCTGCCAAGTTGAAAACGTCTCTTTCCACTGTCAATATCGCCCTCTCAAGCTCACTGCTCAAGAGCGAGGCGAGAGTTGACGGGTACTCTTCACCAATTGCGAATACTTTCGTGCTGGCAAGCTTCCAGTCGCCAACAGTATGGCAGTTCGCAGCAGGCAGTCTCAGTGGTAGGCACATGGAAGAAAGCTGAGCTGCGCCGTTCAGCTTCCCACGGCCACAGACCCGAGACCGCATTCGTGCCAAAGCTTGCCGTACGAGAAGAAGTGCCACCGGGATTGCCAGAAACAGCTCCTAGTTACTGCAGAAAGCGGCGCAACGGAAATCAAACTTGCTCCAAGCTGCCGATGGCCGCTGGCTTTTCGACAGCGGCGAGGCCCGTTGTGCCATGAGCCCGTGTCATCTGCCAGTCGAGAGACGCCAGCGCGTGGTTTCCAAGAAAGGCTCTACGTGTGCGAAAGCACCAACCATCGATAACCCCCCTGAAGAATCGACTGCGTTCTCACGCGGACCAGCTGACAGATGAAAACCCAACCGAGGAATTCCATGCTGGAGGACTTTGAGCCCGAGTCCTTCAAGTCCTCCAAGCATTGCTGGACAGACGGACATGACTCGTTTTCCCTCTGGCGGTCCTCGGCAAGGAATTGGACGTGTGCAACACAGCAACCTTGCGGGATAGCATGGCCACCACCACCAACCAGCCTTCACCAAAACTTTCTGGCAGCTTGCAGGCCATGGGAATTTCAAATGGACAAGCGCCGTAGCGTAAGTCACGCTCGGATGGGATGTTTGTGCATACAGGCTCCCCACTCTGTCGACTAGCTGTCATGCCCGACATGATCGGCGATTGACCCCCTGCCTGCGAGGCAACTTGGGTCAGACTACTACTCTGTCAGATGCAGCAGACCGCCCCCCGACTGGGTGGTCGGGCCAACCACGTGGTAACCATCTTGGAAAAGGGCTCGACGGATTCTCCTGACAAGCCGAGCTCTCGCACATCAAGGGCGAGAGGTGACCTGGCCTGGCCCGTGGATGCGCGGCCGCCAATCCCCATGGAGTCGTTCAATGAATAATATACGAGCATGTGTATGTAAAACGGGGCTGGCTGGGTGTCTCCCTCAGCTGGCACGAGCCATTCGGGGCTGGCTGCACACCCTTAACCCGGTAGTTTGTGACCTTGATGCCACCTTATTGGACGTTGCCTTACATCTCACCCCCTCTTGGGTATTTGGAGCTGGGACCTCTTTGACGCCAGACGACGGATGCATCGTGGCCTGAGACGCTCTCGGAGCCAGTCAGCTGTGGGCCCACCAATTTTGAATGCATACGGACTAAACGAGATGCGCCAGCCGCCGAGCATAAGTCTGTCTGCAGGACATTGCAGGCGCTTTAACCCAACATATCGGTTACTAAGTCTTTGCAGAAGAGAGGTCTCGTGCAAGGCAGCTTTGACCCCCTGGCGAGAGCCTCATCATCATCCAGGACAACAACGGCTGTGGCTCGATGCCATAATCAACGGAAGCCAAGGCTCGAAAGAGCGAGATATCGGCATTCACATGCCCCGCTGTCCGTGCCTTGGGCTGAGAACAAGCATTGCATACCGCAATGTATGACGGCGCATCTTGTTGGCCCCGACGAATAGAGCCAGACCCGGTGACCTGGAACGGCTTGTCAGCCACCAGCCTTGAACCCGGCTGGTTTACGTGAGCGGCAACGCCAAGAGACGTCAGCGGCCACGGCCAGCACCTCGTTATTTTATTTCCATTTCTCTTGATTCTTGTCGACGTCAGCAGCGCATTCTTTGCACGGCCCGCCAACAAAGGACCAACTCAGGGCAAAAGAGGGGAGAGGGGGCGGGCTGTCGCATCTCATCCCATCTCACTAATGGGCTGCAGTACGCTTGTGGGACCCAAGGGCTCATCGGCCGGGGGCGTGCACCGAAGCTGTCAAACAAAAGGTTCACAGGAGAAACAATCGCTGAGGGGATCGGCGAGGGATGTGCAAGATCTAGCGGCCGCTTTCTCCATCTTTCAGCTGGGCCGGCTTCTAGAAGAGCGATCAGACATGGGTGACCGGCGCCGGGGAACTGGGAAAGGTAGGCTCCATCTCGGGCCAAACGGCGCCTCTCTCTCTCGTCTTGAGACAGGTGAAGGAAGGAAACGTGCATGTCCCCCAAGACGCAAGGCGTCTTAGTCCCATGTCTGGCTGGTTACACGCACCATCATCTCACACACCACACCCACCTCGCCTCGACACTACACATATCACACGCCCCCAGGTTTGATCGAGCCCCGGAGCCAGTCGCTTCATCGGAACCCGTCCCTTGGCCCCTTCCCAGTGGGCGGACCGACGAAAATGTGACCAAATTTTTGGAATGCGTCAACTTCGTCTTTTACTCCCCCCTTGCGCATGCCTTCCTTTTACCTCGTTCGGACGCTGCCGTGTCTCTCCGCTACACTTGCCAGCTGAGATCTCCCGCAGAGCGCCCACTCGTCACTGACAAGTCGTCTCCTGCTAGATCACACCAATCAAGCTCGATCAAACGAGGCGGAAGCGACGACTTGGGACAGGGTCGCGCACCGCCTCGTCTTTCGGCACTCAATCCTATATATATCTCCGAGGACTTTCTCGTCCCAACTGCCGCATCGACGTCTCTGAGCAAGGGCCTTCCTCGTCGCCATCGTCTCTCCTGTCTTCTGAGCCATTCTCATCTGCCAACAGCAGCTCTCAGGGGCACATCCACGTGTTCTTTCCTCTTTTCCCCGCGACGAGACGTGGTCCGGAACAAGACGACAACCCTACCTTGGCGAAACAGCCCTTTTATGACACGGTAGCCATGAGATCAGCCACAGAGCGGCACAGGGGCTTGACTGCCACGCTGTCTTCGGCCGACCTGCATCAGGGCCTGCAGATGCTCGACAGGACCGCTGCCGTCGCTGACAGCCGCATCTGCCAGCTCCTGCACGGCCACCTTGACGGCAGTGCCGGCATCATATCCGTCTCCAACAAAAAGTGCGCCCACTCCGCCACCCACGAGTGCCCGTACCTGGCCGACTCCAACTCGACTCTCTGCAACCCCTGCGCCGTCAACGCGGCAAAGGGCCAGCCATGCTCATGATATTCCCCCCGACAACGACCTGGCGAGTTGGGCATCATGGCCAGCGCAGGCCCAGAGTGACGGTTGCCTGTATAACAAGTGCACCAGACGGGGCGCTATGCCGCCATGTCCTTTGACGGAAATTGCATCTCTGGCCAATATTGATATTACACATGCATTCACAGAGGCGGCGCGAACCTCGTTGCTCTCAAGGACATCACGAGGGTCGAGAAGGGTCTCGGACACCGCCCGCGCTGCGGCTTACTGCCGGATTTTGGGGGAGCCTGTCATTGAGCAGGCATGAGTGCCGGGACAAATCGAGCGAGATGCAGCATAGGAACAGGCATGGTTGCTGGCACGTGGCATTGCGTGGGAGGCTATGCATATTTTGCTTTTTCGCCGTTTCTATTTTGATTTCATTCAAGCCACCTAGTAGTCGGCATGGAAGAGTGGCGGTGGACACGAGGCGCTGCTTTGCTTTGAAATCGGGTTTGAGGAAAGGATAGACAGCCAGCATCACCAACGGCTATTGAAAGTCGCGATTCAATGCCTCGGCATGGCCTCGTCGTCGTTGTCGTTGCCGACAAGTCCCTGACCCTCCTCTTTCGGCCTGGCACCGGCTTTGTCTGTTTAAGCTAGGCAAGCTCGAGTGATGACGCCCATCCGGTGTTGAAGAACAGTCACACACACCCCCCGTCCAAGCGTAAGACGAGCTAGCATCGAGAAGGGGTGCCGGGGAGGGGGGAACACGAATAGTCGACCGCCTTTCACATCATCGGGTTGCGGTTTACTGCCTCTGGCTCCGACTCCGAAAGCGTCACCATGTGGAGAATGGTGCCATGGCTACATATTGCCGCGGTCGTCACGGGATGTTTTTCCTTTTTTTCTTGCTCTTTGCTCCTTGCTTTGCTTTCTTTTTGATTAGGGTGACAGGCATACGGGTTCGAGCTGCGGCAGGCAGTCCGGACGGGCACTTGGCTTGGAGGATGGATCGGTAGGGTAGGTAGGTAGCTGACCGTGAGGGGGCAGGGAATGTCTTTGCCTTACCGGGCCAGACACACCCCTCCTTTTACGGCCCGTAAGTTACGAGAGGGAACAGACAAAAACAGCAAGCAGCACAAACCCCCAAAGAAGACAAAAAGAAAGGGCAGTGTGGACGAAGGGGGTAGAACGCGCCCCAAAGAACGGTCTCGAAGCGCGCCTCCATGCGCCCTAGCTCCGGCCGGAGCTGGCAGAAGGGAACACCGTGGCCGCGCCGAGATGGCAGAGAAACCAAAGCCAGGATGAACGGAACGACCAAGGAGGGGGAGGGGGGGGGAGGGCGAAAGCGGAATCCGTCCGCTCGGTCGTCCGCCCACGCCCCCGTCGTCCCGTGTCCGCGAACTCCGCCGCCGCGAGGCCGGCGATCCTTGGGCTGTGTGCGGGCTGTCGGGGGTACAGGATGTAATACGGTACTGTACGCACCATACTTCGGTACCATAGGCTACATTACGAGGGCCATGATTATTTTACTGCCCTCCTCCCCCCTTTCGTATGTCGGCTTCTAGACTTGGAGGCTATGGCTTTTTGTTTCCTTTGGTTGGCGCCTCGTCTAGAGTTTCTCTCCCAGCTGTCGCGCTGAAAAAGTCTTTTTCATCCTGCAAGACGACGACGACGACGACATTGAAGCTTACCGAAGCGGGAAGATACATTACACTTCGAAGAAGTAGGGCAGGGGTACGAAGGCACCCCTTCAAAAAACAAAACAAAAAAAACGGTCTTACCACGGCCAAGAAAGGGGGGGGAGGGGGGTGGATGGCATCTTTTTGACAACAAGGAGAAAAGTGAAGAGACTGAGAGACAGGCGCCAAAATCGGACTGGCATGTCGATCCAGGGCACTGTCCGTCGCCGACACTTTCGGGGGCCCCAGTGCCACGTGATGGGCGTCCAGTCGCGAAGCCCATCGTGTGTGGGAGCAGCTGAAGGTGAATCGCCAAGGACCGAAAAGGAAAGCAAAGATGTCTCCCTTGGTGCAGATCTTTCGTGTCTTGGGTGGTTGACACTTACGCAACGCACGACCGGGGGGGCACATCCTCGTTATAGGCACAGCAGTAGCAGCAGGAGTAGCAGCAGCAGCAGCGGCGGCGCAAACATGTCAAGTCTCGTTTGTAATTCGTCTGCGTCATTTCGTAGCTCATCCCGTCTCACGCCGAGGAGATTTTCGAAAGAACAAAAAAAGGTCATGACATCGTGGGTCTGGGCATGTACGTATTTAGCCATCTTCTCCTGCCCCTTGTGCTCTTGTTGCTTGCGTGGTGCGAGGCAGTGGTTGAGGGCATGATGGGCCACAGCCACTCTTTTCATTGTCATCCAGCACCTCTTGCCAAGAAAAAGGTAGGGTAGGATAATATCCCAAGGAATAGCTGATCTTCCCCTCGTTGGATTCCTTCCGTCAGTTAAAGCACCAAACGTCCTTCTCCAAAGAAGCCAAGGGGGGAATCAGGGAATTGTGAGGCATCGAATATAATCATTGAAAGGGAGGAGAAAGCGTCAAAGACAGGAAGAGGGATAAAGGGTATCGATTCTAGAGAGCGGCAGCAAGAGCGGCGGCCATGGCAGCGGCGGCGACTGCGGGTCCAGGCTGGAAGCCGCTGGCAGCACTATTAGGGACGGTTGGGGGGACATCGGTCGACGAGGTGGCCGAGGGCTCTGCCGGGACCATGGAAGAGAGGGGGGCAGTGCCACTGGGAGCTGCGCTGGCGGTCGAGTTGGGCATGGACCAGGAGGCAGGGGGGGCAGAAGGAGGCGGCTGAGGGGCAGCTGGAGAGGAGGCCTCGGCGGACGAAGGCGCCTCAGCGACAGAGGAGGGTGCCTCGGCGGCAGAGGAGTGAGCCCCCGTAGAGGGAGCGTCGCCAGATGGAGACTCGGCAGAAGCAGCCTCAGTAGAGGAGGGGGCCTGGGCAGAAGGGCCGACAGAGGACTGAGCTGAGGGCTGAACAGCAGAGGTGATGGGCGCAGCAGGATAGGGCGTCGGCTGGACGGCCAGGCTAGACGAAGATGAGAGCGGGCAGTTAGCCAGGGCCGGGTCGCACTGGACGACGGTCAGGTAGCGAGTGGTGGTGGCCGTCTTGGTGGTGGTGCCGGAGACGTCGTGCTGGGCGGCGACGAGCGAGACGGCGGCGGCGGCGGCGACAAGGGGGACAAGGCCGGCGGAATGCATGTTGAGGGTGATGGTCGACCGATGGAGATGTCGTCGGGTGGGGTTGCTTTAACAACGCCTGTACTGCTGTCTCAAGCGCAGTGGCATCAAGGAATGATGCAACGGAGACAAAGGCAGGATGTTTGTATAGGTCAGATACCGAGGCGTAACGAAGGTAGGACTGACGAAGCTATCGTGCAAAGCGAGCCAGAAGAAACGAGAGTTAGGGGCGATTTGAAGCGAGGGATTTCAGCCGGGCGACGAGGTGGACGGGCTGGCTCCGCTACTTGTACCCGATGGATTCTGCCACTGCCTCTCCTTCTCTCTCAGCGCGTCCAATTCTTTCAGAGCGGAAAATTCTGACTGGCCTGGCCCCGGCGTTGGGCAAGAGACGGGCCGCGGGGGCAGTGGATACAAACGACTCTGACTGGCCGTGCCTTGCAGGGCGGGCCGCCATTGACAGGGCCGGGGCTCGACGGTTGGTCAGTTGGGCTCCACGCATCGGCATGGACGGATGCCACGTTCGCTCCTCTCGGCTTGCCCCTCGGAGACGGTGTGCCTGAACGTGCGGGGGAGCACTGGACGGCTCGTGATGAGCCAAGCCCTGCCTGTTGCTGATGCATGCGCCACGGCGGCTTGCCTGTCGGGCCTCTGGGGAACGGCAACCAACAACTCTTGTCCCCGCGACGTGGCTTGGATGTGCCGTTCATTGCCAAGGGCCTCTTCTGTTGGATTGGTCGCTTATTTCGCCTGACTGCTTGCCGGCCAGCCGTTGATTCGACTGCCATCAGAGGAGCTGCCGAGACAAAATGAAGACGTCGACGGATGATGAGAGGCGGGCAGCCGGTCATGGTTCGGCGCCTCTAGGGTCTTGCACTAGCCTCCCGTCTCACTCCTTTCTCCCCGAGACGGTGTGAGACATGTGGAGGCGTGGGAGGATTCGTGGTTGGTGACTAGAGGACATGTTGGGGAACCTGGTGGCTCGTTGGTCGGGAGGAGAGAAGACGAGAGGCGAGGAGGGGATGGCGATGTCGCAGTCGGTGGCGAGCTGGAATGCGGCAAGACACGATGCTTGTCAAGATGGCCCGCGAGGTTTTGTGTGCATGTTTTCAGTTCTGATTTGCCGACAGGCAAAGCGGCAATTGGAGCTTGTCGAGGTGGTGTTGAGCGTTGGGAAAAGCATGGGGCGTTGGGAAAAAAGCATGGGGTAAGATCCGCAAAGTGACTCTTAGTCATACTGTGCGTGCGCGAGGAGCTCCGAAGCAAGGCAATTGCCGGATTTGGACAGCAAAACGGAAGGAGTGTCACGTCATTTGCCTGGGCAAAAGTTGAGTGCACACTCCAGCAGAAGGAGCTGCAAGTGACTGTTCTAAATTGACTGTTTTACACGTGACAAAGGAGCTACGAAAAGCCAATCTTTGCAAGTATCAAAGGAAAGAGGCAAAAGACAGCCCGCGACAACGGCTTTGGCTCAATGTGTAATGGTAAGCATGTACAGGTCAGCGGATTCGGGAAAGAAGCAAATTGCTTGGTGGGTGGCAGGCAGAGACGCGTCAAAGCAGAAGCCGTGGATGCTCGAAGCTGCTGTCCCCCGTCCTGCGATGGACACAGGCGCACACGCCTTGACCCCTTGCTGCTTTGGGCCGCGAGCGAGGGTGCATGCTAAGCAGGGCATCAATCAGAAGTCCTTCTGAGTGGCTCTCTGATTCGGCAATGCGCGGGCGAATCGCCGGCATCGGCCGGCCTGTTGGCGATTTCTCGAGGCTGCGCGGTTCGCCTGTGCCGAGCGTCGGCTGTCTGCTAGCAATCGCCCGCTAATGCCTGTGCTTTTTCAGGGGCCGCCTCCGCTATAACGCGGCCCCGTCCCCCCTTCTTCTCCCCTGAGGCACTGTCTCTCACCCACCCACCTAGGCGCCCTGCCCCACCCCCGCACTAGCGGGCGCCTCGGGAGGGGTGAGAGGAAGCCCAATCAATCAATGTCCCTTCTGTCCATCGTCAGTCCCATCATCTCACTTCCCGATCCTCAGGACGACCCATTCAACAAGAACCACCAACAGCCCCAACGCGTTGGCCACATCCGGCCCCTCGGCCAATATCCCCTCGCCCTCCCCGCACAATGACCACTTACTCGACCGACCCGGCCCTTTACATCTTCACCTCGCTCACTGCCGGCTCCTCCCACATCGTCACCGCCACCTCGCGCCTCGAGACCATCCTGCGCGCCAACCGCGTCCCCTTCAAAGCCGTCGACATTGCCACCGATGCAAAGGCCCGCATGCTGTGGGGTCGTCGCGCCGGCAAGGATGAGGCCGGCCGCGTGAGGAAGCTCCCCGGCCTGGTCCAGGAGGCCATTGTCCTCGGCGTGCGTTGCCTCCTCCGGTCCTCTTCCTTCCTGTCATGTGGCTAATCCACGCTCTTCCCCTGTGCAGGACCTGGTCGAAATCGAAGACTGGAACGAGTACGGCGAGCTCAAGCAGCACGTCAAAATCTACTACGACGAACACACAATCCCCTCCATCCACGACAAGCCTCCCGAACCGCCCAAGCCCAAGCAGAAAACGGCAGCCAAGCCAAAGGCCGCGCCCGCCGCGCCCGCCGCGCCACCCGCTTCCACACCAAAAGCCTCCTCCGCACAGTCGGCCTCCAGCAAGTCCAAGCCCGCCGAGCAGGACCTCAAGTCGGACCCCGCAAAGGCCTCCGTCCTCACCGTGCGGTCCGTCGCCGACGAGGCCGCCCAAAAGGCCAAGGAACTTCGCCTCCGAACCCTCCGCGAAAAGGTCCACGGTAAGGAGGCGGCGTCGGACGCCAAAACTGCTGGATCCGAAGCAAAGAAGGCCACTCCTGCCGCCTCCGCTGCCTCCGAGAAATCCGACACCAAGGCAGCCTCCCCCGGCGCCACCGCTGCGCCCACATCCGACCTACAGTCCCCCACCAGCGGCGCTTGGAAGGGCTTGGCCCCAGCCGCCGACGCCGACGCCGCCACCGCTCCCGAGCCCGTCCAGAGCCCCACGAGCGGACGGTGGTGTCCCCGGCCCGGGCATCTGACCGCTCCAGCGTCGCAGGCCGCCGAGGCGACGGAGGCCAAGCTTGAAAAGGAGGAGCCCCCCGAGACGGCCATCAAGGAGGATCCGAAGCGGGAGGGGGAAGGGGAGCAGAAGGCGGGTAAGAAGGAGGAGGAGTACAAGGCGGAGGGAGGGAACGAGCAGAAGAAGGAGGAGTGCAAGGGAAGGGAGAAGGAGAAGGAGAAGAAGAACGAGAAAGATAAGGACGAGCACAAGGTGGAGGAGCAGAAGCAAAAGACGGCCAAAAAGGAAGACTCCGTCAGCGCAGGGGACGCACAGCACTCCCAAGACAAGTAAACGGCGCCAGGGACAAACAAGACCGTCGGTTCTTGCTGGTCGATTGGTCTCCGACGAGGGCGTTATGTATAATATCAAACCAAGCACGGGGTGCATGCGTGCGTGAGAGAGAGAGAGCCAGCCAAGGGGACATTGATCCAATACATTGCTCTCTGCGGGTGGCATGCGTACTACTACACCATAACGTACGCAAACGGGAGATGAAATGGGCAAGTCGCCATGGCAGCGTGCGCTTTCTATCCTCCTTGCAAAAGCCTCCACCGATAGCCCTCGACAAATTGCGCCGACTTCACGCCACGCTTTCAGTACAGACCATCGTCGTCGCTCGCCGTCCCGTCCTGGAACCCCGTGGCAGCCGCCTTGCCCTTGCCCTTGCCCTTGCCCTTGCCCTTGCCCCTGGCCCGTCCGTTGACCGCGCCGTCATCTCCGCCCCCGTGCCCCGGCTCGTCGGAGTCGTCGTCAAACTCCATATCGCTCGTCGGGGCAACAGCTTTGCCCTTGCCCTTGCCCTTGCCCCTACCAGCTCGACTGGCGACACTGCTACTACCGGACCCGACCCTGCCACTATTCTTGGGCACATGCAGCGGAGCATGAGCCGAGGCATGGGCGGGCACCGCGCCGACGCCGCCCGGCCCATTGCCTCGCCGCGCCCCCTCAAACGTCGAGCGCACCATTTCATAGTGCGCCAGCTCGCCCGCGCTGACGCTGGGAACCAGCTCGCGGTGCGCGGCGCCAAAGTCGTCCTCGGTCACCAGCACGGCCACGTCGTCGGCCGTCGCGAGGTGGTCAAAGTAGTAGGCCGTCGAGATGGCGGCGGCGGCGCTGCCCTCGCGGTGCGCGCGCTCAGTGTTGATGGCCTTGACTTTCGCGTCCACGGCTGCCGCTTGCCGCGTGACCGCCTTGAGCATGGCGTCGCTACACAGCGCGTAAAAGTCGGCCCCGGTGTATGTGAATGGCAGGCGCTCAGCAATGGCTTGCAGCGAAACGGACGGATGGAGTGTGAACCTGTAGGGGCAGAGGTGGTGAGCTTATATCGACCAAAAGAGGAGCTAGAGATTGAGATTCCAAGGGAAGAGGCCAGTCAGCTTACTTTCGCGTGAGTGCCTCCAAAATGGTGAGCTGCTTGTCGTGCGTGTCCGACACACCGAGATAGAGCATCTTGTCGAACCGCCCGGGCCGGAGCAGCGCAGGGTCCAGCAGGTCAGGCCTGTTCGTGGCCCCAATGACAAAGACGCCGCCCGCGTCCTCGCCGCCCGACATGCCGTCGAGCTCGGCCAGGAGCTGCGACACGATGCGGTCCATGACGCCGCCACTGTCACCCTGGTTTCCGCGCTTGGGCGCCACCGAGTCGAGCTCGTCGAAGAAGACGACGCAGGGCCGCGCGTCGCGCGCCCGCTGAAAGACGCGCCGCACGTTTGCCTCGGACTCGCCAATGTACATGTTGAGTAGCTCGGGCCCCTTGACGCTGAAGAAGTTGAGGCTGTACTCGGTCGCAATGGCCTTGGCCAGCAGCGTCTTCCCCGTGCCCGGCGGCCCGTAGAAGAGGATGCCCGACCGCTTCTTCATGCCCTTGGCGAACAGCTCGGGCCGTTCGAGCGGCAGCTGGATCGTCTCGGTGACGGCCTCCTTGACGTTGGTGAGCCCGCCGACGTCGTCCCACGTCACGTTGGGGATCTTGGGGGCGCCGATCGAGTCGGAAAAGTTCTTACGCGCGGCCTCGACGGCCACATCGAAGTCGGCACACGTCAGGCATCGCGCCAAGGGCCCGCCCGACACTTGCACGTCTCGGACCGTCACGACGGCGCCGTCGTGGCTCGTCCGGGACGACAGCTGCTCGAGCCGGACCCACTGGGCGACTGACGCCCGTTCGACAACGTCGACCAGGTCCCCAGCCACCAAGGCGGCAGTCTTCAACGCGACGGAGTTGAGGTTGATGGTGGGCTCGAGGCTGACGCCCCGATCTTCCACTACGGCGCGTAAGATGGCCTCCCTTTCCGCCTCGTCCGGGGCGCCCATCTCCAACTCGTGTGTGAAGATGCCCCGTACCCCGTCCGGTATCTGGTCGACGTCGTTGGTCGTCGCAATGAGCACCCTGGTCTCTTGCAAAATCTCCTTCATCGTCGACTCGATCCGGTCCGCTGTCAGTGCCTCAATGTGCTGGACCAAAAGCACGCAGCAATCCGAGCCGCAGCTCATGGCTCGGTCAGCCCTGGTCCTCAAGAATCCATCCGTTTTCACGTCGCTGCCGCTGCCTCCACCCTCGCTCAGGATATCGTAGGCGTCAATAGAGTACGTGTGTAGACCAATGTCGGCACAGGCGGTTCTGGCAAGTTCCGATTTGCCAATGTTTCGATGGCTTGACGTGAGTAAGATGCCAATCGGGGGCATCCTGAGGTGAATGGCCCTCTGGCTTGTCGCAGCCGCAATGAGTTCCCTGAGCTGCCGCCTGAGGGGAGAGACGAGCTGCGACTTGGGCTCAGACAGCACCGACGATGTCGCATCCGAGCCTCGGCTGGGAGCTTTTCTCAGTCCCAGGTAGTACGGCCAGGTGCTCTGATTGCTTGGTGGAACGCGACTCTTCTCGAACCCAGTTCCGTGCATCCCGACCGTGGAGCTGTTGATGCACGCGACAGAGCCCCAAAAGGCCTCGGCGGTTCCGTCCTCTGCCTCGTCGGACCTTTGCACCTGTATGTGTCCGACTTTGAACCAGGCGACGCCGTCGACCTGAGGCGAGAGCGGCCAGCCCTTGCTGTCGCCGGCGGCCAATGCCATGACGTCGTTAACTTCGGAGCCGCTGCCTCCCGGCCCCTCCTGCAGAACTCGACCGAGCTGAGCGTCGACGGGCACGGCGATCAAGTCGCCGGTCCGGACGAGGCGTGTTTTCCGTGCAAAGTAGCGCTTGAGGCCACCCAAAACGGCAGTCTGGTAGGCACGCTCGGCCGAGATGGGGGTGCGAATGTGGTGAACCCCAATGTCCTTGGCATACGGAGGGTGCGACGCACTCGTGAATCGGGGGAGCGTCCCTTTCCCCTGGTAGGGTTCCTTTTTGAGCGCAGAGATGCGCAAGTAGGCGGCGCTGTCGAGATTGGCGAGCAGAACCGGGGAGGCGTAGACAGCAGGACTGGACGTGCGCTGCACCTGGGACTCGAAGAAGGACAATTTCCGCTCATTGTTCCTGGAGCTGGGTATCCGGGTGACGGGCCGCTGCGAGTATCCCTCTGGGAGTCCGTACACTCGCACCGGCCGCCAGTTCAGCGTCTCGTGCTCCCCCTGGCCGAAGCTTCCGAGGCCAAAGGCACCAAAGCCGTTCAAGGGGGGCTCCTCTGCCGCTTCTATGCGCGCCCAGTCGCCGGAGAAGCAGCCTATCTTGGGCAGCGACGACATGTCGACGTAAATCCGGGCCTCCTCGTCCTCCTCAGACGCCGGCTTCGGATGCAGCAAGTCCGAGGGTATCTGCCTCAGTAGGCCATGCGCCTTGAACAAGCGCCCTTGGGGCCGCTCAGGCCTGGCTGTCGTGGACGTGTAGTTGGAAAAGACAGAGGCGGGCGTGGCGGCGCCGTTTGTCCTCCGGCCGCGCAGCGTGCCTACAGTCATTGGCGTCCCAGGCTGCATTGTCCCGGCGCCGCTCGCGTTGGTGGGCGGCAGAGCGGGAGCCTGAAGCGAAATCATGTCGTCCATGGAGTCGTCTGAGAGCTCGTCATCTTGTTCCAGTCCCGAGAGGTCCGTCTCTGTCTCGGTGGCGGTCTCTGTCTCGTCGGGGCGCATATCTGCGCGAGTCCGGTCCTCTGCCGCAGAAAAGAACTGGTCGGTGTGGGCATCCTCGTCGTCCTCGGCAGTTCCGTTGATGCGTTGGCTCGAGGCCATGGACGCCTGGCGCCGTGCTTGTCTCGTATGGACTCTTCCGCGCATGAGGACGATTTTGGTTGAGTCGGCGAGGAGGCCCTGGGCCACTGGCTCGCACAGCAATATCTTGCCGGGACTGGGCGGCACGTGGGTGACGTTATGTGGAGCAAGGGGCAGCGGGAACAAGTCGCCTGCATGAACCACCTCGAGGCTGGCGAGGGAGGACCTGATGGCAGTCGTCAAGAGCTCCTCGGGCGACGTGTCCGCGGCGACTTTGCCGCGAGGATTGGCGGGATGGTCCCGGTAGAAGTTGCCCTCGCCATTCTCTAGTCTCTTGGTGGCCTCGCTTTCGAGGCTCACAAAGACGGTCTCGAGGGGCAGCGGGCAGACGTCGAGGACGAGGATCTCGATGCCGCTGCGGCTATGGCTCGACAGTTTGGAGGGCGCCAGCTGTTGCAGGGTAAGGGCGAAGCTTTGGAGAGCCGGCGACGAGGGGGAGAACTGGAGGGTCGAGTGGGCGAGGGTAGGGGATGAGACGACGGGTACGATGGACCAGGCCGTGCCGGAAGGGGTCGCATCGGGCGTCCATGGCGAGACGGCGACGTGGAGGATGCCGGCGGTTTCGTGGCAGGCTGTGCAACGCGTTAGCAGCGCGACATGGCACGCGCAGGGCAGGAGTGTGCCTGACGTACTGTCGTCGACGAGATGGGGGAAAAGGTCTGCAAAGAGGTCCCTGGACAGGTTGCCGACGTCGCTCTTGATGTGGTCGTCGAGGACGAGGCAGGCCGCAATGGCAGGCTTGTCCTGCCTTCGCCTGCGACGCCGTAGTCTGGCCGTCATTGTTGTTGTTGTCGTCGTCGTCGTCGTCGTCGATGGGGAAGCCTTTTGCCTACAGCGGCGCGACCATGGTTCTGGGCCGCAACAGAGCTGTTGATGGCCGGCGCAGAGCAGCAGCTGTCGACGTTGGGAGGTTGGTGAGGGTTGACGAGGTCATCTCCAGTTCCGGCTTAGCTCGGCCGGCCGGCTATTAAAGCGACTTGTGACTTGCCTCGGCTCGGATGCAGCGCCCGGCAATGGAGCGGCAAATAGCAAATAGCAAATGCCGACTAAGACGAATTCTTTCACTGCATCACCATTCTTTCCAAGCTATATTTCGATTCCATCTATTGACTCGGCGCATAACAATAAGTGACTCGTGAGTATACTGAGTACCTGCCAGTTAAACAAACTACCTATCTTGCACAAAACAGATCTAATAACAGCAATCAACCAAAAGGAAAAAGAAAAGGAAAATTCTAGCCGCATCGGTCGCCCTTTGTCCCGGTCCCGTCGTTGCCTCCGCACTACATACCACGCAAGTCTTGGGCAAGTCTTGAGCCATCGACGCCCGGGCTCCAATGACCACAACAGGCTCTCGATGAGTGTTCAAAAACGCCGCTTGGTTCGTTGAAACAAAGCCGTCAACTTGGCCCCTACCAGATCAGCCGGCCACTGAGAAAACACCCGTCAGCGGATAGTGGCAACTTCTATTTCGCCTTGCCGCCTGTCTTTGGAGAACCATCTTCGGCCACTCCTCCATCTTTCGCTGGAGCCGCAGACGCCGATCCGCCGTCGCTGGCCCTGGTCGGCCTCGAGGTGGACGCCTCAGGACAGGTGCCAGCAGGAGGCAGGGCGCTTTCACTCTGGGCCTCCTGCAGGCGGCTGCTCTGTCGGAGGGACGTAGAGGCAGCCCGAGGGGAGCGGATTGCCTCAGGACTCGGGCGGGATTCTCGCTTCGAAAAGGAGTGTTTGGCATTGCCGTCCGGGGATCCTGCAGCATCCTCAGCCACCGGCGCTTCATCAAGAGATGGGCTTGCACCCTCCGAAAGGGAGCCCCTGGCAGACGGAGGGGGCCTCGACGAGGCCACTGGCGAATCGTCTTGGCTGCGACGGCGTCTCGACTTGGTCGGTGAGGTCGCGCCACGTTCTCCGCCGTTTGGCTTCCGCTTTTTGGAACGCTGCTCCTCTTGGACAGAGGCGAGCTCCCTCTTCTTGGCCCCTCCTGTGGTGGACTTGGCTTGCGTCGATTCGGCCGCTACCAGAAGGACTTGCTGCCGAACCCATTCCACAAGGATTTCATGGTAGGCCATGTCCCTTCGGTTAAGGCGGAAGTGCCGCACTTGGCGGGCGTATTTGTGCATTTGATCCCCCCGTTCCCTGCAGCGCTCGCTCTCTTTCTCGGCCGCCGCTAAATTTTCCGTTGCCTCTCGCATCATCCGTGAACGGTCTGACTCGGGCATGTTGTGGCGATCCGGGTCAACCTGGGTCAGCGTGTGGACCCTTTCCACCTCTGCTGCCGCGGCGTTCTTGGCTGCAAAAACCGCCTCCTGCCAACGATCTTGCCCGTCGTCGTGTTCAGAGCTCCATAGGATTTCAGGGGTATCGCCGGGTTCCAGCACCTGAGAATCCAGCAGCTCTTGCCAGGCTTTGTCGTGGAGTGGTTGGTCCTGCTTTATTCTGTCGTCATACCAGTCGAGCGACCAGTACTCGAAGTAGAGGTACTCGGTCCAGGTCGTCAGACTGTCTTGATGTTTGGGCGTCTCCTTCAGGTCAAATGGTCCAGTGAATCCGTGTCGCGCCAGGCGCCTCCTCATGGCGTCGGCGTAGTCGAAGAAGCTGTTGCATCCGGGCTCTCGATTGCGATTCCGAAGCTTCTCTCGTTCACCTTGCCACCACTCCCAGTTCGATGTCACGCATGATGGGTTGGCCTCAAGCTCGGCTACCTTCGTATCGTTTCCCGATCTCCCGAAAAGGCGCTTCAGCCGCTCGACAAAGGCTGGGAAGCCGCCGTCGTCGTCTTCAAGCCCTCTATGGTCGTTTTGCCATTTGCGAAACTGCTCCCACCTCGCCCACTGTCTCCCGAAAACCTGCCACTCCAGAGTGTCCAGATCAGGGTAGAGCCAGGGCTGAAGCATGTCGGAAAAGAGGTGCACGTCTGTCGACACCTGCTCCAAGAGGTCGATGGGGTACAGTGGGCGGCCGCCATCATTGACCAGGTTTTGGTATGCCTCCATCTCGTCTTCCATCTCATGTTTTTCAAAATCAATAAAAGGGGTTTCTATTCCCGAAATTGGCGACTGAGCTCGCCGTGCCGTGTCGGGGCCGTCTGGTATCTGACGCAAAAGCGCATCGAGTCTGTCGAGGTCGAGTGGGCGGGAAGCGGCAGACTGGGCCAGCTTTTCTTGTTGGGCGCTAGACGCTTCTTGTTAGCCAGCGAGAGACATGGGCCGAGGGATGGCGAACCGGAGTCTTTCGGCCAGGCGCTGCCGCTCCTTCTGTGACAGTTTGGTCCAGTCGTCGACGGGAAGACAGAATTCACCGTCGGGACCGCGGTGATCGTCCATGAACCGGCCGAGACGCTCATCGCTCCAGGCGGCGATGTCCTCTACCGTCACCGTCAAGGTCGGAGAAGCTGATTCTGAGAAGGACATTTTGCCAAGAGTCAGGGGGGATGCAAACTTGAGCCTTTGGGTTGTGGGGAAAAGAGATGAAGCAGGGTCTTTATGTTTGCTGAGGCCCCGGCATGGGACGGTTCCGTCCTTTGTTGCAAGCCTCGGCTGACGGACTTCAGGCAACGAACGACATAGTTCCATTTCGGTATCTGGATCCAGCACACCAACAAGGAGCACGGCCAAACCCCTGTCCCCAGGCAGCCAGTATGCGAGGTGAACAAAGCACCCCCTACCGCCCCGGGCCCCTATTTTGGAAGAGAGGCTTGTTCCTTTCCTCCTCTTGCCAGGGTGCTGCCGCCTATGCAGTAGCAGCAAGCAAAAACATCTACGCCACTACCAACCAAGGAGTCCCCTTGTCCCCTTGCTTGTCCCCTTGTCCGAGACTCAACGGGATCAATAAACCCCGGCCAACAACCAACCGGCCGGCCCAAGGTTTGCACCCTTTCTGCAGCCCACCAGCATCACAAAGTGGCTGCATATACCAGGGATACTCTAGATGGCGATTGGCTATATCTGAAACAAAAGATCTGCCCGCCTGATTGCGGAATATGTACTTACCTGCTGGACCCGATGGTAAAGCTGATCGTCTGGCCGAGCTGCTTATGCTGCTTAACGAAAATTGTTGGAGAGAAAGGGTGCTCGGAGCTATATCCTCCTGATAGAAGGAGGGTATGTCTACTTCTTCTTACCTGTACAGTTAGCATTAGATCAAGTTCCTCTACGCTCATATCATACTGGGGCATGTAGCCGCAGCGGCTTTGTGATCCCAGTGGACTGACCCCTTTGACTTCGGGCAAACCAGGCCGCATCCTGTTGGACGGCTCTCTTCGTCGCCGAGCGCTTGCACTCTACTTGCGGTGAATACCCGTGAGACAAGGCTGACGTGGTCCGGGCCCAGAATGCGCGACGAGACAGAAGTGACCCTGATCCAAATCGTCACGCAATGCGGAAGTGGCCCTGGTCCAAATCGTCACGCGGAGCAGAAGCGGCCCTGGTCCAGATCGTGAGACGAAGCCGGAATGGTCCTGGTCCAAATCGTCACACGTACTAATGCGTGGCTCTATGCACCAACACCGCCGTGAGGAAAGATCCCGCGGCAAACATCCTTCAACCGCCTCGCCACTTCGGAAATGTGCCGCGCAAAGGAGGCATTGGAGGACGCCTCTTGGGATATTGCGAGAGACGTCCAAGTCCTCGAGCTCCTGGGGTCTGGAAATCTGCAGGAGCCACTGGCATATAATAGACAGACTACGGCTCACTGTTGCCACACAAGTTCTCAACCATCCTCATCTCCGTCTTCCTGCTTTCTTCGTCCCCATCTTCCTGCTTTGCAGCCCACTGTTGACACACAAATTCTCAACCGGCCTCGTCCCCGTCTTCCCGCTTTCCTCGTCCCATCTTGCTGTTTTCCTCGTCCCTATCTTTCTGCTTTCCGGCCCACTGTTGGCGTGCAATTTCTCAACCATCCTCGTCTCTGGTTCCTGCTTTACAGCTCACTGTTGATGCACAAATTCTCAACCGGCCTCGTCCCTGTATTCCCGATTTCCTCGGCCCCATCTTTCTGTTTTCCTCGTCTCCGTCTTCCGGATTTCCTCGTCTCGCTGTCTTCAACATGGAACACACGGACATCATTGCTCGCGTGTACCCCGTCCTGGACATGCGGGATGCCGCCAAGAATGCAATCCAAGGGAGTAGACTCTATGTCCCCGCGCTGCACCAGCCTCAGCAGCCAGCTCAACGTGGGCTTTTCGAACGTCGACCAATGGAGCCGGCCAACGACACGGACTTCCCGGGTGACCATGGCCTGCCATTCATCGAGCTTAGACTGAGTGACATACCACGAACCCATCACGGAATTGTCTTCGGACGCGATCCCCAGAGCGACGTTGTCCTGCCCGAGCAGTATGGCGCCAGCTACCACCACTTTGCCCTCACTTTTGACGCCGCCAAGCGCCTTATCGTCATGGGTTTCGACACCCTCGTGGGAACCGAGGTCACTTACGACAATGACGGAGGCGGGAAGCGACGCAACTTTCAGTGGATTGTCAGTGGGGGCAGCAGATTGTCTTCCGTCAAGGCTATCATCGTTACTGTCAACAAGGGCCTCAAGTTTCGGATCGTTGCCGCCAAGCACAACACAAGCTCTCCGGAATACATCGAACAGGTAAACCGGTTCTGCCAGGGGACAGCGACGGCAGGAGAGCTTTTTGAGGGCCTCAACTTCCCCCGCCGCTCTGACACTGAGCTTCCTACAGGAGTCGATACCCCTGGGCAGGGGCAGGAGCCAATCTACCTGAGGAAGAAGATTGGCCAAGGGGCCTTCGGTGTTGTCATTCACTTTTGGAATGTTAGTACTGGAGCCATGTTCGTCACCAAACAGCCGTCCCAGTTGGCAGTCCAGGGGAACCGGGTTGACAGACAAGCTTGGCAAAATGAGGCCAACATCATGGGCAGACTTGATCATGTTTGTATTTTCCATGCCGGCCCTCACAATATCGTTCTAACAGCTCAATAGCCCCATATTGTACGGTTTCTTGGGTCGGTTATGCAACCGTGGCCCGTGTTGCGCCTGGAATTCGTTCCCGGACTGTCTCTGGAACACCATGGCAACATATCCGCGACCGAGAGCTTGTCAATCCTCCGCCAGTGCCTATCAGCCTTGAAATACCTGCACGGAATGACCACGCCGATTATACATCGAGACATCAAGCCAGCCAACATACTCGTGCATTCGCGGTCCTCGACCCAAATCCTCGTCAAGTTTGGGGACTTTGGACTCTCAAAGGAAAGCTGTGACCCGTCAACCATGTGCGGCACTCCAAAGTACATCGCGCCCGAAATGTACGAAAATATGCGACCGCGTGAACCTGGCCATGGTCAGAGGCTAGGCTATTCGCCGGCGGTGGACATCTGGTCTCTTGGCGTGGTCATCTATGAACAGATGTACCGTCTTTCCAATTTCAGTGGATCATCCTCAACCCATGGGAATGATAGGGGAAATGCAATCGTCTCCGACTTTCGAGCAGATTATGAGGAACGTCCGAACAAGCTGAAACGGTTTCTGTTGAGGGCCATGGTGGTGGTCGCGCCGAATTCCCGTCTCTCGGCCAGGGACTGCTACGAACGAGTGTTGGAATTGTCCAACACGATCGAAGGGTAGCCCCAATGCCAATGTCCTCCGTCGAAGAAGCGGGACAGCCGACCGTTCGAGCTCACCATGGTTACTAGCGGAGAGGCGCCGGACAAGTCTCTGCTGGCACTCGACTGATCTCGTCGACGGACATTGCGGGGGGCACTGTGTCGAACGGTCTATCCCCTTGATCAGGCACCCCGGCAACCGGATTTGGCCAGAAGGGACCAATCATTGAGGGTTCTCCCGAGGGTGGAACCGACCATGGATTCGAACGCGAGGAGGACTCTGTTGCCACCAGTGGCAGGCCAACCTGAGCTGAGGGTGCGTTCCCCGAGTGTTTGAACGAGCCTCCTATGTTTCTGTTTTCTTTTCCTTTTTACTTTGTCAATGTCCTTGCATTTCAGTTTGTTTGCAGACGGTTTCGAGGGACATGTCTGGGATTCGCCAGAGACAGAGGGGCTCCTGGTGGTGGAGAAGTTTGTTAACCCAAGAAAATCAAAAGTGGCGATGAGTTTGCGGATAAAGTTTGGACTTTGGACACAGATACCGTAGATAAGACTGCAATTTAGATTGGTATTGTTCTTGCGCACGAGTTTCGAGCAATTATAGGCCAGCACATATCCAAATCGGGAAACAAGCGTCGCGGCATGGTCCCTCTTTCCCGGCCGGTTAGGCGGTCGCGTCGGCTGGTTAGTCGGGGCCTCTTTCCCCTGTAAAGTTGTCCCGCCATGTTGGCACGTGCTGTTCGGAGTACAACTGTAATTACACGTGCGGGAAGTCGTAACGTCCCGATTGAAGCATATGGGCACTGACCTCTTTATTATTAGACGCAAAAGGAAATGGTTTATTACAGCGCGCGCGATTCCCTCGATCAATGCCCAAATCTCAGGCGATGGCGCGGTGTTTCGAAGGAGGTGTCGAGACTATGATCGAAGCTGCTTCCAGGGCGGACATGGAGTTCGCTCTGGACGGGGCGTCCGCATCCCGCAACCCCTGTCCTGTCGAGTGTCGGCGAATACGTTTCGGCCGACATCTTTACTCACCGGGGCCAGAAGCAGCCCTCGTGTCTGGCCGCGATAGGGACAAGGCCAGCCAAGGGACCTGGCTGATCATCGCTCAGGAATTTTTGGTGCATTTTACCGCCAACGCAACGGGAAGTGATGACTGTCCTGCGTTTGATGTCCGAGTCGAGACTTGGGAAATGGTTTTTTCCGTATTTGCATCTATAGCAAAACGATTTATGGTCCCGCACTGGTGATGGGGAGACTGGTTCCCCGACGCAATGGCACCGTTGGGCCCGCGCGCTTACAATACGCTGCAGCGCCAGACCACGACGTCGCGCACTCGAGAAATCACCCGCAAATCCACAGCGTCCGACGTTGAAGATCTCATCTCTTTCTTGATCCATGGCATGTCCGCATTTCCGACCCAGCGTCAAATGGAATACATAAAGTCACTGCTCAAGCCTATTAGCCCACGGGAACTCGGATGACGCACAGGTAGCAGTTCGAATGACAATATGCCAGCTGCCGAAGTGAGCTACCCTCCCTCCCGTGAGCCAATGTCATCATGACAAGAGTAAGGAGTGAGTCAAACGACATGGGCTGTGTCGATGTTACTCGCCATCTACTCAGTCTCGCTGTCCGCGCCGAGGCAACCCGACTTGCGCATCTCCCTCTCCTACCTAGCGCGAACACCAAGAAATAAAATCCTCTCCATGGATAAGCCAAAGGCAGATAATTCTATGGGACCCTAATGCCTATTGTCTGGCTAATAGCAGCTGCAGCCCAGAATCGTCCTTATAGCGTTGCAATGCAGCAGCTTTCCACTCCTTCCATTCCAAGCCCTCGTCCACCGCTACAGCGTCTCGAAGACCTCGAAACAGGCCCAGGAATCCGTCCCAGTCAGCGAGATCGTATCCACAGCAGAAGGTAAATCTATGCTGTAATCGGCCATGCCAAACAAAACGGGCCAGGTCCTGGCGGCCTTTTTCCTCGAGCAGGCGCGCAAAAACAATCTCATCGTCACCTATATCACGGGGCAGACCTAGGATGCCAGGGAAGATCTATGTTGTGCTGTGAGGAGGGCAAACTACGGAGGTGGAACAGAGTCTAGACTAAGTACAGGGATGCACGTGACGGAACCCAGGTTGGTGCCGTGACAGTACCCCCTTCCCAAACGGCTGTTCGTCCTCGAACAGCCTAAACGACTAAGAGCGGCCTGGGCACAAAGTATATAGTTGTGCCTTTACTTCTGCCCAGACCGGGGGCCTGGCTTGTTTGGGTGAACTCTATGAAAGTCGAGGAGTACTTGGTTATGTCCTTTGAGGTCTCTAGCCGGTTGCCAGGTAGGGTCATAGTGTTTCCACTTGACTAGGTAATGTAGGCCATCAACGTCTCTGCGGCTATTTAGTAGCCCGTCAAATAGCCATTTTCGACTAGTTCTCCTGTCTCGTCATCGCGTTCTAGGACTCGTCCTCGGATGTTTTTTGACTCGGCCTCGTTGATAACGTCTTGGCCGGGTAGACCATTTGCTTCTGGTTTCGGTCGTAGGAGCGAGTTGTGGAACACGGGAAAGATCTTCATTCCTCGGGAGTTTAAGCAAGCATGAACGAGGTAGACTTTCAGAATTGGGAATGGTCCTGCCCACTTGTCGTCTCCTTTCTTCATCGGCCGGTTTGTCTTCATATTCTTCGTGCTTACGTAGACTTCTTGACCTTCGGCGTACTGAGGAGCATCTTCTCGATTGAGGTTGGCGTTCTCCTCGTAGCGTCTGGCGGCTTGGGTTGCAAGGGCTTTCAGCTGGTGATAATACGCTCAAAGCGGTCGGCGATGTTGTTTGCTTTGAGGAACTCTCGTCGTTGGGCTGCGGACTGGTTTGGCGGCAGTGGCTTGGTTGGTTCAGTGCCGAGTTTGGGGTGAAACCCATAGTTAGCGAAGAATGGTGATACTCCGTGGTCTCAGATGTAACGTTGTTCGTGGCGAACTCGGCAAGAGGGAGCCAGTCGACCCAGTCGTCTTGGTGGAAGTTCATGAATGCTCTCAGATATTGTTCGATGCCTGCGTTGATCCGTTCCGTTTGTCCGTCTGTCTCTGGGTGGAAGGCGGAAGAATGGCGGAGTCGAACTCCTAGGCGGTCGGAGACTTGGCGCCAGAACTCGGAGATGAATTGGGAACCGCGGTCGGAGATGACATTGTCGGGTGTGCCATGGAGGCAATAGACTCGGCTGATAAAGACAGAGGCTAGTTCTTCGGCTGTTAGGCCTACAACTGGGATGAAATGGCGCATCTTTGTCAATCGGCACACAACAACGAGGACATGCTGGTATGTTTTGCCATGGCGCTCGCATTCTGGCAGGGGCGTGATGTAGTCAATGGATATATCTGACCAAGCTTGGAATGGCACTTGCAGTGGTTGGAGGAATCCTGGGGGTGCCGACCTTGAGGCTTTGACCCGATCACACAGCTCGCAGGCTTTAACATATTCCTCGATGTCTCGGGTTATGCGTGGCCACCAGTAAGTTCGGCTAACCAAATCGATTGTCTTTATCCGCCCGGGTGTCCTGCAGGGCCTGTGGAGTGCGTACGGTAAATAACCTGGGTCTTTAGTTCCTGATCGTTGGGTGGTATGAAGAGCTTCTCGCGGTAGTATATGCGATTCCCAATGACAGAGCAGTCTGCCATTGCTACGCGAAGTTCCTTTCGCCATTTCTTGGGCCAGCGGCGGTGGGTTGATGCGTCTCTCAGGGCCGTCAGCATGTCTTGGGCCATCTCTGAATTTTCGTAGGCTCTATCGACCAGTTCATCGATGGGTTTGTCCATGGCTGGCATGATAACGTCTATCGGGGCGGCAGCGAGGTCGAATTCCCCATTGACTTCTCGAGTCAGTTCAGCCAGGGCCTCTGGGTCAAAGATGTGTTCTGGCAGAATGGTCCGTTGGCGGTTCTTAATGCGGTCGTCGTTTGTGTCTGCGCGCTTGGGTTGGTCTTCTGGCTTTCGACTTAGCGCATCTGGACGGACGGCTTTGGTGCCTGGTCGATAAACAATACGGAAGTTGAAGCCTGACAGGAACTCGGACCAGCGGACTTGTCGTTGGTTTAGAGCCTTGGTTGTTGTGAAATATTCAAGGTTCTTATGGTCCGTGATGACTTCGAAGGTTCTTGGGTCCCTTGAAGCTCAGGCCTCCATTCTTCCAGAGCCTTAATGATCGCCAGTAGTTCCTTGTCGTAGATCTCGTAGTTGCATTCCTGGGCCGAGTGTTTTGACGAGAAGTAGGCTACAGGTCGCAGTACGCCTTCATCATCATACTGGGACAAGACTCCTCCAGACGCCCAGTCCGAGGCGTCTGTTTCAAGTACAGTTTTCCTATTATAGTCATATAAGGCTAGAACCGGTGCTACGGAGAATGCGGCTTTCAGTCGGTCAAAGGCGGTTTGGTGTTCTACCTCCCAGGACCAGATTGTGCTCTTCTTCAGGAGGTCATTTAATGGCCGGGTGATCTTGGAGAAGTCACGGATAAAGCGGCGATAAAAGTTTGCAAAGCCGAGGAATCTTTGTAAGTCGCGGAGTGCTGTTGGTGGCTTCCAGTTGAGGATTGTAGAGACCTTGTCGGGGTCCATCTCGACACCTCCAGGCGTAACGATCAGCCCAAGGTATTTCGTCCTAGTTGTTTCGAATTCGCATTTGTCGATATCAATCTGAGGCCTGCATCGCGAAGTCGTGTGACTACCTCGCGGACGTGTTCCTATGTTGCTTCTTATCTGTTGAATATATCAAGATATCGTCAAGGTAGGCGGTGCAGAACTTATCCAGAAGGTCGAATAAGGTATGGTTGATGTAGTTCTGGAAGGTTGCTGGGGCGTTGCAGAGGCCGAACGGCATAACCAATGTTTCAAACAAGCCAAACCGTGTGATAAAGGCTGTTTTCCATATATCTCCCTCGGCGATGCGGATTTTGTTAAATGCGGCGATAATGTCTAGTTTCGTATAGACTTTGGCGTTGCATAGGGCATCTAGAGTCTCACGGATCAAAGGCAGTGGGTAGCGGTTCTTTATGGTGATGTTGTTAAGACCGCGGTAGTCCTGGCAGATCGGACACCACCTCCTGGCTTCGCGGCAAGGAGTAGTGGTGCTGCACAGCGCTCAGGACTCCGTATGAACCCTTTAGACAGGTTATCATCCAGCCATTTCCGTATGACTTTGAGTTCCTGTGGGTTCATTGGGCGTGTCTTTTGGTACGGAGGTTCTTTTCCAGTCAGAAGCTCTATCTTATGGTCCCATGAGCGCTGCGGGAAGTTTGTCTGCGAGCTTAGGTAGGAACACATCGTAGAGGTCGCGGAGCCATATCGGGAGCTTCTTCAAGACGTCATCCGCTGTTCGCTCCGGCTTGCCTTTCATGAACTTTTCGATATCGGCATCTGTGATCTTGGCTAGGCGGGCTGGTGAGTAGCATTCGTCAACAAAGTCGTGCAATTCATTAGGAAAGAGCTGTCTTGCTTCCTTCCAGCTGAAGTCCATGTTTTTGCTGCTTATACCAAGGACTACCATTTTATAATATTCCTCTGGGAGGTCAGGTAGGCGGTATTTCATCTGCTGGCGACTACTATCCAGTCGATCAAGCTCATCCCATGTCATTTTCATCGCCTCAACGGTTGGGTCGCGGCAGAATTGGACGAAGTTTGTAGCGTTTGTAAGCCGTATGTTCGATAGGTCTGGTCGGTCTGATGGTTCTAGGGCGGTGTCGCGAGATGGGTTTGGAAGTGGCACGCTGAGTGGAGGTAGCGGAGGTCTTGGTGGTGGCTTCTTTGTATGACGGCTGCCAGCAGTCATACGAGTCGGGGCTGGTTTAGTTCTCGGCTGATTGGGGATCATCTGGGCTCGGCACTCAGGGCCTTGGTGATTCTTCGGGTTGCAGGTACGGTAGTGATTTGCGCCTGGGGTCAGCGTTGCTTTAAATGTCATAACCGGAGCATCTTCGCCAGCGTTGGAACAGTCGTTACTATCATTCTCTAAGTCTTCGACTGTTGGAGGCTGATAGAATGAGACTCGTCGCGCTGGCTTGCTAGATATTGGCGTTGCTTCAAATGTCATGACGGGGGCATCTTCGCTAGTGTTTGAGCAGTTGCTAGTATCGTCCTCTGAGTCGTCGACCGTTGAGGACTGATGTGAGAGTGCTGGAGCAGTTGCTATGGTCGTCCTCTGAATCTTCGACAATTGGAGGCTGGTAGGACAAGGCTCGTCGGACTGGTTTGCCAGGGTTGGTAGGTCGAACGAGACTCGTCGGGCTGGTTCACCCGGGATTGGTAGGTCGTGGTAGTTGCCGGGCGGGTCGGGCAGCACCGGTGCAGATGCGTTCTGAACTCCTTGGGGGCAACAAAAGTTGTGACAGTATGGGGATGTGAATGTCAGGGACATACTGGACCAGTCGATGCTTGGGTTGTGGCGTTGCAGCCAGGGAGTCCAAGGATGATAGGGGTGTCCGGGAGAGGTCTGTAACAAAGAATAGGCAGAGCTCATTGTGCAATCCTATCAATATTGGTGCAATGAAGTATTCCGATATTGAGCCAGCCGGTTTCCCGTCGGCGAGGAGGAGGGCTCGTTTTGTTGGCGTTGGTTGGGTTACGATATTCCGGGTCTTGACAAAGCTACGGTCCGCAAATGCCCGTGCAGAGCATCCGCTATCAATAAGGCTCGTCACCTCAATGGGGTCGGTATGCGCGGGGACTAAGGTAGCTTGAATGAGTAGAGATTTGCTGTCTATTGACCTAAGTCTGATAGGTTTGTGGCTCGAGAGACAGCGACGTATCCATTCCGGCATCCTTGGTTCCTTCGTTGACCTCCGTCCGCGGCTCTGGGCGGAGGTTATTCTTTCCCAGTGCTCAAGTGAGGCTGGGGTGTTGACAGAGGAGTGGGGTTGGTGTAGTCCTTGTTTCCTCGTCTGCTATAATATAGCCTTGTTCGAGGATCGCAGTCTTGGAAAGGCTGGGGATACGCAGGAATTGGGGCTGAAACGGGTGGGTTGTGTTGTTGGCTGGCTTGGTAATTGTAGGGGCGGTGGTTTTGTCCAGGTTGGCCGCGTCCCATTCCTCTACTGTACCCATAGCTAGGTTTATATGTTCCAAAGGCCTGGTTGCGTTTTGCGTCGGCCTGCTTCTTTTCATCACAATCGCTTTTAAAGTGGCCGGGCTTTTGCAGTACAAACAGAGGTTATTAGTAAAGCAGTCCTCCCTCGTAGGTCTAGCTTGGCGCGTAGCGTCCAAAACCATCGGGTCGCCAGCGTCAGCCTGTTGGCGTTGTTGGAATTGCTGGTGTGTTTGGCCTTGGTAGGGTCGACTACCTAGACGTCCTGAGCGCAGTTTGTCCTGGTGGTCCTTGGCCAACAGGTTATCGTAGATCGTCTGGTACATTTTACACCACTCAGAGAAGTTGTCTCTAGCAGGGCGGACAAGCTGGTGCGTCATTTCGTTGGCGAGTTCCTGAGAGACCTTGAGCTGCAAGGACTCAACTTTCTGGGTCTCAGTCTTTCCACACTCCTCGGCCAGGGCGGCAAAGTCAGCGATGAAGTTTTGGAAGGGTTTCTTGCCCATCCAAAGGTTATCAAAGGCTTGTGAAGCCGAAAGTGTCAGATCAAGCGTTTCATACTGTTTGTTCATCTCCGCCAGGCAGTCGGTATGGGTTTGCCATGGCCATATGGCTTGGTTTTCCTCATGTTCAATAATGAAATCGAATTTCTTGCGGTAGAGCTTCGAGGCCGATCCTCCAAGCAGGCCAGCGATGTGTTGGATTCTGATAAAATCGGTGACAAAGAAACTCTTATCCACAGCAAAGTTCGGAGCACTTGAGAGCGCCAGTTGACATATTGCTGTTGGCGTTTCTTAACATCCTTCTCATCGCCTTCAAATGGGTTGGGGTTTGGCATCATTCGACGGGGCGTGACTCAGGGCGCAATTCTGTTGGTCTGGCGCTCAGCAGAGTTCTTAGTTCATCGGCGAGGTGACAAGGAGTCTTGGGTCCGGGGTGTTCCTTGGGCTTGGGCGAGGTGTGTTTCTAATTCCGCGATTCGTCTCTCTAGATTGGCGTTTTGGTTGATGAAGTGGTCCATTGCGCTCTCGGCCGCGCGGCAGAGAGCTTCGACCTGGTTCTTGTACATGTCGTCTGTTGGGTCTTGGAGCATAGAGGCGAGGCTGGAGCAGTCACAAGCTTGGACCCGGTGAAGGGCAGCTGCGATGTTTGGGAAGGTATCATGAATAGCGTCGGCGAGGGTTGCGCCCGCCTGGTTCTGGGGATTCATCATGGTCTTGGCAGGGCGGGGAAAAATTCCAGTGATCGAGGGTAGGGCTGGGCCGCTCGCGGCGTGGTGATCTCGTTGCGTGGGACTTGGGGTGTCGAATGGGAAAACTCTGGTTAGGTGTACAATCGGGATGGCGGCGCAGCCGATAGTAGACAGCACAAACTATCACGGGGCAGACCTAGGATGCCAGGGAAGATCTATGTTGTGCTGTGAGGAGGGCAAACTACGGAGGTGGAACAGAGTCTAGACTAAGTACAGGGATGCACGTGACGGAACCCAGGTTGGTGCCGTGACAACCTAGGCTGTTCTTACCGCTGTAGAAGTCCGCAACTGGTAAGAAGCCGATTGGTGAGTTAAAGGCCTGTGCAGGTGACGCAGTGTGAGCCCACTCCCAGTCGATAATTCCCGTGACGTTGAAATGCTCATCTACCAAAATATGATCTCCCTTGTCGTCTGCATGCTTCAGATAGAATTTTTCGTCATTGTGCGCTGGAGGCAAGACGAGCGGGACCAAATCAATGAGAAATTGGTGAATTAGGTAGGCATCCACTGCTTGCTGTGAGTAGATCTCCTCTCGGATAATCAAATCCAAGATCTGATGGAGTGAAGACATATGGTATTCTTCCAAAGAAGAGAAGGGCCCGGCAGTGCGCATCTCAGATTGTATAAAATTGGTGAGTGACTCGCGAGCAAATGCGCCGACCTGAGATCCGCCCGGGCTATCAAGGGAGCCGAGAAGGTGAAAAGGGTATTTGCGAAGCTCAATATATGTATCCGCGAGCTGGTTCATAACCTTCTTCCTTTGTTGTTGAGTTGCCATGGACCATCTCAAAGACTTGCCTGGTAACTTCTCCATCAGAATGAAACCGACTCCCACAGGATTGCCTGAGTGCTCGAGTGCGAAATCGTAAACTTTTGGGGCAGGCACTCTGGTCTGCTCAAGAAACATGAGGGTTGCAACCTCACTCCGGATAATGTAATCTCGTAGTGCTGCCGGAGGTGATGTGGCATTGAACCTGCGGATGCGGGCGATCCATGTAATTCCATCATGGAAGCGAACTTCAATATGATAGTTCATACCTCCCATCACAGAACTTCGCGTTGCTCTGTCATACCGAAGCGGGGGGGTAGAACAGGGTATGCCTTGGCGTAAATGACTGGCTCGGGCCTCAAGGGCACGAGTATTGATCTTGTCGATCAGCTTTGTGAGCTCACGCTCTTCAGCCTCCCGGGCGGCAGGATCGTAGGCATCTGCATCCTGTCAATTCACACGAGTTAGCGAGCACATGTGCCAGGTGAGGAACCAAACCAACCTCCCACCGGGGGCAGCTGTGGAGCTCAGGTTGAAGATGGTTGGAACATAGATGGCGGTTGCAAAGCACGCAATCGCCGAGAGTGCGGACAGCCGGTCTGCGGCAGCGCTCAAAATCACATGTCCACAGCGGCATTGTGGAGAAGTCTTTGCAGAGTGTCAAGGAGGGGAGAAGGGGCTCTGTCAAGGGAAGATAAATGCGGACCCTAACGGCAGGCTCTCACGGCCCAATATCAGGCTTTGACGTATGGCGTGACTCCGGTGGCTAGCTGTGAGGACAGACGTGAAGCTAACTTATTCACGACCAAGTGAAAAGTAGCTAAATGAGTGAACTCACTCCTACCAACCCACCAATCACGTATTATTCTTGGGCCGCTGCTCAAATGGCCCCCCTCAGCCTGTGAAACAACGTGGGGTAGCAACCCCCGCGTCAATTCTCCCTAACTATAGGTTCGTACGAATACCTATGTCAGCAGGACAAAGACTTATAAACTATACCAATAACACCTCTACTGGGAGTGCCCCTATTTTTGCTAGTGGCCAAGTGGTATTTGCTATGTTTGACAGCATATTATTAATATGTTGCCCTATCCGTGCAAAAGGGAGGAATGGTTGAGATGGCCTACATGGCTTGATCCGAGATTGCGCCTTCTAAATAAATGTAGGGCGTGGCACGGGTGCCTTGCGTCACGGCAGTGACGGCACTAACCTGGCTTGGATCACATATAGATGGTTTTTATAAGGACTTGGCTTCGCAGTGCTGCGTGGTCCTTGTCCCTGACCGGTTTAGAAACCTCATTGATTACATGACGATGTAGCTTTCATGGTTTCTTGACAAGCCTCGACCTCGGATCCAAAACTATGTATCTGCTCTAACCTCAATCCAAACTCCAAAACCACATTTAGAGGGGCGTGAAGTCGGCGTTTCCCCCCTTGGGCTCGATGCAGCTGCAGGCTTCTACCAAGGCCTCGGGCGTGGGACAGGCTTCGTCAAGGCCGCCGGGCGTGTTGGGCGGCTGGAAGTTCTTGTCGCGTTGAGAGCGACTGAGCTTGTAGCAGAAGCCCCTGATGCCCAAGGAAATGTTGTCCACAGCCACGTCGAGAGCGCGATAGCATTGGTTGCTTGTGCACTCGGGAAAGGTCCAGTCGGCGCCAATGTCGGGCGAGGTGCAGTTGCAGGCCGTCTCAATGTCGGCCGGCTGCGGGCAGGCCTTGTCGAGGCCCGGAATGGTGGGCTCGGCGATGTCGGGGAAGTCTCCGGAGCGACGCCACGTCTTGCAGAAGTTGCGAAGCGACGGGGCGTCGTCGTCGGCGGTGCCGGCATCGAGGCCCCGGTAGCACTTGTCGGCGGCGCAGGCCTCGGTGGTCCAGAGATGCTCGTTTTGGACGATGCAGCTGCAGGCCGTGTCGACGTCGCGGGCGTCGGCGCAGCCGTCGCCGGGGTCCGGGCGGGGGGCATAGTCGGCGGGGATGGCGCCGCCGCCGAACTCGAACAGCTCGCGGCGTGTCTTGCGGCAGAAGCTGTACATGTCGTTGTATTGGCCGTCGAGGGCGATATCGATGGCCTGGTTACACTTGCCGGGGCACTTGGAAAAGGTCCACTCGCTGTTGGAAGGAATGGCGCAGCGGCAGGCCTTTTCGAGCGCGGCTCCGTCGTGGCACGAGGCCGCAAGCCCCGGAATGGCCGCCTCCGGGTCGGGGCGCGCCTCCGGGGCGTTACGCAGATGTTTGCGGCAGAACTCGTAGACTGCCTCGGGGTCGTCCTTGAGGCCCTGATGCACGCCGCGGTAGCACTCGTCGGCCGCGCACGAGGGCCGCTGCCAGTCCGTATTGACGCACCGGCAGGCAGTCTGGACGGCCGTCACCTCGAAGCACCAGTTGCCGAAGCGGTAGCGAAGCGGGTCGCGCTCGGCCTCGGCTCGGCTCAGGCCCGACGTGCGGTTGCAGTACTCGGCGATGGCCGGCTCCGAGTCCTCAAAGTACTCCTGCATGGCACCGTAGCAGTCGTCGTGGCCGCACGCCTCGAACTGCAGCTCGCGGCGCGGCGGCAGCATGCAGTCGCAGGCCTTGACCAGGTCGTCGAGCTTGCAGCCCAGGCTGCCGGCGTTGGCTGCGAGCGCCGAAACATGATTGTCGCGGATTCTTTCCCCGTCCTGAACTTTCTCGCAGAACTTCTTGGCCCGGCCACCAAAGTTCTTCTCCAGGCTCTTGTAGCACGACGTCGTGTCGCACGAGCCGAGCTCGTCCAGCTCGACCACCGGGTCCGGCTGCGCACAGCGGCAGGCCTGGAGCTGCTGTTCGAAGCCGCACGAGTGCTCGTGGCCTAGCTTCCCTATGGCCGTGGCCCGGCCCTCAAGCATGTCTTTGCAGACCTCTCCCGTGGCCTGGCCCAAGAGCATGTCCATGGCGACGTAGCAGTCGTCCGTCTGGCATTGCGGGAACTGCCAGTCGCGGTCCACCGGCACAGCACACCGGCACGCCTTTTGCAGCTTCGAGGGGCCTTGACACTCGTCGACGCCGTCGAGCGCTTCCGCCTTGCCGGTCTGGTGGTCCAGGCCGGGAATGGTGCTCTGCGACTGGTTGCTGTACGTGCTCCAGAAGCAGAACTCCGTCACGGCCTCGCTGCTGCCCAGCTTCTTCTCCATGGCCGCATGGCATGTTTCCTCCTCGCACCTGGGCCTCTTTGCGATGCAGCTGCAGGCAGTGCTCAGACTGAGTGAATTGGGGTCCTGGGCTGGCACCGCCAAGCACGCCTTTTTGGCCCCGGCTATATGGGGGCTCCCTTGCGCCATCGACCAATCTATAGCGTCCTGGGTTGTAGCATTGCTGTTCTGGTTGCAGAACGCCGTCATGGCCCGCTGGCTGCCTGCCAAGAGCCCCTCGATCCATGGTAGACAGACGGCCTTGGCACACGTATCTTTGACCTGGCTCTGGCCTTGGACTCGGGTCAGCGCGCGCCATCTGGCCATCGGAAGCGGCCAACGTACCTAGAGCGCGCGGGACAAGCGCCACCGACAAGATCAATCCTTTCATCGTCTATGGCTGGCTGGCTGCACAGAAACTCCTCTTTGTGTGTGAGATAGCTGTCGGTTTAGTGAAGCACACGTAGCCTTCGTCGAGTTGTGCCACCACCATCCGTACATGCAGCATGGTCGACACATATTTGTATTCGCCTGTCTGGCCTTGCTGGTTCCTCCAACACCATGGGACCACGTCCTGCTTCTCTGCATGCACCGGCCCTGCTCCACGTCGCCGTCTCATCTTCATGATGCCACGCCTTCTTCATCCAAGACTTCCAAGTAAAAGCCAACGCATAGAGCCTCGCCGCCAGGACTACCTCTTGCCAACTCGGCGGAATACGATTCAGCAGTCGAAAAGCTGTTGACTCTGCAATTTCCGATTACCGGACTGCCAATGCAAGGCTTTCTTGTCATGTAATGAAAGGGGTTGAGCAAGAGGAGACACGTAATGAAGGGGGTGAGCAAGAGGAGACATGTAATGGAAGGCGTAAACAAGAGGAGGCGTGCTATCACTTATTACTTGTCCGAAGCAGGCTACTCAAACATTGGCCACGTTGGTAATCGGTATAGTTATTAAAGCAAGACTTACGCGTTTACATGGCTAAATGGCACACTGGATGCACTTTTCCAGGCCAGCTGCTAATCTGCTATAATGTCACAAGCGGCTATAACAAGGACTTAACCTAGCTCTTAACCGCCTTCACTCATAAGTCAGTTGCTCGCATGATATCGGTATCCCATCTCATAAAGAGCATGAATATTAGATGGTAGATTAAGATACCCTGCTATTTGCACAGGCGACCAACAAGGTAAATAAAACGACGATTAATACTAATAAAAAGAGCATAGTATTAGAAAGAAAGACAAGTCCTAGGCCAAAGCTATAGTCTAGGACGGACGCATGGGGAAAGAACTCCACTTAACGACAATTTCAGCTTGCTCTATATAAAAGAGAATAGAATGAAAGCCAACTTGCACATAATATAACTATGCTTAGTAAATGCTAGCAGTGTCTTGCACAAGGAGGCTACGGCCAGGAGGCAGTGACTCCAAGCTGGGTGCATCGTTAAGTCGATTGGAAGTGAAGAGGCTAAGCTAGCAAGCTAGCTAGGGGCCGTGAAGGCGATAGTCATGCTCCCTCTCTCCCTCTGCCCAGCAGCTGCCAGCAGTCACGTAATATATAGGGCGCTATAAGCAATAGCCTAAGCGCTTATAGACAATAGAGCACCATAAAATTGCCTTTATTAATTAGAATCTTATACGCAAGAACTAGCGACAAATAACTCGACTATATACGCCATACCGAGTTATAGACGTAGTGTGGTAGACAGATAATAAATTGATGGCCAGGTAAATCACCCATCTTTCTAGCTCTCATTTAAAACTCAAAGACGTTGAGAAGACATACCTTGTTTTATGACTCTGTTTAGCAGCTACCTTAGCTTTAGCTCTATATTGAGATACGCGAGGACTGGATGCCCAGGCTTTGTCGCCATCCCATATCCTTTTCATCGTTCATTCTTCTTTGTTGTGGTCTCTAAAGCATCCATGACTATCGACGAATAAATAAGAACTTGAATTGGATTTGCAAATGCCGTTGGAGGAGCCGGAGCATCTGATTGATCCCCAAGTTCTTAGTCTCGAGGAGCTTAAAGCATCGGCGTCCCCTCCCCCCAAAGGATGCCACAAAAATCGAGCACGGTCAGCCGCTTTAGGATGGCGCAGGACAGGACGTTGACGACTTGGCCGGGTCCCGGACAATGGAGGCCCAGACACTGGGTTACACGCCTCTTTGCATGCACGTCGCTGTCCTCCCAAATGGTGGGCGGCACCAATGCGGGACACCGCGCCAGGCAGAGCTTCCTCTCTCCGGCTTCAAGAAAGGCCCATTGAAGATGAATATTGGCACATGCCAGGAGACGGAAGCGTCCTGGCGCGACCTGTCCACAGGAGAAGCTGTAATCGTAGCATCGGCAAAACGTCGCGACATGCTCCGGGACTAGCGGCGACCGGCCCTCTAGAGCGAAACGCCGACTGCAACCGCCTCTGTCTTGGAAAATCCCGGACCCCATGGATCTCGTCGTCATTTCATGTCCAGTCGGGTTCGCACCTTGGCAGCCCGAGTCTTGCGTCTGTGTGCTGCTGCATGTCCACCCTCTCTCGTGTTTTCCCCGTCCGTGGACTCCTTGGTATCCTCCCTTGGACGCGCCGGCTCAGTCGCCTCTTCTGTTGCCGCCGCACGCCGTGACCGATGGATGACGGCCCCTCGACGGCCGCGAAACGGCGCTCGGCCGAGACAATCGCCCGGAATGCCGTCGATTTCGCAAAGCAGGCCGAGAAGCTCTCGCACAAGGAGCCGGCCGAATCGCCCTCGTCGGTCGCCGTCCAGGCCCAGTTTGTCACCCCCCACGACCCCGTCATCATCACCTCGGACGGCGGCCGGCTGCCTGGCGTGCCCCTGGAAGAGGCGCACAAGCTCAACTTGCTGCGCGATGAGCTCGAGGGCAAGCCTGAGACCAGTCACGCCGACAAATCGCCGGACAAGACACCAAGTACAGACGACGGCGGCGGCGGCGACGACGACGACGACGACGATGAGAGCCGTCGAGTCGTCCGACTCCCCCAACGGCACAATGGCCTGTCATTGCAAAAGTCGGCGGGCGGGACGCTGCGGCGGTCGATGCCCCCTTCACATACGAACCCCTTGTTTCCCCCCCTCCCGCTTTACGGCCCGCCATCCATCATGCGTGAGATCCAGTGTCTGTTTCTCCGGGTCTCATCCTTCTTCCTGAGCCTGGCCTTCCTCGCCGTCATCGTCCTCGGCGCACTCTTCACCAGCGCGCCGGCTTTCGCCAGCAAGGTTTTGCACAGGATTACTCTGCGCAATATCGACCGGCGGCGCCCATTCCACGACGAGGAGAAACGCCGCGCCGCCATCAGGAGACAGAAGCAACAGAGCTGGGAGCGGAGAGGCTCGGCCAGCCGGCTTGGTGAAGATCGGGAGGGGACCGCAGATGAATATCCCGCGACCGCAGGCGGCAGGGACCCCATCGTCTGCGACGTGGGCTACTATGCGAGGAGGGTAGGTCTCGACGTCGAGACGTTCCAGGTGCAGACCGAGGATGGCTTCGTCATCCAACTGTGGCACGTCTTCGACCCGAAAGAATACGCAAAGCGAGACGAGCAGCAAAGGGGGCCGCGCGGGCCGACCGCCACCCCAAGCCCCGCCAAGCAGCCAGGCCATGCGCACGAGAAACCAAAGTTCCCCGTGCTCTTGATGCACGGCCTGCTCCAGAGCTCCGGGGCCTACTGCTGCAACGACGACGAGTCGCTGGCTTTCTGGCTCTGCAAGTCGGGCTTCGACGTCTGGCTGGGCAACAACCGATGCGGGTTCAAGCCGCAGCACACCAAGCTGGAATACAGCGACCCCCGGATGTGGGCGTGGAACATTCGCCAGATGGGAGTCTTTGACCTGCCTGCTCTGACGTCGAGGGTCCTGACCGAGACGGGGTTCGAGAAGCTCGGCCTCATCTGCCACTCGCAGGGGACGACGGAGACGTTTGTGGCTCTCGCCAAGGAGCAACGGCCTGGACTGGGGGACCGGTTGACCGTGTTTTGCGCCCTGGCACCCGCCGCCTACGCGGGACCGCTCATTGGCAAGATTCACTTCAAGTTTATGCGCGTCATATCGCCGGCCATGTTCCGAATCATGTTTGGGGTGCACGCCTTCATCCCCTTTATGATGCAGATGCACGCGCTGCTGCCCGCGCGGCTGTACGGATGGCTGGGCTACAAGGTGTTTTCCTTTCTCTTCAACTGGTCCGACTGCCGCTGGGACCGCGGGCTGCGGGATCGAATGTTCCAGTTCGCGCCCGTCTACGTCAGCGCCGAGTCGATGCGCTGGTGGCTCGGGCGGGAGTGCTTCGCCAAGCACAAGTGCATCCTGGCCACGAGGGAAACGACAAAGGCCGAGGACCGGATGGATGCTGCGGACAACGGCGGCGGCGGCGGAGCTGAGTGGTCGGCCCCCGAAACATCGAGCGACTCGGACCTCTCACGGGAGCGGACGGGCGCCACGGCGTGGTACGACAGCCACGCGCCGCCGTTTGCGCTGTGGGTGTGCGGCAGCGACGACCTCGTCGACGGCCAGCGGCTGCTGAGGCGGTTCAGAAACGGACGCGAGCCGCACGTGCGGGTGGTGCACAACAAGGTCATTGACGAGTACGAGCACCTCGACGTCATCTGGGCCATGGACGCCGTGGACCAGGTGTTCAAGGAGGTGCGCGAGGTGCTGTGGAAGACGTGCCATGCGCGCGACGTGTTCCGGGTGCCGACGGGGTGCGAGGGCGTCGCGGCATGGAGTCCGGCCGAGAAGTGAATGGTGGGAGATGCGACCAGGAGTCCATGGATGTGCTTGTTCTGGGCCCTGCAGGCTGTTGGCTCGCGGACTCGCGGGCGGGCTCCGCGCAGGGAGAGTGCGTTGGATCAACGACTTACATGTAGCGATGGACGACTTGCATATACCCAGACATGTAATGTATGTACGGATATTCTACTATTGCGCAGATATCACGGAGACATGAGGGGAAGAGGCTTCTATACAAGAATTCCTAGACGACGGGGGGCGTTCCCACTTGCCGAGCTTCCGCTGCCGCACATGCAGACACAGCGGCCAAGACACGGCTAGCCGGCCAGAGGTGGTGATGGTGGCCGAGGAGACGCAATGTTTCAGAGGCGGCAGGGCAATTGGCCCCAAGAGTCTCTCGAGCACACGTCCCGGCCAGCTGGACGGGGTTCCGAATTCCCGACATCCGAGGCGGCGGCACGCAACAAGGAAACGACACCGAGGCCGGGGCCGGGGGTCTTGGCAGGCGTGGGGAAGAAGCGGCGGCCGAGGTTCAAGATGGGGCGGACCCGTCCTCGGCCCCATGTTTCGGTCCGGGGGGGCCGCAGAGAGCCGAGCAGAGCTCACGATGTGTGCTGCGTGGTAAGCACCTCGTGTCTTCTCCTGTGCTGCGGCGCATGAATGACGACGGCTGGAGCGGGACGGGGAGGAGCTTCGGGAGGCCCGGACCAGGGGGCGAGCAACCAAGTAACCAACCACTGGCCCCCCCTCCCCCCTCCGGACAGCGATGCGTGGGGATGCGCCGGAATCGAATAATCAGTGGAGACGTCCGAGGTTGGAGTGTGCGGATAGTCATACCCGGTCCCCGAGGCGGGCCTTTTTATACCGCCCTCTGCCGCTGGGACTCGCTGCCCGCCCGTTCCATCCATCGTCCATGTCAAGCTGTTCGTGCTAAGACGCCGAGTTTCTCCTCGAGCATCGCTGACTTCACTTGTCCCTCGCTGTCTCACTGGTCTCACTGTCTCCCAGCCCTCTCCTAGCCCCCTTCAACCCCCCTTCGGCCCCGGTCCCCCGATCCCCCGCTGCGAATCGGAAGAAGCCACTGCGCTTCCACCACTTCGGGAGCCCGCCGTCCTGTCCGTTGGGCTTGGCCGGATCTCCGCAGCAGTAGCACGCCGACTCACCTCGCACGCTCGACTCCCTCATCCCGGGGGGCCGCCACTGAGCCGCTCGGCCGCCGCCAGGATGCCCATCACCTCGCCATGGCGCGCCGTCGACGTCCCGCCCGTCGACATCTGGACAATGTACATGGAGCACCATCCCCGGGACTACCCGTTGATCTTGGTGTGGGGCCACAGCAGCCCAACTAAGTGTCTTCGCCACTTAGTTGGCCCAAAAAATCCGGCACAGCCCAAAAAATCCGGCACAGCAGGGTCCTCAATTTGGGGTGCAAAATCAAGGGAAATTCTACGCTTCGCTTCATGGTGCCGTCAATGCGACTTCAAATAGCTAAAATATACATGTGATCAATAGCTGCGGATCACCTAAAGACGCAAGTAACAACGAAAGTGAAAAAATCACGTCTTTGGGCCTATTTAGGAGCTGCCGCCTTCCAGTCGAAGAGATAGGAAGACCGCGTTTGTGAGTCCAAATAGACGTATTATGTAGTAATTTCGCCTGTTGTGCGTCTCTGAGAGCTATTTTATCCATACCTGTGTTCCTGGAGCGTCTGCTGTATCTTGTTGGACGATCGGGTGCGCGGTCGAGGGCATGGTGTATCGACTACCGCTTCAACCGCTGCTAACGGCGGCGATGAGGGTATATTCTCTTGCGTGTCGAGTAAATTGTCCTCGTCTTCATCGTCGGCGCCATCCTCACTATGTTTGTCAAGATCGAGGCCTGTGAAATAGACGGTATCGTCACTGCCGGGCAACGACGACATATCTGTAAGTGGGCGAGGTCGGGTCGCTGCGCGCGCCCTGACATCTCTGGCGGAGTTATTTCTCTTCGTGGTATCATAGAAAAGGATTCCTTGGATGGCTCTTTGAGCTCCCGCATGAGGGTATCGCAACTTTGCTCCAGAGTGTAGAACTCAACGTCTCGTCCCGTAAACTCTAGCCAGGGCTTAAAGTTCAATGTCTTGACTCTGCCATTGACTAACTGCTTCTTCCCGACTTTATAGTCTTCTCGGATCTTCTGCATCTCTCCACGAACTCGTTTAAGATGCATCCTTATCTCCTGGCGCGTTTGAAGCCGGGTTTGCTTTGCCTGGAGCTCCTCATACTCCCGGGTGATGTCGGCCATGCTGGAGCTCGTGATAAACTCTCCGCGCGGCCTGACAATCTTGCCTCTCTTCATTCGATTCGCATACGCCTGGGTTCGGCTATTCTTATCGCTGACTATGCCCTGGGAATGTGACGCCATCGCGATAGACTCGGTGTTCACTTTCGCAAGAACCCGCAAGTTTTCTCGTGATGGCGAGCTCATGAGGGCCCATACCGTTGCCGGATATCATTGAGGGCATCCGCGGCGACTTGGAAACGCGTCTCCGAGGGTAGGAGCGAGGCGTATGCAGGATTGATCGGCTGCTGTTGTCGTAGCTGCTCGTGGAGGATCTTGGTGATCACCGGCGCTGGGTCGACAGGAAAGAGGCCTGTTTTTCAAATGCCGCCATAATGTTATGCCGCGTGAAGCCAGCCTCATATACGTCCTGAAAAGCTGTGAGGAAGTTGACCCGCGAAAATGATATGTTGCCTTCTGCGAGCGACTTCGAAGCGCTTTCTGATGTGCTGACTTTAGTGGCTGGAATACCCCAACATCAAGCGGCTGCATGAGGTGGGTGGAATGTGGAGGAAAATAGCAATGATGATATCAAACTTGATACAATACTCAGCAAAGTCAAGGGTGGTATGCCCTGTAAAGCCATCCACAACAAGCAATCGGTAGATCTTCTCGTCGTCAGGCCGTTGGTTTGGCGGCGCCTCCACGCGACTCATCCCCATGTTGGGGCGCCGAAGATGCTCGTCACAGCCGAACCACTCTTCCAGCGAATTTCCTGACTGTTTTGCTTGCGCTGACGATGCCCAAGACCAGCAGTTGAAATGCCTTGCCCACTCAAGGTGTATCTCTGCGTTGGAAAAGCCAGTTGGCGACTGGGCAAACCGTACGCCTGTCATGATGTCGATGCCGGCCCAGTTGGTGGTAGGGTAATGTTGGAAAACAAGCCAGGGTGGAAGAGAGTCCCCCACTGCGTTAACTGAGGCAATTACCGTGCAGGATTCTCGGTTTGCTGGGTCTAAAACTCGGGGCCGGGTGCTCTTGACTCTAGTGGTGCGCGTGATGAGAACTTGGATGCGTTCTCGCAGGCACCCAATGCGTATTCCGGCCTCGTCTTCATTCCAGATCTCTGAACTGCCAATACGGTAGCTGGTGATGATTTCTCGAAGCTTTGAGTAGAAAAATTCGACTTCTTCTACCCCGTGGGCTTCAAAGGACTTCCGGGCTCGTTCAACTGCTTTGAGATACGTCTTCGCGATCGCAGGATGACTTCCACGCCAATTGTCAAGCCAACTTGACGAGACCGGGCGGGCATTGGGATCTCGACGCATTCTTATTGCATTTGCAACAGCTTCAAGTTGCTCTCTCGTGGCGGGCATGCCGGTGCGTTCCATCCACTGTACATACGCAACCAGGGCGTCGTCTTCGTCCTCCGTCAGCGCCAATGGACGCCCTGGAGCACGGGAAAAGGGTTTCTTATGAAATTAATGGCTCTCTGTACGGATGAGCTCTTCACATTGTAACGGATGGCCGCATCTCGCACGGAAAGAGGCGTTCTTTTTGGTGTTGTTGAGCGACGAACATCGGCTCTGGGGTCGCGACGAGACGCCAGAACGGCTTTTGCTGCCTCCAGGGTAGCCATGTTATCTGTCATAATGTATTCCGGCAAAAAGATACGTAAATAAAGTCAAGTTGCGCGAGAAAACGCGGTTGAGATGCATAGGGTTGACGTTTTGGAGGTGGGCTGCTGTGCCGGATTTTTTGGGCTGTGCCGGATTTTTTGGGCCAACTAAGTGGCGAAGACACTTAGTTGGGCTGCTGTGGCCCCACACCAAGATCAACGGGTATCCCGATGACCACCGTCCGTCTCCCTCGGTGCCTTGCCGCCCAAGCAGCGCTTACCGCACAGCACGGCTAACGAGCCGGCAGCCCTCTTCATCGACTGCGACACCAAGCGCGCCTGGACCTTTGCCCAGATCAAGGCCGCCTCCGTCGCCTTTGGCCAGGGCCTCAAGCACGCCCTCGGCTGGGCCAAGGGCGACGTGCTGGCCCTGTACGCGCCCAACGACGTCGACACGCCCGTCGTCAACCTCGGCCTGCACTGGGCCGGCGGCGTCGCCACGCCCGCGAACCCGACGTACACGGTCGGCGAGCTCGCCCGCCAGCTCGCCGACTCGGGCGCGCGTGCGCTCGTCACCTGCAAGGCCATGCTCGGCCCCGCGCGCCAGGCCGCCGAGCAGGTCGGCTTGCCGCTGCGCAGCATCCTGCTTCTGGGCGACGCCCGCGACGAGTCGGGCGTCCATCGCCACTGGAAAGACATCTCCGCCGCCGCCGCCCCCGTCGCGCCGCGCAAGACGGCCGTCGATCCCGCGCGCGACCTGGCCTTTCTCGTCTACAGCTCCGTAAGTCGACACGAGTCACACGACAGGCGCCGCACGAGGCGGCCTGGCTCTGGTCCTCGGAATGCTGACGCCCCATGCCCAGGGCACCACGGGCATGCCCAAGGGCGTCATGCTCACGCACCGCAACATCATCGCCAACTCGCAGCAGACGCTCAAGGCCGACACCCGCACCTTCAGCTGGGACCTGGACTGCCAGATCGGCATCCTTCCCTTCTTCCACATCTACGTAAGCCTCCTCGTCCACCGCCTCGCGGCTCCCCGTGCTAAACCACGGCGCCGTCCAGGGCCTCAGCGTCGTCATCAACGCAACCTTCCTCAGCGGCGCCCCCTGCCTCGTCATGCCCAGGTTCGACCTCGAAAAGACATGCCGCCTCGTCCAGGAGCACCAGGTCACCTTCCTCTACGTGCCGCCCCCCATCATCCTGCTGCTGAGCAAGCACCCCGTCGTCGAAAAGTACGACCTCTCGTCCATCCGCTTCATCAACTCGGGCGCCGCACCCCTCAGCCGCGAGCTCGTCCTCAACGTCTGGAAGCGCCTCAAGATCGGCGTCAAGCAGGGCTACGGCCTCTCCGAAACCAGCCCCGTCTCCAATTCCCAGCTCGCCGACGAGTGGTGGCGCTATCAGGGCTCCGTCGGGAGGCTCATGCCTGGCATGGAGGCCAAGGTTGTCGACACCGAGGGCCGGGAGCTGCCCCGGGGAGAGGTATGCGCCTGGACCGTGTTTGACTCTGTCATTGGCCCTGACACTCCTTCTCTCTAGTCTGGCGAGCTGCTCCTCAAGGGCCCCAACGTCTTCCGCGGGTACTGGAAAAAGCCCGAGCTGAACAAGGAGGCCTTTACCGACGACGGCTGGTACCGCACCGGCGACGTTGTCTACGCCTGTCCCAAGGGCCATTTCTACGTCACGGATCGCATCAAGGAGCTCATCAAATACAGTAGGCCACCCTCTTCTCTCGTCATCCACACATCGCCCGCTAACCAAGCCGGCTTCAGAGGGCTTCCAGGTCCCGCCGGCCGAGCTCGAGGACAAGCTCCTCGGCCACAAGGACATCGCCGACGTTGGTGTTGTCGGCGTCTGGGACCCGGAGCGCCACACCGAGATCCCCCGCGCCTACGTCGTCCCCCGGCCCGGCGTGGAGCCGAGCGACGTGCTGGCCCACGACATTATCGCGTGGCTGGTCGAGAGGGTCGCGCCGCCCAAGCGGCTGAGGGGCGGCGTGCGCTTCGTCAAGGAGATCCCCAAGTCGCAGGCCGGCAAGATCCTGCGAAGGGTCCTGCGCGACCAGGCCAAGGAGGAGCAGGACTCAGGGTCGCGGGCCAAGTTGTAAGTTGTTGGCACATGGCGTTGATGGCGCAAGACGAGCATGCCGTGTGCAGTATGTACTTGATAAGCGTTCCCTATCCAATGTCCAATCGCATCAAATCACAGTAAAGGCCGTGTATGGAAAAGTCGTCGTAAGAGATGGCTGTGTTCTGCTTGGCTCTAAGCCTTTAGGCCTCCCATCATCTGTTAGCCCATGCGCTCGGCCTCTTCCAGCAGCTTCTCGACACTAAACCTCGAATCGCCAGCGGAGAACCACTCGAGCAGCTTCCTCCTCTCCTCTACCCTCTCTTTCCTCTCGCCTTGTAGCTCGCCGGCGACGCCGTCCCACGCGCCGTAGAACTTCTGCAGGCAGACGACGAGCCATTCGGCGTGCTCGGGCCGGATCCCGCGACCATCCATGAGCTGCCCCTGCATCAGAACGAGGCCCTTGTCGGCGGCCAGGTCCAGGTGGTGCGTGACGGTCGTATGTGGCTGCGCAAACTCGCCACGCGACTTGTACTCGGCGAGGTGGGTGAAGAGGACGGTGCTGGTGTTGGAGGCGGCGTCAAAGGTCCACTGCAGGAAGTGGATTTCGGCGCCCTGGCTCTCGTGCGGCACGGGCAGGACGAACTGGGGAGATTTGCGGGCGGCGTCTTCCATAGCCTGGTATGTCGAGGCCGGGATGACGGCACAGATCTTCTGGGGCGAGTTGGCGTGCCGCAGCCGCCAGATGACCGTCAGATCTTTCTCGGGCAGCGTGCGGGCCTTGTCGAGGTCGAGGATGTCGCTGAGGGACTTGATGACGGGAGTGTTTCCGGCGTCCCGAGACGCAGACTGTGGGAGGGGGTTGGATGATGACTCGGACGGCGGCGTAGACGGGAGCGGACCGCGGTTCGGTTGCAACACGGGCGTGTTTGGTGCTTGTGGGATCGTGGCGACGGGAAGCTCGACGGCGTCTCGCTTGCGCTGCGCCTCTATCTTTTCGGCATAGGCGCTCTTGAGGCTGTCAACGTCGCCGAGGCCCTCTCGCCTGGCCTTTTCCTCGAGCTTGGCGCGGTACTTGTCGAGGATGGCCGAGGGCTGCTGCGTCGTGGCGAGGAAGCGGACGTCGTGGACGCGAGCCCAGCGCCGCTGCTGGAAGACACATCGGGCGTGGTGCAGCGGGCAGGACGCCAGGTGGCGGAGAGCGGGTATTCGAGTCGCCATGGCTTGTTGCGCGAAGCAATGGCTTGGGATCGTGGGGATGAAGCTGGAAGCCGCTGATGATGCACAAGAACTGAGCGCTTGGACGGGTGACCGGTTGCATGATAAGGTAGCGCTAATGTATCCGCCATCTTCATATCCGCTTTTGATTGGTCAAGGCTGCTAGCAGCTACAGTGTCGAGGCGGAAAGGTACATGAAAAAGTTCATCCATTCCGTCATTGCTCTCTGTGGTGGGGCCGAGAGAACCTGAAAGACTTCATTGACGAACAACCCCACCAAAGCCCACCTCGGTCCATCATCACTCACTCCTTGCGATTCAACCTCACTCGCGATATCATACTTGGCCGATTGTTTGGTCGGGCGGCCATGGCCGACTTTCGGCAGCTTGCCCTCGAATTCGTTCTCGAAGATGACGAGACCAGGCTGGCCAGCATCGCCCAGAGGGCCGCATCAGGTTCGTCTTCCTTCAATGAAAGCGCTGCAACATACCCGAAGACGCGCGAGGCAGCTGACTCGGCGCAGAGATCGAGACTGCCACGGCCAACACGAACCCCGTGGCCCGCTGGGTCGAGGCCGTACAGCCATGGATGCCGGGTAGCAACGATGACGAGGCCATGCAAGAGACGCCGGATTGGACATCGCGAGCAAAGGGTACGACCCCGTCGCCTCGCCGTCTCCAGTGTGCCGCCCTTCTGACAACTCCACAGCTCTCGAGTTCCTGTCTCGAACTTTGGCTGTCCTAAACCAACAGGTTCTCAAGCCGAGCCAGGGTAGGCCAGCCATACATAGCCAGCATCGTCGAACTCGCTTCTGACCCAACCTGCAGTCAAGCTTCTCGTCGCCTTCTTCGGCGCCATGTTTGACGTCGACCACAAGGCCGGCATCATGGCATCTGCCACGGCCCTATCCCGCATCATCACCATGAAATCCTTCCAGCCCCCGAGTGGCCGCGACATCATCCAAAAGGTGTGCGCCCTCAACGATGATTTTGCGCGCCAAGTTGCCAAAACCCGCCTCGCAGTCTACGAGCTGCTGCGCTCCCTCATCGCCAATGCCGCCGTTGCCAGTGACTTGCAGCATCACGAGGGTCCGCCTTCAGCCTTCATGCATAACTTGCTGCAACTCTGTCAGAGCGAGAGAGACCCCGATTGCCTCATGGTGTGGTTCGACATCCTGCGCTTCTTCTCCGCCGAATACCCTTCTTCACACGATATTCTGGAACAAGTGTACGGGGCCTTCAAGGCCTACTTCCCAATCACCCTGCCTCGCACATCTCAGAGTGGCTTGACGCCCGAACAACTCAAGATCCAGCTGCGGAAATGCTTCTCATCCAACGGTCGCCTTGCCACTCTGGCTTTGCCTTTTCTGCTGGGGAAGCTGGATCAAGGAGATGGCGTTACTGTCAATGTCAAGGTATGCACTCACAAGCCTACATCAAGCCTTCACATCCTTACCGCCGCCAGCTCGATGTCCTCCGTACCATCAGAGCCTGTGTCGACGAGTACACACACCCCGAGCAGTCCGTCACGCCCTACTTCAACAGAATTTGGACCAGCCTCAAGTACGAGGTGCGCAACGGCGAGGTCGAAGACACCATCTGGGCCACCCTGGAGGTGCTGAAAACTGTCGCAACGAGGCTCAAGGGCGACGAGCTGCGTGACTTCACCTTGACGGTCACGCGCGAGTGCGTCAGCGATTTATCCAGTCAAATGCACTGCACGGCTGCCGGCCGCTTGCTCATCAGTGTCCTGAGTGCCAATGCCTGCGCCTTTGTCCTCATGGTTTCTCCGGCATTGACGCACATCAAGGAGAACCTCCGACATCCAAAGTCCCCGATGCACAGTGAGGATCTGCTCAAGATTCTTCGCATCATTCTTGAGACACGAATCCTCCTCGCAGAAACGCAAATCGCGGACCAGGAGAGGGGAGATTTCGCCGCCACTGATTCCGCTTTCCAAACGCTGTATGCAGATATTTATCGAGGTCCGCTCCAAATGGGAAGCCGACTGGATGCCTCCTACGATGACATCAGATTGGCAACAGAGGCCGTCCAAGGGGCAGGGGCCTTGGTGTGCCAGCAGGTAGTGAGACCGTTCGATGCTGATATTGTGCAGACTCCGTCGAATACCGGGTTGCTGTTAGCAGAGGGTACACGCGCGGAGGTTTGCGAAACCTTGTTCTCCATTGCAGCTCGAGCTTGGCATGAGGAGGCACGGAAAGATGGATCCGACGACCTTATCAACGAGACCATCAAGGCGTTGCGACGGGCAGTCGAAGCCTACCCTTCAGGGTTCCACCCCCTCCTGGAGCGAGGTGTAGCCATCATTCGCGAAAGCTACGCCAACGCGATTCCGGAATCCGTTGATACCATACAAAGAGTGTCCTCGGTCCTTGCCTTTGTTGGGTGCTCGAGCCTGCGCCCATCCTTGACCAACGGAATGCGGTGCTTTCTTGCTCTCAGCTGTGCGCTGACTAGGGAGCTCTTGATGTCCATGGATGAAAAGATGGATCCCAGCGTCTGGTGTGTCTTGGCCGCCGGCGTCCTCTCAACCGTGCACTACTTTAATGATGCGTGTCAGGACGCGGGCTTGCAAGACTCTGCTCAGGAACTATTTCCTGACCACGACCAACATCAATGGCTTCCTAACATTCTCGAAAAGTATCCCATCTTAAATTCGATAGGGGCTACTACCGGTGCAGCAGCTACGTCCGACTATGACGGCTTGGTGATTCCCGAGTTTAACACCGTCTCTGAACTTCGAGGCGACTTCTTGCTCGTTGGTCTCTTCCTGGCTCGCCAGCTTTACCGCAGAGCCACAAAATCTGTCGGTGACGAGTCGCGAAACGGGACCAAGGCTCTTGGCCTCAGCGACGACTTCACTGGCGCTGGCCAGGAAGCAGAATATCGCTATCTTTGCCTGATATCTGGCCTTGCTAGCTTCGTTGTGGGAGAGATGAATCGATCTGGGACATCTTTGCAGTTGGAAGCGTTTTTCCTTAGCCTGTTTCGCGACGACCTGATCTCTCTCCCCTCTGCAGCGTCAGCAGAAGTCTCGCAAAACACTCAGGACCAAGGCTCATGGAGCTGGCTGGCTCTTGGCCCACTGAATGTGCTCTCCTTTGGCATTCTGAAGTCGTTGCTTCCATCAGGTGTCCTCCGACTTGTAAGTGCCAGTCTCGTCAAACCTAGGAGTGACGCAGCTGACAAGGTGATGCAGTATGGCAGGGGTGTTGCCCAGCAGATCTTGATAGACGGCACTTCGCCCATGTCCAGCCATGGTGATGCTGCCCGATTGCCTGTGACGCGAGCCATTCTGGCTATCCTAGCAAACAAGTATGAGCTTGAAAAGCTGGACGAGTTGATGGCGACGATTGAGCAGCACCTCAGGAACGCCCTGGAACAAGCCACCAAGGGGACCGCCCCCGAGGACCGACGCCGAGGACTGGATCAAGCAATGGCCATCTTCACCCTCGCGGGCGGCCTGCTGCGGCGGTGCACCGGCAAACAGACTCGAGGGCTGCTGCGGTTACTTCTCCAAGCCCCCGACGACCCTGTAGCCGGTCATTTCCTTGGGCGAGGCCTGGAAGTGATTGCCGCACCACAGCCTTTTGTCACCGATAGCATCGGGTCGGTGCAGAAGCCGCTGTGGATGCAAAAGGTCTATGTCGATCTCGTCAAGCCCATGATTGGTACCGCCGTTGGTGCCTCGACCGAGACGCACAGCCCTCTAGTCAAGACCAACTTTGGCGTCGCCGTGCTCCTAATAGTCAAGCACATGAGATTCGCCATCTACGAGGAGGACTCGAGCGCCATTTTACGCATCGCCATCTCCGCCGCCCAAAACCTAGGCAGTGGCCCCGACGCGAAAGCTGCACTAGAGGTCGTCAAGAACATTCTCGTCGAGGCCCCTGACACGGTGCAGGACCACCTCGGAAGCCTCGTCAAGATATGCACCGGCCTGTTCTCAAACGCGCCCGCCTCGACGCCGCGCCGCCCAGAGTGGCTGCCGCAGGACTATGCCGCTGCGTCGGATGATGCCGAGGTCCGGGCTAGCTGCGGCAGGCTTGCCCTTGAGATTGTGGGCGGGCTGCCGCGAATGTTCGAGACGAGGCATCTCTTGGCATACGCGCCACAGGTGCAGCGGGAGCTTGCTGCCGCCTGTGGACATGGGTCCCGTGATGTGAGGAAGATTGCGAGGTTGGCTCGGGCGGCGTGGTCGGAGTTGAGGTAGCGCGTGTGCGAGCGAAGTGACATATGGATGACGTGGCTCGAGTTGCTGGCCGACGCCAGGGGCTACGACAGCAGCAATCACGGCATATAGACTAGATTATTGGACCGTCCGAGGCGGAGGATCGGTTTCTTAGATTGCATTTCGTCTGGTCAGATACGAAGCTCCTCGTAGCATTATGGAGGTCGGAATCCATGGTATGCAAGACCAGTGTTCCCTTGCCAGCTAAGTCGCCATAGATGCCGAGTATGTGCAACCCCATCAACTGCTCTTCCTCTTGTGCATGCCCCTCTCCCCTTTAAGCCTTGCGCCTCTTGCCGCCCTTCTTGTTCGCAGCCTCGGCAGCCGTCGAGCTCCCCTGCTCCTCCTTGGCATTGGCGGCCAGGACGGCATCGAGCACATCCGGGTCCGTGTCCAACATCTCCTGGGAGGCGAGCTTAACGCGCTTGGGATCCTGCTTACCGACGACGGGAATGGACGAGGCGAGGGCCTCCTGGAAGGGCTGGGGGACGAAGCGGCCCGTCTCATCAAAGAAGGAGGCAAAGGGCTTGGAGAGCTTAATTACCCGGGGCTCGGCACCCTTGGCCTCGACGGACACGGTGAGTCGGTAGGTTGGGTCGTTTTTCTTCGTGGCGCTGGCGACGGTGAGCTGTTGACATGACGGAAACGGGCTGTCAGCCATCTTCCACAGTCAATGCAAGTGGGAAAGCAGAGAGGCACCTTTTCGCCCGACGGCGCAGTGCCTTGGTAGACGGCGCCCTTTTCCACGTCGGAGATCCAGTACGTCAGGGCGCCGTTGAGCATGGTGTAGAGGCCGACGGCAATGGCCGTGTACTGCTTGGTGGGTTCGAAGCCGAAGCGGTAGTCCCAGAGGAAGCAGGCGGCGGCGAGGACAAAGGCGGTGTAGCCAAGGGCGAGGCGCACGTCGGTCAGGAAGTGCGACTGGCGGAACTTGAGCGAGTTGAGGTAGTTGGGGATGGCATCGTCGGCCGTGTTCTTGAGGTCTGGTGCAGCACACGGCACGTTAGCGTCTTTGACGCCGTTGAGGTCCGAAGAGAGGAAGAGGAAAAGAACTTACCGGCGAGGTTGTAGACGCTGACCTTTTCGGAGCTCGCCATGGCTGCTGCTGCTGCTGCTGCTGCTGCTGCTTTGCGCGTCGTCGTGGAAGCTTTGGGCGATGCAGGCCAAGTGTCCTGAGTCCTGACGCTGGCGGCGGTTCAACTGAGCGCTGAGGACAAGTTGCTCCCGTGCCATTGCCGATAAGGTACTTCTGGGTACGAGGTGCTTGGGCATACTTGCGTCATTTTCTTGGTTGATTCGAAGTACATGTACTCGCATCTAGCGACACTCCACAATTCACTACGGCCGCGGCAGAATCCGAGCTCCGGGGACCCTCGACCTTTCACCTCCAAAAGCCCCAAACCACCATCGCGGGCATCTCGACATTGCCAAATAATCACCCGCGCCCCGCCGCCGGCCGCCCACCTCCCTCACGATGGCCCAAGTCCCCGTCCAGACCCTTCACCGGGACCCCCAGTTATTGTGCGTTGAGGCCCCCCCCTCCTTGAGCTCTGCCGTCGTCTGCCCGCCGCACGGCTTCAACGTGCCCGAGTCGACGCGAGCCGAGCTGCTGCAATGTCGAACCAGGACCTAACAATCCTTCTCAGTTACTGGATTCTCATCCCCATCACCGTCGTCATGGTCCTCACCGGCGTCCTCCGTCACTATGCCTCGGTCCTCATGGCCACGGCGCCCAAGAAGCTCGACGCAAAGGCCCTCCGCGAGCAGCGCGCCCTGTCCCGCGGCGTCGCCCTGCGCTCAAACTATCACGTCATCTCGCAGCGCGCCTTCGAGTCGCGTCGCGAGACCCTCATCGCCGGGTACGAGTCGGGCGCCTTCCTCAAGGAGCCCGAGCGCAAGGGCCAGCCGCCCGCCAACCCGCTCACCGACCCGAGCCAGATGGACGGCATGATGGGCATGATGAAGAACAACATGGCCATGATCATCCCCAACACCCTCATCATGAGCTGGATCAATGCCTTTTTCAGCGGATACGTCATCAGTCCGTCCCTCGTCTGTGTTTTGCAAGAGGCCTCTCGCTAACGCGCGCGCGCCCTCAGTGAAACTCCCCTTCCCCATCACCATCAAGTTCAAGAGCATGCTGCAGGCGGGCGTGCAGACGAAGGACATGGATCCGCGGTGGATGTCGAGCATTAGCTGGTACTTTCTCTGCATCTTTGGCCTCCAGTTCGTCTACGTCTTTCTGCTCGGAAGTGACAATGGTGAGTGCTCCTCGCCCGCTTTGCGCGCGGGAGAAGCTGACCGCATGGTAGCCGCCAGCCAAATGGCCCAGCAGATGGCCCAGCAGCAGATGCCCATGGGCCCTATGGGTGGCCCAGGGCAGGACCCCGACAAGCAGTTCAAGACCGAGGCCGAGAATCTCGATGTTGTGGAGCACTACTCGGTTCTGGATGGCGTCGAGGAGCGTCTCCTCGAGGGTATCACGTCGTAGATTCATAAACGGAGCATGCAGCTAAATAGAGGGGTACAGAAGATATGGGTTGCATCGGCTTTCCAAAAAGAAAACAACCCCGTGTTATGCGCCATCCCACCAGAGACACACGCCAAGCCCTTCGTTGGCCATGCTGCCCTTGATCCGGTACGGCGTTTTGGCCGGCGCATCCTCTGCCTGCAATGGACCTGCCGGTGTCTGGTCATGCCATTCTTCCTCGATGACTTGGAAGCGGACCATCTCGTGGATATCGTAGAACAGCCGTTGGTCGTCCAAGTTCCAGATCCAAAGTTGCTCGCTGTGGTTACTATCCGGCACGAGTGGCGTCAGCATGTCACTCTGGCAGTAGGTCCAGGCTGCGAGGGCACTCACTACTCGGCTCCCTCGGGCAGCTCCTCATACGGGACAAAAATGTCGTCGAAAAAGTCTGTCCTCAGGTTGATGCCCGCAGGCGTAGAGCTTCGTATCCTTCCCAGCATCACCTCGCCTTTGAAGGGACGAAAGACTACCATGCGGAATTCGGCTGCGCAAATGTGAGCGAGGACATAGTGACGAGAAGAGGTCTCGGCCGTACCATTGACGTTGACGAGGCCTGTTCCATGGCCTATGAGACCCTCGGACGACCACAACAGGTCATAGAGGCATATGCAAAGCCCGATTTTCTGAATGACCTGTCCCGACACAGAGTTTTAGTCGAGCTGACAAAGAGACCTGGGGCAGCAACGGCGGTCCCGACCTTATTGGAATACTTGGCGTTGATGTTGTCCTCGATGGCGACGATGCTGTGCTTGGAGAAGTCCTCGGGGGCAATCTGCACCAGATCCGAGATCTTTGTCTGCAAGTGGTGGACAGGTCAGCGACGAGGGGATGGCGAGCGAGGCTTCGTCGACGTACTAGGATAAACATTTTTTTCGTGTTGGGCTCGCAGTGACTGAGCTAGCTAGGCTCTGGATGCACCAGCGTATCGCGTCCAGACGAGAGCTACCGTCGAGAGGATTTCATGTCGAAACGAGTTGCCGTTGAGTGGTGTGAGTGGTGCATGGAGTAGACGAAAAGCGTCTTTTGCAGTGCCATCGTCTCCAAGAGCGAGACTCATGGCTCCAGTGGCGCCGAAATAGAGGCACTGCTCTCGATTTTGCCGGCCATGACGGGCTCTCACCGCCTTCTGTTTTCTGCCCCACTACCCACCGCCTTCCCCCTCTGTCCTATTTCTGCACCACCGACGCCAAACCATCGTCGCGACCTTTCTCTCCCAACCAACCATCGTCCTCATTTCCTGGGACCACCCTCTGTCTCCCGTCTCTGTCAACCGTCACACACCCGTCACGCTCTCGCTTACCAGTTCTCTCTGTCACGGTCTGTTTGTCGCCCCCTCAACGCACGCCAACCAGCTTCTTGCCAAGGCTTTCCGCATCTGTTTTCGACCTGTTCATTCGACGCCTTTTTCACTCCTCGTTTTTTTTACGCTCCCGCTTCCCTGCTCGCCGTGGCTGCGGACAAGTGTTCTTCTGCCAAAATCTACCAGCGAGCTAAAGCCTTACAGAAGCCATGGCTGGCTACGGCTACGCCCCCCCCCCGCCGCCGCCTCCACTGGCCGCCAGTCATCCCACCTACGCCCAGCCGCACGCGTCCTATCCGCATCACGGACATTCTCGTGGCGGAGGAGCTTCTGGCGGCCGCGGTCGGGGTGGTTCGCACGGCCGTGGTCGAGGCGATTACCACGCTGCTTCTACTCCTCAAGTTCATTACGAATACGCTGCCCAGCCGTATCCGCCTCACAACTCGCCTCCTTACTCGGCCTCGCATCCTCCTGCCGTCGCGTATTCGCCTCATCCGCAACAATGGGTACCTGAGCACGGTCACGTACCGCATGCCCCGAACGCGCACCCTCATGCACCTGCGCCCATCTCTTCCTCCAACTACCATCCCAACTACGCGCCGCAGGCATACCCCCCTTCCCAGTACGCTCAACAGCCTTCCTACGGCCCGCCTCAGCAGTATGGGAATCCCTACCAGGGCCCCCCGCAGCCGCCGGCACCTCAGCATTGGACTCATCACGGCTCGCCGCAGCAGGGACACTATGCCAACGGCAGAGGCCGCGGAGGCTACAACGACCGCTCTGGATCCAAGCCTCCTCACGGGGGAGGTCCTGCTCGCCAAGGATACGAGCATGAGCCAGTGGCTCCAGTCGGAGGAAGCTTTGGCCAGCCGTTTCATCATGATCCGCGCCCTCCACACTACCCTCCTGCGCAGTATCCCTACCCCGGACCGCCGCCTCCTCCTCCCGCGCCTGTCCACCAGGAAGGCCACCATGGTCAGTATCATCGTCGTGGCCGAGGCGGTGGGCATAGGGACGGAGGGCGTGGACGGGGCGGTTACCACAGTAACAACAACCATTATCACCATGGCGGAGACAGGGCTCGTCAGCACCAGCGCCAGGGTCCCACAGCCGATAAACAGACTAAGATAGAGTCTCCATCTATTGGCAGGAAGAAGAAACGTAAGACGAACACGCTGGGTTTGACGCCTGGCATGGACTCCGAATCGGAAGATGACGAAGGGGAAGAGAAAGCTCTCGTTGATCTCATCGGCTCTGAAACTCTGCAGTAAGTCCTGGTTGCTGGCCCTTGTTTCCGCGCTTCTACTAACTCTAGTGTCAGGATTACCGATATTGCTGCCTTTTTGACCGAGCGGCGGAAGAACTATCCCACCAAGGCGCGCATCGAGGCCAAGAAAGCTGCCGAGCTGGCACGAAGAGACGAGGACAAGGCTGCCTCGCTAGAGAAACAGGCCGACAGACTTCGGAGACAGCTTCGCAAAGTCGAGTCTTCCATCAAGCGAAAGCGCGAGCAGGGAGACGAAGGTGACGAGATGAGAGATTCCTCCGAAGGCGAGTCAGAAGATGAGAGGCCCGAAGTCATGTCTTCTCGTCCTGATGCCGCCACGCCGCCTCCTCCCGCCCAAAAGGCCGATGTGACGAGGCACTGCAAATACTATTCCACTGGTGGTACTTGCGGCAAGAAGGGCAAGTGCCGCTTCGTCCATGACCCGGAAGCTCGAGAGGCGGCAATGAAGGAGCGTGAAGCCAACGATGGTCGCATGACGATTCAGCAACGTCTGACTCTCAACGACAAGGAACAGGAGGACTTGACAGTACTCCAGTCCATCCAGTATCTTCGCGAAAAGGGCGTGATGATGTCGGCTCCCGCCTCTCACGCGAACCACTACCAAGCCGTGGAATCAAAGGACCGACACCGAAGCATGGACGTTGACATGGAGGATCCACGGCCTGCACCGACGTCCAGTCTTTTGCCTGCTCCCCCCGCCTCGTTGCCGGACCCGCCCATTAAGAGGGAGGCCGGCTCGGCACGTCGGAACCCGCCGCCCTCTGTCATTCCGACTGCTAATAGTGTCAGCAGTCAGGGACTAGAGCACTACCAGGGTTGGCTGCTGCAGCCGTATGGAAGCACCAACGGCAAGCAGTCTATGAGTGATGATCTGCCTTGAGGAGGGAGCGAGGAGCCGAAACCAGAAGATTTTATGACTCGCGTCCGCGATGGTCCTTCGTCCGTTTCCCTGTTCTTTGCAGCACTGGCCGAATGCAACTGAGCAATCTATGCTAACTGATTCGAAGTGGCCTGAGTAGCAAGCGCGGCTATCTCTTCTCTTTGCTTTTTGATCTCGGGCCTCTTGATGCGCAACACATTTGGAAGGCTTGCCTATTGCGGACAGGGACGGCGTGGCGAATGGCGTTTAATTAGCAGGTGCAGTACAGGCACAGGACAAACGGGAGAGTCAAGTGGGACGTTTACGGTGTGGCCTAGATTCGGTTTAATTCTCAGTCGCTATTCTAGTCTCATATCGAGCTAAGCTCGCTGTCATGCTTGTTGTCTTCGTAAATCCCTGTCTTCCGTCGCCCGTCGTAACTAAATAGCCATCCGACACGAGACTGGCGGCTAAAGGAAATATCATTCTTACTAGTGAAGAGAAGGGACGAAATCAAAAAAAAAAAAAGAAAGAAACTCCGTCGCTGATGACACTGAAGAAGGGGGGGGAAGGGGTTCGCGTCGCGATGAGAGCTGTCTAAAAACGCCGTGGCCACGTCGACGCGAGATGGCGGGGAACTCGAATTCTGAATGAGAAATAACACCCACCGTTGGCTGATCAGCGTCGGTTGCCGGCACGGAGGGCCTCGAGAGCCCTGCGCTTCCTATCCTCCTTGGCGGCCTTGAGGCTCTTCTCGAGGCGCTCCTGCTCAATATCCTCCCTGCGGGCGAGGTGTTCGGCTCGCTTCTCTTCCACGTCGAGCTCGTCCATGCCGGCCTCCATGTCCGAGGAGCCATCTGAGGCGTAGCCGTACTGCGGGCCGCCCTCGTCTTCCTCGTCGTCGTACTCGATGAAGTCGTCCATGTCCTCGTCGTAGTCGTCTTCGAGGCGGGACCGCTTGGAGGAGCCGCGCCGGGCCATGGGCGCGTTGAGGAGTGCGCCGCCGCGAGGGGCGTCCTTGATCTTGACGGGGTTCCCGGGCTTGGGTCGAGCGGTGCCGGCGTAGCCAGTGGTGGCTTGGGCGGCCTTCTTGAACTTCTTTTCGGCGGTCTCGAGTTCGGCGGCTCGCTTGTTCGCGCCGGCTTTGGATCGAGGTGCTTGCGCCCCCTGGACATCTTTCCTCAGCGAGCCGTTTCCGTTGGCGCTGCCCTGCGGAACCGGTTTCGAGGTCCCCTTGTAACCCGAGGCACCCTTGCCTTTGGCTGGCGCGGCCGGTTTGCTCTCATCCTTGCCTTTAACCGCACCCTTCTCGACCTTCTTGTGCTGAATCTTGCCCACCTGGCCCATGACGGCCTGTGCTCGTTGACCCCGGGCCAGGATCTCAGCAAACGAGCCCTTCTTGGGTGGTGCTCTTGATATGGGAGAAGGTGCTGTTGGGGTAGATTGCGGACGCCCGGTGACGGCGGGCTTGGAAAGTCTGAGCAGGGCGGACGGGGGCTTAGCGGAGGAAGCGGAACCAGATTTGGCGCCATTGCCAGTCATGGGACGCTGGGCCTGAGGCAGCCTCTCGCTTGTGACTCGTGGTTGCTGACTCGAAGTCGGGAGAAGGGGAAACTGGCGAGAAGCCTTAGAGGCGTCTTGGCGCAAGTCATTGTCGGGCTTCCGTTTGGCCGGTATCGAATTTGCTCGGGGCAGATTAGGTCGATCCGGGACGGACGGCGAGCCGACGTTGGACTTGCCGCCGCTGATCTGGTCTAAAAGGTCTCCGATCTGCAAGCATGTCGTTGTTGGTTAGGCTGCGGTCATCGGTAATAGTGGAGGCCGTCGATGTCGAAAACATACCGGCATGGTGGCGGCGCTACCCGAGCGAAGGCGCAACGACGGGCCAGGCGAGAGTGGGCGGATGCAGTTGATTAAAGCACAAAGGCAGGCTGCGAGAATCCCAGATCCCTCTCCTCACCGCAAGAGGCAAGCTTCAGCTCAAGGGGAAGCCCCTCATAAAAGTTGTGGACAAGGTGACCTTTTGGGTTTCTTGAAGTTGATCCCCATGCGAGGGGCGGAAGGGGGAGCCGAGTTATCGGCACCTGATGGCGAGACGGCGATGCGGAAGGAAGAAGACGACACTCGAGTCTCGATGCAGGGCAACCTGGCGAAGCGCTCGGTGCGTCGGACGAACAAAGGCTGGATGGCTGGGTGTTGCCTGAGCGGCGAAGAAAAAATGCGTCCAGGTAACCCAAGGCAGAGGCCGGGTCACGTGATATCCACGCCACGGCGGCTAGGCGTGTGGCGGCACCGGTCTCAGGCGACTAGCCACACCGGTGGGGCCAGGACGTGTCCGAGGTACCAACTTGGTCGAGACCGCGCCCTAAGTTGCTCGCGTAATCCCCACCATTTGGCGCCCACACATGTAAAAATCCATGCCACTTTCTGCCGGCCCGCGACGAACATTTTGCAGCCTCGTCCCGTTCCACCACCACCACCACAAGTCAGCCAGAACTCGAAGGCTTCAGTCTCCGCCCAACTCGCGGTTAAATTGATTGATTTCTCGTGTTCCTCTCTACTTCGACAACTGTGAGCTCTTCTCTCCCTGTCTGCTACTCGCTGCTTCGCATTTGCTCTGCCCTTGACCTCGAAGACGCAAAGCGCTAACCTCCAATTCTCGCTCGGCCAGTCACCCCCCAGACAAGATGAAGCACCTCGCAGCCTATCTCCTGCTCGGCGTCGGCGGCAACGCGTCGCCCTCCGCCAAGGACGTCAAGAAGGTCCTCGCCGCCGTCGGCATCGAGGCCGATGACGAGCGCCTCAAGCAGCTCATCTCCGAGCTCGAGGGCAAGGACATCAACGAGGTATGATTCCCACCGCCTCTGCCCGCCCCATGCGACGGGAACCCCGACGAGAGCAGATTTGCTAACACGGCCCCCGTCACAGCTGATCGCCTCTGGTTCCGAGAAGCTCGCCTCCGTTCCCTCTGGCGGTGCTGGCGGTGCTGCCGCCGGTGGTGCTGCTGCTGGTGGCGCCGCTGCGGCCCCCGCCGAGGAGGCCAAGAAGGAGGAGGAGAAGGAGGAGTCCGACGAGGACATGGGTTTCGGTCTGTTCGACTAAGCAGCCCCTCAAGGGCGATGGCGGTCACGACGTCCCACGAATTCCAGAATTTTCGCCGGAAAAGCTGCGCGCAGGCCATGTGTCGGCTCTTGCACGCCTTGGGCATGAGAGAACCGAGTCCTCGTGGACAGGGTGGCGGACGGGTGTACGGACGGTTCTACGGACGACACGGCATCCGTTGCTCATGAATATTACCCTCGGCTCTTTTCTGGAGATATCCCATACCTTCAACGTGATCATGATGAGTGGACAGTAGCGAAACACCTGGTAGATTAGACCGCGCGTGACGTGAAATTCCCACTGCCCTCCAAGTCGCCGATGAGTGACGGGGGACGCCGCCTAGGACGCTTAACTGCATAACCCCCTGGTCCTGAGCAGCAGCGTTGGCTACTCTTCATGGTTCACGGGCGGACGCCCAACCTTCTCGCCCATCGCTTTGTTCCTTCGTCGCTGCTCTTCGGATCCCCTATATTCGTCGACTCCGGCGTACTGTTTAACAGCACGACTCAGATATTATTAGGATTGCCACCGCTTTATCGCCGCCGTACAATTACAGAAACGCAGCATGACGCGGGCCTACTAGTACACACAAAAGGGGGCTGTACAGAAAGGTGGGGGACCGCCATTGTACAGGCCAAGAGACGGCTACCACCTGCTCCTTTACCTGGTGCTTCCGACTGACAACTCCGGACAACCTGCCTGACAAGCTGTTATACTTCTGACTCTCGCAATCACATCCGTTCCGGTGTGATTCTTATTGCGTCTTGGCCTTTTTCGTTCGCCCTGGCGGCAAAATGTCACTTTCTTGGACCAGCTTCCACAGGCACCACAAATAGCAGACCATAAAACCTGCCGCCCCGATGCCCACGTTGGCAACCACCCAGAGATCCGGCTTGTCGAGTGGTGGGAGAACGGTGGCTTCGACGACATGCCATAGTCCCATGGCCGTGTAAAAGATTCCGTGAAATATTGCCGTCGCCCACTGGACACGCAGAGATTGGCCGACTTGCGCTTGAAATGGGGCGTCCCATGACGTAGGAGGGAATCCTAAAAGATATGCCCAGAGGAGTGTCAATACCGCGTACGGAATCCCCAGGTCCACGCGGCGGAGCAAGGGGAACATTGTCCAGGCCCCCAGCAGGTTGGCGAAGCCCACCCAGGCTCGGATTTCTCCGCTCAGCCCATGTCTGCCCGCCAGCAACAGCGTCATCGGCATCAGGGGTAGCAGTACGCTCTTCTCGTGAACCTGGTAGCTGAAGAGGAAGAACCCCCAAGCGGTCGCGGCAAACGCTAGGGGCATGGATGTCTTGCGCGGGCGCAAAAAGAGGATGAAATTCGGCGGTATGATTGCGAGCAGCGTGGCGCCGAGCGACGCCCTCTGCAGCATGACCGGAGACCAGTTGCGAAGCTTGACGACAACGTTGGCCGCACACCAAAAGTTGGCAACCTTGTCCTCGAACAAGCCCCTCGAGAAGGGAAATATTCGGTGCACCATCTGAATGATTTGCTCGACAACTGCGTAGGAAACAGATTGGGTATCAAGATAGTCGACTATAAATGGAAATAGAGGTGTCGGGGGAGGAGGCGAGTCCAGCTCAGGCCTCGAATCGATGCCGCGGTACCTATTGTACAAGGTCCCGAGAACAAGAGGGAGGACCAAGACGGCAAAGGAAAGGATGGTGACGAGAGCGACTCCGAAAAGCCGTGCGAGGCTGAGTCTCGGAAAGACACACTTTCCAAGGAGATAGGAAAAGACACTAAAGGCGTAATATAGGGCCATCTGCTTGAAGCCCAGGGCGGCGACGAACAAGACGGCGGCTGTTTTGTATCGGTCGGCCAACATGCTGTTCATGCTGGCGACAACCAGGCCGAGCATGACGGTGTTGTACTGGAAGTGGACGTGGTCGATGAGTATCGTTGCGGGCTGCATCAAGAACGCGACGAGGGCGACGGAGCTGGTCCAGGTGGCAACGCCATTGAGTCGGCCAAAGCGTCGCACAAACACAACAGCGGCGGGCATGTAGATGAGATACTCGGAGACGATGACCGTGGCTCTCATAAACACCTTCAATGTCGGATCATCGGAGCCGCGAGAGGCGAAAAGGGCGAACCAGGCCGGGTCGAAGAGAGCGCCAACCTTGCCCATGGCCCAGCTGTGGTAGGCCGTCAGAGGCGGATAGTCGAGGCCCCACCACTGCAGGTCATGGAAATACCACTGCGACACGGGCAGGTTTGTCGTCACCTCCATCCAGTGGCGCTGGGCTTCATAGTCGCCGTACATGGGCGGGCGTTGGAAACCTGCGGGCGTAGAGCGTCAACTCGGCGAAGCGTCTCCCGGGCAAACCGAAGATGATTACCGGAGTAGCCCCAGAGGCCTGCCGCCCACCTAAACAGCCCGACAACCATGAGGACGAGCGGCAGCACCTCCCATTGAGACGCCGAGGTTCGCGCGGGCCAGAGAAAAGCGGCCAGGGGGAAAGAAGGGGCCTTGACGAGCGTCTCGGAGCGAATCCGCGAGGGCTTGTCGGCGGCGTCGCTGGACTTCCTGGGCTTGCGCCGGGACTTGTGCGGGGAGGGGCTGGCCGTTGCCATTGTCACCGCATCGAAGGGATCAGAGGGCGGGTCACAGGGCTCATGAGACGTGCGGGCGGCGCGTCTTGTCTTGGAGGATGAGGCTGTTGTCTGTTCTCTTCACTGACCTGGCCTGTTTGGGCATGCGAGGTGGAGCTGAAGCGTTGGTGCGGCGTGGCGAATAGACACTGTGCAGCCCTCAGATAAAGCTTGGCAGGTATTGACACTGTGCGTGAGTTTCACCTCGGCACACCGTATGCCTCAGTTTGCGTATAAGGCTCTCGTGACCTCTCAAGACAGACAAACAATGCTGCTTGCATCCCGGGAAGGGCCTCTCTTCCGACCTGAGCAGCCTCTCCATCATGCCGTTTCCATTCGTGCTGCCGACCACGTCCGCCTTCTCCTTCTCATCCTGCTTCAGCTGCGACTCTCACCCGTCTCTGCCCATCAATGCCAGCACCCAGCGCGGCGTCGCGAGAGATACCCTCAAAAAGCACAAGCGGCTTCCGCCTGCCTCGCGGACGGCAAGTCTCGCCACTGTGATTTCAAGCCTGGGTGAATACATACCCTATCTCCTCGCTGTCGACGCTGGCGTCAGCTCCCACAGCCTGGTGGGAGGAGAGAGCATCAATGTCGTCTTGAAGATGGCTCCCTCGATCCAATGGAGGCCAACGCTATCAAGCGAAATGGTTCCAGGACGCGAGAGGCCCCGAGTTGCGATAGGCTCGCTAGAATATGAAATATTCTTCGTCTTGTCAACCTTGGCCTTCGCCTACGTCTCCACGGCCAGGTCTATACTGCAGCCGCTGTACACCACCACTGGAGAGTTTGTCGGCGCCAAGGAGAGAACAACGGCGATCCAGACTGCAAACAAGCACCTCCTCGACGCTGCGTCTATATACGAGTATCTCGCTGGCCGGAGTGAGCAGATCTCGAGCGCTCCCCCCTGCTTCGACGTTGCTCCCACCACGGCTCGGACCCTGGCGTCCCTGGCTCTGGCAGAGGCGACTCTCTTGGCAGTCACCAAAGATGACCCATATCCGACGGCCGTCGCCCAAGACCGGAACAAGGGCGACAAAGAATGGATGTTCAAGGCGCCCGACATCCCCAAGACAAAGGCTCATCTCAACGCGCGGCTGTGTCTGGCCGCCTCGGACCACGCGGCCAAGGCAGCGTCGCTATGTCAGCCGGCAGGATCCGGAATCAACAAGGGCAACCCAAGCTTTTTAAAGTACATGGATGATCTAAGTCGCACCAGCCGGGCCAAAGCATGCAGGTTCTTTGGGATCCATGCCGAGGTGGACGGCCATGTTGCGGAAGCCGTTGGCTGGCTCCGCGCAGGCTTACAGGCCCTCGGGTTAGAGGCCAAAGAAAGGGATTCGAAGAAGGGGCTGAGCTTCGGCCGGCTCAGAAAGGATCTGGCAGAGAAAAGAGAAGATCGGCGGATCGAAAAAGAGACGGCGTGGGGCGTAGATGCGGGCAGGCTGGAGGAGACGAGGGTTCTCGACATGCTATATGCCAAGTGGAACAAGATCAACGACACGGTAAGAAATCATGTTGCTCTCTCTACAGCCCCGACTTCTCCGCTGACTTTGGCTCAGATGAATACGCAACTGGTTCCGCCAGCCAATTCTCTGTTGGCCAAAATGCCCTCGGGCCGAGAGATTTACACGGTCCAGCCCTACAAGCCGCCTATGCTCGACCGAGAGGTCCTCGAAGCCATGCGCTCCCCGCCGGACGGAGATGATGACCTGGGAGACGAGATGAGCTCTGAAGATGAAGCGAGGGGGGGCCATCCGACACCTGTCGGTGCCTACCCTGGAGCCACAGACCATAGCGCCGAGCAGACGCCGAGCGGGAGCACTTATTACTAGCCCATGTCACGAAACTAGATTACTCTAGTGGTCGAATAGAGGACGAATGATGCAGTCTGGAGTAAGTCGCTTGACGAGAACTCTTTTTGATTACAATTACGCAATATGTATTAGTTTTTGCCTGTTTTGACAGGCGTTCAGATTCCCTTTAACCATCTCTGACCATCCCATTTTTTTTATACCTAAAACCAAAACCAAACTTTTATCCCGCCCCCCGCCCCACGCAGCCGTTACAAAGTGAGTCGTGAGTGTGTTGTTGCGTTGTGTGGTGTTGTTGCGTTGTGTGTGCCTGTTGCGAGCAGCTTTGGAGGCGCTCACTGGGTAGGCTGAGGAGCCCACGCAGTCATGACGCCGTCGTCATCCTTCCAGGCCGTCATGAAACCAGTGTCGGACTTGAGGGCGGTCATCTTGCTGTTGACCTCCTTCCAGGCAGTCATGAAACCGGTGTCGGACTTCAAGGCGGTCATTTTGCCGTCGTCTTGCTTCCAGGCAGTCATGAAACCAGTGTCGGACTTCAAGGCAGTCATTTTTCCGCTGTCCTCCTTCCAGGCCGTCATGACTCCGTCATCTCCCTTCCAGACCGTCATGAAGCCCGTATCGGACTCGAAGGCGGTCATCTTGCCGTTGTCTTGCTTCCAAGCGGTCATGAAGCCAGTGTCTGATTGCAGAGCCGTCATCTTGCCATCATCCTTCTTCAAGATGGTCATCCAGCCGTCCTTGCCCTGGATGCTGGTCGGTGCAGACTGGGGAGGTGCCGTCATGGCCATGGGCGGCGGGGAGGCTGCCCTCTGGACAACAGCCTTGGGTGTCTCGATAGCGCTGTAGCACCTACGGGTTCAAAGTCAGAAACGGGTTGTGCGAGACACGGAAGACTTTGGCTCTCTGAGCTGGGGCCCGTTGAACGCTCACCTTCCGTAGGGCTCGCCGCAGTTGTTGATGGCGGGCTTGGGCGCTGCGATGACGACCCCGGCGAGAGCAAAGAGAAGACCGGCGGTGACCTGCATCTTGACTTGGGTTTCTTGGAAAGAACCTTGAGAGATGGAGAGAAAGCTGTGGTAGAGGGTGTGTCTTGGGAGTGTTTGTAGGATGGTGTTTGGATGTGGTGTTGCTGATGCTGGTGAAGACCGGAGAGGAAGCCGTCCTTTATACTCATGAGTCTCGACACTTTACCGTCAAGAAGATGCTCGGCATGCTGTGATGAAAATTTTCTTCACTCGAGTCTCCGTCTCGCCTCCTTCTCTGACAGTCTAGAATGTCAACACGCCAGTGCGATCAGTTCAGCGTCGGATGGTGGGCAGATGCAATCCCACCCCCCGGGGGCAAACGACCCAACCCTTCAGGTTCCATCGCAGCACATCAGCCTCCCGGTGTCGACGGTCCGAGGGCGACGACGGTCCAAGGCGGACAATCGGGGACCAAGCACCCACGTGGTTCGCCACCCTTCTCACCCTGCTCCGTTCCCCGTGGGCAAAGCCGGGACGGGTGAGGAGACGTAATAGAGTGTGAGTGTATGGGTGCGGGATGGGCGGCATCAAAGTCCTTCCGAGAGGGAGCCGGGAGAGTGAGCATGAAAATCTCTGCAAATCGTACCGCAACCGAGGGTAGGATGTCCCGTACAGGCCGCCATGCATGCAGGAACGTTTGTTACTGAGTCACCTCTGCACGGGTTGCATGATGGTGCCGTGGCGAGACCAAGCAGTATGTACTCTGTACCAGGACGAGCTGTACTGTCAGTATGATGATGGGACGTGTAGGCAATCAACGGCCAGGCCGATTGTTATGCGTAGGCCGTCATTGTTCTGGAAAGAATCTCGCCATGGGGGGATGGACGAGGGCAGATGTCTGGGGGAGTGACCGGCCCCTAATGGCCATCTCTCACCGTGATGATGGCGCAACTTAGCCACGGCTCTACGATGCAGTCGCCGACTGCTTCCCTGCCCAGATAGAGACATGGACAAAGAAGGCGGGAAGCGGTCCAAGCTGCAGAAGACGACGGCATCGAACTGCAAAAGCAGCAGCACGGAACTTTCTGCCCTCCTTCTTCGACTTCGTCTCCTACTTTCTCTCCAACCGGCATTCGACGCCAACCCATAACCTTACGATTTGTCAAGGATACCAAACAACCACGGCGGCCAAGCCGTGCATATGCACACGGAAAACTCGCCATCTGCAAGGGCGGGAGTCGGAGAAAACGACACCACCCACACCCCATCGTGGGAGGGCTTGCTCGACGGGCCGTGGTGGATAGCAGCGGCTTTATGTACGGCAGAGCCCCTTTCCCCAGGAGGGCCTGGACGGGTCGGCCCCAACGTCATGCGACGTGCCGGCCGGGAGACGAGGCCCGTCTCCTGTCAGATCCAACGAGCAGTGGTTACGAGAAGGGTCACGTGTAGGACCCACAAGTGGCGGCTAAGGGCCGGCGGATTATCGGATGGCTGACGCTGAAACGGCAGTGGAGCCGGCCATTACATAAGACGAGTCGACTCGTTGATCACCATTATCGATAAGATGCCCTGTACGGAGTAGCTGGCCTGCAGGCTCAGAGCAGCTGCTAAATAACTTACAGTGCCTTAGTGTTAAATTGTCAGCTGGACAGCGTCAGCGATACCTTCCACTCACCTCCATTCCGCCGCCCCGAGGTCAGCGGCGCACGGCAACGGCTCCTTGGCTCGCGAGTCGTAGAACAGAAAGGGCGTGCGCGCATTGCAGGCAGAAACGCGAAGCGTCCACCGCCTTCGCAACGCTCTCTGCCACAGCCGCGTCGTCCTGAAAAACTTCATCCTTCGATGGCCGCGTCCTGCGCCAGAGCTGCCGCCGCCGCCGCCGCCGCCGCCGCTTCTGCTACCTCGTCCGCGCCATGGCGAGCATCGACAGCTAGAGGTTCGATTTCCCCTCTTTCCGCGGTAACTCGCCGGCCCATCTCCGTCTTCACCGGGTACGGGACCATACGCAAGCTCATCGCTTTCTCGGCAGCCTGCTCGATGCGCCGCGCCAGGCCGGCCCGTCCAGCGCTTCCTCCTCCTCCTCTCTCCCGCCCAACTCCCGGCGACGTGCCACGGAGCTGGATAGGCACAGCTACCTACTCGACCGCCTCAGCCGCCGCTCCGACCATACCCATGAAGCCCAGCTTCTCCTACCACGTCTCGGCCTCCTTCATCGCCAAAGACCGCCCCTACGACCCGTCGACGCACGTCTTCCACTTCAACCCCTACAACCGCATCCAGCCGCCTCGCCACCGGCGGCGCTCTTCGCGCCCCGACTCGGGCCACGATGCCTTCTTCGTCAGCCGCGTCAACGACTCGGGCGCCGTGGCGCTGGGCGTCGCCGACGGCGTGGGCGGCTGGACCGACTCGGGTGTCAATCCCGCCGACTTCTCCCACGGCCTCTGCGACTACATGGCCGCCGTCGCGTACGAGCACGGCCCGGCGGCGAGCACGCCCCTGACGGCGCGCAGGCTGATGCAGAAGGGGTATGACGCCGTGTGCAACGACGGCAGCGTGCACGCGGGCGGCAGCACGGCCTGTGTGGCCATTGCGGCGCCCGATGGCATCCTCGACGTGGCCAACCTGGGCGACTCTGGCTTCCTACACCTGCGCCTCAACGCCGTCAATGCCTACTCGGAGCCCCAGACACACGCCTTCAACACCCCCTTCCAGCTCTCCCTCATCCCACCGCGCGTCGCCGCGCGCATGGCGGCCTTTGGCGGCACCCAGCTCAGCGACCTTCCGCACGACGCCGACGTAACGCACCACCGCGTCCGCCACGGCGACGTCCTCGTCCTCGCGACCGACGGCGTCCTCGATAACCTGTTCAACCAGGACATCCTCCGCATCGCCAGCCGCGTCATGGTCTCGGGAGGCGCCTGGTCCATGACGCCGACGGGCGTCCTATGCGCCACAGACTCGATCGAGGCCCTCGTCAGCCCCGCTCGCCCCGCGGTCGGCGACGCCGACAACCGGCCGGAGAGGACGGTTACGCTCCAGAGCCTGCTGGCCACGGAGCTCGCGGGCGCAGCAAAGGCAGCGAGCATCAACGCAAAGGTCGACGGCCCCTTTGCCAAGGACGTGCAAAAGTACTACCCGCACGAGCGGTGGCAGGGCGGCAAGGTCGACGACATTTGCGTCGTGGCCGCCGTGGTATGCGAAGACTCGCCAAGCCCGCGGAGCAAGCTCTGAGCCCTTGCTTTTCCGGGTGCGAGAAGCCGACGGTACGAATAGATGACCCCAGTGCCCTCACGTATAGACCTGTACAACGCAAGTAGAACCCCGTTTCTCTTTCTCTATTCTGTTCTTGGCTTTGTCAAGCCATGGCTAGGATCAATAGGCAGCTTGGCGTGGTCCAGACACGTCACCTACGGATATGGAGCGAATCCTTGTCACAAACATGCGTCACGATGTAGCTGCGTCGAAGGCGAACAGTTTTGTGTCTATAAAGGAGGTAGACACAACAGAGGCAGGCCAGGTCTCTGGCTGAAGATGTCACGGGAAAGCGATTGGCAAGGGCTATCCGGTTGCCGAATCCAAAGGATTTCAAGCTCATACAATTGGCCTACATGACATGTGGATGTATGTATGACATCAAGTTGTCTTTCTGTCCAAGTCGAGTGCCTGTCATGGATGATGTCATCGCGGCGTTGCGAGACCCAGTGCGCAGATAAAGAAAGACGCAAAATAAGGCCTCGCTCGTAAACGACAGACACAATAAGCCAACAAATTGAGTCGCTCTCCGGCACCTCACGAGCACGCGTAATGGACGTTTACGTGGTATGCGGCCTAGTCTACCTACAACCGGGCAGGAAAAGAAGCGCTCACTGACCGAGGAGGGCGGGCTTCCAGGCCGGAGCGGTGGCCGCCTTTACCGTCGATGTAATCGTGTACCCGTTGGACACGCTCAAGACGCGGTACCAGAGCCAGGACTATATCAAGATGTATAGCTCGGGGTCGAGACACAAGCCTCTAGCCATTGGCGGGCTGTACCAGGGTCTCGGCATCGTTGTTTTGGCCACGCTTCCTGCTGGTGAGCAAGCAAATTGCCTCGACATCCGCAGGGAAGAACAGACGCATGGGTCTATATGGCTAACATCTGGCCGCGCAGCTGGCTTGTTCTTCTCAACCTACGAGAAGGCGAAGCACGCCTTTGCGAGGAGATTGCCCCTCCCCGAGGCGCTCGTGCACGCGTGCGCGTCAGGCTTGGCGGAAATGGCATCATGCCTGGTCCTGGCGCCGGCCGAGGTCGTCAAGCAGAACGCGCAGATGCTGCGTCGAGGGCAAGCAGCCACAACAGGCGCCGCCACTTACGAGTCGAGCTCGCTGCAGGCCTTTCGGCGGTTGGCGGGCCCCGGCGCTGCGGGCCGCCTCTTCACTGGTTACACGGCGCTGGTCGCACGTAACCTGCCCTTCACCGGCTTGCAGTTCCCCGTCTTTGAGCACCTCCGATCTCGGCTGTGGGAGTTGACAAGGAGGGGGCGTCGAGACCAGCCTGACGGGCTTGTCGAGACGGGCCTCATCGCCGGAGGCAGTGCCGGGGCGGCGGGCGCCGTGGCGGCGTTCTTGACCACGCCCAGCGACGTGGTCAAGACTCGGATGATGGTGACGGCCGGGAGTGATAGAGGCAGTGGCTCGGCGCCACGGTCCAAGCAAGGGTCGTGGGCCGTGGCCAAGCAGATATACTGCGAGCGAGGCATCAAGGGTTTCTTGAGAGGCGCTTCCTTCCGTTCAGGATGGACCGCGATTGGTAGCTCGCTGTACCTCGGGTCATATGACACGGCGAAGCTGTGGCTCAGGAGGAGAAAGCCCGAGCTGGACGATTCTGCAGGCCTCTGAGCCGAGACGCGCCCGTTGGCTGACAAGCACCTGTTTTGAGAAAGAGATTGATGCAAGGGAGTCGACACCCGGCAGAGGAACTGGAGGCGTGCGCTGCGTGACTTGCAGTCGAGCAACAATAGAGGATGGTCTAGTGGCCGACCACGTTATCGAGGCACCTGATGCGCATCCGAGTCCGTGTCTGTCTCGGCTCCTGGCGTTAGGCCGCCAGCAGAAGCGTTCCTTGCAGAAACATTTCGATATTCGCAACAAGGCAATATGCGCTACCCGCTCTCGACGGACCAATTGCTCTCGGCGCTACCTCGCCAAGGCTCAAGAAGCTTTTGAGCTAACGTACCTCACTGAGTCATGCAACGCACCACGTCATGCAACAAATTGCCCGACCGGCAAGCCAGAGCGAAAATTAATCCTGCAACCGACACAAACCATTTAAAATACTATTAAACATTACAATATGTGAAACACTTCATACAGAGTCTATCTATATGATGGTTTTCTTAGGAAATATGAGCAGGCGGTCTTGTGGTCCGCCCAGACCTGAGAGACTGAGAAACCGGCCTCCATACTTCCCTGCGCTTCCGTCGAACGGGAGGTATGTCTTTACCCCTAAAGCTCCGGGACTGTGGTCTCGAGCCACTGAAGCTTCAGAACCAATCTTTACCCTTTCTTCCTCCGAGTTGTTGCGTGGTTGAATGCCCGTCGCGCAAACCCGCTTCCAACGCCCCTCGTTTTTCTCACCGCTACCATGTCTTTTGTGCCCTCTTACACCAGGCTTTGACGTAGCAGCTACCTCAAACTTGACTTCCCGAATAGCCTGGCGTTCAGCCTCGCGTGCAGACCTCTCTGCTTTTAATTTTGCTGCGGCCTCCCGTTTCTCAGCTCGCTTTGCCTCGCGCTCCGCAGCACGCTCTGTCTTCTCTCGAGAACGCTGCTCTCGCAAGGCCTGACGCATTGCAGCCCGCTGTTTTTCTTCTCGGCAGATTCTCGAGCCTTTTCTTCACGTGATATGGCTACCTGGAGTCGACGATCTTCAATGGCTTGCTTGCGCTGCTCGTCGGCCTGTGCCTTGTCCGTCTGACGTCGCCGCGCCAGTTCCACCTTGGCTGGACTGAAAAAGACCGGCTGGCCACCACTTTCTTCCGGATTGAAAAGGCCCAAGGCCTTTCTGCGTTTCCCTTTTTTATGTGCAAGTTTGAGCGCTTCCTGTAGATCTCGATTTTCGTGTTGTACGAGCTCATATTGTGTCGCCAGTTTCTCTGATGCTCGGAGAGCGCTGTGACTCGGGAGTCCATCAGCCCTTCCTTGCGGAGACGGCGGGTAATGCGCCGAATAGCCCGAAGAGAGCCTGGAGTCTTCATCGCCCTTTCCTCAGATGCAGTTTGTGGGGGTGTCACATCACTGCTGTGGCTAATCTTGGACAATACTTTGCCGGGGTCGAGTGGATGGATTCCTGTGGCCCGCCAACCAGCCTCGATATTTTTGGCCGTAAATGCCTGGTTCCACGCATCACGAAAGAGTGGCCAAAAATTCCGTTTGGTAAGGCGAATTAACCCCCATCCAATGGACATCAGCTGGTCGGAACCTTGAGCATAATAGGTGGAGAGTGCGGAAAACAGGCCAACATCGAGTGGTTGAAGCCGATGAGTTGAGTGCGATGGCAACACAGCAATGAGAATTCGATTCCGATCGGCATAGTCAATGAATTTCAGGTTAATGTGACTATTGTGACCGTCTAAAATTAAGAGACGGTAGGCACGACCAGCCTTTTGCTTCGTATGGCAGTCAAATATGCGCTGAAGCCAGTGTAAACCCAGTGCATCACAGCTCCAGCCGTTTTCCGTACTGGCGAAGAAGGCTACTTCGCTGGAATGGTCAAAATCCTCAAGCCAAGTATCTTGAAAGTCTTTTGACTCCCCTTTGTAAATGAGGGCCGGTGGCGGTACGAATAATCTGCACATATGGCAGCGATCAGCGTGATGAACTCCCGGTTCCCGTCTTGGCTTGCCCCGACCAGTTTTCCGCGCCTGAGGGCTTCTCGGGGGACAACTCGCTTGGTGGAGCGAGAGAGACCAATTTGGAATCCCTTCTCGTCAAAATTATAAACATTTGAGGGACTGATGTTGTACTTTTCGATCTTTTCGCGGAGCTAGTTGGATTCGGTCAGAAATGGCGACTTTACGGCATTTGACCGAGTATTGTCGGCAGTATACCCTTGAAATGACGATAAAAGCAGTCTTACTAGATTGAAGAAGTTTTGGAAATGCCTGAATTATCAGCAGCCTTCCGCTGATGATCTATGGTGCGCAAATACAAGCTCGAAAGACGGTCATGGTGTCGCTTGCGGAAGCGGCTCACCCAGTTGACACCAAGCTCTGTCCCTGCGATTTCCTCGGCGATATTCTTCAACATCTGAGGGTAGGCGGGATACCACGGTCGGTCAGCTTATTGACGTGCCCAATAAGAATCTCCTCCTGCGCGCTGGTGAGTTTCTGTCGCGAGTAAGAGTTCGCGTCGTGATTTGAGGCTGTTTTGCCTTTGAAGCGGCGCCACAGCGTGGATTTGTCGATATTGTATCTCCTCGCGGTCTCTGCATATTTAGGGCGATCTTGGGATTGCAGTTCTATAATTGCCTCTGCAATACGAGGGTTGTGATCCATATCGCGTCAATTTGAAGAAGACGCGTCAGGTGTTGAAAATTGTTGCATGACCTAGTGCGTTGCATGACGCAGTGGGGTACGTTAGGCGTTTTCGCCCCGAGATGGTGTGGTGGTGCCATTGATCCAGGGTCAGGGTCGTGCCCAGGGCACACAAATGCTGGCCGTCGATCCTGCCTGGCGTCCGATGTTGACGCAAGCCGATTAAGCGTGTTGGTGACTGATAGATTGTCGTCCTTGCGGGCGCCCGCTTTGTCGAACCCCAGGCGCTGCCTTGCTTGGCAGAGCCAACGGCCTTTTTGGACTCTGGAATGGCGTTTGAAGACGCGGCAATTGCGAAATACGGGCCCCCGGCTGCCTCATCCGTGCCAACCCGGCTCTCCGGCATTTCTGACTGGCTCACCGCCAGCCAGCTGGGTCCCTGCCTCGGCCGCGCCGTCGTGTCATTCTCAAGCGTATTCCGTGCTTTTGTGCCTGTCTCATCCTGTTGCAGCAATGCTGCACCTTGTTTTTAAGCAGGCTAATAAGAAGGTGCTTCACTGCTTCGATTCAATGAAGTGAGTGGTGGCACTTACCGTCCCCTTTTCACGCATAAACAACACGTTTAAATTCCTTAAAGTTTCGCCCTTGTGTCGCCCTTGACCATCTTTGTCCGCTTCCCCCTCGACCTTGTTGAAGCTTGCTTCGATACCAACAACATTGATCCACCCAAGAGTTCGTCGGGGAGTCGTCGGTAATCCGTTGCTGCCGCGTCGCCATGGCCGCCCGAGCGATGCAAACGGCAGTGCCGGTCGAGGTCCCCGTCATCAGCAAGGAGAAGGAAGCCCTCAGAGCGCTCCGGTCCGAGGTCTTGCCCGAGGAGGGTTTCCTTATCCAGTCGCCGTATACCGAACCGGAGCATCAGCTGGACTTGAAGACGCTCGACCACGAGAATGCCATCCTGGCACAAGCCTTGACGCAACTCATAGCCGTCCGCGAAGACTATGCCACTGAGCCGTACACCGAGTCATTCAATTGGTCTGAGGTCATGGGCGAAGTGAGCCGGCTCACCGAGGCTTCCGGAAAGGGCTTCAAGGAGACCTCGTTTTACATCGTCGCCTTTCTTTCCCAGATCAAGCCGAGTACCGAGTACAGCCATCTTGGGGCACTGGACAAGGCCGCTCACGCCGAAGCGGTGGCCAGCGGTGGCTTCCTCAAGTGAGCACTCTTCCCGGCGCCCTCTCGGGACTCGGAACGCCAAATTTATGCTGACCGCGCTCCAGATACTGGTTCGGTTCCCCAGACCCGGAGCTGCGCAATCTCGCGACTTGCATCTGGAGGTCTCGTCAAGACGCGCTGGATGGCGGAAGAGGTCCGGCACACCGAAAAGCCGCAGGCTCTACGCGGGCTTTGTATGCATCCTGGAAAATCGATCAATACCGTCTCACGATCCGCGACAACGCCGATAGCTGGGAAATCGGTCGGTGGAGCGGCGAATGAGGGTGCGAGTCAGCAGAGCGACCGTCTTTATTGAAAGCAAGGGATAAGCCCCAGTAGAATGGGCCGCAAGGGATGGTCCACGTCGGCATGGTTGCAAAGGCGTCTTTGATGATGAATTATGCGCATAGCGGGAACCCATTCAATAGCGATAGAGAGCGCATAAAGCGAAAACTGATGATATTTAATCAGAGCTGCCAATGCAGCCACCATGGCTTCCTTGTTCTAGTAGCAGGGACTCTAGCAGTACTTATGAGGTCGTTACAGCCGTCTGATGGAGCCGAGTCCATGCCACGCAATGTCCTCGAGTCAGTATCGCAGGATCTGGTCGACTGATTGATCCGAGCCTCTTGAGGGCGACTTTGTGAAGTTAATTATTCGAGTGTCGGTCGTATCGACATCTTGTAAAAGGCGGGACGTCCGGGACGAGCCTGAGAGTTGGCGACCCACTCCCCCGCAGCATTCTGCCGTCTCTCACCGCACTCGCCACAACGCCCACAAACCAAAGCTGGGGCGCAAAAAGACGGATTTTCTCGCCAACCAGACCATCTCGCATCATCGCAACCCGCCGTACCCCCGTGCGCCTGCCCCTCCCTACGCGTGTCCAGCCCCCGAGAGAGTCCTTGCCGGCCCGGATAAGATGAGCGACCCGTTGAAAGATGCGCCTTTCCAGGCGGTCCAGGTCGAGGCCCTGGTGAGCTCACAGCGCCCCACTGCCGCCTCGCCTCATGGGGACTAACAGCCGGCAACAGGTGGTCATGAAAGTGGCCAAGCACTGCTCATCGACCTTTCCGACGAAGGCGACGGGGTCGATTGTCGGCATGGACCAGAACGGCGTCTTGAACATCACAAACTCGTTCCCCTTCCCGACCGTTGACGGCGGCACTGTCGACAGCCACAGCCACCAGAACCACCAGAACGATGCCTCTGCGCTGGCCGCCGCGGCGCCCCGGCAAAAGTCCAACGTCGCGTACCAGAACGAGATGATCCGGCAGCTGAAAGAGGTCAATGTCGATGCCAACAACGTCGGGTGGTACACGAGTGCCACCATGGGCAACTTCATCAACTTGAGCTTCATCGAGAACCAGTATCACTATCAAAAGGACAACGACCGGACTGTGGCGCTCGTATACGACACGAGCAAAAGCTCCCAGGGTCACCTCACGTTACGGGCATTCCGTTTGACCACGGTCTTCATGAACGCCTACAAGGAGGGCAAGTTTACGACGGAAATGTCAGTTGGCACTCGACACCCCGTGTGAATCAGACAAGACCCCAGCGCTAACATGCCTCATCAACAGCCTGCAAAAGTCGAAGCTTTCATTCAGAGACATTATTGTCGAGCTCCCCATCACCGTCCACAACTCACACCTGCTCACGTCGTTCCTGCACCAAATCCCCTCTCCACCTTGCCTGGACGAGATTGAGGAGCCCAACTCGCTCGCCGATCTCAAGCGGGACGCCATCAAACCCCCAATGTATCCATCCATTGATACTTTGGACCTATCCATCGACCCCTTCCTCGAGAAGACTTGCGACCTCTTGCTTGAGAGCATCGAATCGCACTACACAGACCTCAACAACTTCCAATTCTACCAAAGACAGCTCGGCCGAGAGCAGGCCAAGATCACCCAGTGGCAGGGCAAGCGCAAGGCGGAGAATGCGCAGCGGGCTGTGGCGAAGCAGCCGCTGCTGCCCGAGGACGAGTGGCAACGCCTGTTCAAGCTGCCCCAGGAGCCCAGCCGGCTGGAGGGGATGCTGAACGCGAGGCAGGTGGAGCAATACAGCAAGCAGGTGGACGGGTTCACTGCCAATGTCAGTGCCAAGATGTTTGCCGTGAGAGAGAATCTGCTGCCCCAGTAATCGGGACGTCTTCGGGGAGTAAGTGGATGGGGGCGGGTTGCATTGACGGCGTTCCGGACACTGTTGGGGACATGACGAGTTATTTGCCTAGATTTCCAGCGTCAAGAAAGCAGAGTAAAAGTGGGAGGCTGAGGCTTTTGCCAATGGACGGTGTGCGAGTGAGTTGTCTTTTTGGCGGACCTTGGCATGCACGCCTTAACTGTACGTGCGGGCGTGACTGAAGCTCATGGCCTTCACTGGTCAGCTCCCAGGGAGACGGAAATTTCCAGCAAAGAGGTGCCGACGACGTTACCCTGTTAGCTAATGAAAAGCGCCGAGATTGGAAAGAGGAGCATAGATGGTACGACCCCTGCTGGAAGCAGCCGTTATTCGCGCTGCTGCGACTGAAGGAGGCCGTCGGCAGATGCACCAAATTGTCGTTTCAGGAATCGGAAGCCGCAAACCATCTCGACAAGATGCAAGCAACTCCATGCTGCGCCTGTGATTGATTCTGCCTTCGACTCTTCATAGCCAGAGACCGCCAAGCATCCCCCAGCCCCAAAGCTCTCTCAGTTGCCTCACCCAGGCTGTGGAGCGCCCTCGTTTTGTTTCGGCGTACCGGCATGCGCCCCGCTCCAACAGCAAATTTTGCCCCGCACCACTCCTCCTCCCAGTTCCCTCATAAATATTCTCGAGCCACTTCTCCCCTCCCTTGCCTGAGCCATTTTCTCCTCCTTCATCCCCTCAGCACCAATCCCCCCGCGCACGCCGTCTCCCACCATGTCTGCTCCCGCCCAGAAGTTCAAGGTCGCCGACCTGTCCCTCGCCGCCTTTGGCCGCAAGGAGATCGAGCTCGCCGAGAATGAGATGCCCGGCCTCATGGCCACGCGGGCCAAATACGCCGATGACCAGCCCCTCAAGGGCGCCCGCATCGCCGGCTGCCTGCACATGACCATCCAGACGGCCGTCCTCATCGAGACGCTGACCTCGCTCGGCGCCGAGGTCACCTGGTCCAGCTGCAACATCTTCAGCACCCAGGACCACGCCGCCGCCGCTATTGCCGCTGCCGGCGTCCCCGTCTTCGCCTGGAAGGGTGAGACCGAGGAGGAGTACAACTGGTGCCTGGAGCAGCAGCTTCTGGCCTTCAAGGACGGCAACAAGCTCAATCTGATCCTCGACGACGGCGGCGACCTGACCCAGCTCGTCCACTCCAAGTACCCCGAGATGCTCAAGGACTGCTACGGCGTCTCCGAGGAGACCACGACTGGTGTCCACCACCTCTACCGCATGCTCAAGGAGAAGAAGCTCCTGGTCCCAGCCATCAATGTCAACGACTCCGTCACAAAGTCCAAGTTCGACAACCTGTACGGCTGCCGCGAGTCTCTCATTGACGGCATCAAGCGTGCTACCGACGTCATGATTGCCGGCAAGACCGCCGTCGTCGCCGGTTTCGGCGATGTCGGCAAGGGCTGCGCCATGGCCCTGCACGGCATGGGCGCCCGCGTCCTCGTCACCGAGGTGGACCCCATCAACGCCCTCCAGGCTGCCGTTGGCGGCTACCAGGTCACCACGATGGAGAAGGCGGCCAAGATTGGCCAAATCTTCGTCACCACCACCGGCTGCCGCGACATTCTGACCGGCGAGCACTTTGAGGCCATGCCCAACGACGCCATTGTTTGCAGTGAGTCATCATCTCCGTCATGCAAACGATCCTCATCTAACTGTGCCCCAGACATCGGCCACTTTGACATTGAGATTGATGTGGCCTGGCTCAAGAAGAACGCCAAGTCCGTCCAGAACATCAAGCCCCAGGTTGACCGCTTCCTCATGCCCAGCGGCCGCCACATCATCCTCCTGGCTGAGGGCCGCCTGGTCAACCTTGGCTGTGCCACCGGCCACTCCTCGTTCGTCATGTCCTGCTCCTTCACGAACCAGGTTCTGGCTCAGATTATGCTGTACAAGGGCCGCGACGAGGCTTGGGGCAAGAAGTACGTTGAGTTTGCCAAGACTGGCAACTTTGAAGTCGGCGTCTACGTCCTGCCCAAGATCCTGGACGAGGAGGTTGCCCGCCTGCACCTCTCCCACGTCCAGGCTGAGCTCAGCACCCTCACCAAGGTGCAGGCCGACTACCTCGGACTCACCGTCGAGGGCCCCTTCAAGAGCGACATCTACCGCTACTAATTTTTCTTTTCTGTTATGGAGCTACTGGAGGGTCCTTCAACCGGGCTTTTCTGCGTACAGCGACCCTCTCTCATCGGGCGAGGAAGAGGGCGCGCATTGACGATTTCAACAGCATGAACTGGCATGGTATTGGTCAAGTAAGAGATGATTGGCACCCGGACTGTCGGTGCTGAATTTTGTTTTTGTGCCGTGTTCGCACATTCAACAGCATGAAGAATCTCGCTGAGCGGATGGAAATCGGAAGAAGAAACTATCTGCTTTTTCAACAAGACGGCGTTGGCTTTTTTTTTTCTCTGAAAAAATGATTCCCCCCATTGCGAGGCTGAGGGAATTGGCATTATGAGGGCGACGGGGGGCATCACGGCAAAACTGTCCCCGGAGGATACAGAGGCTCGTCAACCGCAGCCGATGGATAGATAAGGACGATCTAAATCATCGATGACATTTGTCGATTCTGCATTCTCATTGATTGTGAAGTACCATGCAATTGCCTCCGCGAATATGTACCAGGCTCCGGGCGGCCGGAAGGCGTCCGTTGATTATACGAGGAGCTTGGCCCCGGTGAGAGCACAAATGCATGGTTCGTCAAGAATAGCCCGGGTTCACGTTCTTGTTGTACGAACATGGCCTGATCAAAGGCTTAACGGCCGGAAACTTTGGATTTCCTACGGCCCAGCAAGAGAGAGCCCGCTCATCCAATCCCGGGTATTCAGTCAATGTATGTACGGCTTGGTACATGGGTCTATATGCCTCCGTGCCCTCCCGCAGGACAAGGTAAATCCCACCCACTCATCTATGTCGATATGTATGTATGCATGGCCTTAGCTCGCGGTCCTCGACTCAAGCCATGTCGCGCTGCTCAGGCACGATGCTCCTCAGCTTTGCATCGGTGACAGCCATGCGGGCGTTGCTGATGGTCCACTCCTCCATCTTTGTCTGCGTCTCTGTGGTCCAGGTGCCCATGTGCGGGACGAGGAGGACGCTGTCGTTTGCGAGCAGACCCTGGTGGACCTCGGGCTCGTTTTCGTAGACGTCGAGGCCGGCGCTGGCGACCTGGCCCGAGGCGAGGGCGTCGACGAGGGCGGCCTCGTCCATGACGGCGCCGCGGGCTGTGTTGACGATGACGATGCCGGGCTTCATCATGGCGAATTGGGGGGCGGAGATTGTGTGGCGAGTTTTCGACTGCGCGGCCGGGGTGTGTGTGAGCTCTGAAGGTGAAGAAAGGGGGGCTGTCCATAAAGGGAGAGGGAAGTCAACGTACGTTGAGAGGGAGATTCAGGCTGAGCACGTCGCTCTCCTTGAGCAGCGTGTCAAAGTCGACATACTCGGCACCATCCTCGAGGTCGGGGCTCAGGCGCGAGCGATTGTGGTAGCGAATTTTCATGCCGAAGGCGCGGGCCTTTGCGGCGACGTTGCGGCCGATGCCGCCCATGCCCAGGATACCCAGGATCTTGCCCTGGGGGTCGTGGCCAAGGGCGGGGAGGGACTTGCCGCGCCAGGTGCCAGCGCGCAGGGCAGCCATGGAGGTGGGGAGGTTGCGCAGGGCGCCGATGAGGAGCCAGATGGTGATGTCTGCGGTGGCGTCGTCGACGGCCGTGGGGGTGTTGGAGACGCGGACTTTGCGGGCGGTGCAGGCGGCGACGTCGACCTGGTCGTAGCCAGCGCCTGTGACGGGAACTGAAGTGTCAACGCCATGTTTTTTTTTGATCCGAAGAGAGAGAGAGAGGAAACGGACCGTTGTGGCAGATGAACTTGAGGCTCTTTGGCGCCGCGTCCAGGAACTCGGCGTCGACTCTGCCGGTGATGGCGACCGAGTCAAAGGTGCGGTAGGCGACGGTGACGCCGTCGAAGGCGCCCGACTTGCACTCGGCTAGGAACTCGTCGCGGCTGGTGGCCTTGGGGACGACAACGTGCGCGATGTCGGAAATGGTTGACCACGCATCGTGGGCGCTGTTGTGGGGGCAAAGACGACGGTCAGTACATCTTCGTCAAGGGGGGAGCTTGGAGCACAAGGCAGGATAGACGACGTACTGTTCAATCTTGCCCAGGAGCAAAACCTTGGGCTTGCCCGCCATGGTCGCGGAGAATTCGGCGGCAAACGGGAGGCAAGTGAGGAGTGTTGGTGGGGGAGGGATTGTGAAAGGGAGCTTGCTGGCAATGAAGCAGTTGGGTTCAAGTCGACGTGCCCCAGTATTCAGGTCGGTAAAGGAGCTCTCGTATGCTGGGCAGCGATGCTTTGAATAGACGAGTTCGGAGGGCAGAAATGGCTTGTCTGCTTAAGCAGAACCGAGGCGAGTTTATAAGGTAGACGGCATGAGGTGCTGCCGGGTAATGAAAGGCCGCTAACTGGTAGTAGGTCTCCACTTTTAGCAGGGCCCAAATACCGGGAGGGCTTTGGGGCTCCGGCCCTTGCCCCTCGTAATAAGGCGGGGTTTCCCAAAACGAAAAGCGCGGGGTCAAGCAGGTACCGATGCGCCGAATGCTCGGGGCAAGTGACATGCACTCTTTGGCTGGCTGGAGCTCGCGGCGGCATTTCTGACCTCGAGGCAACTAAGGTAGTCAGTCGAGAGGAAACAAGTGCAAGGCGCTCACGGACTCTTGCACGACCTTGGGCACCACGCAGTACCACGTCCGCTGCAGACACGGTCACGCGGGGCAGGCCTTGGCCCAGAAGGGAAGGGGGCGGCGGCGGGGAATCCCCAAACGGGGCTTCTTGCGGCGAGTCAAAACGACCGCTCACTGTCTACTCATCCGCCAAGCACACGCAGACATAACAAGCCCCAGCACGGCGAGGATCCAAGGGCCAGTCAGTGCCCGTCTCCGCACATTTGCAGATGCTCCTCCCGACGGCTTGAAACCCGAGCGAGCATTCCACTCGCCGGCGGCCGTCATTCCACCAGTCTGTCCAACGAGACGTGTTGCACAGCTCCGTCGGCAATTGATTCGACTCGAGCCTGACTCGTGGAACTCCTCGAAATGCTGCCCGTGACCATGGGATATATCATGTACCATTCGCCCTGTCGTGTAATCGAATGCCTCGTACGCTCCAAGGCCGCCCTCGGTTGTCTTGTTCGTGCGCCGACAGCACCAGGGCGTAGACGTCCAGGCCCGTCACATGAGCAGTCTCCAGGCGCCCAGCAACAGCGCGGCAAAGCCCGTGCAGACGCCCATGAGCCACTGCAGCGTCTGGAACTTGACCTGCTCCAGCTTCTCGCGCAGCGCCGCCACCTCCTGCTCAATCTTCGTCTCCGTCTCCTTGATCTTGAGCTCCTGCCCGACGGCCTCCTCGCGGATGCGGCCCTTTTCGAGGTTCAGATCCAACCGCACGCTGGCCTGCGTCCGCCCAATCTCGTCGCGCAGCCGGCTGCTCAGCTTGGCAATGTCGTTGGTCAACCGCTCATGCGCGCTGCGCGTCGTGTTTGACTCGGTGCTGTCGGCCGAGAGGAGCTCGGAGCGCAGCTTGGCAAAGTCGACCTTTTGCGTGTAGGTGGCCTTGGCCGCGTCTTCGCGGAGGACCATGGTGCGCGTCAAGTTTTGGATGCTGCAGCCTTGACTTAGCCTGACTGCACAACCAACCCTGCGGGGCTTGGCTGTTGTCCTCACCTTTCCTCAATGACATCGTTAAGCACCTTCATCATGGCGGCGGATTGCTCCTCGGTGAAGCCTTCGCTCTGCAACCTCCGCACAAACTTGAGCGTGTCGAAATGGTGGTCGCGTAATGGCGACGCGGTCGCGTGGAAGGCTCGATTGAGCACGGGGCCGCCAGTAGACACGAAACACGGCCTCGTCGTCGTCGGGCGGCCATTGTAAGGCGCAATCAATGGAGCTCTCGTCAAGGCCGCCGCTGCCAAAGATCGCGCCGGTCCGGGAGGCAGCGGCAGGCCCCAACTCAGCCGAGGCAGCAGAAACCGGGGGAGCACCTTGGCGACGCTGCGAGATGCCATGCTGCGTGGGGGGGTTGTGTGATTGCGGCGAGGCCTCGGAGTTGCTCGCCGTGAACCAACGACGTTTGGGGTATCACTTGCGAGAGTTTAGATTGGGCCCGGAGTCTCGGCCCAAGGGGGGCTTGCTTGCCAACGGCCCGGAGCGGAGGGTTTGAGCGGATTCGGTGTCTTCTTACGAAGCACGCCTCCAGCCGACCACCTCCCACCGCCTCCCACCGCCTCCGCCTTGCCTGTTTCATTCTCTGCGCCGCGGAGCTTTCTCACATTGGCCGTGCCATGTTTGCGGAATGCTGGGCGAACCTTGATTGCCTGAGGGCGTGGCCGAGGCGTCCGGGATCTCAGGCGGCATTTACGCAAGCCCCGAGCCATGCGAACCCCGGCCTACATACAAGTCGTCGTCACCGTGCATGAATGAGGCCGCGGCCCTCTGCTTCTCCAAGCCCCAGTTCCTGACTCTCGCAGTCCATCTCGTCATAACCGGAGTTGGCGTCATTCTCCTACGGCTTTATGCACCATGGCCAGCACTTCGGGAGCCGGCACCATAGCTGGAGTGCCGGCTGGCTACGGCCGCTCTTGTACCAACTGCTCCCGTGCCAAGTGCAGATGCATCTTGAGGCCCCATGGGGCCGACTGTGAGAGGTGCCACCGCCTTGGCAAGCAGTGTCAGCAGATTGCCGCCTCGCGCAAGCGCACGTCGAAACGCTCAACGCCCTCTAGGGCTGCCCAGCTCGAGGAGAAACTCGAAGACCTCGTGTCCATGTTGCAGGCCTCCCAGCAGCCCGCCGTGGACAACGACTCCGTGTCGTCGCCGTCTCCACAGTCGTTGCCCAGCCGCCTCGACTCCCTCGCCGCCGCCGCCGCCGCCGACAAGCCGCCGTCCCAGGCCGAGAGCTTGCCCAATATGGCCTCGGCCCTTGGCCCGGATGCCCACTTGGCCACCAACGGCCCCCGCGCCCATCCGGAGCCGACCCCGGAAGAAGCAGAAATCTACCTGGCCAAATTCCGAGATTGGCTCGTCCACTTTCCCTTTCTTCACATCCCGCCGGAGCTCACTGCCAAGCGACTTCGCAGCGAGCGCCCTTTCCTGTGGATGTGCATCATGAACCTCACGTCCCTGTCAACCTCTCAAGTTCTCATGCTGAGAGACAAGATCCGCGAATACATCGCCCGGAATCTCGTTCTCGACTATCAAGTCAATATGGACTACCTGTTGGGACTGCTGGCCATCCTGGCCTGGTAAGTCGAAGCTCCTTGCCTTGGCCTGCCTGCGTAGTCCGGTCCTTCTCAACGTTCCCTAGGGCAAACACAAACACGGGGCTCAAGGTGAAGCCTTGGATCATCATGTTTTCTCAACTTGCCATCACAATCATCTACGACATGGGCTTAAACAGAGCACCCAACGACGAGCAGCGTCATACCGTGCAGCTCAAGGTCTGCATCTCCGGCCCTCGTCCACCATCCAAGCTAAGGACCATGGAAGAGCGGAGAGCCGTGCTCGGGTTCTGGTACAGCAGTTCGTTGTAGGTCCCACCATGGCCACGGCCAGTCTGCGGTTCTCATGCTGACCACCGTTGCTGCGCAGAATGACTGCCTTTATGGGAAAGATGGAGACATTCGGCTGGAACTCGTACATGGACGACTGCCTGGACGTTTTGGAACGCGAAAGAGAACACCCACGGGATGAAATCCTGGTTGCCCTGGTGAGAATCCAGCTCGTTAGTGAAGAGGCGCAAAAGCTCCTCCTGCGCGAAGGAAACGGCGACTACCGTGATGGCCCAACGTACATATTCAAGGCGGGGCTGCTCTCGCGCCTCAACGACCTACGCCAAGGCCTCCCCGCGAGCCTGCACTCGCATGGTGCGTCTACATGTGCCTCTCCTGGACCCTTCCGAGAGGCCTTGAGTTCGCTGACCCGCAGACAGACATGGTGCAGATGCACATACACCATGCCGAGGTGCAGGTTCACTCAGTCGGCATCTTCACCGACCAGGTGATTCCGCTCGCGATGCGCACCAGCAGCCTGTACGCGTGTGCCAGGGCTGCCACGTCATGGTTAAATACCTTCTTTGCTATGCCTGTATCCCAAATCCCGGCAATGCCCTTCTCGTTCTATGTCATCTGGCCCCAGACCATGTCCGCCTTGTACAAGCTCCTCGTCTTGGATGATCCGGCCTGGGACAAGGAGATACTGCGAAATGGAGTCGACCTCTCGACGCTACAAAGCAGGCTCATCGACGTGTTTACCGAGGCCATTGAAATTTATTACCCCGAAAGCGAAGATAAAAATGCGGTGCCGATGTCCAAAACCCCCAGGATCCTGCGTCACACGATGAATTTGTGGGAGCCAGCCATCTCCCACTTTCTGGGCGCCAGCTTGGCTACTCCCAACAGCGACACAAGGAGCGTTGCGGCCGTGCAGTCTAGGATGATGGCTGAGAATCCGGCCATGATGGAGGCGCTGTCGTTTGATTTGGGCGACCTGACCTGGATGACGGACATTTTTGGCCCTGGGGAACTCTAAGGACTCACGATAAAAGTCGCTGGTGGTTAGGCGCGAGAGAGGAACAGCAAGCGAGTGATGCTCGCCACGCGAAGGCCCGAGACTTTGCGGGCGCGTCCGCAAGCGTCCGGGACTCTGGTCAGCGATCCTTCGATCCGTCCGTTGGTGGAGTTGTGGTGTGCCGCGCCGCGCCGCCTCGCAACCCCGGCACGAAGGATGACAGGAAGGACTCTGACGCTCGGGGTGTCGGACCACCTCCGTAGCGATGCGCCTATATGGGTCTCCATTTATAGCGGTCCATCGTTGTCGTTTAGCATCGCGGCGACCATGAATCCGTCTTGTCAGCTCATGCCCCGATCCACCAGCACGACAAGCCATCTGGCACGATAGCCTTGCCGATGGCGTTTGTGTCCCTGGATGACGATGAAGCCCTCAAAGGTCATGTTCATTTTCATATGCGCTTCAACCAAGAGGGCTTCGGTAGTGTGCCGGACCTCACGCTGCGGGAATTCCCGCCTCCGTACGTCGAGGACCCGAAGCCAGAGCAGGGCGCCGCGGAGAATGGCCCCAAGAACGAGGAGCTGCTGGGATATGTCACCGGCTGGAAGCTCGTCGGCATGATCATGTCCATAACAATGGCTTGTTTTCTTGTTTTGCTTGACATGTCGGTCATTGTGACGGTAGATGAGCCTCCTTTCTCGACGGCGCTGTCAACAACCTGCTGATCCCGCGTCGTCAGGCGATACCGGAGATCACGACCTACTTCCACTCCTTACCAGACGTTGGGTGGTATGGAAGTGCGTACAATCTCGCCAGGTAACTCGAGCCGCGGCTGCCCACCTGTCTGCCTCGTACTGACTGGCTGCCCCCGTCAGCGCTGCGCTCCAGCCACTCTCTGGGAAATTCTATACCTACTTCAATACCAAAGTCAGTCGCTTTCGTGCGAGTCGCGCATCGCGGCATCAAGAGCTGATTGAGTCGATAATATCCAGTGGACTTTTCTTGGCTTCCTGCTGCTATTCCTTCTTGGATCCCTCGTGTGCGGCCTCGCTACGTCGTCCACCATGTTCATTGTCGGCCGCGCCATCGCCGGCCTCGGAAGCGCCGGCCTGCAAAACGGCGCCATGACAATCATTGTCGCCGCTGCGCCGCTCGGAAGGCGGCCGGCCTTGATGGGCATGTCGATGGGAGGCTGTCAGATGGGCCTGGCGGCCGGACCCTTGGTTGGAGGGGCCTTGACCCAGTACACAACCTGGCGTTGGTGTGAGTCTATACTAACACGGGTCACTCTGCGCCAGCTCAAAAAGTCGGCTATTACCTGCCCTTCTCCATCGTGAGCGCCGCCATCCTAGCAATCGGTTACGGGCTCATGACCACCTTCTCGCCGGAAACCGAGACGGCCAAGTGGGTGGTCTACCAAACCATCGTCGGAGTCGGCCGGGGCCTCGGCATGCAGATCGCCCTGATCGCCATCCAGGCCAACACGGCCCCGGATTTCATCGCCATCGCTACAGCCACGCTGGTCTTTTGCCAGACCTTTGGCGGGGCGATATTCATCGCTGTCGCCAACTCCATCTTCAACAACACGCTCAAGAACGAGCTCACGGACCGCGTGCCGGCCATGGACGCCCAGGTCATAGTCGATGCGGGAGCCACGGGCTTGAGGGCGGTGGCTGAGGGGGGAGATGTTACCGGCGTTCTCATGTCCTACTCCAAAGGGGTGGATGCCGTCTTCTACGTCGTCATTGCTACGTCGTTGTGCATGTTTGTTGTTTCCTGGGGAATGGGGTGGAAAGATATTAGGGTGAAGGAGGCCAAGGATTGTGAGGGGGCGCAATAGCTGCGATCTTGGTGATGTTGTAAATTGAAGGGCAGTCTAGGGTTGGCGTTTGATCCAGGCTGTAGTTTAGTTAACTAAATTGTCAACATGTGTTACATGAAGGCAGAAACTGCCTCGCACAGCACGCCGACTAATACAGACTTAAAGGTCTCCGAGCTTATTTCTTAAGTCTCAAGTATTCCGCGAGCTAGTAACTTGAATGGCGAACGCGAAAAATCAAGAAATTGTCCAGCTGGGTATAGGGTATTCGCTGTACAGGCCAAAGAGGTGAGGAGGAATCCACAGGCTGTCGCTAGTGCTTGAGGCTTGGATTGGTCGCAGTATTAATTAGTAAATTACCACGCTCCAGCCTCGCTGGAACGAGCCGGCTCCACATCTCATGCCTTCAACCAGTGCTTGTCCCGGCTCATCAACAGCTACCACGCCTTGAATACATTCTTCACGCCTTTTCGTTCGTCCGTCTGTCCTTTGCCTGAAGTCTGCTATGAACAGACCACGCAACCGCCAGCAACGCGATGCCCCCGGCAAGCACACAAGCTCGCCGGCAACCCCCCAGCAGGCCGCCGGCACGGTCCCCACGGCCCAGCAAGTCGTGCCAGGCGCCGGTGTCTTCATCGTGCTCAAGGAGGACCAGCCGAGCGGCCGCCAAACGCCCGGGACCGTTCAGAGCGTGCTCACGCGCGGGAACCACCCCCGCGGGATCAAGGTGCGGCTCCGCGGGGGGATGGTTGGCAGAGTGCAGCGCATGAGCGGCGAGGCTGGCACGGAAGCAGCTGAGGCGGTGGCGGCGGCGGTGGGTGTTGGGACTGGCAATGTGCCCGCGAGCAGCTCGAGGCCTCTCTGCAGAGACATTCGTCTCCTAGATGGCCTCGGTGGGTATCCAGATGAGCCGCCGGAGAGGACCTTGGCCGACTTCATGCCCGTTGTGGACAACGGCTTGCAGAGCTCGCCTCATGATGACCACGGAACTGGGAGCCAGGGCACGGTGACTTGTCCCGTCTGCGAAGCTTTCCAAGGGGACGAGGCGGCGGTCACGCACCACATCGAACGAGACCACTTTTCCTGACGCCGATGCCACAACCAACGAGCGGCATATTGCCTTCCTTTGATGGGGGAATTGCCTGGCCAAACCATCTCACCAAGGCATTCGACACTTGGACCCTGAGTGTCTCGGCCTTGCAAGTTTCGCCCCGTGTCCATGTCCCTTCCGGGCGGTTAGCGCCCCGCCGTCAACCGCAGAATGACGAGGACCTCTACCGCTTTCCAGCCCGTTGCGGCCTGCGGCCTGCCTGCTATAAAGACGTTCTGTCGCATGACGACTTGGAAGTTTGACATCTCGAAAGCCGTCGTTATTCGTCTCCACGAATAGAGGATTTGCATCTTCGCCACGCTGTTTCCAGCGGAACTGGAACGGAGCACAACTCGCCGCAATCAGACACACATGGGCTGGCTCCCATTGTGGATTGCTTCTCCCGAATGCGAGGCGATGGCTGTCGAGATGATGCTCGCACCTTTTATCTCTGCTGGAATCAATGGAAGAGTCGGTCTCATGCTATTCGGCTGAGACTGGGACGAGCTCTGGTGCGTTTATTTACGCGACAGCCGAGCAAACGCAAGCCTGGACCGACGGGATGAAACACCGTGTCCGAGTTCACGAGAGGCGCCTTGCCTGGGGTCGATGCGACATTCACATAGGCGAAGACAGCAGTCGTTCAAGGTGCTCTCTGCGGTTTTGGCGTCTGTCCTGTATCTCGCTGTTTACAGCTCCTATTTCATGTACCGAATAGTAGCGAGGACCAGACGACTCGCATTCGACTGCTGGAGCTCAACCGCCCTTTGCATCCATCACCTTGACGCAAGGAAAATATTGAGGTCTTTGGGTACCGCGAAATTCCCCGACATGCCAAGTTTCGACTGTTTCTATTGATACGCTTGCTCCCTGGTCTTGTATTCTTATTCACTTTCCCATTACCAGCCATTGCACAATGTCTATTCAACGAAGCATAAAGGTACCGAAACGCGGCCTCGAGCCCCTGTTCAACCAAGCCGCGAAAGTCTTGGCTCATTGTTTGCGACCGCTGGTAGTTCACTGACGCAGATTAGCGGTTAACTTGGACGTCTTGGATCACCCGAGACAGGTTAAAGATGTATGAATGCATGGGCATACGTTGAAGCTGCCTGTCTGTATCTTGACTTTATGCACATGTCACTCGGAAATGGTTTCTTGCATGTCTACTGTGGATGCGTCGTGAAGCTGGTGAGCTCTGATTGATTGCTCGACGGGTAACCATACTTTTTACGGTACACTCAGCGCGCCAGCTCAGGCGTTATTAGGTACTGTGCGAAAACATCCTGGCATATACCCGCCCATGCACCTGGACGCCACCTGCACGTACCGTATGAGCACTGTACAGCGACACTGATGCAGAGCCTCGGAACTTCTTTCATCCCTGTGCCGATTGGTGCAAGGCAAGCTCTCCTCGCACGCAGCTATTCCGCAAGGGAACAGGTAGCCTGAAAGGAGGCCTGCCGCGTTGATCTCATTCTTCTCCTTTTACCCAAACCGCACCTCACACACAAACTCCCATTTTTCCCTCCTCCCCACCACGCCGTTTGCTTGCCATCAGCGCCAATTTCTTCTCCTCCGCCCTGTTCAACAGCCATCTCGTTTTGCTTCCTCTTCTTGCCCCCGCCTGGGTCGCGCCGGTAGTTTCCGCCACTGCCGCCTCGCGCATGGGAGCTTCCCGCCAACCTTTCCACGCGTCGTCGTTCAAGAGCCTAGATCTGGTATCGTCGGCTGCCGGCCTCGGCTGATACGCCGCCCTTGCTCGCGCCGATCCGCAGGGCCAGCAAACCATTTCGTCAGCCGCTCGGTCATTCCTGACATAGCAGACGGAATCTCGGCGCCATGGCGCCTCTACCCATCAAGTTTCAGGAGCTGGTGCAGCTCGCCAACGTCGGAGTCGATACGCAATCCATCGGCTTCAACTCTTGCGTAAGTCGACGACCTTTGCTTCCGCCGTCACTGGCATCACAAATCTGACCTGGCTTTGCAGACACTCGAGTCCGACTCGTACATTTGCATCCGAGAAAAGAAGAGCGAGGCGGCCCAACCCGAAGTTGTCATCGTCGAGCTCAAAAATGGCAACAACGTCACGCGACGGCCAATCAAGGCCGACAGCGCCATCATGCACTGGAACCGCCTCGTCATTGCCCTCAAGGCCCAGTCTCGAACCCTGCAAATCTTCGACCTCGAGCAGAAGAAGAAGCTCAAGTCGTGCACAATGAATGAGGACGTCCAGTTCTGGAAGTGGATCAGCGAGTCCACCCTCGGCCTGGTCACCACCAGCAGCGTCTACCACTGGGACGTTTACGACCCGGCCCAGGACGCGCCCACCAAGGTCTTCGAGCGCAACGCCAATCTGAATGTTCGTTGCTCTTGCAACAGGCCTCCCCTCCCTGCAAACGAGCCCTACTGACCTCAAACTACAGGGCTGCCAGATCATCAACTACCGCGCCAACGAGGACGGCAAGTGGATGGTGGTGGTGGGCATCTCCTCCCAGGGCGGCCGCGTCGTCGGAGCCATGCAGCTGTACTCCAAGGATCGTGGCATTAGTCAGGCCATCGAGGGTCACGCCGCTGGCTTTGGCTCCCTGAGGCTGGAAGGCGCTCCGCAGGACACCAAGCTCTTCAGCTTCGCCGTCAGGTCCGCCACGGGCGCTAAGCTGCACATTGTTGAGGTCGACCACCCCGAGTCCAACCCTGTCTTCCCCAAAAAGGCCGTCGACATCTTCTTCCCCCCTGAAGCCACCAACGACTTCCCCGTGGCTCTGCAAATCTCCCAAAAGTACGGCGTCATCTTCATGGTGACAAAGTACGGTTTCATTCACCTCTACGACCTCGAGTCCGGCTCCTCCATCTACATGAACCGCATCTCGAGCGAGACCATTTTTACCAGCTGCGCCGATGACGACTCGTCTGGCCTCGTGGGTATCAACCGAAAGGGTCAGGTGCTCTTCGTCACCGTCGACGACACCACCATTATCCCCTACCTTCTCGAGAACCCTGCGAATACCGAGATTGCCATCAAGCTGGCATCGAGAGCTGGACTCCCTGGTGCAGACAACCTCTACGCGAAGCAGTTTGACCAGCTGTTCAACTCTGGAAACTACATGGAGGCCGCCAAGATTGCCGCCAACTCTCCCCGGGGCTTCCTCCGAACTGGGGAGACGATTGAAAAGTTCAAGAGACTGCCTGCGCAGCCGGGTCAGATGGCCTTCACCCTGCAGTACTTTGGCATGCTCCTCGACAAAGGCGCGCTGAACCAGCAGGAGACCATCGAGCTCGCCCAGCCCGTCCTCCAGCAGAATCGAAAGCACCTGCTGGAAAAGTGGCTCAAGGAGGGCAAGTTGGATTGCTCGGAGCAGCTCGGCGACATGGTGCGGCCGTACGACGTCAACATGGCCCTAACCATCTACCTGAAGGCCAACGTGCCTCACAAGGTCGTCGCGGGCCTCGCCGAGACTGGCCAGTTTGACAAGATTCTCCCGTACGCCGCCCAGACCGGGTACCAGCCCGACTACATTCAGCTTCTGCAGCACATCATCCGGACCAACCCGGAGAAAGGCTCCGACTTCGCATCAGCCTTGGCCAACAGCGAGCAGGGCCCGCTCGTTGACTTTGAGCGTGTCTGCGACATCTTCCAGTCACAGGGCATGATTCAGCCGGCGACCGCGTTCCTGCTTGAGGCACTCAAGGAGAACAAGCCGGAGCATGCACGCCTCCAGACGCGCCTCCTCGAGATGAACCTGATGCAAGCGCCTCAGGTGGCCGAGGCCATTCTCGGAAATGACATGTTCACGCACTACGACCGGCCTCGGATCGCCCAGCTCTGTGAGCAGGCTGGCCTTTTCCAGAAGGCCTTGGAGCTTTACGAGGATCCCGAGGCCATCAAACGGGTCGTCATCAACATTACGGGCAGCCCCAACTTCAACCCAGAGTGGTTTACCAACTTCTTTGGCAAGCTGTCCGTGGAGCAGTCCCTCGACTGCCTCGACGCCATGATGAAGCACAATATTCGCCAGAATCTACAGGCAGTCGTCAACATTGCGACAAAATACTCGGAGCTTCTTGGCCCTGTTCGGCTGATTGATCTCTTTGAGAAGTACAAGACCGCCGAGGGACTTTTTTACTATCTCGGCAGCATCGTCAATCTTTCCGAAGACCCCGACGTGCACTTCAAGTACATTGAGGCTGCCACCAAGTCGAACCAGCTTAACGAGGTCGAGCGCATCTGCCGGGACAGCAACAGCTACAACCCCGAAAAGGTCAAGAATTTCCTCAAGGAGGCCAAGTTGCCCGAGCAGCTGCCGCTTATCATCGTGTGCGACCGTTTTAACTTTGTCCACGACTTGATCCTCTACCTCTACCAGAACCAGCAGTTCCAGGCTGTCGAGGCCTACGTCCAGCGTGTCAACCCCTCCAGGACGCCCGCGGTCGTTGGCGGTTTGCTCGACGTCGACTGCGAAGAGAGCATCATAAAGCAGTTGCTCAGTACCGTCAACGCGCAGCAGATCAGCATTGACGAGCTGGTCTCGGAGGTCGAGTCGCGCAACCGCCTCAAGCTACTGCTGCCATTCCTGGAGGCCACGCTGCAGTCTGGAAACCAGCAGCAGGCCGTGTACAATGCGCTTGCCAAGATCTACATCGACTCGAACAACAACCCCGAGAAGTTCCTCAAGGAGAACGATCAGTATGACACCTTGACGGTCGGCAAGTACTGCGAGAAGCGCGACCCCAACCTGGCGTACATTGCATACTCCAAGGGCCAAAACGACCTGGAACTCGTCAATATTACCAACGAAAACTCAATGTACCGAGCTCAGGCTCGCTATCTGCTGGAGCGAGCCGACGCGGAGCTTTGGCGCTTCGCCCTCAGCGAGAACAACATCCACCGCCGCTCTGTCGTGGACCAGGTCATCTCCACCGCGGTCCCCGAGTCCACCGATCCTGCCAAGGTTTCTGTTGCCGTCGCCTGCTTCCTTGAGAACGACTTGCCCATGGACCTTATTGAGCTCCTTGAGAAGATCGTCTTGGAGCCATCTCCTTTTAGCGACAACCAGAACCTGCAGAACCTGCTCATGTTCACGGCAGCCAAGGCCGACAAGGCTCGTGTGATGGACTACATCCACAAGCTTGATGCCTACAACGCCGACGATATCGCCACGTCCTGCATCGAGGTCGGCCTTTTCGAGGAGGCCTTTGAGATCTACAAAAAGGCCGACAACAAGTCGGCGGCGGTCAATGTCCTTGTCGAGCACGTCGTTAGCATCGATCGCTCTCAAGCGTACGCCGAGGAGGTTGACATTCCCGAGGTCTGGAGCAAGGTGGCCAAGGCGCAGCTCGACGGTCTCCGCGTTCCGGATGCCATCGAATCGTATATCAAGGCCGACGATCCCAAGAACTACGAAGAGGTGATTGAGATTGCCACCCATGCGGGCAAGAACGAGGAGCTTGTCAAGTACCTGCGCATGGCTCGCAAGACCATGCGGGAGCCGGCAGTCGACACCGCCCTGGCCTTTTGTTACGCTCGCCTGGATCAGCTACCCGAGCTCGAAGACTTCCTGCGAGCCACCAACGTCGCCAACATTGAGGAGTCTGGCGACAAGGCTTACGAGGAGGGCTTCTTCGAGGCATCCAAGATTTTCTACACCAGCATCTCCAACTGGGCCAAGCTTGCCACTACGCTTGTGCATCTCGAGGACTACCAGGCTGCCGTCGACTGCGCACGGAAGGCAAACAACATCAAAGTCTGGAAGCAGGTGCATGAGGCGTGCGTGGCCAAGAAGGAGTTCCGCCTGGCCCAAATTTGCGGCCTGAATTTGATTGTCGACGCGGAGCAGCTGCAGACGCTGGTCAAGGAGTACGAGCGAAACGGCTACTTTGATGAGCTCATCAACCTACTCGAGCAGGGCCTCGGCCTCGAGCGCGCCCACATGGGCATGTTCACCGAGTTGGGCATTGCTCTCTCCAAGTACCACCCAGAGCGACTGATGGAGCACATCAAACTGTTTTGGTCGCGGATGAATATGCCCAAGATGATCCGCGCATGCGAGGAAGCCAACCTGTGGCCCGAACTGGTCTTCTGCTACTGCCACTACGACGAGTTTGACAATGCCGCCCTTGCCGTCATCGAGAGGCCCGAGAACTCGTGGGAGCATCAGCAGTTCAAGGACATTGTGGTCAAGGTGGCCAACCTGGAAATCTACTATCGCGCCATCAAGTTCTACGTCGAGCAGCACCCGTCGTTGCTCACGGATCTCCTCGCTTCTCTGGCGCCCCGCGTCGATGTTAACCGCGTCGTCAAGATGTTCCAGAAGAACGACAGTCTGCCGCTCATCAAGCCATTCCTTCTCAATGTGCAGTCGCAGAACAAGCGCATAGTCAACGAGGCCGTCAACGACCTGCTCATCGAGGAGGAAGACTACAAGACGCTGCGTGACTCGGTGCAGAACCACGACAACTACGACGCGGTCGGGTTGGCTAGCCGTCTGGAGAAGCACGATCTCATCTTCTTCCGCCAGATTGCTGCAAACATCTACCGCCAGAACAAGCGGTGGGAGAAGTCGATTTCGCTGTCCAAGCAGGACAAGCTCTTCAAGGACGCCATCGAGACTGCGGCCACGTCGGGTAAGACCGACATTGTTGAGGATCTCGTTCGATACGTAAGTTTTCTCGTCGCCACATCCCCTTTGGGACTGTGTCGTGAAGACATGCTAAGCCATGCTATAGTTCGTCGACATTGGCCACCGCGAGTGCTTCACGGGCATGCTGTACGCCTGCAATGACCTCATTCGTCCGGATCTCGTCTTGGAACTGTCCTGGCGTCACGGCCTCACGGACTTCACCATGCCCTACATGGTCAACATGCTGGCGCAGCAGACCAAGGAGCTCACCATTCTCAAGGCCGACAACGAAGCCCGAAAGGCCAAGGAGAAGGAGCAGGAGAAGACGGAGGATGACCGGCCCATTCTTGGTGGGTCTCGGCTCATGATTACTGCCGGACCCGGTGGCGGCATGGGCGGCGGAGGCATGTCCCCCGCCCCTTACGGCCAGACCAACGGCTTCGCACCGCAACCCACCGGATACGGTTACTAGGTGCAAGCCCCCGTGTGGGCCTGGTTACCTGTTTCTGGCACCCTGGCCCGAGTTCCTGACGACGGTTCACGATATGAAGTGGGAAAGTCGGCACGGAGGACCCCCACCTCGTCTTCATGGACGGACGATTCGGCAATCTCGTTTTAGCTCATGACTCTATGCACTTGAATTCTTCTCTTGCGATGATGTAAATTAAGAAAGGAAAATGTGCTGGAGCGGTTCTCAAGGTGGACTTGCTGAGTTGGCGATTTGCTCTTGATGGCAACGGCACGGCCTGCGGTGAGGCATCTCGCGGTCTGGGCGCGGCGGCCGGTTGCGCGATTTCGGGGGTGGAGGCATTGCGGGTTAGACGGGAAGGCGGCTATTGCTACTTTTGTCGAGGCCGCGAGGTGTGGAGAGGCGCCGCTTTGCTGTACGCTGTACGATGGTGACTGCGCTTGCTGGTTTCATAGTTATAAAAGGTGTCACTTGATGCTCCCGACTCTGCTATCGTGAACTTTCGCCCAAGCTGTACGTAGACTACTTGTTCATTACACACACAAAAGAGGTATGCTACGTGCTACCACGAGAACCGCTTAGATGTTGTATCCAGGAAGAAAAGACGCCAAAAACGCCGTCGGAGCCTCCAAACCCACGCTACAGCCTGCGCCAAATCATATCCTGCGGACCGTCGCCGGAGCCAGGGCCGCGAGCCACCTGCGCAGACGGCTGGTGTGTGGCTTAGGGTCCTTGATCTTGAGCCACTCGCCGTTGAAGGCGTTGATGAGCCAGTTGTTGAGTTCTGGGGGCGCACGTGTCAGCAATCGGCTGCATGCGCTCTCGTCCTTGGGAGGGGCAAGACAGGGGAGGGAACAAGAGGCGGGCGAGGAAAGACTCACTGTCGTAGACGATGCGGTTCGCGCTGTGAAACATGATGCTGTGGTCGCTGTCGGGAAACACGTGGACGTCGTAGTTTTCGACGCCGGCGACGTCGAGAGCGTCGAGCAGGTGCAGCGAGTTCTGGAAGTGCACGTTGTCGTCGGCGGTGCCGTGCATGAGCAGGAAGCGCGTGTTCTGACCGAGGGCCGACGCGTTGGCCACCGTCGACGCGTCGTAGCCGGCGGCGTTGTCGGCCGGGAGGCGCATGTAGCGCTCCGTGTAGATGCTGTCGTAGAAGCGCCAGTCGGTGACGGGCGCGACGGCCATGCCGTATGAAAAGGTACGCCCGGCGTCCTGCTCGAGCGTCTTGAGCGTGGCGAAGCCGCCGTAGGACCAGCCCCAGATGGCGAGGCGGGCAGCATCGACGTAGTCGAGCGAGGCAAAGTGGCGCGCGGCGGCAATGTGGTCCTGCGCCTCGAGGAAGCCGAGCTGCGACCGAACGGCGACGCGGTGCTTGCGGCCGAGAAAGCCGGTGCCGCGGGGGTCGACGGTGACGACGACGTAGCCGAGGGCGCCGGCGACATACGACTGGAAGTCGACGCCGAAGCGCTTGGTGACCGACTGCGAGTTGGGGCCCGAGTACTGCTGGAAGAGCACGGGGTGCTTCTTGCTGGGGTTGAAGTGCGGGGGCCGGCGCTCCTTGTAGTTGACGCTGACGCCGCCGCCGAGGTCGAGGGTGCCGTACTTGACGACGGGCAGTTCGTGCTTCCTGGCGTGCTCCGCCAGCTCGGCATTGTCCTCGACGGTGCGGTCGTAGTGGGCGGGCGTCGAGGGCGTCGAGATGACCTTTTGGTACGGGATTCCAGGTCCCCGGTACGAGAGCAGGGCGAAGCCAGCGCCCTCGGAAAAGGAGGCGGCGTAGTAGCCCTCGGACGAGGTGTCGGTCAGGGGTTTGAGGTCGGAGCCGTCGAGCTTGACCGAGTAGACGTGACGCTGGATCGACGACTCACGCGTGGCGACAAAGTAGACGAGGTTATTGTCGAGGTCGACGGCCGACGGCGCATCCTCGACCTCCCAACTGCCGGACGTGAGCATGAGCGGCTTGGAGCTGTTGAGAGGGGTGAAGTAGGCCAAGTGCTCAAAGTCGTCGTGGATGACGGTGTCGACGTATCCGTCGTGCTGTCGGCCCTTGGCCGGGTCGGCGGGGATGTAGGTCATCTTGTGGGAGATCTCATGCCAGCCGCCGTCAATCTCGGCCACGTTGACGTCGTTGACAGTCTTTGCCGAACGATCAGCCACGTCGACCAGGACGACCTTGAGATGATCGCCGACGCGGTTCGTCTGCTTGACTAGAAGCTGGTTGCCGGCCCAGAGGACGTTGTTGATGATGCGGTTGTCGTCAGCAAAGTCGTCGGCGATGTCGACAGAGAAGACGTCCTGGTGGACGACGTCGAATAACTGGAGGTCGACGACGGGGTTGGGGGAGCCGGGCTTGGGATACTTGATCTGGCGGACCTCGGGATAGGCTTCTTCGCCCTCGGGCGGCTCAGTGTCGCTGGGGCGCGAGAGGTGGTACTCGACGGGGAATTCCTTTACGCGAGTCTCGTTTGTGCGCAAAAAGGCAATGTACTTGCTGTTTTCAGACCACCAGGTGGCGGTGCGGCCGCCGAAGATCTCCTCTTCGTAGACCCAGTCAGGGACACCGTAGAAACAGTCAGGGCCGCCGTCGGTGGTGATTTGGAATGCTTTGCCATCGCCGGCGAGGATCCTGAGGTACAGATTGTTGTCCATGGTGAAGGAGATGGCGTCGCTTGTGGGGTTCCAGGTGGCGAGCTGTACCCTGGCCTTGTCGTTGGCTGGGAAGAGCGGCTCGACGCTCCCGGAGGCGACGTCGAGAATGAAGTAGATGGCCGTGAAGGAGTGGCGCCAGTTCTTTTCGCGGTCGACGGCGAGGAGGACCCTTTTCAAGTCGGGACTTGGCTTGAGCCAGTCGGGCAGGTGCGGCTTGCCCTTGTACTCAAAATATGCACTCTTCATGAGCGTGCGAGACCCTGCGAGGGTGTCTGCGTGGGCATCGCGGACGGCCGAAGAGTTGTCGCCTTGGTTGGACCGAACGTCCTCGACGACGAGGTAGTCCTTGCCGGTGGCGCCCTGCTCGAGAAGGAGGCCGTCCTGGCCGCCGGGGTCGGCAATCCAGCTGATTGTTTGCGACTTGGGGACCCAGAAGCCGCTGTGGATCTGGTCCATGGTGATTGTCTTGCCAGAGCCGCGGGTGTCGGCGTCGGGGTTGTGGTCGGCATCGCTGGTGTGTTTGTAGGAGCCGGAGGCGAGGAAGAGGACGAGGGCGACGAGCCAGGCACCAGCAACGATGCCGCCGGCAATAATGAGGACGCGACGTAGGCCGCGATCCATGGGTTTCCGCTCGGGGGGTCCGCCAGACTGTCCCAGAAAGGGGCCCGTTTCGTCAAAGGAGTCATCGTCGGCGCCGCCTTCTTCCAGCTTGTGCGGGTGGCCGAGGCGAGGGGCCCTGCCGCCGTTGCCCGTCTTTCTCATGGCGGGGGCCTTTTCCGTCTCTTCGTGCAGCCGGTCGAAGACGAGGCTCGTCGTCGAGACAGAGGAGAGGGAATCGTGGGACGGGCGCCGGGCGTCGGCGGACGATGATGACGGCTCCATGGTGGCGGGAAGCAAGGTGAAGCGGAGACGGGGGTCAGAGCAGGCTATCAGGAGGCGTGCATGCTGCCGATTTGGTGCTCCTTGTCGTGGGGAGTAAAGACTGTGTGGCTCAAGTTGGCGATGCTGGTGGACGAGGCGAGAGGGAAGAGGGAGGTCACGACTCAATCAGGGTCCGAGCTGATAGGGGAAGGTAGGTCCGGGCGTTGCAGGGCGTCGTGCAGTACCGCACGGCTAAGGACAGGTATCGAGTACCTCTGACCAGCAAAGGATTTCCAAGGTACCAATTAGGACGGCTGCGGTAAGCCGGTGCCTCTTTTTATTCGTAGTGTCCTAGGAGATGGATACTCTGAGTGTACCTAGCTTGACGATACCTTGATTGACCACAGGGCCGCTGTGACATTCATTGGTTTGCTGAAGACGGGCAAGAAATTCGTCTGTGCAAAGTACTTTGTACATACTGTCGGTGCTTGCTTCATCAGGCACCTCGTTTCACGTACGTGTACAAAACTCCGCCCCCTCTCGACTGCGACGCTCTAGTTAGCTAAGTACCGAGTACCTACCCTTGCTGACAGTGGGAAAAAGGGTGCATCGTTCGGCTGACGGGTCGTAAGTACGAGGCCAAGCCACCATGCCGCAGCGGATTAGGGAGTAGATAGGTCGGTACCTGTTGCATGACTAAGCTACCAGTAAGGCAAGCAGCAGCAAATCGATGATGCTGCATATTGATGCCAGAGATTAGATAAACTCCGTGTCCGTGACTCGCCACCGTCAACACACTGTATTCCCGCACCAAGCGAAGTGCGCTAGTACAGTGTCAGTCACACGATATGACGCGCTTCGTGCAGTGGGGTCGAGACAGGCCTGCCACTTTCTGCATCACGTGAGCGTGCCGTTTTGCCATCATTTCTTTATCAATCTCCCGCCAGCCGGAATCCCGTTGGTTTGTCCGAGTCACCATCATCAACCGTCTTTCCTACACTTCCATCTCATCCCCTCCCTTTTTCCCAACCCAACGTCTTTGCGCATCCCGCCGCCCATCCATTCCCAACACCTGCCCGCGCCATCCGCCACCAACCATCGAACCGGCCCCCGTGCCATCTGTTACCCGACGACACATCAATCACCATCACCACCATCACAGCCGCTTCCACCATGCTCCCGTTGCGAGCGCCCTTCCGCTCCATCCGCGCCATGCCGTCGCCCATGGTGGCGGCTATGGCGTCGCGCGTGCCCGCCCGGCGCTTCTACCACGACAAAGATATGCCTTCCCTGCTTCCATTCCCTTTCGACCTCGCACGGCAGTCCATGTAATCCGGCCAAAGCTAACATCCCCGGCACTCATCGACCATTACAGCCGCCCGCGGAATCCTGGCTCCATGGACAAGTCGGACCCCTCGGTCGGCACTGGGCTCGTCGGCGCCCCCGCCTGCGGCGACGTCATGAAGCTGCAGATCAAGGTGGACGAGAAGACGGGCACCATCACCGACGCAAAGTTCAAGACGTTTGGCTGCGGCTCGGCTATTGCTAGCTCCAGCTATCTGACGACGCTGGTAAAGGGCATGCGACGTGAGCCTGACTTCTTTCCTCACCACATGCGTACGGCTTTTATATCCTTATGCTAAATCTCTCTTCCTCTTCACAGTCGAGGACGCCTCCAAGATCCGCAACGTCGACATTTCAAAGGAACTCTGCCTGCCTCCAGTCAAACGTACGTGGTCCCTGGCTTTGTTATGCATCCGCTTCCAAGGCTAATGAAATGCGCCACACAGTACACTGCTCCATGCTCGCCGAAGACGCCATCAAGGCCGCCATCGCTGACTATCAGGGCAAGAACCCCCAGGCCTCCATCTCTGACCTCGCTGGCACAGTCAGGACACTGGAGAAGGAGGCGGCAGCTTGATTCGAGGCAGACCCTGGATGGCCGCATGACACGATATGGCGGGTAGCTTGAAGGAAAGGGGGGGGGGACAGGAACAAAAGTCCCGGCAAGGGACCAAGGCAAAAGTGTCTTGTTTGCGGATGGGAAGCGGCGCAGTCGCCGCACAGGGCTGGGACTCGTGGATCCTGGTGCGCCTCTGTTTGTGTGTTTTGGCTCAGTCCTCCTCTCCCCCCTTTTCTTGGTGTACTTTTCTTGGTGCTGCGTCGCGATGACCAAAGGTTGTGGAGAAGAGACAAGGCTGCAAGATTATCAGTTGCGATAACGGTCGTTGGGATGGTTGGCGAAATGCTCTTTCTTTTTTGCTGCTTTTCTCTTAACGCAGGGTTAACTTTTTGGCACATTCCAAAGCGCACGGCTTCAGGAACAAAAAAGTGAAATATCAGAGACGCTTGTTCCCGTCCAATGCTTGTTTCGCGGCGCCTATTGCGACGCTTTGCCTCATTTACGGCGGTGGACCTTAATCTCTTCTCAATATAAGGAATCGATCATGACATCGTGATCCGTGATTTCCACCGTGATTGCCACACGCAAATCCAGCACAATCTAATCAAAGTACAATACGAATGGAATAAACGTGTCAGACTTCGCCATGTAGGAGGTCGTCAGCGCCACACCACCACATCATCATCGTAACGTGTCTTCCCAAAGACGTCCAAAAACCTTCCCTGACGACGCCATGCCATGAGTAATTGTCCCCAACTAAGAACTATTCCGCTCCTGCGGTCCCGCCTCCTCAATCAACGCCTCTCCCTGGCGCATCCAATCATCAAAAGCCTCGGGGCTGTCTTCTCGAGGGAGCGTGTTGGTGACGCCGCGGTATTGCCTGTCGCTGAACGACGGGTCGTCGACACCGGAATGCTTCCTGCCGAGCCTCTGGCGTATGTGGCAGAGGGAAAAGTAGAGTTTCTTGCAAAGGCTGGTGTCCCTTTCGATGCGGGACGAAAGCTCTACGACCTCTGCCTGAGGCTCGTGGACGTGCAAGCCGGTGTGGCGGCGGCGATCAAGGCCCACGCGCCAGCGTAGCGCCAAGAGCTGCTCTATAAAGTGCTCCATGGTCTGGGGCTCGATGCCCTGGGGCTTGGACAGATGCTTGTGGAGGCAGGCAAAGGCGGCGTGCTCGATTTGCCGGCCGAATATTAGTGACAAGAAATGCGCCAACAACAGACTGTTCTCGTCTAGACAGCATTCACTGTCGCTGTTGACAAGCTTGTACGTGACCGGAGCAGGCTTGTCGTCGAAATTGGCCAGAAAGCCGAGTGCGTCGTCCAGATCGTGAACTCTGGGCCACATACAATCCTTGTAGTCGCTTCTTTCCATCTGTTCATGGACGAAGCGCTCGAGTGAGTAAGGCGAAGATAGGTCTTCGCTAACCTCGGAGAAGAACCTGCGACACGAGGCAAGGTCCAGATCATACAAGGGCTGCTCATCCCGAATCGCCAGGATAGAGCAAGACAGGCCGAGCCCGTCGAGACACCCCATTATCTGTTCAAATGTGATGGCTTGCCAAGCTTGGTTGTTTAGTAGAGGGCGGCTGATACTATGGTTTTCTGGAGGGTACCGAATCAGTTCACAGCGCCCCAGGGTGAGAGCGAGGGGAGTTAACCAGCAGCTGAGAAGTGAAAAGGGTACAAGAGAAGAGAGAGAGACACGCAACGGTTGCCATACCTGTAAACCGGGTGCTGCCAGCTTTCACCAGGCCCATGAAGGAGAAGACGATGCAGGACGATGCCTTGCCACGGTCCTTGCACTTTTGACACCACTCGGCTCCAGCCGCTGGCTCACACTGCTAACAGTTCAGTCATGCGTAACAGCCAAGAGAGGGACCTGTCCCGCTTGACGCACTAGGCGACAGTGAGCAGACGAGAGGACAAACCGTACAGAAACACCTTGCAACTTGCACCTGATACACACGCTCTTCTCAGCTCTCCTATTCTTGGCGTTCCACTTAGTCGCGGGATGCAGTGACCCTTTCCGCTTGCCTTTTTGACTATAAACGGGCGAGGTAGGATGCGGCTGGCCGGGCAAATCCTCACCGGGGGCCGACACACGATGGTTCTGAAAGCTGCTGTGTCCATTCATCATCTCAGATGTCGGCCAGGCCGACCCATCCGTGCAAAAGGACGACTCAGAGGCGTGCAAGGGGTGAGTCGACACGTACGAGGAGCTGGTCTCTGATGAATCGTAAGGGGTCGTCGATGGCCCTCGATTCAAACATTGCCGGACCAGGTCCGGGATGTGCAAGTCACTGCCGAGCAGAGAGACCTCTTGGCTGATAGTATCGGTGAGACGGCGCGGCATTGTAAAGTCGGCCAAATCACCATCATCAACTGGGAGCCGCTGATTGGAGTAGTTGAAGGCTGCGGCCCTCAACACCGGTAGGCGGCCGACGCTCGACCTATTCGCATAATGTGCCTGTTCGGCCGCCGCAATCGAGGCGGCAAGGGGGCCTGTGTACTGCGCGACGGGAAGATTCGAAAGCCCAGGCCGATGAACCGGCATTGATCCGTTCAATAAAAACGCCGGGGTATAAGGCGCCGGCATGGGTGCGGCATACATGGCTTGGCATGGCTGTTGTAGATGCCCGTGTAGATGTTGGTCTCCCCTTAGATCTGCGGCCTGACTTACCGAGGCGCCGAAAACTGATTGGAGACGGAAAGGGCCATAATCGTTGGCGTCGAGTAGATATTCCGTGATGCGGCTGCCGGTGTATTGGTCGCCCAAATTGTAGGCGTGATGGGCCGAGGGTGAGCCGAGCACAGCTGCCGCCGGCTGCTGCTGCCAGGGGATGTGAAGCTCCAGGCTGGAGAAGTTGGAGTGGTTCGAGAGCGGATTAGACCGTGAGCTGGTCATGTAGGATTGGACGGTCATATGCCCTGAGCATCCGCAGGGACACGGTTCGGCCGGGCCGTTGTACAAGTGCGGATCTGTGGAAGCCAGTGGCGGCGACATGGACAATCCCCCATGGTGGGCGCTACCGGAGGTGTCAGGAAAGAAGACGCTAAGAGAATCGACGATTTCCTGGGCTCTGGCCGTTGACGGATGTGTGGGCGAGGTCTCGAGAGGAGCGAGGGCGGCGGCGTCGAAGATATCGTCGTCCACGGGCCTGGTAAGGACGGGGAAGTCAGCATGGTTTGAAGGGGTAACGCAACAAACGAGACACAGACAGGTCTTGACTCTGGGACGGGCCCTGGCCCGGTGCCGTGGATGCCTCATGGCCCATGAAGCCCCCCACGGAAGAATTGAACTGGGCCCCCGTATTTGCGGCGTCTTGCATGTCGGGAAAGATGAAGGATGAGCAGGAAGGAAGGCTAGATAAACGTGGACGAGCAAAGGTGCGTGTACGTAGGTCGTGCGCGTCACGGTCTTGTTCCCTGGATGGATTCATGGACAGAGGGCGAGATGGATGTCCAAGAGAGAGACGGCAGTAATGGGTCGACCTAGGCGTGAACAGGACAGAGGATGTGTTTTGAGTTCAGGAGCTTGTCTGGACGGCGGAACAAGGACGGCTCGCCGTCGAGGTAAAACGTTGGCAGGAGAGAGAGAGAGTGAGGACTGTGGCGGCAAAGAGGGCCGGTTATAAATGCGCTGATGGGACATGCTTGAACGAACAGGACGAGCAGCCGAGTATGGCTTTGCCATGGACAACGCATCCGCCCTCGAATGTCGCATATCGTGGCCGACGCGGGCACACGGTCTTGGGGCTGAGTGTCTGCTTTTTTTGCTTTTTTTTTGCTTTCTTATCCATGCGGTGGAGGTGCAGGGGAGGCCTGATGGGAAACCCTTCCTTTTGTGAATTGCGCGTTTTTTCTACCCCATGCATATTTCTTCTAATATCCGGCCGGTTCCTTCCATCCATATCCGTACCTGGATTGGTCCTCTGGCCAGGGTGCCGGGAGGCGGTTCCTCGATGATGACAGCTCCTGGTTGGCAAATCTCCATCCATATCTGGATTGGTCCTCGGCGGCCAGGGTGCATGGCTGGCTTCCTGGGGGGCAAAGCAGAGGCGAATCAGCGGCATTCGCCTCGCTTTGTACGCATACCGAAGAGCATACCGAAGCAAGAAGAGGAGAAATGGAGTCGGAGAGGGACGGACGTGGCAGCGGCGTGACGTCGAGCGGAAGAAATCTCTGTCGTCGGTTTGTACAGTAGGTAGTGGGAATAAGGAGAGAGAAAGGCGTGCAGTTTGTGAGGATCCCCCTGCTTACCTACTTACTACCTAACTTCGCAGGAGTGTGTTTGCACCTGCCTTTTCCGATGACCGCCTCAGTTGCCGATGACGCACACACACGAACCTCACCTTTGACAGCGTCTGTCGAGTCCACGTCCCAAAAGCACGTCCCGTTCAGGGCCACATGCGTTCGGGGATCAAATGCGGCAATACGACGAATACGCGGCGCCCTCTGATCGGCACACGACCGCCGTTGATTGGCGAGGCCGGGCCACCACTTCAGCCCTGAGCCCGAGATTGATGGACAAGGACCAGTCGTTGGGGCCAGCCGAGGCCGAAATCCCAAAGTATAAAAGGCCGTTTGTTGCACCCTTTGGTTTGGAGCGAGCATTCGTTGCATCACGCAGCCAAGGCACGCAATCGCTTCCTCGACGTCGACGTCCCATCTGCTCACCATGCCGTTTGGATCCAAAGCCAAGGAGCCGGAAGACGTGGCCTACGTGCCGCCTCAAATCTCAGACCTGCACTGCTTCTCCGAGACCGAGGGCGTCGTGACGACGAGTACGTCTTGCCAGCCCTGGTCCCAGACCCGTCGTTTTTCCACTGCTAAGACAGCCGGACGCAGCCATGATGGACCTGCCCGGATACCGCATCGTGCGCGTGCTCGGGGCCGTGTACGGCATCAGCGTGCGCTCGCGCAACATTGCCGCCAGCCTGGGCATGGTCATCAAGAGCTTTGCCGGCGGCGAGCTGCGCTGGTTCACGTCGATGCTGTACTCGTGCCGCAACGACTCCATCAGCCGCGTCGTCGACGAGTGCAAGCGCCGCGGCGGCAACGCCATCATCTGCCTCCGCTTCGACGCCGGCGACATGGGCGGCTTCGCGCAGACGGCGGCCTACGGCACGGCGTGCATTGTGGAGAAGCTGGACCCGGCCGTCAGGCCGCCTCCGCAGCTGGAGAGTGCTTGAGAGGGGTGGTGTCATGTGCATACCCCGGGGGGGAGGTGGGCCTGCTTTCGATTGCGGGGAGAAACATTCATGCTGTTCGGGCCTTTTGGAGCCCCGCAGCATGACGGCGGTTTTGCCGAGTGGGAGCTGCCGAGAGTCCTTTGATGCACAGGTGCGCGTGACCTGCAGACATTACATGTACTGTACAGGATAGAGCAATTGACCATGATGACGAGTCGCCTCGGCGCAGCCCACGGTGTCTATGCGAAGTCTATGCGAAGCTGCGGGAAGCTGCAGGCACGGCCACCATGAACAGGTGTGTGGCGCACGACCATCACTTGTCTTGCAAGGCTATGTTACTGGGCTGTCCGGATGCGTCGTTGCTTGCAAGTTGCACACATTCCATGCTGAGCAGCACCATGCATGTACAGAGTTGCGCAAGGGGCTCGGACGCCAAGCTACATACTGTACATATTGCAGACTCCAGGAGCCAAGGAGTTGAGAGAGGCTTCTTTCAGGCAATACAGGGGAGGAAGATCGGATGACGAGGGGGGAATCAAGGCCTGGTTGGTGGTTCCCCAGACCCGGCGGGGCCGCGACGTTTTGGCGGGGTAGAAACAGCGTCATAGCGGCCTGCTTCGGTGGGCTGGCGGGGTCCAGCAGGCGTTGAGGTACCGAGTACTCGGGCCAAGGTATAACTCTATCGAATAAGCTTGACTTTCCTCCGGGCGGAGCCTCAAGGTGAGACGGGCGAGGACGGTTGCAAGGAAAAGTAGCAGCAGGAAAATGCAAAGAGTCGAGGGAATGTAAAACAGTGAGCTGCAATGGCCTCAATGGAAGCGAGGAAGAGCGGGAGACGAGTGCAGGAAGACGCCCAGCTGCTAGATAGACTTATGGGGTACTTGCATTCCGGGGTACCTGGACTTGGCGGCCCCCGGTCTCGGCCCCAACGGCGAGTCAGAGCCGGAACCGTCGATGCAAGCCACGTCTTCGAGGTGAATTCTTGAGACAGCTGTGCTGCAGACCGAGTACGTGACACTAGGTGACTGAGAATGAAAACAAAGGAAATACTCGTCGTGGATGGAAACATTTGTCTCCTGGACGGGTCCGTCAGCCTCGTCCGTCAGCTCCGGCGTGGCGGACCCGTGCAACCAACTCTTTCTTCTCCCCTGCCCCCAGGAGCCTTGGCCATATGGGACGAGGTGGTGGGCAGTGTGGGTAATGGTAATAATAATACGAATAAACTATAGAATGGGTACTAATTAGGTAGCGCACCGCGTTCGTTTGGCCCCAATGCTGTTCCGGTCGGTAGCCTGCCTCACTTTTACTTCCTCCTCTCTACCTGATGAACCCGGCCTGTCCGTCCGCTCTTAAGAGCCCAGCTATTTCACCTCTCTCTTCGCCCCTTCCTTCTCTTGTTCTTCACGCCTGTCTCCTCCTTCCTCTCAAGCTGGTCATCGTCCTTGCCGCGTCAAGCTATCCCTCCCTCCCCTGTCCCTCCTCTTCTCCCGGGAACACGACTCATACACACAAACACGCCTTACTTGCTATTTTCAAAAGCCACGCGGGGCGCCGGAGAGCTGACGAGACGGAAAAACGCATCCCCCCCCCCCTCCCCCCGGCCGACCATGGCGTCCCTGAGACATGTCGTCGTCGCCGCCGTCACGGCCTTGGGCCCGGCGGGCGTCTCGGCCCTCTTCACAAACGGCTCCGTCGTCGCCCCGTGCGACTCGCCCATCTACTGCCACGGCGACATCCTCCAGGAGATTGAGCTGGCCCAGCCGTTTGCAGACTCCAAGACCTTTGTCGACATGTAAGCTTACACACCCACCTCGCGAGGAAGCGAAGGGCCGTGTAACAACAACAGCAACAAGACTGACATATCTCTGCCAGGCCCGCCACAAAGTCGCTCCAGGAGATCCAAGACGCCTTTGCCAAGCTTGCCAAGCCCGTGAAAAACGACTCGGCCCTGCACGACTTCCTCAACCAGCACTTTGGCCAGGCCGGCGGCGAGCTGTCCCCCGTGCCGCGCGACCAGCTCAAGACGGATCCCCTCTTCCTCAACAACCTCTCGGACACCGTCATCCGCGAGTTCGTCGGCAAGGTCATTGACATCTGGCCCGACCTGACGCGCTCTTACTCGCCCTCGACGGGCAACTGCTCCGCCGCAGACGGGGGCCAGTGCCCGAGCAGCTTCATCCCCATCAACCACACCTTTGTCGTGGCCGGCGGCCGCTTCCGCGAGCCCTACTACTGGGATTCGTACTGGATTCTCGAGGGCCTGCTGCGCACGCGCGGGGCCTTCACCGAGATTGCGCGCAACACGATTGATAACTTCCTCGACTTGGTGGAGCGCTTCGGCCTGATCCCTAACGGCGCCCGTGTCTACTACCTCAACCGCTCGCAGCCGCCCATGCTGACGCAGATGGTGCGCATCTACATGGAACACACGGGCGACGCCGCCATCCTCGACCGCGCCCTGCCGCTGCTCGTGCGCGAGCACGACTTCTGGGCCCGGAACCGCTCCGTCGACATCGCCGGCCCCTGCGGCAAGAACTACACCCTCTCGCGCTACGCCGTCGAGAACACGCAGCCGCGGCCGGAGTCGTTCCGCGAGGACTACCAGATGGCGAACAACGCGTCGTACTTCTCCGCCACCTCGGGCAGCGTCTTCAACGAGACGGCGCCCCTCGACGACGCCCAGCGCGCCGAGCTCTACGCCAACCTGGCCACGGCCGCCGAGTCGGGCTGGGACTTCTCGTCGCGCTGGCTGTCGCGCCCGCAGGACTCGGCGCGCGACGACTACTTCCCGCTGCGCTCGCTCAACGGCCGCAACGTGGTGCCCGTGTGCCTCAACTCGATTCTCTACGCAAACGAGCGCGCCATTGCCGGCTTCTTCCGCCAGAGGGGCAACGGCTCGGCCGCCGGCGACTGGGACGGCCGAGCCGCGCGCCGCAGCGAGGCCATGCACGCGCTGCTGTGGAACGAGACGCTCTTCACCTACTTCGACTACAACCTGACGTCGCGCGCCCACGACGTCTACGTGCCCGTCGACGACGACGCCGCCGCCGAGGACAAGACGGGCGCGCCCGAGGGCTACCAGGTGCTCTTCCACGCCGCGCAGCTGTTCCCCTTCTGGCTCGGCGCCGCGCGCGAGGACCTCAAGAAGCCGTCGGCCGTCAAGAGGGCCTACGCCCGCGTCGCGCGCTACCTCGACGCGCGCGCCGGCGGCATCCCGGCCACAAACTACCAGACGGCCCAGCAGTGGGACCAGCCCAACGTGTGGCCGCCCCTCATGCACCCGCTCATGCAGGGGCTGCTCAACACGGCCCCGGGGCCGGAGCCCTCGGGCCCCGCTCCGGCCGGCGGCGCCGACGAGCAGCAGGCCCACCGCGACGTGCACGCCCTGGCCGTCAAGCTGGCCCAGCGCTACCTCGACTCGACCTTTTGCACCTGGTACGCCACGGGCGGCTTCACCTCGGAGACGCCCAAGCTGCCGGGGCTGACCGACGCCGACACGGGCATCATGTTTGAAAAGTACGCCGACAACTCGACCAACGTGGCCGGCGGCGGCGGCGAGTACGAGGTCGTCGAGGGCTTCGGCTGGACCAACGGCGTCCTCATCTGGGCTGCCGACACCTTCTCCGCCGAGCTGAAGCGCCCGGACTGCGGAGACATCAAGGCTGCCAAGAGCGGCGCTGACGGAGGCGGTGGCAATGCGCGGCGCAGCAGCAGCGCCGTCCATCTCGATGCCCGGGATGCGCGGAGGATAAAGATGTTTGGTAGCCGGCCTAATAAGAGGTAATTCCCCGGTCTGGGGGGGGGCTGGGCTCCGAGGAGAGAAGACGATGTGGCTGTGCTGCGCTGGACAGCCGCCCTCCCTGAGCTTGGTCCAGGGAGCTGCGAAAACTGTATATAACCCAGCATTTTTATAATCGCCCCTTTTAGTTCTGTACATCAAAGGGGTTTCCTACGTGGTGGCTCGTGGCATAAGCCCCCCAGCGATGACGTGCAGGATGGTCGTATAATGAGTCCCTGAAGCAAGGCCATCCACAGACAATAAAGGCACCCAGATTCCATGAAAAGTAAATCATTAACCAGAGCCCTGTCCGTTCATCAGGGCGTGATGCGCCCCACGATGCAAGATACAGCGCAACCCAACACCCCTGGACCCTCGGTCGAGCCACGACTCCACAGCTTCCCCATGCCTCGTCCTTTGCCGACGCCTATGCCCGTGTGTATGTGTCCAATGATGTGTGAGCATATACATACGCCCCCCCCCCTCCCCAGCCATCCTCTCCTCTTCTCCTCTCCACCTCGTCCGCACGCTCACGCCTGGATGGCACTCGGCCGCGCCATCGGCCGCAGCGGCCCCTTGCGAGGCTCGTCCCCCCTGCTCACCCGGTACTTGAGCTTGACCCCCATGGCCGCCAGCTCGACGTCGAGGAACTTGAGCGCCCCGGGAATCACCACCTGCGTCGTCTCGTCGCCCCCGACCCAGCAGACGCCCTGCCCGTCCTCCCAGATCTCGCCCTGCACCTCCGTCAGGTCCACGCCCTCGCGCTCGTCCAGCCGGACGGCGCAGCCGCGGCACCGCACCATGCTCGGCGCCTTTTTCTTGCTCGGCGCAAACTGCGACACCGTCGGCTGCACCGACAAAAACGACCCGCACCGCCGGCAGATCCACGACCGCGTGTAGTCGGAGCAGTTGAGCAGCCGGTCCTGCAGCAGAAACGCGGTCCCGTGCGCGAGCAGCGCGTCCCGCTCCATCTCGCCCACGCGGATGCCGCCGCCCCTCTTCCTGCCCTTGATCGGCTGGCCCGTCGTCGGCACCACCGGGCCCGTCGTCCGCACCTGGTACTTGTCGTTGACCATGTGCCTGAGTCGCTGGTAGTACACGACGCCGATGTAGATGTCGGCCCCCAGCTCCTCTCCCGTGATGCCCGAGTACATGGGCTCGTTGCCGTGGTAGCTGTAGCCGGCCTTCATCAGCTGGTGCCCAAAGTAGTCTGCCGCCGTGTTCTGCTCGTCAAACTTGAACGGCGTCGAGTCTTGGGCCAGCCCGTGCAGCGCGCCGGCCTTGCCCGCCAGCGACTCAACAAACATGCCAATCGTCATTCGCGACGGAAAGGCGTGCGGGTTGATGATGACGTCGGGCTGGATGCCCGACTCGGAAAAGGGCATGTCCACGGCAGGCCACTTTTGCGAGCAAACACCCTTTTGCCCGTGGCGCGACGAAAACTTGTCGCCGATGACGGGCGAACGGGGGACGCGAAACTTGACCGAGATGGTCTGCAGGGGCTCGGATCCCGTCTCGGCCCCAATCAGCCGAACCTCTTCGACGAAGCCCGTCTCCTGGTCCTTGTACTTTTCGTAGTGGGTGACGCCGTCGAGGTTGACCAGGTTCCCGTTGTAGTCGGTCGTGACCGTGTGCCACGCGCAGATGACATCGCCGTCCTGCATTAGCCGGCCGACGTGTGGCAGGCCGTCGTCGTCCAGCATTCCTTGGTAGGACGCGCTGACATAGCTGTGCGGCGCGAAGCCAAAGGCCTTGGTCACGCTCTTGGTCACCTTGATCCTCGAGTCGTCCTTGAGGCTGATCTTCTTGGTCTTGTAGATGGTGCCGTGCCCGAAGCCCCTCTCGTGCGCCGACTTGTTGATGATCATGGCGTCGTCCATGTCGTACCCGGTGTACGAGATGACGGCCACGACGGCATTCATGCCGTTGGGGAAGTTGTCGAAGCCGTACGCGTTGTGCAGGGGAGCCCGCACAATCGGCGTCTGTCCCGTCTGCAGCCTGTACGACTTGTTGTCGGTCCGGTACCGCATGGCCGCGCCCGGCGTCCCCATCGACTGCTTGCCCATCTGGCATTGGTACATGTTTCGCGGGGATTGGTTGAAGTCGGAAAAAGGGGTCATGTTGGCGAGGATGGACAGTATGTTGGTCGGGGAGACCTCGACGTGCGTCGACTGGCCCGACTCAATCTCCTGCGGCACAACCGCTATCGACATGTAGGGCTGCTCGAAGGAGCCGACGTAGTCTTCCTTTTGCAGGGGCAGATAAGTCGTCGGCCGCACCATTCTCGACGGGCCCGACGCCATGTACAGGCCGGGGTACGATCCGCCATTGGAGGGCGGCACATATCCAATCTCCAGGTGCAGCGGCACGCCGTGCGTCCCCTCGACCTTCCAGTGGCGGAAGCAGTCGGCGATGCGTCGAGTCTCTTTGGGGCTGCAGTAGCCGAGGATCTTGCCGTCCAGCATGACGACGACGCTTTCGTCGGTCGAAGCAGACGACGTGGGCACAATGCCCAGTTCCGTGGCCAGGGCCGGCAGCCGAGAGACGTCGATCGAATCCGTCATGATCTTGCACTTGTGTGCCAGATGATTCAGCAGCCCGCAGGGCGAACCGTCGGGCGTGTGGACGGGGCACAGGAAGCCCCACGACTCTGGCAGCAGCTTTCGCACCGCCGTCGTCTTGAGCTGGGCGAAAAAGGCGCCGCGATGAACCATGCGGAAGTGGCTGATGAAGCGCAAGAAGTTGAGCTTCTCGGCGACAACAGTGAAGCCGGCCGTCTGCTGCAGGTCCAGCCCCGAGGGGCTTTGCATGTTGCCGGTGGAGAGGAAGTACTCGAGAGCGTTTCCAATGTTCTCGTTGGCCTTTCTGAAAATCCCAGAGGGAAACTCTCGGCGAAAGTCCTCGGACGTGAAACGTACCGTCGGGTTCCTGCGGAAGTAGTCTCGCAGAGACGCGCGGACATTGACGCCGAGGAACTCGTCCAGCCTCTCCTTGAGGATTTGGCTGTACAAAAACCCGCCCAGCAGGATTTCCTGGTTCTGCACGGCATCCGGGTTGTCGACGGCGCATTCGCCATCAGCCAGCGCGTACAGCTTTCGAATCATGAAGAGCAGCATGCGGAACTTGTCATTGTCCTGCTCCGCCGTCACGTTGATGTTGCCAAGGTGAACCAGGGCAATCTTCCGCAGAAACTCGGTGCCCACGTCGTAATCCGACAAGGTTTCCGGCACGCCCAGGACGATTCGGAACTTTGATCCCAAGAAAGCGCGCGTCTCCGCCTTGCCGTACAGGCGATAGCTCTTGTATGTTCTCAGCAGCAGCTCGACTCGGTCCGTCAGGAACGTATTGCCCGTCGACTTGCAGCCCATGGGGCCAATGACTCCCTCAAAGATCTCACGATCATTCGTCTCCACCAGGGCCCTGAGGATCATCAGGACGGGCACGAGGTATTCGTTTTTCCGCCAGGAGAAGCGGAACGTGATGTTCCCGTCGTGAAGGTAGTGCAGCACGTTGGTCTGCGACGTTTCATCCGGCCGGACAGAGCGAACGATTATACCGTAGGGCGTGTATCCGGGGCCACGGTTCACAAAGCTCGGCCGAGTGATCGCCATGGGGAAGTTTCTCTTGTTCATCTGCAGCAGGCGGGTGATTTTCTCAATGCCGTTGACGATGAAGTAGCCGCCCAGCTCCTCGGACTCTTCCTTGCGCTGGACGAGCAGTTCGGGGGAGTTGTTTTCCAGGTGGCAGCGATTAGACTGTCGTGGACGGTTAGCAATATGTGACGTGGTCCAAGAGTCGCAACCATATTCTGTACTTTTACCATGACGGGCACCTGCCCCAAGTCTCGCGTAAACTCCATCGGGTCGCCGCCGTTGATGGTGTACTCAAACGTTGCCGACAACTTTCCTCTGTATGTGACATGGCGTTCTCTGCACTCGGCGGGCAGTATGTCTCTGTTGCGAGCCAGCTTGTTGGAGGGCGGGACCTGCGGCTTTTGCAAGGTCACATCCTTGACCCGTATGCTCAGCCGATTCCGTCCGTCGGGCCCGGTGCTGTCGTCGCCGTCTAGGAAGATCTTGGAGCCAATGTCCACGAGGCCATGCGCAAGCAAGCCGGGCTTGCCATCGTCGCGAAAGATGCCGTTGAAAGACTCGATGTGCGGGTCGACGGCTAGTTGAAGGGCGGGATAGGCGGTGTGGTCGGCCGGAGGATTCTGGAACAAGCTTTGGCGACGAAGCGTGTCGTATTCATGGCTCCATTGCGTCTCCGTTGCGGAAGGCGTCATGATGCGGCCAAACGGCTGGCTACAGCGGGGGGTGCCTCCGCTGTTGGCCTGTGGATGACGAGCGAGGGATCACAATGATTCGAGTTACGGGCTCGGCAGCCGAGACTCGATTACGGGACCGTGAGGAGTGCGCGCCACCCAAAAGCTTCTTGATAGCGAGTACAAAAATTGAGGCTATCCGGAAATGCCAAAGGCTCATCGTTATCGCCATGAAAAAAAAAGTTGCCGATAAAGGTGTCACATGACTTTGCTCTGTTATCGATAAGCCGTGTTAGCTTGGCGGATGGCGGATGGCGGGGTTCGCAGATGCCGCGCTCTTTGTACAACTCCGAACTCCTCCTTGTCGGTTCTTCCGGCGACAGAGAGGGAGAAAAGCAAAGGGCCAATGGGCTCGCCGACGACGAACCCCATGCCATGTCTCAGTCCGGTGTCCCAGTGCCGCGATGCCCTGGAGAGCATTGCCGTCGGGGCGCGTTACATCAGCGCTATCGCCGTGGGACGCACAGCATCGAGCGTGCAGCAGCATGGGCTGGGCGCAAAGTCTGGAGGCATTCAACGGCCTCGCCAGTCCGGTCCATGGAGGGCTGCGTAAGCGACTTGCTGCCTTCCGGCTTGCATAAGGCCTGTTTCGACGCCGTTGGGGTCGAGGCATCCTAACGACTGTCACCGCCGCCCGTTCGGGACGACTTCTGCAGCAGCCAGAGACGTCTCATGCATGGATGCGCGCCTGTGCATACATATATACACATGGACGGGGAGGGCATGTGTGCACGCACGACTTGAGAGTTCTCGTCGCGGCCTCGATGGCCGAGCGCAGCTTCGAGGGCTCGAGGAAGGATGAAGGTCGCCTTGGCTGGCGGCCGCCTGGACGCCATGGGCGCCCAACGAAGCCCGACGACGCTACCCGCATGCACGCTTCTCCCAGGTCGTCAGGTCAGATCAGTTAGCAGGCAGCCGGCGTTCCTTTTCAACGTCGCGGCATTGGCAGACGTTTGTTCGTGGGGGTCGCTGTCTTGGGTGTTGGCTCGACTGGCACCCCCAACATGGCATATCATGGATTCGCGCATCCCCCGCCTCTGGCACACCAACATGTGCTGCATCTAGCCCTCCCCCGTGACGGCGGCTCATCCGGTTCCCCAGGTAGACTCTGGCCAACCGCAGATGCTGGTTCGCACGAGGCACGTCGTGCGTCTGTCCAGCCAACCCGCAGCGCCTTCCGCATGCCAAGCATTCTCGACCATGTCTCTTGTTGTCTATCTGTCCGTCTTCCGGTTCCTCGTCGCTGCCTGTCTGTCTGTTGAAGGCTCGCCTGGCCGTGCAGGTCTATGACATGCTCTGCTGCCACGCAGAGCGAGAGAGCCTCTTATCGACGGGTGAAATCCGAAGACACGTCGGGTAAATGATGTGAGCTAGCAAGCTGGCTTTGACAGCGTCTGTCCAGGCGGAAAGGCGCCATGCTTTGAGGAACTAGCCATGCACCCAGACGTATGTACATCCGTGAAGACTGTAGGTGCAAAGCATGGCTAGTCACCCCCCCAGAGGCCTGGCTGAGATTCGAGCCTGACCAAGCCCAATCATCGATCCCCTGGGTTACGTCAAGGCTCGCCGGGCTGACTGGAGAGGTTGTCCACTCGGGCATGTCGTCGACGAAGCAAAGACACTCCGTCCTGTTGTTGCGTCTGCAGAAGCTGTTTCATGCCATCCAGCGTCGATCAATGGCAGCTCCCACCATCGGTTCCCACGCCCGTTGGCTGCCCAAGAGCAGGCAAGCAAGGAATCGACCGACGTAAGCCCTGGTAGGGAATAAGAGGTGGGAAGACGGCTTTGGACTCTGACACAGGTCGGGATGGAGAGAGGCTTGACGTCGTTGCTGCCCGTCTCGGCCACACCAAGTAGAGGCAGCTGTGGTCGTTTGTGCCTTGAGTACTCGGTAGGGACCAACAAGTAGAGAGGGGGGAGGGCGGGGGGGTGTAGGGTGAGGAGGTGCGGCAACCTGCGAGGGCAAAGGCACCCAACTGACTCTTTACCTCCAGGCACAGGCAGCCCTGACGAGGCACAAGGTACATATTGTTTAGGGCACGGCGGTATACGTCCATGGTAGGTCACCTTCCAGCTCTTTTCTTCCATCGCCCGCCTCTCTCTTCCGGCTGCTCCCGGCAGAACTACTCCAGCATCCATCATCCAAGACAGCGTCTCCCGTGGCCCGGTCTGCTCCTCTCGGTCGTCCGCCAGCTGCTGCTAGGCACTGCATCATTCATCATTCCCGAACCGCCATCACCACCTCCTCCACCGCCACCATCACCTGCTGCATTTACGCCCAGACCCGGTCAAGCTGCCTGCTCACACGTACATCGGTACGGTACATGCAGCGCTGCAACTCGCCCAAACGCACGCTGCACTCCCTGTACAGTTCCTAGCCGCGACATCGACCGTCTTCGTCGCCAAAGGGTAAAAACGACCAGCCCCCCGGCCGCTGCCTGTTGATCACCACCCTTGTTCGGCAAACGGATGAGACGCTACATCTGGGCGCAGCGGTTGACCTTCACTGGGTGGTAGGGTCTGGTGACTCGAAAAAAAAAAGGTCGCTCGGCCTCTCTCTCGCCCTCTGAACTCCATCTGGGCCGGTGACAGAGGCCCTGTCGGGCACGCTACCTTGCTTGCCCACCTTGCACCACAAAGTTCGCCTACCTGCCGAGTCGAGGCTGCACGCGCCATCGACGTTGGCGACGCTACGCTCCTCTTCGAGGCACGGGTCGTCTCCGTCCCCGCCCCAAGCTTGCCTGCTTGCTTGGCCCTGGTCCCCGCCATCCCGTCTTCGGGTGGGGTCTTGTCCACCCCCAAGCCAGCGTCGCCTCTTCCCGCCCTACCACCTTTTGCTCCGTCCGTTGCCGCACTGCTCCGGTGGCCCTCCCCGCGACGACAGCTTCTCCTCTCTCCTCTCTCCTCCTCCTCCTCCGCCGCCGCCGCCTCCTCCTCTCTACTCAACGCCGCGCAGCAGCACCTCGACGCCCCAGACGATCCGTGTTCCAACTGCGCTCCCCGAGTGGCCGACGGGCTCACTTCTCGCGCGCGCTGTGGTGCCCCGCTGTCGCCAGCAGCTTCCGAAACAGCAACTTGTTTGCCCTTTGCTTGGACCCAGCACGCACTCGCCAGTATTTCAATGCCTGTTTTTGATCAATGAATGCATCGCGCAAACACGCATCCCGTTTTCGTCTTTAAAATCCAGCGTCGCCGTTTCCTTATCGACAGAGCTCGTTTCGCCGCTTCTGCTCTCGCCGTCTTCCAGTGCCCCGCCTCGCGCAACACTCGTCCTGTTCGGACCATAGCTACCCTTCGATCGCAACATGGCTGGACTTTTCCGAAGGGTATATGATTGGTTATTGCGGGTTTTTTGGTGAGTCGGCAGCCGAAGCCGCAATTCGTCGCGGCCCGGATCCCTCGGCCTCTTCTCCCACCGCCCTCGTGCTCCCCACGACCTCGTCTTAGTCCGCCGTGCGAGACGTGTCCGCGGCATATGCTGACGTGCCAACCACCAGGGCGATGGAGATGGAAGTCACATTGGTCGGGCTGCAAAATGCCGGAAAGACTTCGCTGCTGCGCGTGTTGGCGGTAGGTTCAGCTCTTCCGGCCTTTTGCTCAGCTCTCGGCTAACGCCCGTCTGCCTCTCTAGGGCGGCGAATTTACCCTCGAGTGAGCATGCCCCCCGGGCGATCGCGCTTGTCAACCCCGAAACGTCCATCGTGCGGACACTCCCGGTTGAGGGACCAAGACGTCGAGCTGACTGCCACGATGCTTGTAGCTCCATTCCCACTGTCGGATTCAACATGAAGCGTGTCCAACGGGGCCACGTTTCGCTAAAGTGCTGGGACATCGGTGGTCAGCCGCGGTTTCGATCGATGTGGGAGAGGTATTGTCGGGGCGTCAACGCCATTGTCTTTATCGTAGACATTGCCGACGTAGCGCTGATCCCACAAGCCAAAGATGAACTCCACTCGCTCATGGGCTATCCGTCGCTAGGCGGGATCCCGCTCCTTGTCCTGGGCAACAAGTCTGACCTGCCGCAGAAGCTGTCTGTGGACGAGCTGATTGACGAGCTGGACCTGAAGAGCATCCAGGGGCGCGAGGTGTGCTGCTACGGCATCAGCGCCAAGGAGGAGACGAACCTGGATGCCGTGGTGCAGTTTCTGGTGAAGTGGGCCGGGCGTTGAGGCATCCCTCTGGCAAGGACAGGGCTCGACGTTTGTCCCTCCTGATGACGATGACGACGACGACGAAGACGACGCGGCCATGAGCTCACGACGACGACGAGACGACGAGGAAAGGATCGGCCGCGAGTAGGCCTTTTGCTGCATGGATACACCAGCAGAGTCTCCCTAGTCGCAGCCCCGTCGGACGCCTGCGGGACTGGTGTGCCGGAGATGCTTTTGACGACGGTGAATATAAATAACTTGTTCTCACGAATTCACGAAGACGCACACCATGTGGCCATGGTTCTCGGTTCCGGGCGACGCCTTGGACTGGTCTTTTTTCTTTTCGGCGGTTGGAGCATAGCGAGGTGGCCGCGCGGGAGTAGGCAGCAGGCCGTTGAGACAATTGCCGTCTGATTTCCTAGTGTCGTGTCGAGACGTTTGCTTCCTGTTCTCACATGCTGGTTTCTCGTTGTGTTTGTGTGTAGCCGGGTTTGGAATTTTATTCGGGCCATTGGGACATGGTCTCGGTTGCTGTGTGGCGAGGGGAGGCGGAGACGAAATTGGCCTGCAGCAAGCAGGAGGACGGGGCGGCGTAACAGAGATCAAGTAGGCAATGGATGTCGGGATTGGGTTGAAGATGTGGTGGCAGAGGCCGCGTCTCGTAGTGTGCAGCCGGCCCGCGAGGCCACCATGGTGACGGCCGAGGGCGAGGCGACGGCGTTTGCTCTTGTACATGGGCTAAAGGGACGGGAGGGAAGAAAAAGGGCCGGGCGGGCGTGGTGGCAGGAATTTAAGACGAAGTGATGAGTGATGAGTGACAGACGGCCCTTGGTGTGCTGGCGAGGCTGGACTGGCTACTGCACACGGACCACTTTTGATGCGTTGGCCAACGCAGCATTGCAGGACAAGGAAGGTCGTCGACGGAATAAGCGCGGCCGGGCCGATTTCCTGGTCGATGCCAATCATTTTATCCTTTATACTTTTGTCCAGCATCGTTCTTACTGGCCGTGGCCGTGGATGGGTCTGGGGATGCGATGCTGGACGCTGCCGCCTACACTGAACCTGAGAAGTTGGCCGTCGCCACGCCGTGCCGAGGGCGGAGGAGTGCCCTGTCTTGCCGTGTGTCCTCGGGCAGTTTGGAGACACACTTGACCCTCTCTCTGGAGTACAGTACTGCTCTGAGCACACGAATAGTGCACAATAGGTCGGACGACGAGTGCGAGGCCCAAAGTACCTTGCGGGCTGCGGGAGCAAACTGGGAGGGGAGGAGGCATGGATGGACGACGGGGCTGCCAGCGCATCAAGGAGGGGAGCATGATGCAACTCGTCGTGCGACAGAGGCAGCGCAAAAAGGCGGGGGGAGGGGAGGGCGGCGACGCGGGGATGGGGAATGGAAATGCGGATATGTATCTGCCAATGGTAATAACGCCAAAGCTTTTCATGTGAATGCCGGGTTGAAGACGGCGGGCAGGCATCAACATGTTGGTTCGCCATGTACGCAGCAAGGGAAGGATCCGATATACCCTGTACACAATAAAATGGCCACGCCTCAAAGCACATCCATGCCCCCTCCCTCCAGCTCGGCAGATGCCTACCTCGAGTCTTGACTAATTCGCGCATGCCCAAGAAAGAACAAAGTTTGAGTTTCCTCGGCACTGCACCAGTTTTGACGTGCACTTCCTGCGAGGCCGACAGATGTTTCCCTTGGCCCTGGATTGGATGCCAAAGGACGGACGTGGAAGCAGATTTGGTCCAAGGGAGGGTGGCTGCCGAGGAGCCCGAAGCCGTGTCTGGCGGCACTTACCCTGACACTTTCAGCGGCCAGTTGCATCGTCGTGGTCCATCAACTCCAGGCGCAGACTTATAACATGCAGATACACGTATCAACGAGGACTCACCAGCGAGCCATCAACGTTGGCTGCATCCTTGGGCTCCCGGACCTTCGCACCGAACCTCGGCCGGCACGCGAGACCACCCCTGACCTCGGCCAGCCAACGACCCACCCAATCGCCTGCCCCATCGAGACTGAACCCTGTTTCGGACGGCCGGGAAGCAGCCCGGCGACCGCAATCCTTGCGCCGAGCCTCCCCGACGCCAACCGACCTCTCATCTTCCGCCGCTTATAATCAGAAGCCAAGAAACCCCTCGCCAGACATCCCAATGGCCTTCTCGATGTCCCGACGCCTTGTCCACAGCTCGTCGCGGCCTCTCAGACAACTCGCGTCCCCCCGACATCGGTTCAGCTCAGGTCCAACGGCAGCCATGAGCAGTGCGACCGACAAGGTCTCGCCGCAAGGAGGGGTGCGCAGTGCTTGGATTGGAGTCCAAGGGCCAGGTTCGCTGGATCTGAGGAGTGAGACAGACATGCCCCCGTGCATGGACAACCGTGAAGTTAAAGGCTTGGTGCAGGCGATGTCATGACGACGCCGACGCCGTCCATGTTGGCTGCCATCCAGGCCTGCTCGCTGCTCGACGACGTCCACCGTGAAGACCCCACCACGACCCATCTGGAAGCCCATGTCGCTACTCTGTCAGGAAAGGAGGCCGGCTTATTTGTTCTCTCTGGAACAATGGGGAACCAGCTCGCCCTGAGGAGTCTCCTCGTCCAACCGCCTCACGCCGTCTTGTGCGACCACCGCTCGCACATAATCCAATATGAAGCTGGCGGGTTCGTGAACCCCATCCATCCCACCGCACCGAACTCGTTTCAGGCGCCAGGGCTTACCTGCAGAGCCGCAGCGTCTCATCCTTGACGGGGGCTTCAGTCCAGCCCGTTGTTCCCAATAATGGTACTCACCTGACGCTCGAGGACGTGGTGGCCCATGCCGTGCTCAGCGACGACGTTCACGCGTGCCCTACACGAGTAATTAGCTTGGAAAACACCCTGAGCGGCATGGTCATGCCGCTCAGCGAGGTGCGGCGCATCTCCGGCTTCGCGAGGCAGCACGGCATCAGGATGCATTGCGATGGGGCGCGGCTGTGGGAGGCAGTTGCCGCGGGCGCAGGAACCCTGCCCGAGTTTTGCTCCCACTTCGACACCGTCAGCCTCTGCTTTTCCAAAGGCCTCGGCGCCCCAGTGGGAAGTATGCTCGTCGGGCCGCAAGAGACGCTGAAGCATTCTCGGTGGGTGCGCAAGTCGCTGGGCGGCGGGATGCGCCAGCCGGGCATGATTACGGCGGCCGCGAGGGTGGCCGTCGACGAGACTTTTGGCAAGACGCCCGACGGCAGGGATGGCCTGCTCAAAGCCTCGCACGAGATGGCCAACAAGGTAGAGGCACTGTGGACCGGCATGGGCGGCACCGTCGTCCACCCAGTCCACACCAACATGTGCTGGCTGGACCTCGGGGCTGCGCGCTGCAGCGAGCACCGCTTCATCCGCCTCGGGGCCGACGCGGGTCTCAAGTTTTCCGGCGGGCGGCTGGTGACGCATTATCAGGTTGCGCAAAACGGCGACGAGGTCCTGAGGCGTCTCCAGCAGGTCTTCGAGAGGGTGTTTGGTGAGCCCGAGAGATAGCGCTGCATGGCCGAGAGCTTCGCGGCTCATCTAGCCGTGCCGCCTCGAAGGGAAAGCCCTTTTGTCGGTGTAATGGTGAACTTGGTATTACGGCGCTGCTGTTGTCCGTGACGACTCTTGTTGCTGCGTAACCCGGGATGCCATGGAAATCGAGCTCGGCATCGTAGAGACGTCGGCGAAGGCCGCAAGAAGCCCTTGCCACATGTATGGCCTCAGTCGGTCATGGCTGCTGCCTGGCTTGCATTTATTTGGCCCGATTGATGCCGTGTCGGACAGGTTTCGAGACGAGAAAGCTGCTGCCTTGCGGTGTGGGAGCGCGATTGACGAGGTGAGAGCGAGGGCATCAGGGGATGCTGTTGGCAAAAAGAGGCCACATTTTGCAGAGAGAAAGCTGGAACACACCGGGAAGGTGGGCTACACGACACGTACAAGGTCCGTTCCTTCCGCGAAAACGGTCACCACGGGGTCGTGCCTCCTCGTCCTGCCCGGCCTGATGCTCCTTCCTCGCACCAGGGCTTCAACCACCTGATGGCGTTTATCAGCTTCTTCCTTCTCACCAAAGCCCACGTGCCGAGTTCTGGGCGTTTTCTTCCTCGCCATTGCCTCAAATACACTCCGCCTTCCCGTCCTCTTGTTGCCTCGGACCCATCCAGTCGCCGTCTGCTCCCGGACGACAAGGAGGCCCTGCGCAAACACTCCTCTCCGGCCCGCTCGAATCCCTTCGTCCTTGGCCGCACCGGAGCCGACGGTCTGGTTGGCCTTGGCTCGTCCGTACTGCTCTCATCCAACTCACGGGTGACCCATGACGATGCTCCGAGCAATAGCAGCCTTTGTCCTCCTTCAATGCACCTGCAGCGCCCTCGCCCCCGCCTCCGGGTACGACTTTGGCGTTGACGTCTCCCCGCTGACCCGTCGGCAAGACGCAGCCGCCCCCATCGTCGTCGGCAAGCTGCCCCTGGCGCTCGACGGCAGCATGCCCAAGAGGCTCGAGGTTCGACAGCTGAAGGCAGACCAGCACAAGTGGGATCTCTTCATACTGGCCCTCAGCATGCTCCAGTATGCCGACCAAGACGACCCCCTCTCGTGGTACCAGATTGCCGGTGGGTTGCTTCTGTTGTCCCCGCAGTGCGGCAGCGGCCCGCGACGCTCATGACTTTGTTGCTCGTCACCAGGCATCCACGGCGTGCCCTTTCAGCCCTGGAACGGGGTACAGGCGGCCCCGGGCGCCAACCAGTCGGGCTATTGTACTCACAACTCGGCTCTCTTTCCCATGTGGCACCGGCCGTATATGGCCTTGTTTGAGGTGAGTGGTGGTCCTTGCTTGAGCAGCGTCGTATGACTGAGTTGAGCTGAGTGGCCGTCGATGGTGAAAGCAACAAATGTTCAAGATGGCCAACACGATCGCCACCATGTTCACCAACCAAACGCAGAGGCGGCTGTATCAGCAAGCGGCGACAGACTTTAGGGTTCCTTACTGGGACTGGTCCAGAGGCGCTCCCCCGGGGGAAACTCATCTGCCAGACATCTTTTGGAACCCCGTCATGGTCCAGGACGGGCCGAACGGAGTCCAGACCATCAAGAACCCCCTTTACTCGTATCAATTCCACCCGCTTGATTCCGAGGCCTTCATTTGGAACCCGGTAGGTTCTTACTACGGAGTCTCCGCCCGGGGTTGTGCGCTGACGCCTCGGCAAGTTGAAGCAGTGGAACGAGACGAAAAGGGGCCCAGACACGAGCGTAAGCCTGGCTGCTCCCCCATCCAACAATGAAAAGGTCAACGCCGTGCTGCTTTCCAAGCTGCCCGAGATCCAACAGCGTCTCTACGTGCTCTTCTCCAATTACCACGACTTCAACTCTTTTAGTAACAAGGCGTGGGCGGTGTCCAAAGGCCTGCCGGCGCTCGACTCCGTCGAAGCAATCCATGACATCATCCACCTCTACGGGGGGTCCAAGGGACACTTGACATATGTCCCGCTCTCTTCGTTTGATCCTCTATTCTTCCTGCACCACACCATGACGGATCGCCTTGTCGCCATATGGCAGATTCTTAATCCGTCGGCCTGGATCACCCCCATGGCCGCGGGTGAGACAACCTTCACCGCCATCAAGGGCACCATGCAGTCCTCGGCCAGCCCACTCACGCCGTTTTACGCGTCTCCGGACGGCACCTTCTGGACGTCAGACACGGCGAGAATGACAGAGGCTTTTGGCTATGTCTATGCCGACACGGATCCGACGGTCGGCTCGGCGCAAGATCTTCGCCAGTCGCTCATCAAGAAGATCACGGATTGGTACGGACCAGCCAGTCCCGTGGGCTTGCTGGCCAACTCTCAGCGCGCCGGAGAAGCAAGCCGCGCGCAGGGAGATGCAGGGAAGGACCATGTTCACGGAGAGGGTTTTGATCCACACGTCAAGCTGAATGCAGACGAGTCAATTGGCTCGGGGACTGTCCGGGGCGGTAGCTACACGGAATGGGTCGCCAATGTGCACGTCAACGTGGAGGCGCTCGACGGGTCCTTTGGCATTCACTTCTTCCTCGGAACACCGCCGGCCGACGAGGGTGAATGGGAGACGGCGCCGAATCTGGGAGGGTCGGTGGGCGTGTTTGCCATGAACCGCATGACGGGGTCGCAGTCCAAGATATCGGGCGCGGTGCCTCTGACGTCGGCCCTTGTGCGAATGGTGGCGACTGGGGCGCTGGCAGGTCTGGACCCAGCCGCGGTGACGCCGTTGCTCCGATCATCCTTGCAGTTCCGGGTACTCGGGAGCGACGACCGCGAGGTCGACCCGCGACTGGTCGAGGGGCTCTACATCGGCATCAGCAGCTCGGACGTCAAGGTACCCGAAGAGCAGTTGGAGTTGCCCGAGTGGGGACAGGCGGTGACAAGGCTTGAGCTGTGGGTGTGATGAGAAGGAGCGCTATGGATCTGGGAAGCGACCTGGGATATGTGCTATCTCATATCATTATGCTGTCTTTTTCCTGCTTTCTTTTGACGGAGAGAGGACGGAGTTTGAGCATGGGAGGGAAAAGAGAGTGATGGAGCGAGTGTGCGCCAAACAGAGCACATGACTTGCATGAGTGTGTGTGCAGTTTCCCTCCTTCACAGAGCGGGATGCATGGAGACGGCAGTGGGCGAACAAAGTGGCCAGCAGAGAACAAAGCCGGCCGGGGCCAGGCAGACACGTGCGGGCCGGGAGGGACGGTGGGACTGGCGGGAAGTCCGGTGTGGGGTACAGCAGAAGAAGCAAGCCCTGTCTCCCTGTCCCTGTCCCTGGCGCTGCTGTCTTCTCTTTTAATCTTCCGATGCTGGCTCTCCTTGTTTCCTATCCTTCGTTGTCCTGAGAGCAGCAGACCCTTGCCCCGGGAGCTGGCCGTGGATGCCGGACCGGTGCCCGGTGTCCGGGGTGCTGTCTCCGCTGTCCGTGCCGGAGGGAGCTGTAGCCGCCACATGGGCGCCATGGCCTGGGCGTTGCAGTGCAGGATGCAGCCGTCTGTCTCCCCGGCAGCGTTCATCGTGTGGCTCGCACATGAGGTGCATGGGGCGATGCTGTGTAACGACCAATGGTATCATCCGTGCATTACTCCGTATACCTTGAACGAAGAAACACTCGATTCAGCACAGGGTTTCCAAGTACGAATACACGCAGCACCGTACCCTCCCTGGGACCGGACATGGCCATGGGACCGGTGAGGTCGAGGTGCATGAGGCAAGGGGGAAAAAGGAAAACGAGGCAATCAGCCGACCCTCGATCGGGACGAGTGGGCTGCACGCAGCATCAAGTAGACAACCAAGTAGACATGAGGAAAGTTTTTCCATGATGAGGTAGCATTGAGGATCGACCATACATTCATAGATGGAGTACCGACTGCAACTCGTAGCAAGGGGGGAAGGGGGGGGGGTTGAAGAGTGACGTGCGGACAAGGTGATTTGTGCCTAGGCAGAGTCGACGTTGTACATGTCCCCTACCAGGGGCGGGCATGGCACAAACGAGAGACAGCAGACCGTGTCGTGCGTGCGTTGCGAGAGTGAGCTGTTTTGCCGTGGGGCGAGGCGAGGCGAGACGAGACGAGACGAGACGAGACGAGACGAGACGAGACGAGACGAGACGAGACAAGACGAGACAAGACGAGACAAGACGAGACAAGACGAGACAAGACGAGACGTTGAACCAAGTCAAGGATACCTACCTACCTGCTGGAGTTACTTTCACAAATCGAGGCGTTTTTTCAACCCGGTGGCTTGCTTCCCAAAGGGGGCCGCCTCGGATGCAGTCGAGCTCTCGCCTGTGTCCAGTATGGATTCGTCCCCGCCGGGCTGGTGGCGGCCGGTCAAGAAAGGAGTATGGGTGGACGGGTGCAGGCCGGGATCCGTGCGTTTTGCTTCAGCTTTTCTCGCGCTCTCTTGCCGTCTGAATCTACAGTGGCCGTCGAGACTTTTGTTGGCCAGAGGGGGGCCTGACGCGGGCCGCCGCGGAAGTCGGATGGGCCAGGGCCAGCTGAAGCGAGGGAGAGGGAGAGACGGTGTAATCCACGTGCATACAGCATGTCTATATTGTATGTAGGAATACATACTGTACGTAGGGGGGGCATGGGAACAAGACAGGAGAGGCGAGAGAGGTGACTGGGCGCCACGGGTTTTGCGCCCTCTTCCGGTGTTGTATTAATAATAAGGGTGCAGAATCAAAGGTTCACGACGATGGGGGGAAAAGCAAAAAAACTCGAGTCAGAGTGTGTGATTTGTCTGCTTGTTATTTTTCTGTGTGGGGGCGTTGAGGAGGACTTGGCATGTAATTAGTAGCAGCAGCAGCAACACAACTCTCCGGCTGGTGTGTCGACTAACAAGATAGCGTGGCGGAGGGAGCAAGTTGAGTCGAGTCGTTGTCGGTTTATTCATGTACAGAACAGCCTGCTTGCAGTATGCTGTGCTGTTTGTTGCCTCCCATGACCGCCCTCGTAGCATAACCTCTTTTTTCCTTCTCCCCTGCACTCCCTCTCCGTTGAGCATGCCATTGACTTTCGGAAAACCTGGTACTTGGGTCGCATTTTAAACGGGAACAAGATGTGTAGGGCGGGACCCAGGAAGGGGGGGGGGGGGGGACGAGAGCGAGCGGCAGGGGGTGTGGATGGTCACATGGAAACAGGGTGAAGAAGGAAAAGGAAAGGGCTAGGAAAAAGAAAAGGACAAGAGGAAGAGGAGGGAGAGGAGGGAGAGGAGGGAGAGGAGGGAGGGGTCGTGGGTCGTAATTGAGCCCGAAAAACGCTTATTATACCCGCCGGCGGCCGCTACACTCGAACCTTGTTTTATATACCTCGTGTTATTTGCTTTCCCCCCGTCCGGTGTTTTTGAGTTTGGGCCCATGGCGGGCCGTCCGTCCATCCTTTCCCGGCCCCCGGGCAGATATGGTGTGTGTGGGAATGGAAGGGATGGGATGGGCGGAGATGAGCGGGAGAAGGATGATGGGAAGACGGAGCGCGTGGGGGGGAGAGGGGATGGCTTGTGCTCGCATGCGTATCCGCATGGAGTTGGTATGCATGCCGTGGACTGGACACATGCGGTGTGAGACATATGAGAGTCGCATCTCTGGATATAGATGGGGCTTATAGGGCAAAGGGGGTCGGGTCTGCGGCACACACACATGGACAGAGAGACGGAGAGTCGGCGAGCATGGACCCTTCTTGGCTCCGGTCCCTTTGCCCGTGTTTCCTGCCAACTAGCCGAGGCCATTGGTTGGCGTCTGTGTGTAGGTATCTAGATATAGGCGAGCCTACGTGCTGTAGCATGCTATGTGTCGGGCTACATTCTGTGTGTACGTGAGTGAAGCTTGCGTGGTTGGCCAGCATGGCCCCGACGACGGCCATGGACGACGGCTCGGCTGAAAGAAAGAGAGAGACAGAGAGAGAGAGGGAGGGAGGGAGAGGGAGAGACAGTCGCCGGCCGAAGAGTGTCCGCTACTCGCAGCCAGCGGAACAAACGGTCGGCATGTCCAGTCAACCGTGGCTCTCCTTCTGCCCGAGATGGCACGACCATAAGTTATCAGCCTTGCTCTATATCGCCATCACCTTGTAACAGTCCGTGACACGGGAAAGCATGGGCTCGGCTCTCGTCACGGTTGACGCTTGCAAGTACATCATACGGCGACTTCAACGGCTGCGCCCTCATGTCGCAGTCTCCTTTGGAACAAGCCCTTGTTATTTAAGACCCGACCAATCTCGTCCATCGAGAACGGCTCTTCTCAGCTGCGACGTGGCTCCAACCGCGGCTCCGTCTCGGCGTTTGTCAAGGACGATGCCAATCATGCGCGCAATGGCGACTATATAGCCCCCGGATCGCTGGTCGGGCGGGATTTCGAACCAGCCGCGACGGAGAAAGCTGCTTATAGCAATCATCCGGGGGAGAGGCCCATTGCCCATCACGTCGGGGACCTCGACTGGCCAACGTTTACGACGCTGTTCAGCCCTCGGCCCACCGTAGAATCATGGAATACGCTGTGCCAGGCACACTAAGCGCTTGGCAAAGAATGTCGATGCGGAAAAGAGGACCTGTTGTGTACTGGAGACGGACCGGAGCCGTGCCATGACCATGTCGTGACTCGTCGTCGTCGGTCCCTCGTGGAGACTGGCACACGGCATTAGCATGTACAGTATGCGAACGAGGACCTTGCAACAAGCCGAAAACGAGTGCCACGCCGTCTGTGATGATGTGGTGGTGCTCCTTTGGCAGTAATAGCCCGAGCAAGGGGCCGCCGCTCGTCAGTTTGAAGGCCGAGTAAATGGCACTCGCAGCACCCTGGTTTTCTTATCCTATCTCGTCACTCTGCACCACAGGCCCGCTCTGCAACAGGCTGTATGTGAGTTGCTGAAAGTGCATGGCGATAGACTCGCGCGTTGCACCGACGACTCTTGGCTGCCGTGCACGCGCAAGCCCAGCGTCCGTCTCCCTCAGTCGGCGATCCCCCCATCTTGCGGGATTCTCCTTCAGGGCCAGCCCGAGTCCACCAATAAGGGCGGCGCCAAAAGGGAGGCGGTGGAATGGACTTTTGAACAGACTCATGCGCAGCCCTCGGATGTGAGATTGTCGGAGCACTCACCACTGTAGCCGTTTGGTCCTGACACCCTGCCTCTCCGCTGCCCTGGACTTTTGTCCCCATGGCATCGTCGACGGGCCAGGAGGCGTGTAAGATGGACAGTACAAAGTACAAAAGGGGAATGAGACGCGAGATGCCGGGCGTATGCATCGTCACGTTGCGGCGTGATCCTTTGTCCCCTCTCCACGCCTGTCAGCATACATATGATGCTGCTACCCCCTCCTCTTCTGTCTTTACTTTATTCCACATCGTCTCTCTCGTCCTCGTACCGCCCTCTGGCATGGCCGCTCATGGGACGGCCGGGACGTTGTGGACGCGTCCAGGAGGCCGCGGGCCAAGAACGCGAGGGGCCCGTTGCCGGCCGGGCAATCGTGGACACAAGGGCCCACGAAGACTGGATTGCCGGGAACTGGCGGCGTCGTATTGCCGCTCGTCCCAAGGCCGTCTGCCTGTGCAAAGTACTGTAGTAGTATCTGTATGCGCTCCACCATTGCTCCACGAGCCTTGGGCTGCAGCAGCCTACAAGCAGGCGCGTCTGCGAGTGTTTCTTACATACAGTACATGCGTGAGGGATATTAATGCGCCTCTCCCACTCTCGTCGTCGTCGTGGGGCCCCCCCTCCCCCCTGTCTATATGTCTATATATGTATAGAAAGCGTGCCGGCTGCTATAAGCATGGGTCGTCGCAATGGGGAAAGTCGCATTTCTCGCTGCCCATGACCACCCCATCCGCATGACGTGAGAGTACACGGGGAGGGCTCGCGGTGTGTGAGACTGATGTGAAAGAGCGGTTGGGACGAAGGATGTGTCGTGTGGTTTGCGTGACATGGTGGAACAGGCATGCGTGGTGGGTGCTTGTCGAAGAAGCGGGATCTGTTGCTTGCCTCGCTTGTCGTGTGCACCTACTTTACTCTCCACGCCGTAATGTTGTTTTTTATTTGAAAGGCAGATCAGGGCTTTCGATGCGAGGGCCAAAAGAAAAACATGGGAAAAGGGAAGCTGGTGGTGACTTGCGACTGGGTGAGTGCCGCGTCGACGCCACTCGCAAGGTCTCGTCGGCCTTGGCTGGCTGAGACACGATATCATGAGCAGGACCAAAAAATACCCGGCATCCTGGTCAAGCCGTTGAGTCCCCGCCATTCGTCGGCTGCCTCTGTGCCTTGCCTGGCCGCCCTGTCCATCCATCCAGTCGCGCTCCGGTCTCCGCGGACGGTGTCTGTTCCGGCGACGGCCTGCGCCAAGTCAAGGCATGCACATTCTCCATGCATCACGGCGTCGAAGAGAGAGAGAGAGAGAGAGCCATCCTGTCTAGTAGACTTCACACGGGGGGACGAGGGGGACGAGGACACTCGTTGAGCCTCGGTTGGACGGAGGCTGCTCGGCACACTCACTCACTCACACGCCCCCTTCTGCAGCCCCTTTGCCCTCGACGACGCCTCCATCGCCGGGGTTTCTTCATCCGCGCGTCCGGTTGGACATTGCCGGCGGCGCCCCAGCGGAAAGGGGGCGAGGAATCCGATTTCCCGATGGTGCCCGGCTCCACGACTTGGTGATCAACCCCCCCCCCGGAGGCGTCACCAGCCTCGAACTCTTCTGTCACGGGGGGCATTGGGTTCGATTGCCTTCCCCTTTCCTCGCTATCTCGCGGTCTTGGCCGTGAATGTAGGCTTGTATCACCGTCGTCGTCGTTTATCGGCGGCATCCTCCCGCCGGCCGGAGCCCAACCGACGCCCAGTCTCGCCACTTGGCACCACCATCCGTCCCGTGAGGCCAAAAGTGTGCGTTTCTGCCTTCCATCCCTTAGGTTCACCTGTGTCACGCTTTTGCCTTTCTTTTATTTCCTCTTTTGGCGCCCTTGCTGGCTAGCAACACGCCATCCGTCCACCCGCCCATCCATCAACGAAACCTAATCCGTTGGTAGCATCACGACATCACGGAACCCCCAACTTTGACTCACTCTCACCACATCACATGTTGCTTCCTCCCTCTTTTTGGCTTAAGCTCGGTCCCGGCCTCAGTCTACTGTTCCTGCTCTTCTTCTTCTTCCCCGCCTCTTCCTTGGTGTCCCCCCCCCCTTTCTTCTTCACCATCGCCATCTTTTCCGTCTTTCTCCTCTGCTCCACTCACTCATACGCCCCATTCCTGGCGGCAGACGTCTGGCACACGCCACCACCACCCCTTTTTCTTCTTCATCCAGTGACAAGCGCCTCCCCGTGCTTCGCCTACTGTACCATACAGATGATGACGATAGACGCTCTAAGTTTGTTTGTATTCATCGAGGACCAGCCGCCGGTGAGGAAGAGGGGGGGTGTCTCTTGATCCACCCCCCTCCCTTAAAACACATGGGCTTGAGATTCGGGCTCAGGGCCCAGCAGGGCGGGTCCACCCCCTGTCTGGCTGTCACCAGCCCACCTCGGTCTGGGTCAGGACGAGGCCTGTCTGTAGGCTGGCTTCTTGCGTCCGTTGCCCGTCAAGGGGGGGCTTATTCGCCAGGCCTGCCGGGATATGAGGAAAATGCAATCTCTGCCTACATACATACAACATGACATACATGGCACCTACGCGGCATGACACGGACGACGACACGGCGCGACTGGTCTGCCTTTTGGTCGTGGTCCGTCACCGCCGCGGGTCCTGAGAACCAGCCCCCCCCCCCCTCCTCTCTTCACTCCCCCCCCCTCCACCTCCACCTCGTCATCCCAGCGGGCTTCGTGGCCCGAAAGGGCGGCGTGAGCCACTGACTGGACGGATCAGACGGAGCCTCGAAGCGAGCGAGAGTGATGAGGGGCCGGTGAAATGGAGTGAAAGGGGGGGGGGGGTCCGGTTTGTTGCCATCCTTGATCCTCGACTTGTCATAGCCCCTTCAAACATGATTGACATACAGTTCTTCCATGCCGCTGTCTCTGTTGCTATAATAATAGCAGCGGCTACCTCGTCCTCGGCCCGTCTCGCGCTTGACCCTCTCTTACATTGCGCCGTCTTGACCTTGATACCATACTTCTCGCACAAACATATAATCCCATCTCCCATCCCGCCCCTTTTCGACATACAAGCCTACCAGCTCCCCTCAACAAAGGCGCCATCCCCTTGACCAAAGCACCAAGAACAAGCAGCAAAATCCCCGTCCTCCACCTCCTCCCCCCACATGTCTCGGGGCCACCACGCCTCGCCACGGCCATGACGTCCACCACGACCATCGTCCCGCCCCGCGCCGTCTCCCCCGTGCCGCGGCGGGCACCGGCCCCGGAGCCCATCGAGCTGATCCCGCCGCCGTGGCGCGTCACCGGCGACGTCTACTGCGTCTCCTTTTGGTCGCCGGCGCCGTCCCGGGCCGACGAGAAGCTCCCCGGGCACGCCTACTCGCCGCTCGAGGCCGGTGCCGAGTTTGCGAACCCGCGGGGCAGCCGGCCCGTCGGCGGGCTCGGCATGATCCAGATTATCCGCTACCGCGACTCGCCCGTCGGGCCCTACGACGAGATGCTCGTCGTGCCCGGCTCGTTTGACTGGACCCGTCGGGGGCCCGCCGGCCGGCCGGAGAAGGGGTGCAACCCGCGCATCTCGCGCATCTACGTCTCGCAGAAGCAGTCGTGCTACAACGGCCGCATCAGTCAGTATGCCTTGATCCCCCTTCTCGTGCTCCGAGGCCTGGGACCGCCTCGACTAACACGCAGCTACTAGACTGGGGCTGCCCCAAGCACCTGGCCCGCTTCGACTGGGACCTGGGCCCCAACGACGCCGTCACCGTCAAGGTGTATCCTCACGACGTCTCGGGCGACGCCTCCGAGTCGCGCCCCAGCGCCGCGCCCTTCTTCCAGGCCTCGTTTGCGCCCGTCGCCTACGCGCCCGCCTTCCCCTTTGCCACGCGCTGGCTGGGCTACCTCGGCTTCAACACCACCATTGTCATGCCGCCGCTGCCGCGCGGGTCCGGCAGCCAGGGCGAGCTGCCGGGCACCGACCGCTGGCTCTCGTTTGTGCCCAAGCAGTACAGCCGCAACACGCGCGTCGGCTGGTTCGACATGGCCCAGCAGCAGCAGCAGCAGAAGACGGCCGATGACGACGACGGCGGCGGCAAGCATGACAACTTTTGGCCGGGCCTTGGGCGCTGGCAGCTGGGCGTCAAGATGGAGAATGCAGAGGTCATCTTCGACAACCCCCTCGAGACGTGGTCCACCGCTGTAAAGGCAAAGTCGAATCTATGAGACGGCAGAGAAAAGACGGCCCAAAGGGGGTTTTCCAACTCTTTCCCCTTGCCTTCACTCGCAACCCTTACGGGGGGCTACTACGGCTTTTCACATCTTTTTATTTCTCACTTCTCCCTCTTCCCTTCACTCAGTCTTCGGAGAGAATGGGATGAGCAAGGGGGTGGCGGCTAGGCGTTCATTCTCGGCATGACACGACGACACACGATGGCGTAACTCTGTGTTTTTTCCTTGACTGCTTTTCTGCCTCGTCGACAGTCTTCACGAATCTCATGATGCATATCAGGTGTTTTCTGTTCCCTCGCCTTTTCCCTGAACTCCTATCTACTCATCACTGTCTATAAAGGGGTCTCGGGTGTGCTGCCGGTTTTCTCCTGCTTTCCTGTCTTTCTATGTGTGTGCTTTATACTCCATTTCCTTCGAGTACGGGATGGGCTGGGGCTGTCTTTGAAGATTTCCAACGCGACAAACGCAGATGTGCTTTCGATTCGGCGGGGTGAGATGAAGGTCGGGGCCGGGACGGGAGGATATGACAGGACGTGAAGCAGTAAAGGGGAAGCTCTTTTCCACGGGCTCCCTGCTGGCTGGTCTGATGGAATCGAGAACCCTGATAGAGTCGAGGGCCAAGAGCTTCCTTTGGGATGCCATGTGAAACAGGCCGGAGTGGGTGGAATCAGGACACACAATGGTTGGAGTGAGCAATTATTATTCCTTGCTTTAATCGCCTACGAAACGCGGACCAGCCGAATGCCATGCTCGTGTCACTCGTCGCCAAGCCAGTCTCCCGCGTGAGCAGACAGAAATGCCGCACTCTCCCGAGACTCTTCGCCATGCTTTCGCGTCCCACGGCCCGGGGCATTGCGCCGCATCGTTGATTCACGCCTATCGGTGTCCCTGCCCCTGAATCGCTCGTCGTGCAAGTCTATCTGTACTTGGAATTGACTCCCCGTCCCGCGCCGTCGTCCGCAAGCCACTCTCTGTCTAACCAAACACCTGGCGTTCCCCTCCCCTGCCGTGGCCCTGCAAGCTCGTACAGGTCTTTGGTGTAACATCGGCTCTATTCTTGGTCTTTGCACGAGGTGGCACACAAGCCGTCATCCCGTTGCCCTTGGCGTCTTTCGGTAACCTTGTGCGACTCTAGCCACCAGGCCTCCCCCCTTGATACCCGTGCTACCACGAGGGCGCCTTGCCGGGCGCACAAGGCGATTTAATGGTGCAATTGCCCGTCGTCCGACTCCTGGGTCTCTCGGGGCGTCGGTTGCCAGAGAATGAGAGGCTGGCGTCGCGCAGACACCCGAGCAGCGAGAAAGCCCCGCGTGGTATTGCAAGGCCGCCTTGCCCGTGGCCGCTCGCAGCCAGTTGTCTCACCGCTCGGCGCTGTGCCCCTAATCGTGGCCGTGGCCTACTCTCCCAGTCCAGGCGCTGCCCTTTGCTCAATCACCTCTCGGGCGTAAAACTCGACCAGCATGGTGGCATACGCCTCGAGGTCCTCGACGGGCACGGCCAGGCGAAAGTCGTTGAGGACGAGGAATTGGATCTCGAGATGGTTGAGTTCGGCGAGGGGCAGCCCTCCGACCTGCGAGGAGCGCATGGTCAGCATGTTGGACGAGACCAATGGGCATGGGACACCCGAGGAACTGTGCGTCAAGGGGGAAACGTACCTTGGCATATCTCGAGTTTGTGTAAAAGACGTCGGAAAAGAACTTGCTGGCACAGGTGACGCCGGCTATGATTAACCTGTGAATGTTGAAACTGTCCACCACGAAGCACGTCACGGGTCCGGCGGCGCCAGACTGCATCTCGGGGACGGTGATGACCCTGCCGCTCTGCTGGCGGGAGGGCGCGTCGGCCGAGTTGGCCACTTGCTCGTCGTTGTCGTCGTCGGCGAGGTCTGAATCGCTCTCGTCGGCATCGCTGGCGGCGGGCGGGGCGTCGTCGCTCATGGCCGAGTCTTGGCGGGAGGGATGGGACTGCGCCGTGGCGTCGTCGGCCTTGACAACCATGTCGTTGACGCGCTCCGTCATGCGGTCAAAGTAGACAAGCAGGCTCAGAAAGACCTCATAGGTGGTGGGGCAGTACTTGTGGATGCGGGAGAGGTAGCTGAGGATGGTGATGGCCGGGACGTTTTTGCCGTGAAAGGCGAGGACCGAGTGGCTCAGGGGACTCATGTTGGAGCCGCCGGGGGAGTCGGTTGTCTGGCTGGCCTGCTGCTGGTGGGCTGCGTTGCGCTGCAGGGCGTCGTGCTGCAAGTCGTTTGTGGTGGTGATTTTGGTCAGGAGCGCGGCCACCATCTCGATGATGTCGCCCATGGGCATGGCGCTGATCTCGTACTTGGTGTGGGGAGCGGGCGCGACGCCGGGGCCGTTTGCGCCCAGCTTCCGGGGGCCGGCGAGGGTCTGGACGTGGGCGAGGTCGCGGACGTGGACGACGACCTGGTGCTGGGGGCCCTGGGCTGGCGGGTGAGCGGCGTCGGACAGCGGGTAGCGGTGAGAGGTGGAGGATGGTATTTGAAAGTCATCGGCGGGCGGCGACGGCTGATGGCGCTGGCGTCTCGGGGGCGCGCTCATTGGGGCGGCATGGGGGGCGGCATGGGGGGCGCGGGCAAGAGGCAGAGCGCCGTCTTGGGTCGTGGAAGCCATGGATGCTGGGTCCTTCTCATCGTCGGCGACGGCGGCGGGCGACGACGAGGGCGGCGGCGAGGGGATTCGCGAGGGGCCACCGATGAAAGCGTCGGGCTGCGGGGTCGCAGGGGCGGGCACAGACGATGAGGGCGGCGGCCTTGGCGCGGCTGCTGACGGTCCTCGTGCCTGTTGGTCGGCGAGAGCTGCGGGTGCCGATCCGGGCGCGTCTGGTCGGCACGGCGGAGGACGAGGAAGAGGGCGCGGTGGCGTGGCGGGCGTTGGGCGGCCGCCGCTGCTGCTGGCGGTGGAGCGGCGCCGGGGCGAGGGAGCGCCGTGGGTTTGCGGGCGCTGGAGCGATGAAGGGTTCACGAGCAGGCCACGGAAGCGGGCGACGTCAGGAACCAGGTCGCCAATTACAGCTGCCATGGCATCGCGGGAGCCAGGTGGAGGGGGAGAGAGAGAGAGGAGACGAGAGAGGAGAGACAGCTGAGGTAAGGCAAAAGGCAAGGTAAGGCAAAGGTAAGGTGGTACCTTTTTAGCGGGTAATAATAGGTAGGTAATGTTAGTAGGTAGGTTGTGTAGGTGCAAAAGATGAGCAAGGCCCAAGGTGCAGTGCGTGAGCAACGACAGTCGCTGTTTGGCGAAGGGGAAAGGAACAGAAGGAAGCAAAAAAAGGGAGAGAGCCAGACGACGAGGACGAGGGAGAAAAGACTGGACGGGGAAGAACCGGGTCGGAACGGAGGGGCGATGACAAGCGGAAAGAGGAGGGGCAGCGTCTCTCCAGGGCCAGATGAGAAACGGGGACGACAATGAGCACCCGGAGAAGGATGGAGGAGGATGCTATGAGGACGAGGGCGAGAAATGACGAGGATGAGGATGATGGTGATGATGGTGATGGTGAAGGAGGCAAAAGGCCAGCAACCACCGTGTCCATGTACAGTATCGTATGTAGCAGCGCCCTTCAGTGGGGGCTCGAGTGCCGTGTACAGTAAGTACAGTGGGCTCTGCCTCTGTCGCCGGTGCTGGTGCCCAGCACAAGCACAGGCTCCATCTCGCAAGGCCGGCCATTCATTGTGCTCGCTGAAAGGCACCCGAATTATCATGCCGTTGCTGCATGTCTGTCCTGCTGCACAAGGTGAGGCGCTAGCAGACCGAGTACAGAGCACTGCAAGACGCCCGTCTCCCTCTTCACTCGCCATTCACCGCGTCTTCAAGTCGCGTCTGAACGCCGCCGAGCCGAGCCTCCCCCCCCCCGCACATGCAGTCTGAGCGGCGAGGGACAGGACTGTAAGTTACAGCATGGCCGTCAGGACACTGCCTTGTCTTCAGTGCAGAGAATGATGCTCCTTGAGAACAGGGCAGGAAAGAAAACAGCTCTGTCCGCCTCTCGCCTCCAGCAATAATATCTCGAGAGCACCCACAAACTCGATTGACTAGCTCGACACGGCACCCTGAACACGCAGGCTGAACACGCAGGCTGAACACGCAGGCCGAACACGCAGGCTGAGCTCGCAGGCAGGCCATCGTCATCGGCAGAACAGAGAGGCTATGCTCCCCCTCAGGGGGGGACGTGACGCAGCCGGTGGCAACTTTTCTCCAGCTCACCCCTCAGGGGGCCTTGCTCAGCCGCCCACCATCGCCACTGACAGCTGCAGCACGCTCAGCCAAGGCGGCCATGCTGCGCGATGCTGTCATGGTAGGCACCAGACTCACTTCCCTCTTCTCCGCTGCACAAACACATACCACAGCCCCTTTACGTCCCCTCCGGCACGCCTGATCGAGGACCGTGGGCGGGACGCAATGCAGGCCAAGCCGACTACACGTGGGCGGCTGCAGAGCTCCGAGGGTTGCAAGCTGACACCTCACCCCCTTTCTCGCCCTCCCCCCTATACTGTACTCTCTCCTTCTACGTAGTAACTTACTTGCTGTACACTCCAAGATGATTGCTCAAGACAAGAACGAGTGCGCGTGGCTACATCTTGAGCAGTCGTCAGCTACCCTGTACCGGCCTCGGGCACCGACTCCGGCTCCGGTCCAGGTTCGGCCGGTCCATGGGTAGGGGCCTGTGGTGGTCACAAACACGGACCTTGAGTAATGGGTGCACCTCTTTCTTCTTTCTCTCTCATGTTACTCTTTCCCGAGACAGTATTTCACGGGGCTAAAAGGGGGCCATCCTCGATCCCCCCGATGTGGCTGTCTGTCTGCACACTCACCGCCAAATGCTGCAACCCATGCAGGCCAAAGTCGCCGGCGACTCCCTCCACTCTCTTCTCTCGCTCCTTTTCCCCTTGTCCAAGCAAGATGCAAACACAAGCCCCCGAATGAGATTTCAAGGCCGGCTCATTGTCACATAGAGCTCCCTTGTTCTTGACTTCTACAGATGACACCTGCTAATGCCATCCAACCAGACTCGGCTGCTGAGAAACCATCATCCTTCATTCCACCTCTCTCCGACTGGTGACGTGCTTCGAGGTGCTCGTTCCATTTTCTCATTCCGAAAGGCTATATATAATACAGATGCGATCCGGGTCTTGTTGGTGTCGGGGACATCGGTCCCCTCTCCTCCTTCGGCTGCCGGGCCTCGAGTCTGTCTCGTCTTGGCCTCGACGTGCCTTTGGCTCCCGCGACTCCCGCGACTCCCGCGACTCCCGCGACTCCCGCGTCCCCCCGCATCCCGTGAGAGTGTCCATTACTGCCGCACCTTGTAGTCCGTGTCGGGCAAGTACAAGTGCCTGTCCGCGCCGTCCTTGGTCATGACCACCATGCGAATGACACCGCCCGAGCTGCCGTCCCACTTGATGGCCTCCCGGAGCGCCCCCTTGACAAAGTCGACGGCTTCGGCCTGCTCCATTCCTTCTTTCCAGTTGGCGTCGCAATAGCCATAGATGTAGGTCGACCCGGAGCCGCCGATCGCGTACGCCTGCTTGTGTAGCGAGCCGCCAAGGGGGATCGAGTAGACCTGGCCGCCGAACCGTTCATCCCAACCAGCGATAATCAGACCAGCCCTGTAGTGGCGCGAATCGTCAGCGCCTGTGCCCGCCTTGCCATTCCGCAATTGCAGCTCCACTCCTCGAGCCGACTTACGACAAGCGATCCTTGTTGGAGTAGCAAATCTCTTGGAATATCGACGCCGCAGTCTGCGTCATGGGGGGCTTGCCGCTGTGCATGGCAAACAGCCCCAGCTGGTACTGCACAATGTCTGCCACGGCCTGTGTGTCGGCGGCCGAGCCCGATCGGCAGCACCAGATAGTGTCGTGAACCCTCGTCAGCTTGTCCGTCACGCGGTTCGCAATGTAGGCGCCCGTCGTTGTCCGAGAATCGGCGCCTGCGCACCCGGCTCGTCAGTGCTGCGGACATAGGAGTGTGCCCAAATGGCGCGACATACCGAGAATGACGCCGTCTTTGAAGGTGACTGCCATGATGGAGGTTCCCAAGCTAGACAAGTGAGAGTGGTCAGTACTCCGCCACGGCGGCAGCCGGTTTCGCTGGACTCACTTGACTTCGCCCTTCTTCAGGCGATCCATGTCGACGTGGATTCCATCTGGCCCGAGCCATCAGCAGCTGTTCCTCCGACGGCAATGGCCAGCGCCCGGTTCTCACCTTCGTTGAGCACGCCGCTGTGGCCAAAGTCCATGATTGCGGGTGAGGAGATTGTGAGAGTTGGTATCTAGAAGTGAGTGGCGGGCCAGAGAGGTGGAGGGGCGTCGGATGAGGATGGCCGGTTGCCGCTTCGTCGTGGTGTCGTCGGCGGCTGGGCTGGAGCTGTCGGCTGGAGGTGGAAGCTCAGGCAGCTCTGGGAACGCGCGCCGAGCTACCAGGCGTGGTGTCATCTGCAAAGTCACGTGAGCATTGGCTCTCTACTACGGGCTTTGGTAAGCAGAGCGGGCACCGACACTTGGCTCCAGCATCATCAGCTTGTGCTTGAACGAAGGGCCCACATCAGTGTCCTTGGCATTGACGCTTTTCACGGCGCAGCAACATCATACGACGAGCGGCCGGCCCATCATGCATGCTAGACGAGGCATATAGAGGAGGAACAGGGGCGTTGTTTCAGCCGGATTTCAGCACAGCCGTGTCCCACGACCAGAAAATATTCTATCAATGCTGTCTGCAGCCAAACGCCGTGTCTTTGCCAATCACTGTACAATGCCTCGCCAGGTCCATGCTTGTAGCTCATTTGCCCTTGGACGCCGTCTTGGAGCTGTCGGCGGGCTCGGCATCCCGGCCCTCTTTCTTGTCGGCCGTGGCCTTGTCCTTCGTGTCCGTGTCCTTGCCCTTCTTGCCCGTGTCCTTGCCCTTCTTGTCCTTGCCCTTGTCGTCGCCACAGCCGCAGTCGTAAAAGTCGCCAATGTTATTGCAGTCAAAGATGGGCTTCTGAAGCCGCTTGTTGACGCGGTTGTGCGCCTCGCAAAGCCACCCGGCCGCCGAATTGCGGCTGCTCGTCTGCGGCGGCATTTCCTTGAGCAGGGCGCGGAAGTGCTTGGCGCAGTCGCCGCACGGGTACAGCTTGCCAAAGGAGAGGAAGAAGAGCTCGAATGTCTTGCGGTCCTCGGGCGTCGGCTTCTCGGGGTACTTGGCGGCCATTGTGTGGAGGAACTTCCAGGTCGCGCGGCCCAGTTCGGCTCTGCAGCGGGCCGTCAGCGGGGGGGTCTGGCATCACGGCGCAAAGGGCGGCCTTACTTTAGCGTCGCGTTCTCCAGCTTGGGCGCAATCGACTCCCCGTCGAGGAGGCTGCCGGGAGCATCGCTCAGCTCAGAGGCCGGGCCGGGCTTGGCCTCGACGTGCGAGGCGGGCTTGAAGCTGGTGGGGACCTTTGACAGGGGCGACTGCGCGTTGTCGCGAACGCTCCTGAGCAGCCGTGCGGCATCGTGGGCCGACACTGAGCCCGGCCCGCCGTAGAGGTAGGAGATGCTGAAGAAGAGTGCGATGACGACGAGGAGCGTCAGGGTGAGGTGCTGGCGGCGCGCCATGGCGGTGGCGTTGGGCGTGGGCGTCTTTAGTCGCCCCCGCTGGACCTGTTGAGTTTGTTGTGTTGCTGGCCCGGGGTCGGATAGGGAGGGACAGACGAAAGGTATGTTGGTTGGCGCGAAGAGGCAGCAGAGAGGAAAAGGACGAGAGGGAGCGAGATTGTAGGGCATGCAAAGCGAATGCAAAGCGACTGTCCTCGCCCCTTACCTAAGGTCAGCCGTCGCACTAGGCCCCGAATGTCGACTCCTCGCGTTTCACTCGCGGCGGCGGCCCGACCATTTGCGCGCTCGCCGCTCTCGCTGCTGTTTTCTGCTGCGCTCTTCAAAATCTTTGAGCAAATGGAGAGCATTACTCGTGCAAACCCCAGAGGACCGACTGGTGGCCAAAGACTTTCCTTTTTAGACTTCAGAGTGGCTCTCGGGGCCGCCGAGTCGCACGATTCGCGCGGCTTACATAAGGCTCTCGCCCCGGTGGTGGAGACTGCCGATCCGGGCCTCGCCGTGCCTCGCCTTCCGCCCGCCCAGCCCGCCTCCGACCCGGATCACCGGCCGGGGGGAGGCCGGACGGCGGATGCCAGGCCCGGCACAACCTCACGCTGGCAAAGGCTGCGGTACCTTTTGTGATTCCTTTTTTTCGGTCACCATTGGTGGCCTCTCCACACCTGATCCTCACTCCAACCTACATTCTTCTCCCGTGGCTGCGTTTCCATGGAACCTCGCCGGTTTGAAACGCCTTTGCAACTTGGTCGAGGGGAGGCGACTAGTGGTGATGCGGAAACGCGCCTGGAAGCATTAAAAAGCCAGTGGAACACGAGAGGGCCGGCAAAGGACGAAGACACGTACGTGGTTTATTCGTGCAATGACCATGACCGTGGCAACGCACTGCATGCTAAACCAGAACTGCCATGCCGCAGCAGACAGGACAGCCTCACTCGTGCCGGGTTTCAGCTCAAGCAAGTACAGTACAACGAGTTGAAGCTGGAGATGGGGCGCGGCTCTCCGCATCGCTACCGCCTGACTACCAGACTACAGTACGTGGCAGTCCCGCGGGCTGCCAACCATCAACGTCGGGAGTGTGGCTCTCTCGAAACACTGCAGCCCTGCTGTCCTGCGCCCTGTCAGCACGGCCCTGGCTGGCTTTCCGGATCCACGGACCAGTGATAATGATGTTCAATCCGAAGAGGTGAAATCTGGAACCTCAAATGCTACGGAGTAAACGAATTCATACCTTGTTAAACCTGACACCTCGGAGGCTCGGACAGTTCAGGTGCCCGTGATCGGTTGGCTTCTGTGGCAGAGCAAACTGGGCCAAGAGACGGACGGCCTCCACATCGACATTCAGGGGTAGTTGGGAGCACAAGGCGGCATGTTTCATTTCCGGCTGGCTCTGCTGTGCAACGCAGATGGCAGAAACTCTGATGACGGCTTCCGGACAAGGCAGGTGACACGAGATGGGTGCCGGGGGGTGGCGACCAACAACACATGCATGCATCACGGCTTACTGTGCTTGTGTGTATGCATCCTCGCACCGTGCTGTCCTGGACAGTGCTGCCCAAGTACTGTATTCGCGGAGACCGGATTGTGGTTACGGTGAGCATCGCGGGAGGCGTGCGATCTGGTGCCCGGTACGTTCTTTCGTGTGTTGCATCACGTACGTTACAGGACGCACCATGGCTTGGCCATCAGGGCAGAGCCATAGGCTCGGTAAGTGACACGTCCTCATCAGCTCAAGGACATGGACTGCTTGTGTGGAGTGACCAGGGAGTGCGATGATTTTGCCTGCTTTTCTCAGGAGCAGGCGAGGAGAGCTGGCTTGGACAAGAACACGTGGCTGCCGCGTTTTGACGAGGCCACGAGACATGAGGAGCCTTGACGACGAGGAATAACATGATGTGAGTCAGGGACGAGAGAGGAGCTGCTTACCGGGCCCTGCCCGGACTGCGTCGTCGTCAGCCAGAGGGCGGCCCGAGAGAGCAATTTGAGGGTGGACCTGGTGAACGAGTCGTTGGCAGGAGGATCACGAGCCAAGAAAAGAAGTGGTTGACCAACGGAATACGCCAAGTAGGCGTTGATGATTATTAGATAGTCTCGTCGTTAGCCCGCACTGGCACACACAGGCCGGCGGACACGAGAGATTGTCTGCCCGTGCTTTGTAATTACTGTATGGATGAGATGAAGGCGGACAGGGGCATGAGTTTCGACTGGATACCGTAAGTTACTGTATGCTGTTATTCGGACAGATTGTACGCACTTGATACAGCCCGCCCCGGACGGAGCAACGGCCCGGCATCAACAAGCCTTGGGGATGTTGCTTTTGCTGCTGCACGCACGCAGGCAACATATCCCCTTTGTCCTGGAGCGCGTCTGCTTACTCACGGCCCGCCGAGAGATGTCGATGCGTAGCCGGCGGGCCGTTTGTCTTTTTTGCCCGTGGATTGAGAGTTTGCCAGCTACTGTGATAAAGCTGTGGAAATATGTACATACTTGGGTGCGTGCACGTTCAAGGCACGGACGCAACGCACGTTCGCTCCTTTGCTGGCTATTTGCCTGCTTGCTTCTTCCAGGCCGGCACGCCAAGCCAAGCCCGGGCGTGGCGGGTGGCGTATGCCCGACGGGCGATGGCATCTATTCTTATTCCACGCAGTACTTTGGGCAGGTCATGTTGGAGTTATTCGTAGGGCTACCCGCAACGTCTTGGGGTGTCTCATCCGCGGCGCAGCCAGACCCCTGAGAAACCAGAGGGGGGGGGCCCTGTTTCGCGGAGATTGTCGGGTGAGGCGAGCCCTTTTCCTACTTGTTTGTCTCCAGTGCTTGTCCCCCGCAAGTCAGAAACTTGGGAAAGAGGAAAAGCAAAGAGAAAATCACGGACCGAGGTGAAGGGAAAAAAGAGTCTTTGGCTTGAGGCTTCTATAGTTTGCCGATTGGTGGTGTTTTTTGCCGGGGCCTCGGCGCGGACAATCTATACGAAGTAGCAAAGCAAGTACGGATACGTATGGTTGACATGATGCACTTGCATAGAGTCGGGGCGGGGGTTTGTTGTTTATGAGAGATTATCGTCTAGCCAGCGGATGGGGCTGGGGGCGCAGCCAAGCCATTGGGTCCAATCTCTGTCATGCGAGGCTGACCCTCAGGGTCAATTCGGGGGTTGGTCCAAAGTAGCTTGAGGCCGAGATGAGGAAGGGAACAGATGTGAGTTGCCAGGCCGGGAAATGAAGGCCGTGAGCTGTCGAATTGTGATGACGCTGCACCGCGTAAGCACTCGGGCTCTTCTTACACGCGCGCGTAGTGTAGTATGTTACCTACTAGACCACGGGCTCTAATGCAGGAACAAGAAGAAAACCCGTCTGGAACACAGCTAGACATGCAGCGCCAAAAGGGGCATGCTTTCTTTGTGTCGGCCTCGCGTCTTCTATTTTGGTCCCTTTGTCGAAGCCGGCCGGCCTCGTGGAAACAGGCCCACGATTACGAGGTATTTTACGAAGTACACCAAGTAAGTACTCTTTTGGCTGGCATTGTGCCGCACAATGCTATTGTACTGTAGGTCATGTATGTCAAGAATTACGTGTTTGTGGCAAGTTTCGTCCCATGTGGAAAAGTACTGTACCTGTCATTCCGTACACAGTGCAGCCAAGGCGGGGCTTGACGGTACAGGAGATACATGCACATACGAATACGTACCTACACAACACCGGAATGCGCACAGCAGCAGCTTGTCATCCGACCTTTTGGCTCCCTCAGGCACACCGGCGAGTGACCTGAGGCGGCCGGGGGAGGTTCTTGGTTTCCCTTGCTCTGGGTGATTAAAGGCACGGCGATGCGAGACAGACAGCCGGCCACACGTGCTGGCACCCCCACACCCCCTATTCCCCGGCACCAAATGGCGCCATGAGAGCCTCTCTCTCTCTGTATTGACCAGTACCAGCATCTTGGAGGGGTCTCATGTCCAATTCGTGGTCCAATGCGCACGAACAAACTGGCGCAAGTATCTGGACCTTTGGCGGCATTGCCCTCCTCCCTCCTACCGCTCCCTCTCTGCACATTGCTCGGCGCACGATGAAACGGCCTGTTTGCGGGGCGCCGGGGCACGGACGCCGGGGCACGGACGCCGCAGCGCGCAGGCCGCCTCGTCGATGCCGGTGCCCTTGTGGCCGGTAGTGCAATCTAGAAGCCTGTCAAGCCCGTCAGCATCCAGGAACCAAAAAGCCATCCTGCGTCCAATCTCGCGCGCAACACTCACTCGTCTTCACGCGCCTGGCGGTACTCCGTAGTTTGTATGTAGTGGTGGAGAGAATTGATCAGCATTGGTACTCCGTAGACTACCGAGAACGCACTAGGAAATAAATAAAGCCTGTGGAACACCTGCCTCCGCATCAAGCACATCCCCGAGCCGGCAACCCCTCATCCACGGCGGCCATCTGCTGAGCAGACGAACCCGTGTTTGCACAAGCCGGAAGACTTGATTCATGATGACTTCTCGGCAACCCGCCGGCGAACTTCTATCATCCTCGACATGGCTTGTCTGCCTAAGCCACTCCACCACCCTCACCCTCCGCCGTCGCCGAGACACAGTCCTCGACGGAACCAATCGCAGTGACAGGTCGCTTGCCCTGCGGTGCATCGCCGTGTTGCAGCACCGCCATCTTGACAATGGCCTGAACGTACTGCATGTCCTCCGTACGGAGTCTTAACCTGGCTGCCCCCTAATTATCCGTATCGCCTAGACAAGTTCCGCGGTACCGGCCAGCACCGTCAAGCTCCGCGCAAGCTCGAGGTACGGCATACGCATGACTAAAAGGACTCGTTCAGTCACGGCCCCTGTCGCCGTTGAACCTTGCCCTAACCAAGGAATCTTGCTGCCCACGCTCAGGCATGTAAAAGGGCGCTCGAATTGACGGACAAGGACACAGTGTGCAGGGACTTGTGCCACCACTGCAACCTCGACACAGTGGTGCCGGCTCCACCCAGCACAAGCCCCCGGGCGCGAATCCCAGCCGCTAGGAACATGGAATGAATGGCACCCAGTTCAAAGGGGCTGGGCGTCAGTCCTTGCCCACCGCCACTGGAATGCGGCGACGGGCAAAGGCCCCAGTGCAACGTGCAGGACCTGCTCCGCCCCCCCGCGCGGTATTCTACGCCTTCCATGGACCTGAGAGACAGTGTACTGCAGGTGATCCACACTGTAGGATAAACATGTCGCCGCGTGCACATCATATATGGGTACGCCGGATTAGCAAACCTGGCTGCCCCGCTCCACGCGGCGACGGGCCTCCTACCGTCATCCTGGATCCCAAAAGTACCGCATTACTCGGCTGCCCGCCCCGTGTACAAAAGGGCTGGCTGGCGAGGCCCGTTATGCCCAACCGGTGGATCCCCTCCACTCAGGGCAGGGAGGTACCTACATTAGCTGCCCGGGCATTGTGCGGAGCCGCAGTACAAATGAGCGGTATGAAATCAGCGGTCCACTCAAGTACCTACAGTGGGCAGGTGAGATGAAACAAAGAACTGGGGCCAACCGTCCGTCCGCCTTGACCCGCGCTGGGCGGCCGGTGCATGCTCCGTCGCCTTGGTACCACCGGCGCGCCACTCTCACTCACGCGGCTCCCCAGGTGACTCTGCATCCTTTCTATAGCATGACTTAGATGGCAGACTGAGCGGCCTGTTTTCCCTCTCTCGCCTGCCATTGACGCGACCGTAGCGCTACTTTTCTAGCCTACCGCACCTCGGCAAGAGCACCGTTGCTGGTGCCTGAGTGGCGCCGCGGGACCCAAGCCATGTAATGAGCCGCCTCTCGCCATGTACTGGCAGCATCGAGCAAGTACATGCTGCACTGTAGCGGGCACCTATCCCAGAGGAAAGGTGCCAGCAGCCAAACAGCGAATTGCTCCGTACAGACTACCTGCTAGGTACTACTTACCTAACATACTCGTACCTGCAGACAACTGTACTGTACAGTATGGCTAATTGTCGTCCTCACCCAAGTACCAGTACCGCCTAGGTTAAAGTACCCGCCAGCCTAAGGTACTGTACGTGTAGAGTGCTCATGCGTAAAGGCCTCTGCACCCCATGCCCTCGTATCCCGCGCCCATCTCCCGGCCAGTACGCGCGTGCTGCCTGTAGGTACCTCCCCAGCCCGGCCAAGTACAGTACATGGCCCGTGGTCGTCCGTTCACCGTCCAAACCCACTTCCATCCATCCCCCGGCCCCCTTTCTTTTCCTTTCTCCGCTTTTCCCGCTCCTCTCCCTCATCAGTCTCGTCCTCCCACTCACTGTCTTGCGTCGTTTCCTCCACCCCTTGCTGTGCCCGTGGTTCCATACCCGTCGCCCTCATTCCTTCGTTTGCTTGCCGTTCTTTTCATTCTTCGTGACGCGCGCTCCTTTTACCACCTCCCCCGCCCTCCTCCATCTCTCTCTCCCTCGACCCCCCCTTACCCCCCTCTACCCGTCCAATCTTCTCGTCACTCCTATTCGCCATTTTCCAACCACATCGCCAGCCGACGACGACGATTCCCCCTTCGACGGCGGAGCCGCCTGCGCTTCTTGCCCACGCCACCCCCGACCTCGATTCGCTCCTCCTTTCATGTCCCGAAGGTTCTGGGGCTTCCCAGTGCTTCTCGCCACAGATGCCTCTTGACGAGTAACCGTCTGTCCTCTACGAGATCCGACGTCTTGCCCTCCTTCCGGGCCACGAAACGCCGTTACGAACATCGTTTTGTCTCGACGGCTCGCACCCAATCTCGTTGGACGACTTTTCGTCAAGTCGCTCTTTTTCTCTTTGCTTCTCGCTTCGTAAATAGCCGTGAGTCAAGCCACCAACACCCTCTCAACCTGCGTTGCCATGGTGTCCGTCTACAGACGACTTGATCCCCTCGGGTGCCACCTTTGCCGTCGTTGGGGAAGAGTCCGGAATGAACTGGACGCTGCACAGGGTCGCCGGGGAGGCACCGTCACTGGCCTTGTTCAGCGGCTGACTTTGCTTAGAACCGCTCGTTGATATACAACGTCAAGTACATTCGCTGCATCTGTTTCTGACGGTCGGTGCTCGACTCCATTACAGTAGTCGGGACCCCTTCATTGACAACAATGGCAGCATATCGCTTCGATACCATTTTCAATATTCATCTCATCAATCTTATTAGTCCACCAAGCTTCAACCCATGAATCCAGAGCCCGCTACTCGAATCTCGACGAAAAATGCGTATTAGATCCATCACGGCCACCACGGCGCTGGCCTTGATCGGTCTTGTCGCGACCGAACCCGAACCCGACCGGCCACGCATCTACTTCCCCCTTCAAGTCAAGCGGGAATTCTCAAACTCGTCCCTTCCCGCTACCGACGCCCTCTCCACGCCCGACAATGCCGCCCCCGGCAAAATCGAGACGAGCACCACCGCGAGCAAGGACCTGGTCGGCGACGACCCCCCCGATCTCTTAAGAAGCAAAACTGGCCCCTCGAGATCTGAGCACGAGGACACCACAACAACACGTGTTGCTTCAACCGTCGCCGACAAGGGTACCGGCAGTCCTCCCAACATCGTCGTCACACACACGTCCGGCAAGACCTCGTCAAGTCTGACACCCAAGCCGAACTCGGATGCTCAGGATGGCTCCAGGCCGCCAACCTCATCCTCGTACTCGAGCATCGTCATCGCCCCGACCGGCATTGTGGCCCCTAGTTCGAGCTCGAAGCCCGACACCGAGTCCAAAGAGCCCCCTACCCCCCCGGTTCCTGCCGAGGGGGGCATCTCCGACGCGGTCAGCGGTCCGTCGCCCATCACGACCTCGCTGCGTGGCGCCCCGGACGACATCGGCACCGGCGTCAGCAGCACAGTCGTGCCACACTCGTCCACCGAGGCGGTCATCCCGAACCCCCTCAACCCCGTGGTCAGCAACCCGGTGGTCAGCAAGCTGTTGCCGCTTCCTTCCGACAAGACTAGCATCACAGAGTCCTCCGGTAGGACGCCATTCGATGGTACGGCTTCAGACCCATTGGGCACCATTGTCAAACCTGATCCCGTTGTGAGCCCGACCGGCGGCGTTGTACCAGTCATTGCGTCCAAATCTGGTACGCCGGAATTGCCAAAGGCCTCGCCCGTTGGCGCGGTTCCCGACAAGGACAAGCCCGACACGGACAAGCCCGATAGCACGCACAAGGATGGCAGCCCGGATCCCGTCAAGTCGACCGGCGGCGCGGTTTCCGATACTACGCACAAGTCCGACACGCACAAGTCCGACACTGACAAGGATGGTGGCCCGACCCCTATCGAGTCGACCGGCAGCGCTGCGCCTATCCCCAGCACTACCAAGTCTTCCATCTCGGACCCGCTCGAGCCCGTCGGCGACATTTTGCCCGGCCCAAGCTCAGCCAGCTTGACTGCGATGCCGACCGAGCCTCCTACCGAGTCATCGTTGCCACCTCCGATTGCGGTGCTGCCGACTGGGTCCTCGCCCAAGGCAGTCCTGCCGACCGAATCGTCGGGTCTGCCCTCCTCTGCCAAGAGTGTACACGCCGAGAACCCAACCGTGGTGTCGCCTAACGACAGTCTTGGGCCGTCACGCAGCTCGGTGCTCCCGGTTTCTTCCACCCCCGGCCTTGTCACGCAGCCCTCGCCTGACACGTCCCTCAACACGAACCCCAAGGACGTGTCCGAGTCCACGGGCCGGCCTGTTCCCATCCTCACAGACATCTCATCCGCCAAAGCCACCGCTACCAACAAGATTCCCGAAGTACCAGTTGTGAATTCGACGACCCCCGAGATCGTGACCACTGCTCCGACGTTTACCAACATCCCGAGCGCACCCTCTGACGTCCCCGTCGTCAACAGCACGACCCCGGCAGACACGAAGAGCTTGCCCTCAGGGCCAGTCACCTTGCCGTCAACGACTCCGAGTGCCACCCACAAGTCAGCGAGCCCCACCAATACCGACTCGGAATCGTCTTCACCTATATCACCTTCGTCTTCTTCTCAGCCTTCATCGGTCTCGAAGGGTCTGGGCTCTCCAAGCGGCTCACCCCACCCGGTGGATTCGTCGACCGCGTTGACGACGCCCACCAGAGCTCCCCCGGCCACTACCTCTGTCCAGACCGAAACTAAGCCACCTCAAGCCCCCGCTCCCGGGTCCTTGACGGCCGTGACGCCGCCAAGTCAGCCCACGACGGCCCCTGCTCCCCAGCCGTTCCCCACTGGCGTGCCCAAGTACATCACTTCCGGCAAGAAAGATCCGCCGCCTGCTCACGACACCGCAAACATCACTATCGGCTTCCACGATGTTGTATCTCCTCAGTACCCCAACGACAACGGAGCCACATATAGTTTTTCCATGGAGGCACTCGACTTGCTCCCTGTGCTTCTCGCGCTGAGCTTGAATTCAAGCTCCAACCCTGACATCACGGAGAAAATCCAGGGTATCAGAGTCGAGGTGTGCAAGGACCCTGAGTGGGGCAACGCCATTGCCCACGTCAGCTTTCCGAACGGCGAGGGTATGGTCAGCAAGCTTCAGACGGATCTCCGACTCGCGGCGTCGCCAATCTACAACAGCGGAAACGCAACCTTGAACAAGATCGCCGACAAGATTTACAAGCCGCATGACATAACGAGCAAATACTGCGACGGCGGTGGCAATGGAGGCGGGGCGGTGCCTGGGGACAACGCCGTTCCTCCCAACAACGAACAGCCGCCGACAGATCCCTTCGGGACCACGGGGCCCGGCGACGGGCCGACTCCCCGGTCGGCCGCGACCACGGGCGGCATCGTCGCCGGGGCCCTGGGATTCAGCCTCATGTACGGCGCCGCCATGTTCATTGTTGCCAGACGATACAAGCGCAAGAAACAGTCTCACCGCCGTTCAAACTCCGTCACCAACAGCCAAAACTCATCGGAGATGCGTTACACCGGAGGTGGAAGCCCGGCTCTGATGGGAGGCGCCCTGGTCAGCCGCGAATACTTCAGCTACGGCGCTGGAGGCCGCGACAGCCGCGGCAGCGGGCGCAGCGGCATGGGCAACTCGGGCCGCACCGCAAACATCTCGGCCCCCGTCGCCGCGGAGAACTCCCTGGGCTGGAACTAACGATGCGCAGTGACGCATCGAGACATAAGAAACAACAAAAGCCCATATGCTTAGCCATGTATTTCCTTTCTCTTCATGACTTTTGGATACCCTTGAGGTGGAGCCGTTTGACAATCCTCGGAAGGATGGGACGCCGCCGATATTTATTTATTTTGGATATGGCCACGTCAGCCGCCTTGCACAATGCATCGATGGCTTGGGCAGGCACGCAACCCAAACAGTCTTTTTTTGTGATTGCAATGCCGCTCCTTCGATGGACGCGTGCCATCATCGGCGTCTTATCTGCAGCACTTCAACCCTCACCGCGTGCCGGGCACCACCTTTGGGCAGAGGAGGCCCCGTTCCTCGTTATTTTTTTTTCAACAATATTCTTTTGGCCTCCTGCTCGGTGACCCGTGCTTGTTACTTTCGCAACCCCCCCTCTTTTTTAATATCCTTATCTCTCCGGAAAGTGGTGGCGCGTTTTCGAGAGCGCGAGAGCCCTCCTAGTGATGGATGCCAGACGATGTCATCTCGGCGGGCTCGCTTGGATGTGATGAAAGTGGTGGAGCGTAGTCGGGATCATGGATGAAGAGGATGCTGGACGGGAAGCGCGGGTTGGAAGGTGTGGTGGCCGGGCTGTGGAACATGGAAGATGGCGGCAGCGCGGCGACGTGATGTCGCCCCGGGATGAAGCTCGTGCCGCGGGTATATTGCGTGTAGCCATCGTTGATAGCCTCGTAAATAACAGCCTCGGCCTATCAAAGTCATGCGCACGCGTGTTGACCTGGTCTTGCCGCTTGCGATGTATTTGGTTCTCGTAAACTCATGATCGTGGGTGCCGTCTTGTCCGGGAAATGGGTGTGGGGAGGTGGAAGAACTTCCTGATTAGTCTGTCGCGGGCTGGATTCTGATGGTGAATGAGAGGACAGTTTCGATCCCGAGCGAACTTTGTTTGGCCACCTGTCATGCCCGTCTTAGAGGAGTCGGTGGAGGCAGGCTGTCTGTCAGGCATCCATCCCTACGTCCCCGAGCAGTGATGCCACGTGTTGAACCAAGAGCGGGTATAGCTTGATTACTGTGTCCATTTTGGCTTCATCTTACAAGGCTACTTTATCCATCGCATCATTATTGGGCTAGATCATCAGACCAGTTAGCAGCGGGGGACTGTCCCGTCGAGGACGAGAGCATAAGACACCACTTGGGAGTTGAGCTCGAGATTGGAGGTCATCGGCTGAGTGAAGCAGGAACTATGTATCTAAGCTACTAAAACACTCGAATAGACACTTGGTACGTCGCATTGACTCCTATATGCAGGTAACATGAAGTTGTGGAGAGTGGGAGCATCTTGTTGACGCGTGGACGAGATAGGAACTTGAGAGTGAAGGCCAGTTGTCTTGGCCACCCTCCTATCGCCGTTGGATATGCGAGGGATTGACAGTATTGGTCCCGCTACAAATACTCCTGAACAAGTTCAGCGCGGAGGGTGGAACAAACCTGCTACCAGACCATGAGAGGCACGCACTTTCTGTGCGCCGGGACTCGATCGGAAAGCCGCTCTTCATAACATGGTGGGTCGAGAGTTGGAAGACGGAATAGGAAGCACTCTTCTGGCTCATGTTTCGGTACTGGAACCCGCGTACAAAACAAGAGTTGCGGACAAGAACAAGCAATGCCCGAGTAAACAGGAGACAGTCTTCAGGCTCGCAAGCGTCCGGCTCAAGTTCACGCCCTCTGTTCCTGATTATCTACACTTAAACTAGGAGCGGTATGTCGGGGCGGCAGACAATGGCTTCGCCGTAGCCCCCTTGTTCACGAAACGATGCCTCCATCGATGGCTTGCATAATGCACCGCTGCCAGACCTTGGCAAAACTGTCGATGGCCGATGTCTCGCCCAACTTGCCGGACGCACCGCCGTTGATAGCGAGCTCCACCGGTGCCTTTTTCAAAGTTTTCGACAAGTATTCGAGATGTATACTGCTGCCGAGTTTCGCCTTACTTGGATCTCTAGTAACTTAGAAAGTAGCTGTTCAGCTGTCATAGACGATGGCTGGAGAAGCCATTTTGGGCCTTGGGGGCCTCGGAGATGTCGACCAGACGAGAGAACGAGGCATCGAAGACCGTTGCCCCAGGCAAAAGGACGTCTAAGCCTTGCTGTGCTGATGAAGATGGCAACCTGGCGCTCCAGTTCCTACCGGCAGGCCGTGGTTCAACGTCATTTATACGTCAGTGCGCCCCCAGTTCGGCCCCAGACGGTGGCATAGTCCCCTTAGGCAGCGGAATGCTGAGATGCTTCGCCGCAGGACGATTCCCTAGAGGGGAAAATGGCCGGTCGGTCCGGCTCCGGCCTCCAGGGCGCCGGCGGCTGCGAGCGTGCGGGCTGTCGTCTCGACTCTCTAGGGTTCCGAAACGTCCCGGGGAATAAATATGAAGACTGTTTAGGTTTCATTAAGTCGTTGTCTAGGTACCTTTGGCGGCTGACCTTGTTAGTTGCATTGCTTGCCGCAGCGGCTTCGTGTCTGCGTGCCATCGCCAAGGACACTGCTTATTTGAATCCACATAGTCTGGGTTTGCTTCTGCTGGCGTCTTGTGAGATCCCCTTATGAATACATGTTTCCCCAGAAGATAGTGATCATAACAGAATCTCGTCGAACCACACTGTCCTCAGCTCTCACAGACTCTGCCGGTGTCGAAATGCTTTCAAATATCACTACCTCGGCGAGGCCACACTTCGCTGATCAAGGCTTGAATGCTAAGACCCGTCTGCATCCACGGCATCGGCCATCTCGCCCATGCTTCGATAGCGCCAAGAAAAGTCGACCCTGTCTCTGTACTCGTCCAAGCCACCCCCCATGACGCTCTCGATTTCCACTCCCCGCTCAATCCACGCGCTGGCCAGCCCTACTTGCTTCGCAGGCACGTGGTCGTGGCTCAGGGACTGCGCCGTGTGGAGGATGGCGTCCTTTCCGACCCCGAGGTCCTTTTCGCACCGGTCAATCAGATATTCGAAATTCCTCCGGTCGGGCTTGTACGACCCGATTTCCTGGGCCGTGTAGATGGCATCAAAGTCGATGCCCGTCAGCTGCCGCGCCAAGGTGCGCTCAAAGGATGCCCGATCGACGTTGGAGAGAATGACGAGCTTGAAGTGTTTACGCAGCCGCTGGAGGGCCTCGAGAGTGTCCGGAAACACGGGCCAGTCGCCCACGCCAGCCCCGAACTTGGCCTTTTCGTCCTCGGAGGCCTCCACCCCGACCTCGGCAGCCAAGAGCCCGTACGTGTCCGCCAGGACGGAGGAGTAGAGGGCTTCGGGGCGGGCCCGCTGGACCTCACCCTCGAGCCTGGTAAAGGCCTTGAGGGTTTCTGATCGGTTGCCGTGCAGTGGGTGCGAGGCGGGGAGCCGGCGTGTGAGCGGCAATAGGGCCTTGTAAATGCCGCCTTCCCAGTCGACGAGGGTGCCATAGCAGTCAAATGTGAGGCAAGAAAATGCGGTCATTGGTCGTGAGGCAGTCATGGCTGCTGCTGCTGCTGCTGCTTTCTCTCAACCTCTTATCCTGTTCCTGGCCCTTGCACGCCTTCCAAAGTAGTGTCGCAAGCTGGTAGCCAGATGAGGCGACGATCCTGGTAAATCTGACGGAATCCCTGCGAGTGTCTGAGGGGCCGAGGAAGGATTCGATACGTGGAATAAGCGACGGTGTTATAGCATTGAGCATACAACCTCTGGGCTACCTGACCAGCGAAGTTTATCAGAACATCTGACTGTGGTCTGTAAAAGTAGCGTCTTGAAAGCGGGGGCGATGCAGGCCATCTGTGTGCTTCAGAAGGCTCAATAATGCCGACATGAGTCATAGGCCGTGACAGCTGTGCTTCATGCATGTGTTGCCTACCGCCAGGATCGAGGCCTATCTTTCGTCCACCAATGAATGAGCTCCTTCCACATTTATAGGACCTAGAGGGCGGCACGTAGACTCGACACACCATATTGTGGATAGCTCTATCTATACAATTGAAAGGAAATCCACCGGAGATCAGCTGCTACTAAGTTCGCTTAGCAGAATATAGAACCGACATCATCGCTATTGCATCTGTGTGTACGTTGAAGGGCACAACGCCACTGATACGGACGCCTACCACTTGAGCAGCGCTTCTAGACCTGTGTGAGCTGCTTCCAGGGCCCAATGACTCGGCAGAGTCCGGGCCTTGCCGGAAATCTGCAGAGGGCCTACGCTTTGGAAAGCCTCTGGGACTGTCGGGCGTTTCTGTCACCTCATTCTGTCACGCATTCAAACCCTTGACTTGTGTCTCAGCTGTCAGTCTCTGTGGATGTAGCTGGTCGAAGTCAGGAGAAACCGGCTCTCGGGCCGTGAATCGACTTAATCATACAACGAGATGTCTCGAGGATCGATGGTGATATGAGCTTTCAGTCTAGGACCAGCCCTTTTCAAGCCACGCTGTTTCCCTCACAGCCCGCCAGTGTTTGATGGCGTCCGCTTAGCATACGTTGCAGCCGAAAGCCGGGCGACTTCGAAAAGGGCGTTTCAACCGCAGCCTCGGCGTTTGTCTGGTCAGCTCCGAACACGCAACGTGATGCAGTGAGTGAATGACAAGCAGGCCGAGTACCAAGACCATTACGGCAGTTTCAGTCGGAAGCTACATATAGCTCGCGGGCAATGGCCAGAGACTGTCGAACGGGTGTCTCCGAGCGACCGGCTTGCATGGCACGTTGGCTCGAGCCGGAGATTGAAGAAAAGCGCCGACGTGATTACCTCCGAGCACAACGGGGCGTCTGTTCCACGTACAGACAGCCAGGCCGACATGGTGGCTTGATGCCCTTTATTCCCGCCGCTCTCTCGTGGATGTGCGCATGTAGTGACTGCTATGAGTTGTTGAATAAACATATCCCTGATTCAGGAGGTGGTTTACGAGTTCAGCTATTTGGAAGGGAGCAGAAGTCGCCACCGGCTCACCTGTCATCATCCCCTCGGACCCTTTGGGAGGTTACACTCGGAATCCCACAAGAATCGGAAGAATGGAGAAGAAAAGGTTTAGACAATCTCTAACTACATCACAATGTCGTTTCAAATGTGGATAACCATCTCCACGGCGTTTCTTCCGCTGCGCGTTCTCGTAGGATTGCTATGGCCATATTAAGAGTGGGACGCCAAGACGTCAGAGCCATGCCTAGAGGGCCAAAGAGCCGGCAAAGGAGTCTGTCGCGAAGCGTGGCCTGATTTCGCAGTTCTCGGAGATATCCCTTGGCAAGAGGGACCTAGGAAGCTGAAAAACACTAGTGTGGAAGAAGGAAGAAGGAGCTAAAAGGAGGTGCAGAGAGGAGGGTGGGGGCATAAGGGGAAGCAGAAGTAGCGATAGCTTCCTGTCAGGACAAGAAAGGGCCTATAATACGCGTTAGTAACACCCCTATTAGGGGTGCCCTCATTTTGCATGGTGTAGCGGTATTTTACCAGCTTGACACTTCCTATAGAGGTAGCGAGAGATAAGACGGATATGCCGGCAACGGCTAGAAAAGAGGGGAAAACCCGGCAAAAAGCTCGATAGTTAAGAGGATATTAGTAGCTTCTTTAAGCAGGATCTTCTTTATTAATTAAGACACTAAATGGATATAAAACGGGGCGTTAGATAGAAGAAAGAAGGATAATTAAGGTAATATAATAATTACTACCCTACTATAACTACTGCCCCTATAAGAATTAAATAACTTTACCCTACTTATCCGACCCCTTACTTCCCCTTTTACCTTTATATATTTTATATATACTTCTTATATTTCTTTATATAAGAGTTATAAACCTAGGAGGAATAGAATTCCTATACCTTATAGCTACTATAAAAAGCACCTTTCTTATATCCCTTATAGCTCCCTTTTACCCCTCTTATTAAAAAAGCCGATTTTTAACTAACTTTTCTACCCTTTATATATAATAATATCGAAAAACGATTCCTCTACCGCCCTTATAGTCTATAAGACGATTCTTATAAAACCTTAAGATTAGGATAAGTAGGTAAAGGAGCTATAAGCTTAAGTAGATAAAACTACTTATAATTTAGTCTTCTTTAATAAGTAGGACCCTCTTAAGCCCCTTTTTTATCCTAGAGTAATAGAATTTATAAAAGGAGCTACCTTCTTCTCCGAGCTAACCTCTATATAATAAAGAGCTTTTTCTATAACCTTAGGTAACTATAAGAGTTACTATAAGGAATACCTTTACGAGATAAAGCTATTAACTACTATACGTATAGCTATAATAGAATCTATTAATACCGTAAAGCTAATCTCTCTTTAAGAGGAAGAGACTCTTAGGTAGTAGCTCTTAAAGCTCGAGACCTTAATAGCTCCCTCGCGGGGCTATATAACTAACTATATTAGGAAGACCTATATAGCCTACCTAGGAGCCTTTTTTACTAGGAACCTTTTAGCCTTTTTATAGCTAGCTAAGGAGGAAGGAATCCTTAAAGAAGCTAACTAATACTTCCTAATAAAAGCTTTTTCTAGCTAGTAGCTATAGGATATATCTTTACTAATAAAGCCTATTAGTAACGGTTCCTTAACTATCTTTCGAGAAGCTAGCCGGGAACTAAATAAAGAGGCTACTAAAGTATAATAGTAAGTAGTCTTATTCCTTTATAGCTAGCATTCGACCTAGACGGCTCGACCTACTACCCCTATAGCTACTATAGCCCCTCTTACTACGGCCCCTACTATTACTACTACTACTGCCCCTCCGGCTCCCCCTCCCTTAGGAGCCTATAAGAGTTTAGGCGTTGCCTAGATAGTTAATAAGTATATAGTTAATAAGTATAGTTAATTAATAAGCCGGGCAGCTTAGTTAATTCGTTACCTTTTATCGCGTACGTATAATACGTTATATATAGTAGAGGGGGGTAGTAGCACGACTATAGCCTATACCCTCTTAGGTCTACTCTATAATAGAGCCTTAACGCTATCTTTAACTATAGCTACTACCCCGGCCCTAGCTACGCCTATTACTCTAGGCTCGGCCCCGGCCCTATTAGTCTGTTCGGCCTAGCTAGTCCCTTAATAGACCTATTAGTCCGTTAGTCGAAAAATCAAGGAACTAGTTAAGCTAGAACCTCGTTAAAGTTAGTAATAAGGTATAAAAAGGGGGGGTTTTTAAGTAGACCTTTTAAACTAAGATAAGGATTCCTTAAAGAAATAAAAGACTAAAAGATAAAATAGCTACTTAGCCTATAAATCCCTAAGCTATAGGTTATTATAATACTAATAAGTCTTTAAGGAAAACTAACCTAAAGGATTTAACCCTTTAAAGAAGCTATAAGAAATAATATAATAGTCTCTTAAAGAGGACCCTTTATTATAGAAGAAGATAGACGAAATTTAAGTTACTAAGAAATAGTAACTAATACCGCTACCTTTATTTAAGCTATAAATTTAAGGAAAAATTATTAGTATAGTAAATCCGGCCTTTATCTTCCCTATAGACTAACTAAGCTAAAACTAACCGTTAAAACTATCTAATTATCCCCTATAAAAATTAGCTATCCTTAAATCTAATACTTTCCTTAATATCTATAATACCCTCTTATAATTCTAGTCCTTTAAGAAGGTATAGAGGGAATATCTTATTACTAAGGAATTAACTATATAAATAAAGGGATATAAAAGGGTAAATTTTATAATAAAATTACTTAATAGGTTTATATAAATTCTTCGATAAAAAAGGGTAGCTTTTTACCCTTAATTTTTAATAAGCTTAATTTCCTTTTATTTTCTTTAAGAAGAAAGAATATTCTAGGATATAACTTCTTAGCTTATAAGGCTAGTTTAAAAGAATTAGATAATTAAGTTTATTAAGGAGAAATTTAGTTAATTTATTCTCGAATTCTAACCTATCCTTAGGAAGGAACCTATTAAGAAGCTAGCTTTCCCTACTAAGAAGAATAGGTTTACTACTAAGGACCCTCTTTTAGTAACCTAAGGAGACGGTCTTCTTTAGTATATATAACTTAGTTACTTAGGCCCCCTAGCTTTATATAAGCTAGGCTAGTAATAGGGAGTTTAAATTAAGGGCCCTAAAACTATTAAATATAAATACTATAGCTAAGGGAAGACTAAGAGACGAATTTCTAAATAAACCCTTATACGGCTAAACTAGCTATATATAGAAATTTAGGTCGACTAAGCTAACGTCTTTAAAGACTAGGAAAGCTTTATTAAGGTAAAATTTTTTATAGACGCTTTTTTATAAATAGTTTTCCCTTATTTCTTATAGACCTACCTAAGTAAGTATAACTATTTTACCCTTTAAGACTTTATTAACTAAATAAAATCCTACTTTAGCTATAAGATAAAGAAGATATAGTTTAATAAAGAGCTATTTATAAAAGATATCTTAAATTAGCTTTAAAAAAGGGGTATTTTACCTTTCTTATTAGTATTAAATACCTAGGCCTAAAATAAAAGGGTAGAAAGATTAAAAGATACTATAATAAAAAGGGCCTATATAATAAGACTTA